TTCTGGAAATTCAGAGACTGGTCTGGAGATCAGTTCTGATGAGGTTGATGAGAGAATGGAATCTGGAATTGCTGAAAATATTGATCAAAATCTGGAAAATTATCAACTTGCTAGGGATAGAGTTAGGCGAAATGTAAGACAGCCCCCTAGGTTAGATGATTTTGATGTTGATGTTATCTCCTTAGCTTATAATGTGTTTGAATCATTAGATGGTAATGAACCAAGGTCATATGGTGAAGCTATGAAATCAAAACAAAGAAATGAGTGGGTTAATGCAATGAATGAAGAAATGAAGTCATTAAAGGAGAATAAAACCTGGATTTTGGTGCCAAAGTTAGCTAACAGTTCTGTTGTTGATTGTAAATGGCTGTACAAAGTAAAACAAGATGAAAATGGAGTTAGATTTAAAGCAAGATTAGTTGCTAAGGGGTTTACACAAAAGGAGGGAATAGATTACAATGAAATTTTTGCTCCTGTTGTTAAATATTCTACTATAAGACTCATGCTTACTTTGGTTGCCTATTTTAATTGGGAATTGAAACAATTAGATGTAAAAACTGCATTTTTACATGGTGATTTGTATGAAAGGATTTACATGAAACAGCCGGAAGGCTTCTTTGATAAAACTAATCCTAATCATGTGTGTCTTTTAAAGAAATCCCTTTATGGACTGAAACAGTCCCCTAGGCAATGGAACATAAAATTTGATGAATGCATGAAATCTTTGAAATTTAATAGAAGCAATTTTGATCATTGTTTGTATTTTAAAATAGCATGTGAGCATCCCATATTCTTGCTATTATATGTTGATGATATGTTGATTATGTGTCCTAGTTTGGAAACAATTAATCATGTAAAAGATTGTTTAAGCAAGAAGTTTGATATGAAATACCTAGGAGATGCAAAGGTAATTCTTGGTATGAATATACTTAGGAAAAGAAAAGATAACATGCTGTTTTTAAATCAGTCTTCATACATTAAGAAAATTTTGAATAAATTCTGTATGGCTGATGCTAAACCTTCTGCTGTCCCCCTCACTTCTAATTTCATTTTATCTAAAGAGCAATGCCCAAAATCTGAAACTGATGTGAAATACATGCTGAATGTGCCTTATACTAGTGCTGTAGGTTCTATTATGTACCTGATGGTGTGCACTAGGCCTGATTTAGCATATTCTATTAGTTGTTTGAGTAGATACATGGCTAACCCGGGTGTTGAACACTGGAGTGCATTAAAGTGTGTGTTTAAATACTTAGTTGATACTATTGAAGTTGGTCTAGTATTTGGTAAACACACTAATGAGTTAAAACTGAATGGCTATGTGGATTCTAACTATGCGAATGATAGAGACTCTAGGAAGTCTACTACGTCGTATATCTTTACTTTGTGTGGTTCTTGTGTTAGTTGGAAATCCCAACTACAACATATTGTTGCCCTCTCTACGACAGAATCGGAATATGTGGCCATAACTGAAGCATTGAAGGAAGGTATGTGGTTAAAAGGTTTATTAAATGAAATAGGCTACTTGAAAAATGAAGTAACAGTTTTTTCAGATAGTCAATCCGGAATTCAGCTTTGTAAAAACCCAGTCTTTCATGATCGAACGAAACATATAGATGTTAGGTTTCATTTCATTCGTGATATAGTTTCTAAGGGTTTTTTAAAACTAGAAAAAATACCTTCTGAGTATAATCCTGCGGACATGGGAACAAAAGTTTTATCAATAACAAAATTCAATTTGTGTAAGAAAACAGTTTATATAGATACTTTTGATTAGGAGAATCTTTAAAATTTGAAGGTTTGTATCTTTTGTTGTTTAAAATTCTGTTTTCAGCATGACATATTTAATCATGTAGCTGTTTTTGTTAGTTGTGAAGCTGAGTTGTTTTTATAGTTGTTTTAAAACTTGAGAACATTAACCGTGTTAATAAGTCCGCAGGTTAAAAGACTAAATCGTTGGAGCTCGGACAGGGATGACACCCTTAAAGCACTTTCTCCAATGCCCAAAAAGGTGGAGATTTGTGATGTTTTGTGCATATTACACTTCGACCCGACCCGACCTATCGAAACCCGGATCCCGTGCCCGCGGTTCGACCCGATTGAGTGATGAATTGGAGGATGGGTTCGGATGGCCTGAACCGCCCTGGACCGCCCTCAAACCGGTCCAAGGGGTCTGATATATATATACCCTGCTTCCCGGTTCAGACAGACAGATTAATCCTCACTCCTTCTATCGCGATATTCACCCTCTGGAGCCCTAGCTTTCCCGACGAACGCGATCGATCTGTCTGGTGCATTCCGGCGAGTTTGGCCATCGGAACTTGAAGTTCATCCACCGTGGTTGTGTTACAGCTTGTTCTAGAGCTGTTCTTCGGTTTGATTTCTCGATTCTATGTTTATGGGCTGTTCGTGGTGTAATTGATTGTCCGCGATGATTTAGGCTTAGAATCTTGAGATTTCTTTCGATTAGGTTGTTAATCGCGCTGATTGTGCGTTTCTGTGGATGTCGGTAGTGTTTGGGTCGAGGTTGAGTGTAAGTGTTGCTAGTCGGTTGAAATATTGGGTAAACTGAGTCCGAACTCCTTCGATTAACAAAGTATATAAAAGATTCGATGTTTCTTGTTTCATATGTGTTCGATTAGTTGTAAACTACAAGTATTAGGTCCTAAATTTCGATTACAGAAATTTTGTTCAAATTTGATACATTTGTCTTGTACATTTAGAAAAACAATAAATATTAAAAATGGTTAATATAATGAAATTCAATAAAATATCGCCTCCATCAAATTTAAGTAGCGTGAAATCTTCAAATTCAATAATATAAAAATAATAATAATTAATAACGTCAATCTCAATATTACTATTTATTTGTTTATTGTGCATCGATTTTGACGGCAGACACCATTTTTTGTCCCAACTCCAACTCCAACTCCCAAGTGCTCTCCTAACCATTTTATTTCATTAATTTTTTAAAATATAAAAACAAAAAATGAAAATTTAAGCGAGTCAAAAACATTATAAACATTTTCTATCTGAAAATTGTAATTGCGTTGTCACCAGCCGCACAGTTTTGACTTTCAACTTATCCTCACGAATTTATTGGCTAAATAAACCAAATACTACTTACTTATACTGAATATTTGACTCAATAACAGCATAAGAAAATTGACTTGAATTGGAAACCGAATTGTATCATGTACATTTTCCTAGCACAATGCAATGCTATATATTTTTATATTTTTATATAGACGTAGACTGTGTTTATCCTATCATTTTATTTTACTAGTATAATTTTTTATTACTATTATTAAACATAACATATGTAATCAAATATATTTTTAATAAAATACTATTTTCATCTTTTATTTTTTCAATAAATTATAATATTTTATTGATCTATGTAAAATGTTTCAATATTTAATTTTTTAAAAGTAAAAAAAAAATAAATTAAAATTTAAAATATTTTGATATTTAAATATAATAAAAAATACTTTTAATAAAACATATGAAAATAATAAAATAATATATTAAATTAAGACAAAGAAATTTTATTTATTTATTTTAAAAAAATTTTACTAGTACTATAATAAATAGTAATAAAAAATTTAAAACCATGGACTACAATTAGACCAGCACGGCATATATCTTTTACAAAATTTGACGGAGAATCCGATGAAGGGCAAGCAGGACAGTGAGTTGGCAGGATCCCACGTGGGCCAATTTGTTTGGCTGTCAGAAGGCTTCACAGAGAGACTATTCACATGTGGAATCGTCCCCAATAACGTTCCCACTAACCTATAATTTAAATTATTTTATATTAGTATTTAAATCATCCTCCAAAAAGGCGAATAAATTTGATCAATGTCGATCTATCTTTTGTAGGGTTTGATCACATCGTGTGTTTGTTTGGGGGTTTGGATTTTAAATTGGGATTTGAATAGTAAAAATTTTAAATTTGAATAGTTGTATGATGTGATATAAATAAGTGATGATGTGATGTTTTGAATGTAAAATTGATTTTTAGTATAATATAAAAAATGAAAAATAGGTGTTTGATTTGATATTTTTGGGGGAAAAAAATTGAATGAATAGTGTAAATCCAATCCAAATTTCCAAACAAACACACCCGTGTGTATTCTTGTATTGTATTAATAATAATAATATATATATATATTTCTTTTAGTTAGTATTTTTATTAAAATGAATTCATAACTAAATATACCTATAGGTGTATATTATTATTATTGTAAATTGTAGTATACAACGCGATGGTCATATGCTTGATTTCATTTCATCTAGTCAACATGATTATACAACAATACTTTTGAATTTCAACATTAATCAAGTTTCCAAAACATTAATATTATTCTTATCATTTTCAAAATTTTAAGATTCCAAACAAATTATTTATCATTGAAGACATTACTAGCAGCATTTTCAAATAAAATTTTTGCTTAAATGCTAAGTGTCTATACATGTATTAATAAAATGAAATAAATTTATTAGATACTATTAATTGTAGATTTGATTTTAAAAAATAATCACACTCCCAAACTAATTAAATAAAATAAAAAATCCTCTAAAAGGTTGCAACCCTTATAGAAGAAGGTTTTTTCTTTTGGTTTGGACTCCACTTTTGTAATTTCGTTAGCGTTACATAATGTGTATACCCATAAAATATATTCGATAAGCAAAGATAAAATTGAATAATATTGTCAAATTTGGTGAGATTTTAGTCCCAAGTAAAAGTTATACTGCTCCTGTAACTAAAGTGGTCCAACTTGGATGAATATTATTAGTACAAATAATGATAATAATATAATTAATTAAATAAAACCAACTAATACTGGAAATTAGTGTAAATTGAATAATGGTTGGTGGGTGGAAATTCATGAGGTCTGCATTGCGGGAGATGGTGACTGTGAATGCAAAGAAAATGGGTAAATGCTAAAAAAATGGCAATTAATTCTGAGTCGAAGGAAACCTCCTCGTTAGCCATATTCTGTTATTCATCAATTCTGCTGTATGTATACATACGGTATACTGTGTGTGTATATATATGGTCGTCACCCCACCTCTTCCCAACGCCATTCGCCCTTTTCTCCCCAAACTCGAATTGAATCTCTCTCTCTTTCTCTCTCTAACTGTCGTTTGCTCGATTTTTTTTTTTTTTTTTTTGCTTCCACGCACCATTTCCTGGAGCGTATCTTGCTGCTTGCCGTGTTGCTTCTGCAAGGACATAAAGTTTGGATTTTCAGTTAATTGATCTCCTTTTCCTGCATTTGTTCGCGTCGAGATGGCCAAGAATGTGGGAATCCTAGCCATGGAGATTTACTTTCCTCCCACTTGCATCCAGCAGGTAAACAAACAAAAATGAAGACAACTGATTGATTACTTTTGGTTTGATTTATTTGCTTTTTAGGAAATAATTTGTTAGTTGAGTTCGTGCTCCTGGAAGCTGCCATCCTATGTTTGTTGTTGAATAGTTGCAGTTTCCCGCTTTCAATCTTCGCCTAATTTTTTTTTGTTTTTTGGGAAATGATTGATATCGAATGGGAAAAGCTTTGGGGAGAGTTTCTTCACTTTTATTTTTATTTTTTTCCCAGTTTCTTGTTTTTACTCGAGTCCAAGAGATTTGGAAAGTGCACCGACCTGATAGCTTTTTTTGTTTTTGAATAGTTATGAAGCTTGTATTTCATCTGAGTTCATTGTATATATATATATATATATATAGGTTCTTCTTTCTCATCGGTTTAAGATTTAGTTTACAGAAGGTTTTCTTACTGTTTCTGTTTTTGGTTGGATACAATTCTTATGTACTCAGGAAGGAAGAAAGCAGATCTTAGCTTCCCAAGTCTACTTTAGAAATATGTATTGTACTTCTAATGCATTCTTGTAAATCTGTAACAGGAAGTGCTGGAGGCTCATGACGGAGCAAGCAAAGGGAAGTATACTATTGGGCTTGGCCAAGATTGTATGGCATTTTGTTCTGAGGTTGAAGATGTCATTTCAATGAGGTATTTATTTGGTCTTTTGTCTTATAAAAGTTACTCCAAAATGCTAAGGGTGGAGGAATATGATGGTTGAGTGAATAGCATGATGGGTATATGAATGTGATATGCATTGGGAGATTTCTGAGTCTAATGATATTTGTCCTCTAAATTGGAATTTAAGGTAGAGAAGATTTGAGATTTCATTTTTTGTCAGATTCTGTTTAATGTTGATTTCATTTACCTTGACATGACAAGGAACTACAACCTTGGAAATGAATCTATATGATCAAGTTGAGTAATCAATTTATCTTAGTATATAATCCTGCATCATTTATTATGCTTTTATAGTATGATTAGTTATGACGGCATTGACTGTTTCCCAGTTCCTATAAAATGTTTGCCATGTTTCCTTCAGCGACAAATATGACAGAGAGATTACACAAAAACATGAATGACTCAACAAGATAATGCTAAATTTATCGGCAGTTTTACATATTGCAAGTTACAATAACTGATAGATAACTTCATTGGCCATTTTGATTTTGTACAGTTATTGGTTTAAAGTTCTTTTTAGCAATTCTAAGATTTTCTAATTTCAGCATGACAGCAGTCACTTCACTCCTTGAAAAGTATGGGGTTGATCCGAAGCAGATTGGGCGTCTTGAAGTTGGAAGTGAGACTGTACTTGATAAAAGCAAATCCATTAAGACATTTCTGATGCCAATATTTGAGGTATATGAGTTATGCAGTTTCAATTCTAGTTAATGTTCAACTTATTATGTTTTGTATTTTATGGTGGATCATGTTGTATGCTTTGATGTGGGAGCCAAATTACCTATTGTATGTTTCATCTTGTTTACCATCTAAATATTTGAATGACCAGAAATGCGGAAATACTGACATAGAAGGTGTTGACTCAACCAACGCGTGCTATGGTGGTACTGCTGCTCTGTTCAATTGTGTCAATTGGGTGGAAAGCAGCTCATGGGATGGGCGATATGGGCTTGTTGTCTGCACAGATAGTGCGGTATAAGCATTTTTCATACATATATTTTTGAACTTACATTCCTTCAAAATTGAAAGGTGGAATCAACCAAAAACTCTTGTCAAACACTACCATGGAATTTTGCTTTGGTTCCTTATCATTTAGCTTAATTGATAGGTCTATGCTGAGGGTCCTGCTAGGCCAACTGGAGGAGCTGCAGCTATTGCAATGCTAATAGGACCAAATGCTCCTATTACTTTTGAAAGCAAGCTTAGGGGATCTCACATGGCTCATGTTTATGATTTTTACAAGCCCAACCTTGCCAGCGAATATCCTGTATTATTACCCTCCTTTCGAACACTTATATTCTGTATACTATAGTCATGAGAGTATTATTTTGAACTAAAACTAACCTTTATACCGTTAATACAGGTTGTGGATGGCAAACTTTCTCAGACTTGTTACCTCATGGCATTGGATTCTTGTTACAAAAGCTTCTGTGACAAGTAAGTTACTGCAAAAAAGCTTCCTGCTTTTGTGTACCTAAATTTATAGCCTTGTTTGTTTGTCTCAAATTATCAGTGGTAATGTATCATCTGATAGGTATGAGAAGATAGAGGGCAAACAGTTTTCAATTACTGATGCTGACTACTTTGTGTTTCATTCTCCATACAATAAGGTAACTATTGTTGGTTAACACAATCTTTAATAATTGTAGAATGATTTGCAGCCTAAAAATAGACTTTGTTAACATTTAACTTTGTACCTGCAGCTTGTACAGAAGAGCTTTGCCAGATTGTTATTCAATGATTTTACAAGGAATGCCAGGTGAATAATTTGTTTGTTATTCATTCAAGAGAACTAATATATCAAAGAAGGAGTTTATACTTAAGGTTTCTTTTGGTTGATAATTTATAGCTCCATTGATGAGTCAGCTAAAGAGAAGTTTTCTCCTTTTTCATCCTTAACCAACGACGAGAGCTACCAAAGTCGCGATCTTGAGAAGGTCAGTCTCTTCTCATTCACATCTTCATCACCATCTAGAAAACCACTTTGTCACTCAATTGGTTGGCGGTAGCTTATTAATCCAGAATACTATATTCTAAGAGTATTATTTGTGAATCTCCAGGCGAGCCAACAAGTTGCAAAGCCATTTTATGATACGAAGGTGCAGCCATCTACACTTGTCCCAAAACAAGTGGGAAACATGTATACAGCGTCACTCTATGCTGCATTTGTGTCCCTCATCAGCAACAAAAGTAGCTCTCTGGTAAATTAGTTACACAAGCCTTGTTGAATTCGAAACAGAAAACATCATCATGTTTTATTTTATTTTTTGATTTTAAAATTTTCTCTACATTTCTTTCAGGCCGGGCAGAGAGTGATTCTATTCTCCTACGGAAGTGGTTTGTCAGCCACCATGTTCTCTCTCCGTCTCAATGAAGGGCAGCATCCTTTCAGCCTGTCCAACATTACAAAAGTAATGAATGTTCAAGAAAAGTTGAAGTCGAGGCACGAGGTATGCAGCTCTTTGTTTTATTTTTTCTTTCTTCCTTAAGCATCTTGGCCACAGCTGCCAATATTTTCATAAATTTGTGCTTCGATTACATTTCAGTCTTTACCTTGTCTTGTGCAGTTCCCACCTGAACAGTTTGTCGAAACCATGAAGCTGATGGAGCACAGATATGGAGCCAATGACTTTATAACGAGCAAGGACTGCAGTCTTCTTGCACCGGGCACCTACTATCTTACTGAAGTGGACTCCAAATACCGAAGATTCTATGCCAAGAAGGCTATTGAGAATGGAACCCTTGCCAACGGCCATTAATTAAAGGTATCCTGGCAACGGCTCTCGTGTCTATCTAGCCAGTAGAAGTAATAACTGGACTTTCATTGTTCTTTGTGTGTTGAGCGATGAGTTGAGTTTGTTTTAGCCCGATCACATGCTATCTGTAGTTGTTATGAATTCTTTTTCTTTACAAGGGTTTCAGTTAGTTTTCTTTTTTGAGAAAAAGAAAATTGTTGTAGATGTACCAAAATATTATGGTTGTATCTAGGAACATGCTTCAGTGGTTAGCTGTTCCTTTTATCAGCAATAATCTGTTTATTCTTGGTATGTTGTACACTATGCTTCTGTTGTTTTTAAATGTATTTTCTCTTCTACATTGAAATTAAGAAATTATTTCCTCTGGGCAAGCAAAATATTTGATGTCAATATCAGATGATGAGAGAACTAAACAAGGTGCAATAATTCCTCAATAGCTGATAATCAATCCTCCATTTCTCCCATGTGTTTTCAGTTACTAGATAATGATAATTGCACTGCATAGCTTACCTCAGAACTAAATAACATTGCCTCATTTTGATAAGAAAAATTAAATGAAATATGGTTCTGAATATAGTACACTAGTAGCTAATGGTTATGGGCAAACACAAAAATGTAGCCAAGGAAGAAAACAAGATGGTTGAACATAAGGAGAAAGATTTAATCACCTTGAAGATGAAGATGAAGATGAAGATGTTCTTGTCATATTGTGAGATTTTCTTGAATGCCGGCAAACGTTCCAATTATCTTTCCGCCCATGTCGGGGAATGTTTCACAGCCGGGAATAGGCTTAATCTTCCCCATTCTATCGACTTGAACAGGATACTTAAGCAGGTGGCCATTCATTTGAGTGATTTCTTCGGCCTCGAACTGTCTCCAGTTAGCCTCGCCCATCTGTCTCACGCGTCTAACGCACTCCACGCTGTCAGGATGCTCGAAGACTTTCTCGCAAGTGCCCGTGTGCTCTGCCCAGAGAGACATTCTGTATCCGAATATCTGCAGCACAAAACAACTCTTTGGTGTATATCTTACTAGTGGAAAAGGGAACTCTTTGTAGCAGTCGAACTTCACCTGTCCCCGGGGATGTGCTCGTCTTCCCAACCACGTGTAGTGAGGCTGATACGCGCCCATAGTGATTTCTGTGTCGCGTGTACCTTCTAGAGACCGTTGGTTGATGTTGGCCGAACCCATCATTACGTATTCATCATCCACTATCATTCCTTTAGAATGGACGTAGATCATGAAGCGCCTGTTCTTCTTGGCGAGGGACTGGAAAGAACAAGAATACATAATGTCAGAAGGATACTAATGTAGGATCATTGAAAAAAGCTTTCAGGGATCGACAATGAACCTGTGGACTCGATCCGTTTTGGCATTTTGACGGCTTGCTTTCGGTGGGAGTCCCTGGCTCGCGATTGCCAAGGCAAAAGAAGTTCAAGTAATCCTGAGGTTCGTACTCATTGTCCACCCCAGTATCGACTAAAGCCTTGTAGATGGTGTCGTACATCATCTGCATCGTCTTATGCTGTATGTGTGTCGAATATGTTGAGCTGTAATGAACCTGAAAGAAAATCTGGTCTTTATCCGAGGATGTAAAAGATAATACCTGCCAGAAAAGAATTCTTTGAGTAGGAGTACTGGTTGGTACTCCCTCAGGCCACATTGGAATGACGATGTACACGGCGAATCTCTCCTTTGCTCTAATCTTGTTGGCAATCTTCAGAGCAATTTCCATGGGGATTAAATTGTTTGCACCTGTATGTAGAATGGAAACAGGCAATGTCTGAAATTCAGCGACGCACCAGATCGAAAAATAGGATTGGACCGAAACTACTCACCTACATCCCTGTAACTATCCCAATTGTACGATGATCCGAGGAAGTATTGGTTCTCAATGTAGATGAAGTGTTGAGCTGAACGGATCGCCTTTACATATGCTGCGTGTATGCTCATATCGATCAATACATTCTTTCCACACACCAGATTCTGTTTATGCACAAAAGTTTTCATCAATTTTCCATCACCAAACATATCTGTATGTAGGGAAGTAAGAGGGGAATGGACATTGCTGCCTTACCTTTTTTGAAGCTACTCTGGGATCCTTAGGGAAGCCTTTAACGGAGTTGGAATCGATTGATCGGAAAATCTACAATGTTCGATAGCTTTTAGCCTCGGAAATGAAATGTAATGTAATGAAGCTATAGCATGTTATTACAGTACCTGGATGTTCCAAGCCTCCTGATCATCTTCACATAAGGTGGAAGACTCATTTATTTTCTCTATGTCGGGGATTCGATCAAGCTTGAGCAGGGAGTCATCATATGCTGCTTTAAGCTTCTTAATAACACGACGCCTTGAAGCCTTCATCCATCGCTCTTCAAAGTTTGATAAGACATCGTATACAGATGGACCATCGATTCTGCAGTGTAGATCGTGCCACGGCTCTCTGGGACAACCCGTGGTTTGCCCCTATGACAAAGCCAAGTTCATGCTGTTCCCGTTCAGACATCATATGTTGTCTGCAATAAAGCTGTCTTTTTTCGTAGGCAAAGAAAAGGAGGCTATCACTCACCGAGAAGTTGGGATTATGATAGTCATCTTTATGAATAGAGTCCAAGGTGCTAAACAGAGGGTGCTGTGGGGTGTCGTATCTGCCGGTGCAGAGGTCGAGCCCTCCAAGAAACGCCACAAGCTTTCTTTTATGCGAGCTAGATTCGACATCTACCATCACGCATTTCTGATGATGTGTGTAGATTGTTCCTGCTTCCTGATGACAAAAACAAAGGAACATTAACAATGCATTACATAGAAAGTGTAATGAATGTGTGTGTTCATCTCTTCCTAACCTTATTCTTTGCCCAACTCCCCTTCCCCGAACTCCGCGGGCACAGCAATACTTGCACCGACGAATGCTTAAAGTACCGGCGAGTTTCGTCATCACCGGTGCCCATTACACCTTCCTGAACTTAAAAGAAGACAGGACAAGTCCATGCAAGATTTCTAACACAAACATACTATGTTCTTGCAGTTTCAGTTCATAAAGTAAAGAAAGCATATGATCATTACAGAGATGGTTCTTACAGTTCTATAGTACCCCAACAACGTTGTCGACGTGGGATCGTCCCATATAAGAAGCAACACTCTCACACCTTCCTGAGACTTAACCTTCAAAAGCTCCCCTAAATTGCTGCTTGGAATGTGAGGATCCTCCCTGACCAGCTGGACTAGATGAACAACAGACCATCCTGTGATATAAATAAGGCGACGAGCATCATATATGGCGTTGAAAATGTCACGCCAGCACGCATTGTGCGTGTAGGTTGTGCCATTATCCAGCTCCAATGTCGGAAGGGCTTCCTCATGCACGTGAGCATCTTGATACAGCTTGACGGTCCCTCCTCGCCGAAGCGGAAAATAAGTCCCCGGCACGCCCTGATGGTTAAAATCCGATCCCACGCCACCATGGTAGAGTGGCACTCTCTCCATTGGGATATACTGAATCGATAAGTCGAGGGAAGCCCCTCGACTGCTCGGCTTCCCGCTTGCCGTGATCAAAGGATAAGTGCCCTCAATTTTGTCGCCGGAGAGGAGAAGCTCGGCGGAGATTCCGACGCCGCCGATGAACTCCGATCCCACCACATCACTGTCCTTAACGCTGAACTGCACTTCTGAACCGTAATGTGCCACGGGGACATGGAAACGTTGGCTCCACACAGGATTCTCGTTGTTGTTGATGACAAAGGTTCTGGCAATGGTGGCGTTGGATACTGAGACCACAACATAAGGATCACTTGTTTCTCGTTTATGCTTTAGCTTTCCTGATACTCTGCCCAACATATTTCCAAGGCTTTTGTTCAATATATCCATGTTTGGAAGATTCTTGGCATGGTTCACCCAAATGTCCAAATTCCCGTGCAGCAAAACCACTCTTTGGGAAGAGGAAGAGGTTGGAGATGAACCGAACGGCACGATCTGACCGTCCGTTGGGGACTCACAGTTGGAATCAGAACATTTTACTTTCGTCATGTTATCGGCTAGCACCTCAATAAATTGAATTCAATGTATGTATGCATCAAGAATCAATCTTTCCTATAAGTGCTGCTTTCTGACCACTCTGCTTTTTAACGAAAACATTAGATTATATGAGCAGTGATCAAATGCAGCACATTTGAAAATAAGGGTATCTTCTTGTTGATTTCTAGCAAGGATAAAATGACTATATATCAAGAATCCGAAATAAATTAAAAAATCCCTCGAAATGAAAACACAAATGGAAACGATCAGCCCAGAAACGCTACTCCCCTAAACGAATGATTAATTACAAGGAGGAAGGGAATAACGTCGGACGAGGAAGGAGAGATAACAAAAGCTGCAGATGTACGTACATACATACATACATTCAAAGAAAAGCCTATTAAAAGTATCTGCTAACAGGCATTTTTCCTCAATGATTTTAAGATGAATGTATTTTTAGTAAATATAATCATCTAAAATGCATTTGCATTGTAACTGCGCACTGAGAATAGATGGCCAGCCAGGAGACCAAAGATCAATCCCTATGGTGATGGGACCGCCGTTGTTGTTGGAAAACTACAGTCCATACCCCGTTTTGCGGGACTCGACCAATTGCTCTATAGGGACCAAAATATACTTTAGCCAAAGTTTAGGGTCAAACTATAATTTATGTAAGACAATGGTCCAAGATCCAAATACATTTAGGCCCAAGAAAATAATAATGAGCCGACTGGTCAATACATCAGGCTCAATAGAAAAGGGCCAATCAGCACAGATTTGTAATATAAAGCCCATTGTAATGTAAGTCACAAAAATCCAGTTAATCCAAACATCTCAAGGCCCAAAATAAAGAATTATTTATAGCACGTGTAGTATCATTTTGCTACAGAAACAAGTCATCCCAATCCAAATCCATATCCAAGTCCAAGTCAGGCAAACATCATATTCATCCTATGGTGTAATTTGTTGTCTGAAGATTAAGAGAAGCTACGGAAGATTATGGTCACAGTCATAGTCATAGTCATACACAAGCACTATCTTAATTTCTCATCAATGAATTCTGAATTCTGAACCATTCATAGGCATACATACATACATACATGTTGTTCATCTCTTGCGCTTTGACTTGGCCGACTGAGAATTACTGTGCCAGTTGCGCTTCCTTTGGTTGATGAACCAATTGTTTATCTGCTTAAGCTGCAGCCCTGTCTGCTCCACAAGCTTCGCTTTGTCGTCCTCCTAAAGAAATCAAGAACATAAAAACATCACATTGCTTAACCGCCAGGCTACATCAATTTTAGTTTGTGAGTCAAGAACTAGACTAGACTACTTACAGTTGGATATGGCCACTTTGAGTGCTGCTGCCACCAATTCTTGAGTACGCATGTTGTGTTGCCTGGTAATTTTCCTGCCCGTCTTTTACGTAATATTTCTTCCCTAACGTCTTCTATTCTCGACTTGAATCCCTACAGGGGGGAATATCATTGCATCATTGGATGAAACTAAGCTGTGTATATTACATTACATTGGATGTAATAGACATATAAGCATACATACCTGTTTGAGCTCGATCTTCAGTTCCTGTCTTACTCTTTCCATTAAAGTCCTCTCAGATTCTGTGGGAAGCAATGGTCCGAATCCCATCAGGTCATTGCCTTCACCTCCAGATTGGTCCAATGAGAAATCCATTTGCAGATCATCCTCGTCATCCGACATTGTTGCACCAGTTCCTTCACCAAATGTGGCACCTGCACAACAATACACTCGTCTTCATTAGCAAACAGGAAGACTTCACACGGGATCGATTCTATCTTCCCCACCCGTTTCACTTTACAAGACACAAGCTTTACCACTCTGTAAATGCAAAAGCATAATTGACAGCATACTGTTTTCCATTTCATTCCATAGTGAAACTTAAAAACATTGCAACACATATTAGATTTACAGTATTTTTTAAAATGAAAATTTAAATACTTTTCAATTCAGACTGTGTGGTATGTTCTTTCTTCCACGTTTCATTGTCCAACTAACTTAAAAGAAAAATGAAAAGTAGAAATACAGAATACCACCAAACTAAATAAATAAACTACACCATCTTACCAACATCTTGTTGCACCAAACTGCCTTACAAAATCTCATTCTCAACTATCTTCCTTCCCACCCAACATATCCAGGCTAGCATATAATCACAAATGAACAAACTTCCCAAGACAAGCTAGTGTTATATATAAATATATATGTTTGGTATCTACCAGATATATTTCCAATTAAAGATAATTCCAACTATACTTTCTACCCAATGATTAAGTAATAGCCTATTATCTCTGAGTTCTTATTTCTAATCCAATCTAACGCAGTTCTTGTAGCTGCTACCAAATTTAATAAAAAATAATACTATGAACAACAAGGCACTATTATAAAGTTAACAAAATTAACAGCACAGAATAAATAATTAATAGTATACATATACTGAAAAAGAAATCAATCAATAAATAATGTTACCAGTGAGGGAATGCAAGTTTTGCTCAATTTCACGGCAGGCCATCACAGCTTCAACAGCATGTACTCTCACATGTTGCTGGAGCTGTTCCTTGAATGACCACAATACCATGAAATACTGCGTCTGCCACCACCATCAGATTCACAACAGAATCAATAAGAGTCTTTAGGTAAAAAAAATGAAACTAATCCAAGAACGCCTTCTCCGGACAATAATAAATTATGAACCCTACCAAGAAGTTGTCGAGTTCTTGTCTTTCCTGCGGAGAGAGTGGAATATAATTGGATGTGTTTTGAGCGTAAGAGCGCAAGATATTTTGAGACTGAGAGAGCTGATCATCAATGGAAGAAAGTTGATCAATCGGCGTGGCGACGCGTAGGCACGCCACGTGTGCAGACAGCAGCTGCGGATAAAGAGGGTGATTGGCGATCTCCACCTTCAGCTGGTGGTGTTGCTCGCCAGAAACCGCCGTCGTCATATCGCTTAATCCTCCCCCAGAGCCCATCTCCATCATGATTACCTAGTTTGGCACCATAAACAAAAGCTTTATTAGCTTTAAACAGCAGTACAACAGTGCGTTGGGGAGATTGCAGGTACTATCATGAATCATCCATAAAAGAAAAAAGAAGAAAATGGAAAAAGTGACAGTGATGAAATCAAAGCAAAGGAAAAAGAGGAGAAAAGAAAAAAGTTCACAAACGCGTGGGGTTACTGGCTTGAAAAAGCAACGTCGTGAGGGCCACTTAAACTAGGGCTTTGATCCACCACCCTCACACAATCAAATTTTTTCAAAACCGTTCAAATTAACATAGGGAAATCCAAAAGCAATCAAAATCCATCAGTTTTCTCGATACTGATGACAGATTAAAGCGAGCAAGACAAAGATATTGGGATCAGAGTATAGACATACAAATTTGCTGCTGTACCTTTTTCAGTTGATCAGCTGCAGACTATACTGTACGCATAAATATCACACCTCCTGCAACCTGCAAATCATAAATTTGTGAAGTAATTGCGTTTTGTAGCGCAGAAAAGATGAAGGTGAAGGCGAGGAATCATTACCAAAACGAGAAGGTGAAGAAGATGTCATGTCAACAACAAAAGCCTGCTGCACTGCCTCCACTATCAATGCCATTTATATTTTCCATTTATTATTATTTAAATTTGGGCGTCAGAAGCCCTGTCTTCCAAACTAATTAATCCCTCTGGTTGTTCAAGTCATAAATTAAAAATTAATAAAATATCGGTTAAGGAAAATCGAGAAAGCAAACTATTTTAGGGGTGACAAGGACATTTCACTCGATGGAAAGCACACACCGTACCTTATAATATTTTATTGTTACAATACTTTTATTTTTGTGAATTAGTAAGAAAATATTTTGTAGAGCATTCTGCCACATTGCTGGGAGATTAATCAAAAAAATCAAATAGAATTTGAGTACGTTTTAGGAAGCTTCTCTTTCTTTCTTCTTTCCCTTTATTTTGTAATTGATCATTGGAAAAAAAAAAAAAATTATAAAAAATGGAAACAGGTTGAGCAGTGACTGTCATCTTATCTTAAGCTAATAAATGACGTCTGACCAACAACTTATAATGCATAATTAATTTCTTTTTATAGTGCACAGTATCTGAAGAAATTTAAAGTTAAAATTAACAATAATAATCGTCACCATGCATAGACTAAAATTGTAGGAAGAACGGCTGGTAACTGTTGCATATGTAACGTGCGGTTATTATTATTATTTTTTTTTAACAAGCTGTAAATAGTCCAGAGAGAGTTTTATTTTATTGTTGGAACAGAAAGAAAAATGTGGTTTGTATCTACAACAAAACGAAAAGTTGAAGTAAGGGTGTAATGGTTAGTCGAATTACAGAGAGAGATTATATATACTGAATCACAATTTAGGAAACTGCAGGCACCATCACATTAGAGTGCACTTCTCTTTTGATTTTGAATCCTGCTTTGATGAGGAACTAGTGCTTGTGTTCGTGTACTTGCGCGAAGAAACCTGCATAGGTTTTTTGCTGAATTTGTAAGAATATTTGGAATAATAGCAATATAAAGGCTAATAATTGGAATGAATCACAAAAAAAATGACATCTAATAGACCAGTGTAAAAAACTAGCAAGATAACACGAAGGGGTATATGATAATTAAGTCCGTGAATGTAAGTAGGCATAATTTAGGAAGTTACTTGAGGACCAACAACCAGCTTTGAAGCTCCACCAATGGCTGTCTGCTGCATGTTCCGCTGCTGCTGCTGCTGTTGTTGTTGCTGCTGCTGCTGCTGCTGCTGCTCGTATTCCTGTTGTTGAAGAGCCATCGCCAATTGCAAATCGGAACTGCAGGAAAAGAAGACATTCCAAATAAAATCAGGTCAGACATAAAGCTGATAGAGCTATGCCAAGTCCAGTCCAGATGAATTGCTCCAGTGCTGGGCCATGCACAAATTGAAAGCACGGCAAACAAGTTAATGATTCTAAACAATATTGGAACTAAATGGCCACAATATTGTCTTCTATATGCAAACCATGCTAGAGAAGGTTTGGAGAATTACTTGAAACTTGAATATGCTTGATCATTATCCATGCCAGCTAGATAGTCCTGAAATGGAAAGAGTTGAGTTTATATCGAAGAACACTTGAGAATACATGGATGTTAGGAATTCGACCACTACATACTGCAGTGCATGCCATGGCATTCTGTTCATCCCATGTTGCATTGGAATGGTCATCCATCTTGAATTCCTTAAAGCTACTCGTCATGTATACAGTATTGCCATTCACCTAATTTTGTGACAATGGAGTTACAAGTCAAGATCTATAGAAATAAACGATACCTCTCTGCCCTGCTCAAAGGTGGTATACTTGGTAATCAAACCATTAACTCGGATTAAGTTGTGTGTCAACAATACCGGTCAGCCAAATTAAGAATCCAATCAAGTGAAATGAAGAATAAATACAATTGAGGTTCCAGTACATGCCATAACATAATTTTAATTTAAACATGCTGAGTATGAATGAAACAAGCAATATTCTATGACAAAAATATGAAAATTCAACTGAAAAACCACTAAAGCAATCATCAGGTCCATATAAGTGGTAAATGAAACTAAACATGAATGCTTCCTGATTATGATCATGAAGATGATCGGAACCAGCAAGTAACAGAAAACAGTAACCGTCTTAAATTGTCTTGCTAATTGGCAGTTTCCCATGAGGCATGGTGATTACATTTTCACAACTATAGCGTGCATATAATTTGATTTATAAGAGAAATCTCTAGGCATAGGAAAATGAGATGAAATTCCATGCTACAATCTCACCTCGTTAAGCTTTTCCCAAACCAAATCTGCCTGATTGCTGTAGCCTTGATCTGTTGCTAAGATGTACAACTGACCTTCATACTGGTATGAACTTATATTAGGGAGGGAAAGTCCCAATGATAAAGTATCAAACACAAATTTCACACGAAAAACAGAGAACATTCAAAATACAATTAAGAAAGAAAAAAACCAAACCCTGTTCCAACTGCCATAACTGATTCAAGTATAATCCCAGAAATAGAAAACTGGACGCATGATTGCATGATGGCTGCCAAAAATCTGCCAAAATCATACCTTTCTACGATTCAAAAACTAAAGTGTCTACATGTGGATTATCCACATCATTATTCCAGTGTGGAAGGGAGCTACAACTAAACACATTAAATAATATACATGCAACATGCATCAAAAGATATGGGGGATTATGGGTATTGAAAACCTATGCATCAGCCAAGACCAAGATCCTTTAAGCAATAAATCAGATGGGTATGAAGATAATATATAGGTATATATGTTAATAACTTAATAATACATCAGGAAATTTTTGTTTGGAAAATATCAGTTAAAATCTAGTCTCTAATATGTCATAAAATCAATAAATCTACCGCACAGTTGCATGCATCCCAGGCAGATAAGTTATGCCAAACTTATTTGTGAATTATTATATGAATGCCATGTACTAACCTTGAACATTGTGTTGAAATGATTATTCCTGAAAAACACACAAAGTTCACGTTCCTTCACTTTGTCTTGCAAGCAAAATAGGCTACAGAAGACAACCAGTAATCAGACCTGCCGAACAAAACTATCTCTTCAATCACAAGTGTGAGACACGAATATAGATATATACCCATATAATGTCAACTGACTAGCACTGATCTTCATAAAGTTCCTGATTATTTCACCTAATGAAGACAATAAGAGATATCAAATAAATTAGCCAAAATGTCATAACACTGAAACAAATTCATAAACAAAAGAATATCTCATACAATGTAAACATTTCGATGAAAATGATTGTCATATATTTAGTGCATCTTTACCTTGTTTAACAGATAAGGTTTCCTGGTTAGTAAGTCCATTTTCATCGATACGACCAATATCCCCTTGTTCCGCAATAACCACCTCACCTTCATAAACAGGTTCTCGATTTTCATGAGCTACAATCCCTGAGTCTAATATGCACTCCTCCCCTTCATAAATCGGCTCACTTCCATCAACACTGGTAGAGAAAGGTTTGGGTTCATCACCGGGATGTACTTGGCCATTGGATGAATTTGAATCAACAGCAGTATTCAATATATGAGACATATCTGCTGCTTTTCTAACATTTTGATCATCTCTTGGTTCATCTTGGACAGAGGTAGTAGCATATTCAACACCCCCATGTTCATCACTTAATTTATCTCCAGAGCTGTTTGAAGCAGATGGAAAATGATGCTCAAGAGACACTGGTTGAACCTTTCTATTATCGGTCTCAGTATCTTTAGCAACTGCTATGTCATCGGGTTTCTTGGATTCATCATAGGGAGATGGGTTTTGTATCTTTTCCTGATCATCCTTTGGGAAAGAACATTCGACTTCTTGTGAAGCTACATTTGGGGTACTTAGATCGACCTGGATATTGCTCTGAACATCTCCACCAGTGAAAGCAACTGTTTCAGTTTCCACAGTTCCGTTGGTAGCTTCTTTTTCACTATTTCCCAAACAAGTTGGCAGTTCAGACTTCTTGACAAATGCACTTTCATGGATGTTAACATCAGGACCTTCACCGCCCACTGATATATTGTCCCTTTCCACCTCCGACAATTTCAAGACTCTTAAGAGTTCTGCTTCTTCTTCTATGTCCCCTTTTCTTGCTTTAGGGGAGCACTCATCAAAGGACTGACCTCTTGAAAGACTAGGAGAAGGTACTCCAAGAGCTGCAGTTGTTGCAGCAACAAAATCGACATCATCATCATCTGGACTCTTTTTCTGCTTAATTTCCATATGTGTTTCTAACGAAACAAGCTCCCCCATGAGGGTGTTATATGATTTTGAACCAATAGCTTCAGCAGTTTCGTGATCCTGAAATGAATGCATCACCGTTTAAAGTTTATATCAGAAGCATATAGGAGTTACTCCTGGGAATTGAAACCTCATAATTCCAATTGCAACACTAAAACGATAAATACAGCATTTGAACATTCAATATGTTATAACCCTTTTTGGAAAGGGAGGGAAAGTGCCGTACCTGCGGGTCAACAATCCATCCATGATAAAGTGGAATATCCAATAAATCAAAGATAGCACATTCTCTTGTAAACTCAAAATCATCAATTCTGAAACAAGAAGCATTATCAGTCAGATCTATAATTGGTAGGCGGGGCCAATCCTAAATCAAACCATACCCTGATATTAGAAACCATTTTTTCCATTTGTCTTTATATATAGTGTAAAGAAAGTTCAACATACAAGCAATACAAGATTATATCCGATATTACAACCATATGTTTGGTAGATCATAATTAAGACGGAAAAAAACAAAAGCAAAAAAGTACAAGAATCGGATATACCTTCTGAATTTTATATTCACATCTATGCCAGTTGTAAGTCTAGGAAGTAAATCAATTGCATCAGCAATATTCTGTTGCTGATTTTCAACATAGCCAGAGTCTTTGTTCTGTTATCCAAATAAAACAGTCAAATTTAGGGCAAGGAAAATTACAACTAAGCAACATATTAGATCTAAATAAAAATGTGAATGAACTCAAAACAAGAATTTTCTTATCCACTTCATCATGCGGCATTGTAGTAGGAATATAATGCACAAAAAACTATTACGTCAATGTTACTGTTTGAATCAATCAAACGCTCAGCAACAAGAGACAGCAATTTCTCCTGCGAAACCTCTGGAATGTCAGGGCTCAAATTCAAACTGTTCTTAAGCGAAAGTACATTACCTGTCATAATATGAAACGCTACATTAGAGGAATGGAAACACAAAAACAAGAATCAGGTTCAGAAAAACAACAGAAAGTTTACTAGGATAACATCAATGCACAAGATCAATTGGAAAAACTGGGTTGTTCACTAAAAGCATAAAATAATGCATTGCCTCAAACTAGCCACATCTCAAACAAGCAAAGACAAGGCAAGTTGCAGATAGTCGGGACACATCCCGCCATTTGGTAAGAATCTGATGCCTAAAATTAAGCCTTGCTTACAAATACTTCCAAGACTTCCATGTATTTGAATTAAGTGTACAAAAATCTAACATAAGCATCGAGAACAAAATAATAGAAGAGTTGTGTCAACGCCACATTAGCATGCTGTCAATGTTTGGACCATATCACAGACAGCAATTTCAAGTACCATCATACATGTTAAACGAGTATCTTTAAGTGGAAACAGATTAAGATCAAAGGATTCAGGCTCGCTTCTATTAAATTTCTGAATCCCGCAGCATATTCAACTCAATCCACAGCTTACACCACAAGCATACCCTCATTCAACCCATGTTCCCGAATCGTTAAATTTATGCCAATTCGCCAAAGATAAATCAAAGTAACCAAACAAAATTACAGATAGCGAGGAGAGGGCAGGGGCCGTTGTCGTTTTGAAGAATAATAGGGGCCGTCCTCCCCAAAAACTGTATCACTTTTGTCCGGTGCATCATCTCCTTCTCGCGCTCATCCCGCTTCGCCGCAGTCTCCGTTGGCGGTGGGGCGGAGGTGGAGGTTGCAGCAGGCTGAGGCGGTGCCGCAGACGGAGAATCCATCTGTCACTTCCTTTCCCTTGTTTGATCGAAATCGGTTTTTACAGAATTTGAGAATCAAAACGTTTATACAAAGGCCGTGGTGGCAACAGCAGCTAGGGAGGGGCAATAGGAAAACTGATTTAAGTTAAAAGAGGCCGACATTTCGACAGCTGATAAATGAATTCTTTTTGACGGCAAAAACTAGTTATCTTACAAGGTAAGGATCAAGCCAAAACTGCATACATATTATTTAGGCAATTTATTCCAGTTTACAAAAAAGCATACATGGACCAGACATATATATATATTATTTAAAATGAAAGAATCAAATTGGACAGTCGTGGCCAGAGGGAAAAATAAAATACAAATGCCACGTTATGGAAAAAATATATAATTAACTTTATTATATTTCTTTAACAGGACATAATTTCTAAAACAAAATTTATGTATATTTATGAGTTAGTTATACAGACAATTAAACTTACTCAAAGAAAATTACTCCCCTTAAATATAGTTATAGCTTCACGTTGTAATATGGACTGTAGGAATTTGAATAGATATTTTATTTATTATTTTTGACAAAATTGCTCTCGTATACATTATTCACAGGCAGGCATGTGTATGTGTGTATATATGTATATTTACTGGAAGATTTGTGAGTCATGTCAGGGCAGGGAGCTAGCGGATCAAACTTCTTCCCAGAGATAGAGATGATGTTCCAACTTGTGTCTCTGCAATCTGCATTCATGAATTAATTCATTGTCAAAGAGATAGATGATCAGAGACGAATTCATTTGTTCTTGATTGACAGAGCTACAAAGCCTGAAGAATGAATATATTTTTACCTGAGAATCAGAACCAATAGGAGGGAAAGCATTCCAGAACCTCAGCGTCTCGTCTCCAGCTCCAGTTACAATTGTCTGAAAATGGAAAAATGCATGATGAGACACCTGTAAAAATTAATGAAGAAAGAAACAGTGGCCTGAACAGCAGACCTGGCCATCTGGCGAACTGGCGAGGTGAAGCACCCTCGACGTATGCCCGGTGAGCGTTGCCAACTGCAGCAAGGAAAAGGGACAGATCACAGATGGGATGCGTTGAAAATCTTGCAAATACAATTGTATGCACCTTTGACATTGAAGGATATTTCCACACTATGATTTGGTTATGAGAGTAACCATGGCAGCTCACGAGCTGATTCACATTCTTGGACCACCCGAGATTGCACACCTGCATACATATAGATGTGGGAATTGGGATTTCAATAAATCGAGATAGCTTTAAATTTCAATGATGCTCGCTACCTGGCTCCCCGTATCCGTACAACTAAGGCTGCAGCGGGAATTGGAGGGGGTGTTCCAGAAGCGGATGCATCGATCTGCAGTGCCACCGCCGGAGGCCAGTAGTCCGCTTGTGTGGGGAGACCAAGCAATAGCTTTGACAGCACCGGTGTGTTTGCAGTACTTGAGCACAGGCTGTGTCGAATGCCGGTTCCATATATAAAGCTATAGGGAAAGGCATTATTCGTAATCCAAAATGATTATATAGGGAAGCTAACTAATTGGACCAAGTGTTTGAAGAAAAGACTAACCCGATTGTCGTTTCCACCGGATGCTAATTCACGGTTGTCGCAAGACCACTTCAATCCACACACCTATGCACAAGTAGAACATGCTAAGATCGATTACAGACAAGAGAATTCAAGAATTGACTGACCTCTGATTTATGGGCATTGAGTTTGCTAATGTAGTCTTCCTGAGTTCTTGCATCGCGCTGAAGAATGCTCTTGTCCCGACTTCCTGAAGACAGCAGCGTCGGGCTCCAGGCAAGGGTACTAACTCGGGAACGATGGCCCTCCATGGTTCTAATTCTCTTGCATTCAAAAGTATCCCATAACTGCTCATCACAAGATTATAGATTGTGTTACCTTACCAAAACAAATTGTCAACACACTACAAGATAATTCTACGACAACATAAACCTGAAGCAATGGATAAGGCATGCTGTATAAACAAACAAAACGATCTTGAAATGACCTAAAATAAATACCTGAATTTTGCCATTTCTAGTTCCAACAGCAAGATGTACTCCGTGTGGTGACCAATTAACCGAACATACTTCATCGGTCCCCAAGTTAGACAGAGTCTCAACCTGTATAACAAATTGCAAAAATATTACTACTTCATTTCTAGTAAAACTTATCAATGACAGATTCCAAAACCAAATCAAAGATCTCACTGTGCCGGTAGAACCATGCCACAGGTAAACATGGCTGCCTAGCCCCACGGCCAACACATTTTGTGACGACCAATCTACAAGGTTTTGATAAAAATCATCTTGCAATCCAGGAGCATCCAAAATCTGCCACAAATACCAGAAAAAAAATGCCTAACTTTCTTATCACGAGCTCTATCGAAATTCGAAATATTCCTTATATATATATATATATATATATCAATAAACAACCTATAAATTTTAACCTCGAAGAAACAATACAAAACCAAAACTCTATGTCAAACCAAGAAAGTCCATAAATTCAAGAAAGGTTAAAATGTAATATAGAAAGCCTCAAATTTCCAGAAAAACTTACCTTCCGCGGTGATGTAGGGATTTTTGCTTCGGTAAACTTAGACGCCCCAAAAAATTCATCATCAAGCTCAAACGAGGGCAGATAACTCGTCGATTTTCTGGTAATCTTGAACTTAAATATATTGCGGTTTGGAGAACTGTTACAACCATTCGAATCCCCAAACAATGAATTTTCGGGAGTCGGCGGCTCAAAAAGAACAGACCTCAAACGAGCAATGTAAGCGGAATGTGGGGAATTAGGAAGGTTGAAAAGATCGAAATTCGAACAGGAACGGCTGGGGATGAAGCGGTCACCGCAGATTTCACGTGACGATGAACGTCGGAGGTAGGAATTGTTTAGAAGCTTCGGTGTTTTAGATTCAATGTCTGACGTACTGGTAATGGACCTTTTCATACTCCCCCGAAAATATTCGTCTTCGACTTCAAGAAGCGAAACCAGACGGCGGCGGCGACAATACCGACTGATCGCTCGAAGGTTTAATAGAGGAATTGCGACGTTTCCCGGAATTTATATAAAACAAGAGTCAAAAATACTGCGGGAAACTTATTAATGGAAATTTATAATATGATAGGTTATTAGTATTAATAAAAATACGGAATCTTATTAAACCAAATACACACGTACACTCCAATTAATGTCGATTTTAAAAAGGTAATGGTTCAACAACAAAGTATGTTCTAAAGATCTAATTAGATATTTCTTCGAATTTTATTTGATTGTTGCATTCATTTTCAACTTAATTAGTATTGAATTATTGGAATCATAAGATTACATGAAATCCCAAGAAATAATAACAGTCAAAGCTGCAGCTACTTGTTACTATTATATGTAAATAAAATCCAATAACATCCAAATTTGAATTCTACAGTCTAAAAATTTTATTTATTTTACCAGATAGATGAGCAATCCAGAATACATTACGAGGATCACACACTATAGGAAGAAAAATGATATTTCACGAACAAGCATAATAATTTTAGGACAAACACATGAGCTTGAAGAAGATGAGTATATATATGCATCAATGGAAGTTGACGGAGGAAGAGTAAGTGAGGCCGACACGCCAATTAGCGGGGGCGACATTGTAGGCGACGACAGTTTCATGAGAGGTGTAAGAAGTGAGCTTAAAGGAAAGGGCTTGTCCGGCGAGGGTGGCGAAGGCCTGGTAAGAAGCACCCCAGTTGTGGCTCATGCTAACCCATCCATTCATCTTGCTCCCCTTCACCCACATGCTCGCTATGTCGCCCCCTCCGCCGACGTTCATTACATACACCAGCAGCCAGTACCCGTTTCCTTGGAAGGCGAACCTCAGCCCTCCTTTTCGGACACAGGGAACCCTAATTAAATATTTTAAATTGAACCAGGATTCAGTTATATATACACGTTATTGCAGCAATGTTGCATTGCATCATCTTTAATTGATATAATTGATTTCTGATCATTAATCTGACCTGCGATAGTTGACGGGGACGATGCCGGCCTTCCACTGGGCGATCTTCATGAAGGCGGGCTTGGCCATGTCGAAGTGGACACGTGGCGGGTTGCACCACCCCCCGTTGTTGGAGTCCTGCGCCCAGTTGGGCGGGCAGAGGTTGGTCGCCGTCACGGCGGTGATCGGCGACCCTTTGTAGCACCACTTGGAGTTGACGCACCGCAGCTGGAAGCACTGCCCGCAACCGTAGCCGTTGTTGAACAGTACCGAGCTCAGCGCCGCCGTCGCCGTCCCGTACCCGTTGCTGAACAGGTTCCCGTAACCGCACGCGCCGCCTGTAATAAGGTCATATATATTTCCATGTAGGTTAATAAAAAATTAGTACTAATATGTATAGTTACTAATTAATTACACACCCATGGTCTCAGAAGCTGTTTCGTCGCCGTAAAACGTAGCGTAGGCGAGCTTCCAAGCGGTGGCGTGAAACGCCGGCGGCATGGAATATCCGGCGGCGGATGCATTCCCGGCGGCCAGCGCTGCTGCCACTATAAGGACGAGGGTGAGGAGCCATAAACGTCGGAGAGAAGCCATATATAGCTCTGAGTTCGCTAAGTCAGTAATTCATATGGTCTGTCTGAAAATGTGTACAGGTGACACTACCGGCCATGTGTGTTGTGTATGTATATATACCTTAAATCAGAGTTACTACTGGCAGCGTGACAGACGTGGTCCTCACTAACAATTTGGGTTGAAGTTTTAAGTCAAATAATAGAAAAAATCGACATTGATCAAACCAATTATTAATCATCATAAATTTCGTAGTCAAACATTTACTGGTCCTAATAGTGACATCCAAACGTGGAGGCACAAAGACGTGACATAAATCAATTACTATATTGGAAGAATATAACAACATCCAAAGAGTAACTGGACTTTCCATAGGAAATTGGAAGCATTCATAGTGCCTTAAAAGGACAAAGGGAGGGTTGATTATCGTCTTCTTCCATCTCTGGTCTAATTACTCAAAGTTGACCTCCGTCTGCAAAGGTTTGTCCAGGCAGAAAGCTTCGAGATTGCTCCGAACCAGGTCGGCAAGAGCTGCAAGCGAGTCTGGAGTTAGGACAGCTCTGTGGGGAGACAAGACCACATTCTCCAGCTTCATCAGCTCGTCGGGAACATGAGGTTCGTTCTCGAACACATCGAGTCCGGCGCCGCCAATGTCGCCCCTCACCAAGAACTCAACCAGTTCCTTCTCGTCGATGAGGCCCCCTCGCCCCACATTGATTATAACACCGCTCTTCCCCAGCGCCGTCATTACAGTGTGCTCAACTAAATGGTGTGTTTTGTCGGTCAATGGACAGCAGAGGACCAGTACATCTACATTTGATGCAAGATCGACGATGTTGGGATAGAAAGGATACGAGACACCGGGTTTGATCTTCCTTGACGTGTAGGCTATGGTGCAGTCGAATGCTTCGAACCTCTTGGCGACCCTCGTGCCGATGCTCCCGAGCCCCACGATCCCTATGCGCTTTCCTGTCACCTGAAATTAATCGATCGATCGATTGATTGATTGATAAGATCAAATCAAAATGTAGAATTGTTATTATTATTATATTTGTCGTAACATTGATTTTCTCAATGGATTGAAATCTGAGCGGAACGGAATATTCGGAAAATTAAGGGGGTTTGATATGTGGACCTTGGACCCGAGAGCGAACCCGGTTTCGAGAGGCCAGAACCCGGCCCGAAGAAACCGATCTGATGCGGTGAGGCGTCTCAGGACGTCGATTGCAAGGCCGACGGTGTAATCCGCGACGTCATCGGAGAACACCTCTCCGGCGCTTGTGACGCGGACGCCGCGGCGGCGGCAGGCGTCCAGATCGAAGTGGTTGAGCCCAGCGCTGGAGCCGACGATGCACTCGAGGGCCGGGTACCGAGCCAGGTCCTCAGAGGTGACCGGCGTTGGCCCCCAGCAGAGCATGAGCCGCGCGGCCTTGGACAACGCCGGGAACGACGGGTGCGGCGGGTCCGCCCGAGGGTCGAGGACGACGAATTTCGTTTTGACGAAGGGGAAAATACTGAAGGCGGACGCCGATGGTGGGCCGTGGAAAATAAGCGAGGGGCGCCCTTCTGATTCGTGTTCCTCGGCGGTGTTCGCCATGGGAGCTGGAAACGAGAGAGACTGGTGATGTTAACAAATTTTGTATTTTCTTTGTGTAGAATATTTGGTCGGTAAAGATCATTTTCGTGCGATTTAACTATAAATAATTAATTTTTTTATTTAAACGATCACTTAACAATTATTTTGTCCCGGCATAATAAAATACAATAAAAAAACATGTAAATAAATAAGCCCTAATTTTTTACACTTATTGAAAGAATCAATTCATTACTATAACTGTATCATGTATAAAATTCCTAATATTAACAACACACGATAGAAAATAAAATAATACTTACATCAATTATATTAATAAAAGGCAAAATAGCATAAAATTCCCGTTTCACAAAATTGCTGAAAAATTCTTTGCTTTTAAAATTTTAAAAAATCTACTTGTGTTTGTAAAACGTTCCATAAAAACTCTCCTCCCTTAGAATTTAACGGAGAGTGTATGTTACACGCCTTAAAATGCGAATTTTGGTCCAAAAAATGATAAATTTGTACGTGAAGTTACTAAAATGACTCTATGACTTTATTATATGATTTTTCTCTCGCCTAAAATTCAATACAGCTTAGTTTATTCCAATGTCTTCTTTTTACCGGATTGTGCAGGTTCAAAATTCAGAATATATTCAATTCAAAAAATAAAAAAATTTGAAGTGGATAGATCAGGATCTCAATCGATATTCATAAAATGAAGGCGCACAGAACTTAGTAAAATCAATAGAGAATTGTGAATTTTCATCTTCTCCCATATTTATTAATTTAGGTTTATTTTTTATTTTTGCAAATATTTTTAGGTTAAATTTTAGGAGCAAATAATTCATAATTGGAGAATACCTTGGTGCGGAAGAAGAAGTAGAAGAAGGAAAAAAAAATATTGGGAGGAAGAAGAAGAAAGGAAAAAATTGGGGGGAAAAATACCTGATGCGTGCGGCTGCGGTTGCGGCTGAAAAAGAATTGAGAAAAAAAATTGGGGAAAATAAATAAGAGAAAGAATCTGGTGTGGCTATCCAGTGTGAAGAAAAATTGGAAAATGAGAAGAATGAACTCAAACAATTATGACTCGTAAGAAAGAAAAATATTTTCCATAAATTGACTGACTGACAAACAACTCCAGCCCATTTCGGCGATCGGCAGCGGTGGCAGTTTCCAGCAGCTTCCTTCCTCGGCGAACAACAACGGGTTAATACTTCCGCCGACGATTTTTTCACAGATTTTCTGAAAGAAAACTACAGAAAAATAAGAAAAGAAAGGAAGAAGAAAAGGATGGGAGTGGGCGTGGGCGTGTAGGAGAAAATTGAAGAAAAAAAAAGTAGGGACATATAAAAGGGTATAACAGTCCATTACGATAGAATTTAACGTTAGTAAAGTTTAGAGGGAACGGACGAGTGTGCAATTTTTTACAAACCACAAATAAACTTTTTGAAGTTTTAAAATTAGGAGGAATTTTCAGCAACTTTGTAAACCACAGAAGAATTTTATACTATTTTACCTTAATAAAATATTAAATACAATGCACCGATATATAGTATAAATATAAAATATACTTCTTTCTTCCATAGTTATATTAATAGAATATTAAATAAAATGCACCGATAATAAACTATACAGAGGCAGACTATGTATAGCATAAATATGAAATATACTTGTTCCGTCAAAATTTTTTTTTGATGTTATGATATTATTATAGGATTAGTTAATAAAAATATTAATATATATATACACGTATTAAATGTATATGTAATATAATATATATATGTGCATGTATGTATATGTATGTGAATTGCGAGAATCAAATCAACATGTAGAAATGAATTTAATAGCAGGTAGGAGAAAATTTAATGCGAGAGGAATGAAAATTGATTGTAATAGAATTCAGACCATGCATCCCCTACTTATACTTGTGGAAGCCTCCACACGATGGAAAAAGAAAAGCAGCCACATGCGCTACTTAGGTGTGTTTGTTTGGTTAGTGGATTTGTGAACATTTTGAAATATGAATTTTTAAGTTATGTTTGTTCGGGAGTTTGAATTTTATAATGATTATATTGGAATAAATTATTTTTTTATTGAAAAAATAATATATTAATGTGATAGTTTAAAATAAATAATATTTAAATATTGCTATAAAAATTATAAATAATAATGGTAAGTGTGAATTAAATTTTAATTTTAATTTTGGACTAATTTTATGTTTGTTTCTTTTATTTTTTTCCAGATTTCCATATATTATTTTTATCAAATTTCGTCATATTTTTTATATTCATCCACAATTTTCACATAAAAATATCAAATTAAATATATATTTTTTAATTTTTTATATTATATAAAAAATTAATTTTATATTTAAAATATCAGATCTAACATTTATTTATCTCATATAACACCACTATTTTCATTCAAATTTTTTTATTATTTAACTGTCAACTAAAAATCTAAATCTAAACAAACCCAGATACATTTTTTTTTTCATTTTTAATATATTTTAATACTTTCTAATTTTTTAAAATTTTTAATTAAAGAATTTTTACTTTTAATTTTGATTTTATTTATATATATTTATTTTTTATTTTTTATAAAAATTATACAAATAATAAATCTGATTATTTTAAGTAATTAAATTAAATTTAAATTAGAAATCAATTATAAAACATGTCTGCCCTATTCTTGCAAATGAAACCGCCGCCGTCACCGTAGGTTATTCCCTTCTTCTTCCCCAATTCTCTGATTCCTTTCTCCTCCCTTTCATTTATTTTTTCTTCTTCGCCCACCGTTCCCACTCCCACCCTGCCGCTCCTTCACTATCCGACTCCCACCCTGTTGCTGCCGGTTTGAAGAGACAGTTTATAGTTCAAAGAAAAGAGATGCCAATTTCGATTCGAGAACAATTTTGGTATCGGAACTACCGGTTTGAAACCGGCTCCCACCTTGCTGTTGCCGGTTTGAATTGCAACCAATTTCGGTTTTGGTTCGATGACGATTCCGATTTGAAACCAGAGAACCGGCGGTTCAATAACCAGCGAAACGAAGCCTATTGAGGATTTGTCTCCGGCAACCGACAATTTCGACTGACAAAAAAAAAAAAAAAAAAAAAAGCTAGGGTATAGGGAAGAAGTGTAGGGTGTAGGGTGGGATTTTGATTTTAAATTCTGTACAGTAATTGTATAGTATTTTGAAGACCTAATCCTCCAAACGAACACACCGTTGTTTCGTATCATTACGTTTACATTTTATAATACTCTCCCTCGGATGCTTTTTGTACGAAAAATGTGTCCAGTTAAAACCTTGTTAAGAAAACATCTGTGGGACAAAAAATCACAGGAAAAACGAAAAAGAGTACAATATTTTTTTATCGATTCGCTCCCACTGATTTGAGTATTATTTGAGATTTCATCCCAATTTTTTTCATCAGTTATTCAAATGTTGGCAATGCCTTGGTTAATATATCCGCTAAATTATGGTGAAATATGTTTCGTTCTAGCCGTATCAATTTTCAAATATGTTTCGAATTTGTTGTACATTAATTTCACCATTCTGCAGAAGAGCACGAGTAAAAACGAATTTTTGTGAAATATGTTTCGTTCTAGCCGTATTATCTTCGTACAATGTAGTTGAGGGAATTTTATCATCAGGTATTAACTTACAATTTTTTAGAATATGTTGAGTCATTGACTTCAACCAAACACATTCTCGCTTCATGTATTGCCAATATTTCATCATCGATCTCCAAGAGATCACTGTTTCTGAGACTTGACTTTACAAGGATCAGATAAAAGAGTCCTCACTTGTACGACACTCCAGTTTTGAATCACTAAGACACTTTTTTTGCCGAGTACATCTTATAGTTTTCTTATTTTTAGCAGGTATTGGAGTCGTGTACGAAGCTGCACTAGCGAGTTCTCGAGAGAGTCGAAGAATCGCTAGGCTGACGGGGAGGTGTTCGAGGAGGAACCATCCGACCCGTTACAAGTGGTATCAGGTATCAAAAGGTAAAATTTGATTTTTTCAAAATTTTTATCTCAAACTCATTTTTTTAGATATTCAACTTTCTGTAATTTCATTGGAAGTTACAATTAAATTGATGAAAAAAAAAAAAAAAAAACAGCCACTAAGTAGTTGATTCGTATCCCTACATGTACATTTTGTAACATTTTGATCATTTTTGCGGCGGTCTATTTGAAAGTATTCATTTTTTACTGAGACATGAGATATCGGCGTCGAGTTTATGTAAGCTTTGATTTTAAGGCACATCCGGATGTGTAGGGGATGTGCGATGCGGGCAGGGGTGCAAACAACAATAGTGATGACAAGAAAGTGCAAGCAGTTACACACAAATATTCCAGTAATAATTCTAGATATAGTTAAGAACATTTCTAATGTAATGTTCCCCAAAGTTGTAATGATTGTGTTGGGATTGTAATTTATTATTAACTAAGACAAAAGGAAGCATACCAAAAACAAGAACCATATGATTTCTGATACAGTTTCAAAAGTGCAATAGCCTGGGAATGAATTGAAAAGAATCACTCTACACCAATTAACTAATCAAAGAAATTAAAGTCAGGACTGGGAACCATTAATTACGGACTCAAGAACTTGAACTACCTCGGCCATACTTGGCCTTCTTGCTGGGGTTTCAGCAGTACAAATCAGTCCCAGCCTCATCACTTGAATCATCTCATTCTCCGGAGAACCTGACAAGCTTCTGTCAATGGCGTCCAAAGCATTCCCTCTCTCCATCGCCTGCTTAGCATAGTCACACAAAACCACCACTTCATTGGCAGCCAGGCGCTCCACCGGCATCCTCCCTGTCACCAACTCCAAAAGAATAATCCCAAAACTGTACACGTCACATTTCTCACTGATTCCTGAGCTCTGAGCCAGCTCCGGTGCTATGTACCCAACTGCATTTTGAATATTTGCGAACCCGTAACCATTTCTTAAGGGAAGCAGCTTCCTCAGCCCATAATCAGACAGCCTGGCTGTGTAGCTTTCATCCAGGAGTATGTTGTTGGATTTGACGTTGAGATGGAGAATAGGTGGCTTGCAGTCATGGTGAAGGTAAGCCAGGGCTTTAGCCACCCCTACTGCAATCTGAAACCTTCTTTGCCAATGCAGCTCTGGATTACCCGAACTCGCACTGGTGCTGGGATAACCCTGTCCATGCAAGTTATCATATAGATTCCCTTTCGGGATATATTCGAACAGGATTAAGTGAGTGCTTGAGGACCAGTAATAGCCCTGAACAGCAACAAGATTAGGATGCTGAAGGGTCCCCAGCCGTCCTATTTCCTGCTCAAATTCATCCTGGCTTCTGATCCTTCCCAGGGTTGCGAGTTTCTTCACTGCTAACAAAATATCGCCTCCAATGGAGGTTTTGTATAGTGTTCCAATGGAGCCTCCGCCTATCAAGCATTCAGTGTCGAGCAAGGCTTTCGTCCCAGCCTCCCAATCTTCGTGTTTTGAGGGTATGCTTTTGTTGAAGAGGACTAATTTACCTATTATTGCATCTGACCCTGTCGAAGAAGCTAAAGGGGTGCTTTCTATAACCATAGCCTCATCTTCTTCCATTCTCCTCCCACGGAACTTCATGTTGATGATTGTTATGATGCAAACACCAGTGATGATTGAAGTTGCAGCAACTATAGCTATTATTGCAGAAACACTTAGCTTTGATTTTCTTGCATGGCGTGATGCAGTGCCGCAAGAGTTTTCCAAAGGAGCGCCGCAGAGGCCAGGATTGTGAACAAAAGCAGAGGAGCCAAACTGCTGAATGCTTTGGGAAGAAGGGATTACACCAGAAAGATTGTTGTAAGAAACGTTGAAGTAACTTAAATTCTTCAAGTTTTCCAGTGTAGAAGGAATTGAACCAGACAGTGAATTGTCTGAAAAATCTAAGTACCGGAGGTTCCACAAATTTCCAACAGCCACTGGAATGCTTCCACTTAGCTGATTGTGATTCAGGTCAAGAATTTCCAGGTACGTCATGTTGTCGAGGCTCTGAGGAATCCCTCCCTCCAACGAATTCCCGGAAACATCCCTGCAAGCACATTAGATGCTCACACAATTCAAACAGGTTGATTTTAAAATTTTAACAATTGAAAATGAGAATTTGACTCACAGCTCAAGAAGAAACTGGCAATTACTGAGTTCGTCAGGAATTACACCACTAAGTCTGAGGTTCTGTAAGTCCAACACTTGAAGCAATTCTATACCCCCAAATTGAGGAGGGATTGTCCCTTCTATGGAGTTATTTGCTAATCTAATAACCAAGAGCTTTTTCATATCACCAATGTCAGCAGGTATGCTTCCATTAAGCCTGTTAAAACCCAAATCTAAATACTTTAGCCCACTGCACTTGGTGATGCTTGAGGGAATCCCTCCATAGAAACCATTCCCTGAAACATCAAGAAATTCCAATGTTTCGATGCAGTTTGCCATGTCTGGAAGCTCACCTTGAAACCCATTCCAGGAGACGTTCAAGTATGCAAGATTGGCTTCTCCAGAAACCTCCAATGGCGCAGCCCCGGTGAAGCTATTGCTGCCAAGATCCAAGAACTCCAATCCAGTGCATTTCAAAATCTGCCCTTGAACATTTCCAGTAAGCAGATTACTCCTCACTGACAAGTATGCCATCCCTGGAATGTCACACAGTTCTGCAGGCAACTCTCCACTGAGAGCATTGAAAGAGAAATCAATCCCTTCAAGATTCAGACAATTACCAACAGAGGGAGGGATTGGTCCTGAAAGGTTGTTATGTGCCAAGGAAACAAACCTTGTCCTGCCACAATTTTTGAACAATGCCGAAGGGATCTCTCCGGTGAACTCATTTCTTGACAAATCTAGAAACCTTATGTTGGGCAAATCCCCAAGAAATTCTGGGATTGATCCAGAAAGTGCATTGGAGCTCAAGTTGATCTTCCACAATGTATAAATCTGGCCATACTCAGAAGGGATGTTGCCGGTGAACCTATTCCCAAACAGGGTTATAATCCTCAGAGATTTCAATCCAGACAGTGCTGGAGATAACACCCCACCAAGACTAGTGTTCCAGAGCAAAATCTTGTCGACATTCCCATTTGTATTACAAGACACCCCATTAAAATCTTGGCAGGGGTTTTTACTTGGATCCCAATCCCTCAAACTACCATAAGGGTCATCGGAAACATTGCCCTTGAATTGAAGCAAAATCTCCTTTTCAGTAATTGGCGAGACAAATGTCAGAAACTGAAGCATACAGAAGAAACGAAGGAATACAGGGCAGTGGAAAATTTTATCTACTATTCTCATTATCCCAATATGACCCCAGCATTATACTTGCTTGATCCAATTCTACTGCCCTTTCATTTCTGCCTCTGCCCACAAGCTAATTCGCCTCCGTAAAGCGCACTGTTTCCGATGTTGGAAAACATGACAAAATTGAGCTGCATTGTAAGGAGCCAACGAGATAAAAATAATAATAATGATAATAAAAGAACCCAAATAAATGATAATAGTTATAATAACTTGTATCTTCACTCTAATGCCTCTGAAACTTTGGTGAAAACAATGAACTTGGAACTCTGGGAAAGGATGGACTTTATTTTGTTTCTAGGGTTTCAAGAATGTATAATCTAGTCAACGAATGGTCTGTGTGTGGGTGTTCCTGTGAGAGTGAGAGAGTGAGAGAGACACTGCCAGGGAGGAAATGAATGGAAGAATACCCAGCTTGGCTGGAAAGGGTAGCATGTGTGGGGATTAAATTAATTAATACCAAATTCCCGTTTGATTCCTCTGACTGTTCTGTAATAAAATGTTTATATAATTACCTAAGCCAATGCGATTGTGGAGGCGTGAGACAGAGCAGTTGTTGCCTCATGCCATGTGGTCCTGTCCTCCACGAGGATGTATGTATGTATGTATATTGCACTGTGAAACCCTCCCTCCCTCCCTCCCTTTCAGGCACTGCACATACATACATGTCGTGTCCTTCCTTAATTACATCATCACCCACACAACGCAAGCTCATTAAGAAACAAGAAAACAACCCATTCTGTCTCACGTAAGCAGATATTGCCATTGCACTCTGCTTTTAGTGAAGGGTCTGTTTCAGCACAGTAATGCTGCATTTATTCACTACAACCACCAAGCCACATCACCAATAATTGCTAGACACACGCCCTGGAAATAAAAGCAAGCTGTGCTGGCATAACTAAACCAGCATTCATCCCAATTCAAGTTTGTATTTTTTATCAGTTTTTGATATAGAAATGACACCGATTGTATTGAATGCCATTCCTTCACATTTACAGTCTACTTTTCAATAAAAGATAGTGTAGAATCCAAAACTCTTCAAGAATAGACAACTTCTCCGAAATTCAATCCAACTATATACGGATGGTAGAGTTGTTCAATTGTGTGCATGAGCATAGAACATTTGAGTCAAAACATCACAGACAATGTTCTGCTTCATCCAACAACAGAATAAATGCAATGTTAGTTTCATTAGCTGCAATGTGACTTTCACTTGTAAAGAAAGCCATCTCGTCCCAGAAGATCCAATTTCTTCCAATACAGTTCATATATATGTATGACCTTGCTTGGCAGAGTATTCACTGTCCAAAGCTTGATCGAGTCGGAGAATATATGAGTAAGATCACTGCAATAATCGCTCCTCTTGCATCTGCAACTCCTTGATTCTTCTTTTCGCATATAGTGTGATTATCACTGTCGTGGCCACGGTAAGAGAAAACCCAATGACGTTGAAGATAATCTGAGGAGCTGACAGGGATTGCCCGTCCTGTGAAGCATTGGCTAGAGTCTTGATAAGTATGCCGCTGCAGATAAACAAACATACCCATGAGTCAGAAGAAACTCAACTTTACACAAGAAGACACAATTAGCAACTGCAGGCAGAGTGATTCTGCAAGCTTATACAAGTTGCTATCTGATAACGATTCTCTTGAACTAATTTTGCAACAAAAAGGAAAACAAAATGAAGAACAAACAACGAAACATATTCATTACCAATAGAATCAGACTGACAATATGCACCATATCACACCAGCAATCAAAAAGCATTAAGTTTGACACAATCTGAAGTACATAATTACACAGCAGATGATTTATCACCAAAAAATTTCAACATAAAGGAGAAAGACCAGAAGATTCATCAATTGGAAGAAAATACTCTTGAGTTAGAATTTGCCACAAGCCCACAACCTAAAAAAATACAACAAACATGATGACTACATGTGCATAACAAACATATTGACAGGGAGGTATTGAAGTGTGTTCTAGTCTAAACCCTCAAAAGTAATCCATAATATTTCGCAAAACAGAGATTTACAGATATACAGATTTGTGCATGGGCAATAAACAGGTAGAGAGAGAGAGAGAGTGAGGAGAAATCTCACGTGTACAGTGCAACAAATATCTCTGGTATCATTCCCACCAGAGTCCCCAACAAATATGGGACATACTTCACACCTGTAGCAACAGCGCAGTAATTATATACAACATAAGGAAAAGGAGAAATCCTAATCAATGCAACTGCTCGGAACTGATTGAACCAATTGCCCTCCCCCGCAAGTCTTATGATGGATGCTTTCTTCGGGTACCTTTCTAACCACACCTACAAGGCAACACACACATTTGTAAAATATACTTACTCACCAAGTATATAATCTCTGAAACAATATGGATGATGAAATACACACTAACTTGGATTTTATGATAGAACAGCAAACCGATGAAATATGGAAGAGTGACACCAAAAGGTACTGCTCCAATGATCAGCAGAAAACCATAACCATATCCAAATGTCATCCCGGCCACCCACATGGATGGCGTTGAAGGAATTAGAATGGTGGGAAATATTGCCAGAGTACCAAAAACTAAGATCCCTATCACGGCTGTGCTGAAAGTCTTCCTCTCCCACACTATTATGGGTATGATCTCCTGAGAGAATGCATCATATTCAATGAGACAACAGAGAAGTGCTGCTAAAATTGAAAGTGATCAACTGATGAAAACCGGTGATTAATATGTTACTGAGAATTGAATAAGAAACAGAAGAAAAATGTGCTACCACAGGACATGTGTACATCTCATTCAGAATTGGATTGGAAACATAGCTACAGTTTATTGGATCAAAATGAAAACCAAATTTAGATAAAAGAATGAAAATATCAATGTCTAATATCAAGATGGTCCAGCAGGAGTTCAGCCTCCAGTCAAAGGATCAGATATTATATAATTCGTATAATTGCATATTGTGTTTAAGTAGCAATTCAAAGTTTATCACTAGTAAATGCATTACAAAACTACCTCTTTCCAAGGATCATTAGTGAGACCATATTGACAAATTGCTGACTCCAGCTAAAGAACTTCCATTCAAAGATCCAATATTTGAATTGATGGATAAAATGTACCCGCTAAAACTTAAAAGATAATACTTTCCTCAGCAACAACAGCAATATAAGTTTAAAGGGTTAAGGGCCATTAAGAAAGGAGGAAACTGAAGCAAAACAAAGAAGAAAAAAGAATGCAGAAGCAGAAGCAGAAAATAACAAATATAGAGGCGTCATGTTGTAATACAGACAATATATCAATTTAACAAATCAAGACAATCAAATTCTTACTCTTACCGCCGAACCGAAAACACCAATAGATTGACGGTTTCGTGCCTCACCTACACTTACTCCAAAAATTTGAAATTGCCACCAATTCATTTAAACAAGGATGGGTAGTTACTTTCACAATCACCAATAACAGATCAAATATATGAAAAATTAATCCAATGCCCCAACTAGTATAGATCATAAAGTCCATTGATTTCATGCATTTTACAACAATTCTTGAAACTGGCTAGGAAGAAACAATTCATACTCGGAAAGTTGAGAACAAAGTTTAACCTTATCCATGAAAAAGGGTCCAATCCACTTGAAGAAAACCAAACCCAATACGCCAACAAATAACACCACCAACACCAGCTTTGCCCACCACCACCATCCCCACCACCACCCTCCCCCGTCGCCAATGACATCGCTTCCGCCTCCACAACAACCGGACGTCGACGTCTCCGCCCGCCCCTGGGCCCCTTCTGCACCGCCCTCCTCCAATCTCACGTAACCCTCCCCCAGTATGAGATCCTCCTTATCCGCAGCATTGTAAGTCATCAGAACCCCAAATCAAAATTCGATTATTCCGATCAATTTATTTCCCAAACTCCACAATTCTCAATCGGGTAGGAAATTAGGGAACCAGATTAGAAAGACAATATAATAATAAAAAATAAATAATAATAATAATAACTGGGGAACCCCAAAAACCCTGATTGAGGGCTTCAGATTCTCGCACGAAATTTCAGATAGCACCGTTTCCGTATGTCTTCTCTCCGCTCTCTCCAATCACCATAAATAATGAAAAATCGAGTGGGCTACAGGTGGATGTACTGTGGAGGATTAAAAGAAAGCACTAAACGAGGGATGTATGCATACATATACGTACACGATTGGAACAATGGATTAAGCCTAAAGAGGAGCACCTAGAGACATCTTAAAGAAAAGGGTTTCTCTGTAAACTCCTTTCCAGTCTTCAGATGAGCAGATTATTTGAATTCGTAAACGTAAGTAAATGACCTCGTAACCGGAACCCTCATAATCCCAATTCTTGATTTATTAATTGTACAAAAATGTTAAAGTTAGTAATAAGACGTTTGTGCTTTCAAACAACTCAAAACTTTATTAAGAAGTGTTTTTAAATTTGATAGCTTTCGCTAGACATGATTAAGGGCCACGTGTGACAGAGCTGGTAAATTGAGACACGTGTCCAGCAAAATGGGGCCCAAAGCGTCACTTCACCGCCACGCTAAGAATTTCGTGAAAGCCTCCTCAGATATGATTGGCTGAGGCTGCGTCTGTGCCCCATCCTGTCTTTACTGTCAAAACCGACCAAAGATTTCTTTAAAGGCTATACAACAATGAATAAACAACAAGACTACTAATGGATTTAAAAATTAAGAGTTCAATTCTGTGCTGATTGATTGAAAACATGAGTTTCAACTGCACTCACATTGAAATGAATGCATCCTTCCTGCTCACGTTATGTTAAATTTCAGTTTAATTGTCGTTCAAAGTTGCTGCCGAAATGAAATTGTCACCAACTTGGCCTCCCTTTAGTTTGTTTGTAGAATCTTGAACTCTAAGAAGACGAAACAGGAACAAATTATACATGCATATCCATCTATTTGTAGAATTTGGGTATGTAGTATTTGAAGCCAAATTGTAGTATTAAGAGATGAGAATTGACAGACAACAGAAGAAGTATTTGTACAATTGACGACAAAGGATTTCTTGATTATGTAATGACGATGACAGCCAAAATGATCGTGTGAGGAGTTCAAGTAATGGAGGTGGCTCTGCTCAGAGGTGATGAAGAGTTAAGTATCTCCTGTCCCAGCTCGTTTACTTTGTTCAGCATCAGCATCTGCTCCATCTCCAGCTGTACCATGAATTCCTCCTGAGTGTCCTGGAGGGTTTCCAGCTCGCTCAGAGACTCCAGGACTCTGTCAACGTCGCCTTCCTCAATCTGAGATCGAAGCTTCGACATCAACTCCTTCACCTGGTCGATAAATCCATGCAACATTTCAATGCTTGATGTAAGAACAGCGCCAAAAGTTCCAAAACTGCATGCATATTACAGAGCTCACCTGATTGGAAATGTGATGGCGAACATCGGACGGGGATGATCCAGGATCAGTGCTCGGCTTCTTCTCCAGTTCCGGGACTTTTCTTGTGACTTGGACGTGAATCTCTCCCCGTTTCACTCCTTGTAACGGTATCCATTTGTCGGCCATCTGGTTGGGCGGCAGCATCTGGTATTCAACGACGCACTCGCCTATGCTGGATGTCGGCATCAGTGTGTTGTGATCTTTAACATACAATGTGAGGGGGCTTCCATCGTTTGGGAAGTCCAAGGTTTGATGCCATTTGGGATTCAGTGTTTTGTACACAACCTACACATGTTGTGGATTTAGTCCAGTGTGGAAACATGGCATCCATTCTGCAACGGGAGATTTGAATAATGTATCTAACCTTAGTGTTTTTCTTCAAATTCCCATATTGTACCTTCACGTATGGATCACTTGTTCCTCGAAGATCAGCAGCAACCAAATCTCTGGCTTCGATTATAACAACTTCGATCCAACCATTAGCTAAACTTGCCTGATGAATGCCCAAAACTATATGAAGTTCTTGTATTGATCTCATATATTATTCAGAAAATACATAGATCTTCGCTTTTCTTGAGTAGACTTACCTTTGAGTTTTCATTGTCTTCAGCTTTGAATGCTTCCATCTGAAGCCAAAGCTCTCCGGAATCGACCTTCTCGAGGGGTACATAACAATTTCTAACTGAGCCTTCTACAAGTCCTTCCAAACTCAGGCGTGCACTGCCAATGAACTCATCCCCAAATGTCTCTTCAGTGTGGCATTTTATCTTCAAATATTCACCACTTAATTCATCAAATTCGAACTTCTGATTCCATGCCGGGTTGGAGGAATGGATGACCTTTGTCTTTTTAATGGCCTGAAGAAGAAACATATACAGTGGAGGCATCCAAACTTTTAGCTGCATCCAGTACATCTTCGAATCTATCTAGAATCGAAAATGTTGCGCTGTACCTTTCCATACTGCAGTTTAACATAAGCCGATTTCCCAACTTTATCCTTAACAATAAGGTCCTTGCCTTCTACCACCGTGATGCAGATTCTCCTTCCAGTCCTGGACAACTGGTTTGATGATCCAGTTGGCGAACTGCTAGAGCTTGTGCCAAAACTAGACATGCTATGTGAACCATCAGAAAACTGCCACTCTTTAAGAGCAAGCCTCACTGTCAACTGAAAGTTGGTTTGCAGATAATTAGATTGTTAGCTGAATGCCATATAATGAAGAAATTTATGAAATAAGACCTCTCCCGAATCAGAATTCTCAAATGGAACTGTCATTTCAATTTCCTTCCCATAGAACTCAGCATGCTTGGCAAGCATGGAGGAATCAGGTCCAATGGCCCAAAATATGGTCGAGTCATCCGGGACATACCTCATCTGTGTAGGTGGACAAATTTGCATCAGGGCCGAGAGAGTAGCTAATGTAACTAAGCATAGAAGATGAATATCAGACAGTTAATGTGGCATTACCCGAACTTCACAACTTGTAAGAAAGTTGTACCTAACACTTCCAGGATCATAAGCATAGAGATTGAACTTAAGGGTTCCTGCGCTGTCATGCAGGATCAGATTGAATTCTGCATCCCACTTTGGATTAGAACCTGGTCTCGCGCTTGTTCGCCTTGTTAGCTCCCCGAGTTCAATCTCTAAGAATGTTTGAAGCTCTTGGGGACCGATGTGATCTTCTGTGAGAGTATCTGGTGAAGATTTTGTTTGTTTCATTGAAGCACTGCTCTTCAAGGCAGCAACAGAGAGTTTGTTAGCTGATATCACGGCAACATGTAATGCACCAACCAGTGCTTTCTTATGCAAATCTTTAGCTGGTAAAGTGAGACACTGGCGTCGAGGCTCCACCATCCTCTTATTCAATGTACTAACAGCAAGTTTTACCTATAAAACAGTAGAAAACCTGAAGTAAGTGTACAAACAAGTTTTACCATTCTTTGATTTACAGATATATGATAGACATAACAGTACCAGCCATGAAGAAACACCCGGTAGCTCCGTTGCAGGTAGAGACTGGCTTCCTCCACTTCCGAAAGCAACACCCAATCTCACCTCAGGAGTCGAAATAAATGAGTATAGTATTGCTTTTCCTTCTAATATTGGAATAAATTTAATCTGCACAATTGAAGTAAGGAAAGTATTTTCAGAACACATTCTTCCATTGCTGCAGAAATTGCAGAAAATTTTGGCAACGAAATTGTATTCATTGGTGAAACAAGAGGGGAACAATCTCTCAATAGTCAACAGGGCAGAACATAAGAAGAATACAGTGACAAGCTATAACAGAGGCCAAGATTGTAAGTCAGGCAAGAAACTTAGCAACTGACAACTATGAACTCTCTAATATCATCAACATAGAAGAAAATGAGGAGATTAATTGCATACATCACCCTTGATGTGGATGCTGTTGACGGCGATTCTAGCTGTTCCCATTAATGGCGTAGCCAACTTAGCGAGCAAAATGATGTTTACAGCTTCCGTGTCCCAGTCAAAACTGAAGCGCATGAATTGCTGTTTCAGCTGAAATTGTTGGTCAATAGTTTTGTCATCAGCCAAAGAGAACATGGAAAAGGATTACGGATAATTTACATAAAACCCTGTCGAAGCATGCATGAAATCACTATTTGAGAAAATGCAAAAATGGCAACTCAATGCGATTGCAAAAATAAGAAAGTTGAGCTGGGAAAAATCACGAGATATTGCTAGTTTCTATAATTATTTTCATGTGAAATGAATCACCAACATTAAACAGCACCGTAGATATAAAATATAGGATGAAGTAATGAATGGAAAATGAAATCAAACCTGATCACCTGAAGTTGCCCAGCGAGTTCCATGTAGACCCAATAGAGGAGGGCGGGAACCGAGTGAGAATTCTTGCAACTCAATCTTTTCCTGCATTAGCAAAACGGATATTCAAATTGAATGTGTGATGTGGAGATCATGATTAATAATCCATTACTTGGGCTTACAATTAGCCTTGATTTCCTGTCCTTCAAACGCCTCTGTTTAAATATCGATCAGGAATAAAACAATAGTAGCAGACAAGAAGCATCTCAATTTTACCTCAAGACAAACATCAGAATGGAATAAGCATTACATTATTATAAAGTAGGTCACGGTTACCTCAACAATTGATGCAAACCTTGAAGACAACTTTGGGCTGATATAATTTGGCCAAATTTCAATTAAGAGCTTGTTTGTCCATTCACAGTGTTCTAATGGTGTTACTGGCTGCCCAAGAATAAGAATTATTCCAAAATGTACAGCAACTAAAACCAATATCTACGACGACACACACACAACAAATAATATGGCAAAGATAATTACTAAAGTCTGTAGGGTTATCTGCATCCATTTCTTGTTCAAGTCTTCCAGTATGTTTCGCCGTTGATAATTTCCATACTGCCAAAAAGCTAAGTACAGGTCATTATGCATTATGGCCATCTACATTACAACAAATATAAATCACTATGCATCGAGTCAGCATTGGTGTCTAATTAATAGGAACCTTAACTACAAAGTTTCAATCAAGCAATGTTGTACACAGCTGCTAAAAAACATCTGAAAGCTCTGGATCAGATACACTGACAGATATGTTCTAATCCAGAGAACATTGCTCTCAAAAGCTGTGAGCTGAAGACAAATCACATGCTACATGTATAAGAAATTACCTGAATTGTAGTCCACAAAGCAAGACCAAGAAGAACCCAATTGGAGAGATGGAAAAACCACTTCTCAATGGCCCAAAGAACCAGCAACAGAGGAACTACAAATGGAAGTAAAGGCTGCTCCTCCAACAAAGCGCTCAAAGATTTCATTGCTTCATGCCAGTCATATAAATTCTTCTTCGTTCTGCCCATCTCCAGTCCTCACGACACTATTTTGATGGGCAATAAAAGCGGAAAACTTCAAAGCTATCCGAGGTTCACCATAGTTATAAGAAATCAGTAGCCTAGGACTCCGATCACTCTTAGGAAAAAGGTCGAACAGTTCATCTGCAGTTTGTTAACTCATAGTGACCCAACTAACCGTAATAATCAAACCTCGGGACAAAACAAAAGGCACATTAAGAATTCAGACTACGCGATTTCCGGTCGTTCGTTTGTTTGTTTGTTTGTTCAAATTTGGCATCTGAATATGAAAAGGTATTACAAAATCCAAACCATACGCATGGAATCAAAGTTACGAATGGAAACTAAAAAGAAAAAAGAGAAGCAGCTCTTCAGCATCGAACATGAATTTCCTAGTCAACGTGCTGAAGAAGACTCAGTTTAAAAGTATGAACAAGAAACACATGGAGGTTTGTGCGATTGAAAATTCCCCAAATGTTCTTTATTGTCTATGCACAGTAAAAGAAAGTGCATATCCATGAATTATGTGGTCCCTAATTTTCTGGGATTTTCCATCCTCCGCTAATCAAGAACAAGAAAAGGTACTCACGTTCCTAGGATTTTGTTCTCTTGTTCACATATCGAAGAAATCTGTACGAAGATGGCGTCACACGCCATTTCTTTTTCACCCTTTTTTCTCTTTCTAGTATGAATAGATTCACCGAGTCTGCGTGGAGTGGAAGCAGCCCATCCCCAGGAACGACATTCCATTCATAGTGTTTAAGCATTATCGAGGCTTGACAGAAAGGGGTCATTTTCTGCAATACAGATTTGTTTAAAGATTTATTAGTCATCCCTGATCGATGTGAAAGATAAGCCTATGTAAACCCGACTCATCATCATTCATACAAACTATGTACTGCGTCCCATTCTTTTATTGCCTAATTACAACAAATTAATACAATTGTGGAAGTTTTACAAACAGATGTAAGTGGAGCAATGATATTATGTTCCTACATACAAACGATGAATATAGCAACACGTTTTTTGGATAAGATTCACGCTTTCTCAGTGTCCTTGGTTTTCTTCCCCAGAAACTCATCCACTTTCTCATCCAATTCCTCAACCTGCAAACATCAGTTAAAATTTATTAAGACGAAGACGGTGGTAATTAAAAGTTTGGTATTATTCTTAAATAAAAATTATTTGAACTAATAGTTGAATAATATTAAAACGATGGTATTAACTGTATGCAAGAATAATGTTCAAATCGCAGTCGCACGTGACTGAAATATTACATAATCTTCAGCTTTGACTTTGATTGGGGATTTCACTGTTCATGAGACTCCAGGGAGCTCAACTCCAGAAAATCCAAGTCAAAAATCAAAGTATTAAAAGCATGCAGAGTGAGACGAAAACTCCAACTACTACGATTAATCAATTGATTAGTGTTGAAACGTGACTTGGATTTAGCGGTCTACCCGACCCTAAACCAAAGCGAAATGGCTGTTTCAATTGGCAGGGTTCCTTTTGGGCTTATCCTAATCGATAACAAATAGGCTTACGGTTTAGGGTGTTTTGGGGTGCTTATAAATAGACAACTATGGTTCTTAGTCGGATGACACATTGTAAATCTCTGAATCAGTATAATAAAATCTCTCCGGTTCCTGCCCGTGGACGTAGGTTGACACACCGTCACCGAACCACGTAAAACCTCTGTGTTCTTTATTTGCTTTCTTTCTCGTTTTCTCATAACAAGTGGTATCAGAGCCATATCTCATTGATTGAAGATGTCCTCGTATAAATTTGATCTGGAGAAGTTTAATGGGTCGAATGACTTCACGCTCTGGAAGGTCAAGATGAGGGCACTTCTGGTTCAACAAGGATGTGCGGCTGCGTTGGAGGGAGAAGACAAGTTTCCTAAAGACACGAAGGAGGAGGTAAATAAGGAGATTTTGGCAAGGGCTCATTCCGCGATCTTGCTGTCAGTTACTGATGAGGTGTTACGGGAGGTTGTAGATCAGACAACGGCTTTTGGGTTATGGAATAAACTGTGTGAGAAGTACCAAAACAACTCTCTCACGAACAGGCTATATCAGAAGCAACGTCTTTACACCCTCCGGATGTCCGAAAGTACTCAGGTAAAGGATCATCTTGATACCTTTAACCGTATCATTCTTGATCTTCAAGGAGTTGAGGTTAAAGTAGATGATGAAGACCAAGCCCTAATTTTATTGTGTTCACTACCTGGTTCATATGAGAATTTTGTAGATACTATGCTATATGGTAGAACTACAATTTCTGTTAATGATGTGAAAGATGCCCTTATGTCCAAAGAATTGAAAAGAAAGGTTTCTCTGGAAGAGGGTTCTGGTTCAGGTCTGTTTGCAGGTAGGGGAAGACCACAGGAGAGGGGTAACGGGAATGGGAGGTCGCGTTCAAAATCAAAATCCTCTAGCAAAGTTAAGTGTTATCTTTGCAAGGAGAAAGGGCACGTTAAAAGGGATTGTCCACAAAAGAAGGGAAATACAAAAGTTGATTCTAGTAACAGTGGCAGCAGTGCTGCTGTGGTACAAGACAGTTCTGATGATGGGGACTTTGGTGAAGTTCTGACAGCGTGTAGTGCTAGTACTGCTGATTCCTGGATTATGGACACCGGTGCTTCTCACCATATGACGTTCTCTCGTGATCTACTCACTTCTTTTAAGGAGTGGAATGGAACGGTGAAGTTAGGTGATGATGGGGTTCTAGCCATAAAAGGGAACGGGGTAGTGCAGATAAAATTGCATGACGGTACTGTCAGGAAATTTGACTGTTGGTATGTTCCTGAACTCAGAAAGAATTTGATTTCTCTTGGGACCTTAGCCAAGAATGGTTTAAAATATCATGGTGAAGGTGAGTGGGTGAAAGTCCTGAAAGGTGCGCTGGTAATGATGAAGGGAAAACTGCAGCATGGAATTTATTTTCTACAGGGCAGTTCAGTGATGGGAACGGCGGCGGTATCTCAGTCCTTGGATAAACATGATGACAGGACAAATTTGTGGCACCGGCGATTAGGTCACATGAGTGAGCTAGGGTTGTCTGTCTTGAGCAAGCAGGGTTTATTTGGTGGGGATGTGATAGGTAAAATTCAATTCTGTGAGGCTTGTGTAAAAGGGAAGCAACGCAGGGTGAGGTTTAGTACCGGTCATCACACTTCAAAAGAAATTCTGGAGTATGTTCATTCAGATCTATGGGGTCCCTCTCCGGTGAAATCGCAGGGCGGATGTTCTTACTTTGTCACTTTCATAGATGATTATTCGAGAAAAGTCTGGTTGTACTTTCTAAAGACTAAAGATGAGGTGTTTGGGAAGTTCAAGGAGTGGAAGACCATGGTTGAAAAACGGACGGGTAAACAGGTCAAGACTCTAAGAACTGATAATGGGTTGGAGTTCTGCAACGCTCCATTTGATGATTTCTGCAAGAAAGAAGGTATAGTGAGGCACCGCACTGTACGACACACACCACAGCAAAATGGAGTTGCAGAGCGAATGAATCAAACCCTCATGGCGCGTGCTAGGTGTATGCGCATATTTGCTGGCTTGTCTAAGCAATTCTGGGCTGAAGCAGTAAACACTGCTAGCTATCTGGTTAATAGATCTCCATCAACTGCAATTGACTTAAAGACTCCTCAAGAGGTATGGTCCGGTAAACCCTCTGATTACTCTAATCTAAGAATATTTGGATGCCCTGCATACGCTCATGTGAATGATGGTAAGCTGGAGCCGAGGGCGGTAAAATGCATATTTCTAGGGTATGCAACAGGAGTAAAAGGTTATCGACTGTGGTGTACAGAAGGTAAAAATCCTGGTAAATTTCTTATTAGCAGAGATGTAACCTTTGATGAATCTGCTATGCTTGATCAGAGTAGAGGTTGTGAAAGTATTGCAGGTACAAAAGATTGTGGTGCTAACCAGAGGGTGGAGTTTGAGACTCCTGACAGAGTTGTGTTAGAGGAAAAGCAGCAGGATAATAATATTGATCAATCCGATCAACCAGATCAGTCAAAACCTCAAGGGAAACCGGTTGAGGGGGAAGCTGATGACGCTGGTACGGGGGTTGAAGATTCCATAGCAGCAAGAAAGGGAAAGAGAAATATTCAGAAACCAGCTAGGTTTGCAGGATGTGTCAATACGTGTGACATGGATTCTGTTGCTTATGCACTAGCGGTTGGTGATGATCTTGGCTCTGATGAGCCAAAGACATATAAAGAAGCTGTGGCGAGTAAAGATGCAGAAACCTGGATTATGGCAATGAATGAAGAGATGCAGTCTCTTGAAAAGAACAAGACTTGGGATCTTGTTGCACTACCAAAAGGGGTGAAGCCAGTGGGATGCAAGTGGGTCTTTAAAAGAAAGGAGGGAATTCCTGGTGTTGAACCTGCTAGGTTCAAGGCGAGACTGGTGGCAAAAGGGTTTTCACAGAAGGAAGGAATCGATTACCATGAAGTCTTTTCTCCTGTGGTGAAACACAAAACCATTCGGGTTCTTTTGGCAATGGTGGGTGCTTTTGATCTGGAGCTGGAGCAGCTTGATGTAAAAACAGCATTCCTTCATGGTAATCTAGAAGAACAAATTTACATGTCTCAACCGGAGGGGTTCTACAGTTCTAAAGGGGACCAGGTATGCTTGTTAAAGAAATCTCTGTATGGCTTGAAGCAATCTCCGAGGCAATGGTACAAGAGATTTGACTCATTCATGGTGTCTAATGGTTATACTCGTAATCAGTTTGATAACTGCGTTTACTCGAAGAAAGTTTCTACTGATTCCTTTGTGTATCTGCTGTTGTATGTGGATGATATGTTAATTGCAGCTAAAAATATGGCTGTAATTAATGACTTGAAGGCTCTACTAAAGGGTGAGTTTGAGATGAAGGATTTGGGTGCGGCAAAGAAAATACTTGGTATGGAGATCTGGCGTGATAGAGAAGCAAGACGGTTATGGGTTTCTCAAGAAAAGTATATTGAGAAAGTTTTGCAAGCATTCTCTGTTGAGCAGTCCAAACCGGTAAGTACCCCTTTGGCGGCACACTTTAAACTTGATCGAAGCACTATACCGGCTACAGATGAAGAGGTTAGTTACATGAAGACGGTTCCATATTCAAGTGCAGTTGGAAGTCTTATGTATGCGATGGTATGTACGAGACCGGATCTCGCTTATGCGGTTAGTGTGGTGAGCAGGTTTATGGCTAATCCGGGTAAAGCTCACTGGGGAGCTGTAAAGTGGATCTTGCGATATTTGAAAGGAGCGTCTGATATTTGTCTGGTATATGATGATAAAGGCCATGGTGATGGTCTTGTTGGCTATGCAGACTCTGATTACGGGGGTGACTTGGTGAAACAAAGATCACTAACTTGTTTTATCTTCACTTTGTTTGGATGTGCAGTCAGTTGGAAGTCTACTTTACAACCTACGGTTGCATTGTCGACGACTGAGGCGGAATACATGTCAATGACTGAAGGTATTAAGGAGGGTATCTGGTTACATGGTCTGGTGCAGAGTTTGGGCCTGAAGGTGGAGAAACCGGTGTTATTCTGTGATAGTCAAAGTGCTTTGAGTTTGGCTAAAAATCCAGTGTATCATGAGAGAACCAAACACATTGATGTAAGGTTGAATTTTATCCGTGATGTTCTGGAGGAAGACAAGTTTTCTATTCAGAAAATAGCTACAGAGCACAATCCAGCTGATATGTTGACAAAGGCGCTACCGACGGAGAAGTTTGAGCACTGCTTGAACTTGGTGAATATTCGTAGGAGGTAAAGCCCTCTCGGGGCATCTGGCAGGAAGGAGACGATTGAGAGATACTGACGAACCTTTGGCGGTTGGAGAAACTCCAAGTCAAGGTGGAGATTGTTGAAACGTGACTTGGATTTAGCGGTCTACCCGACCCTAAACCAAAGCGAAATGGCTGTTTCAATTGGCAGGGTTCCTTTTGGGCTTATCCTAATCGATAACAAATAGGCTTACGGTTTAGGGTGTTTTGGGGTGCTTATAAATAGACAACTATGGTTCTTAGTCGGATGACACATTGTAAATCTCTGAATCAGTATAATAAAATCTCTCCGGTTCCTGCCCGTGGACGTAGGTTGACACACCGTCACCGAACCACGTAAAACCTCTGTGTTCTTTATTTGCTTTCTTTCTCGTTTTCTCATAACAATTAGTTAACACTAACTGTCACTTTTAATTACACATACAAACATATATATACAAAAAAAGAAAATGATCGAAATTAAAATAATTATTTCGATTTCGTGGAGTGATTGTGAAATGATTTACCTTATCCATTAAATCCTCAACATTTTGGGCATCCTTGGCTGTTTCCTCAGCCAAAACTTCCACAAAATGGACCATACTTTTCAAGCCGCCGTCGGGCAGCGCCGCCCCGATGCCTTCCGCCACCTTGTCCACCTCCTCCGCCACGTGCTCCACCGCGTCTGCTATCTTTTCCACCGTCTGAGCAGCCAGGTCAACCTCCTCTACATAACATTAAATTAAAAATTCTCAAATTTGACTGATCTCATATTAATGAATAATCAATAATACCTAACAATCTAATCAAGCTTCAATAAAAACTATGGAGGAGCCTTACTTGTAAACGACAATACCCTTTGGATAAGTAAAGGCACTGTAACGCACAATCCAACGATTCCAGCTAACCTGTTCCATAAACCCTAATTCGTCAGCCCACCCCCCAATCTAATTTGATTTTGAACTTATACTGATTAATTAATTAATTACCAGGAACCCTCTCCTCCGGGCAGGTGGAAGCCTGGAATTCCGGGGAGATGGGATGTCAGAGAAGACAGGAGATCTCCAGCGATTTCAGGCGTCGGATTCCTGCGGTATGCACCAAATCAAACAGATAATCAAAAAGTGGTTTAATTATTCACACATCTGATTATTGATTTTGAACGATCAGGGGGCCGGGCATACTGATTGACTAATTCGCCGGAACTGTCTGCTCCGGGCAGGTGGAAGCCTGGAATGCCGGGGAGAAGGGATGTCACAGAAGAGACGAGATCTTCAGCGACTTCAGGCGTCGAATTCCTGCGGTATGCACCAAATCAAACAGAAAATCAAAAACTGGTTTAATGATTCACACATTCATGATCCACCCCAATCTGATAATTGATTTTGAACTATCAGCGGGCCGGGCATACTGATTGACTAATTCGCCTGAACTGTCTGCTCCGGGCAGGTGGAAGCCTGGAATTCCGGGGAGAAGGGATGTCACAGAAGAGACGAGATCTTCCGCGACTTCAGGCGTCGAATTCCTGCGAAATGCACCAAATCAAAACTGGTTTAATTATTCACACATTCATGATCCACCCCAATCTGATTATTGATTTTGAACTATCAGCGGGCCGGGCATACTGATTGGTTAATTGGCCGGAACTGTCTCCTCCGGGCAGGTGGAAGCCTGGAAGTCCGGGGAGATGGGATGTCAGGGAAGACAGGAGATCCCCAGCCGTTTCAGGCATGGCATTCCTGCGGCGCCAAATCAAACAGAAATAAAAAACTGGCTTTAAACACACATGTTATAACGAGCGTACGTAGATGTTGTGGTGGGTGGATGCATACAGTCGTGAGGTTTTCTGGATGATTGTTCCTGAACGTGAAGCGAATCCATGAAGATCATTCCTGTGGCGACGGGGACGAGGTAGGGAGCATTGGAGTTGATCCTGATTCTGGAGGGTTGGTTTCGCAGCCAATTTGGCGGTGCTGAGCAGAAGGGCGACGGTACAGGAAGACGAAGATGCGACGGCCGCCATAGCTGATTGAATTGATCGATCGACCGCTGAATCTAAGGGAACGGGAAAGTTGACTTGGCCGACGGCGAAGGTAAGCCAAAATTGGAATAGAAATATTGTAAATTGATTAAAAAAGAGGTTTAATCGTGTGAATACAGGGATGATTAAATACATATATATGTGTGTGCGTGTGAATGTGATTTGTGGGATTTTAATTTGGTTGGGTGTGAAATTGAAATACCATTAAATATTGGTATTACTATTAGTATATATATTAGTATTTTTTCATGCATGTGGGTATATATATATTAGTGTATATTTTGGTCACTGCATTTGTAGTTTTGGGCCAGGTCTTTAAATTCACTATTGACTATATTACACTATGATGATTTGGAAATTATTTTATAGGCCCGGCCCATATAACTTGCTAAAACTACTGGGTGAGCCCAACTTCTGCCTCTACATTATGGTGGAAAATAAATTATTTTGGGGTTTTTTTTAAATTCCAATCTCAATCACAAACTTGTCATTAAATTCTGTACTTTGTATTATTGGATTAATATCTTCAATATATTATTTTATGTCCACATCACATGTATAAGAGAGATGCTCTATTGTAAAACTTTAAACATGTGATATACTAAATATTGCAACTGTGACAATGTTGCATATATTTAGTCAATTCTTTTAATTTGGTTCAAAACAGTGAAATAAATAAACGTGGTTCAGCTGTACATATCAATGAATGATTTATCTTGCCGTATGCAGCTAAAGTGATGAAAGGCTGAAGAATCGCCATTTTCGAGAAAACAACAGATTGGTAATATTACAAAATTCATTTTCCAAGTAACCAAATTTATAAACTGGATAAGGATGTTGCATGCAATTTGGCTTTTCCAATTATCGAAGAAGGCCTATATTCATGTAACTTCCTTCTAATTCTATTTCTATTTCTAAGCCGAGCCCAGAATGTATTAATTTATTTGTTACAATTAAATATTTTATTACAGTGATGGTATTGTTGCATTTTTCCCACCAATATTTGAATTTGGCGCCAGCAGGAAACAAGGACCGGCGCGCTGTGGTGCTATTATTATTAAGACAGATGCAGCAAAGGTGGCCTGAAAGAGACAGCCATCGTTTCAGCCACGTGTTATCTCATCTTCCCTTGGTATTTTTTAATTTCTTTTGGACTCCTCGTTAATTAATTTGAAGAGCTGCCGGATTGTGAGCCCACCACCATGTGGTGTGCTGTCCTGCTCCCCAGCCGTCCGATTTGGCGGGAGGATCATCGCATCTTGTTCTTCAGCGCAGCCACTTGCTTTTCAAAATCTTTGCTTCTTTGTGTTTAATTGCAAAGATTTAATTTAATTTTTATATTCAAATAATATTGAATTTATTTTTTTTATAAAAAATATATAATGCCAAAAAAAAAAGACTAAAAAAGCACACCCTAGTATTTATTTTTTGGGTAATAAATTAACAACACGCTTTTTGCAATACCAATTAATCGTGTTTTTCTTGTAAGGTGTGGTATAACGACTTTAGGTCACGCTGTCGCCCATGATTTGGTATTGACTGCAGCAGATTGCCCCCCCCTCGCGTGGATCGGCAGTTAGTATGTTGTCTTCTACTTTTTCATTTTTTAGTTTCTTTCATGGGACTATTAAATTGTATTTGCTTTTTTTTTAAAAAAAAATAAAAAGTCTGAGAGAAGTAAAAATAATCTAGGTTTTCATACGATGGAAGTCGAATTAGACAATAGTAGTTATGCTGTATTAAAATTCAACATATGGGTATTTAGACCATTCTTTATAACTTGTAGGCTGACTAATCCTCGTTATCAGTCAGTCATTCAAAAAATGTCACATTGACAAATTCAAATTTCAAGTGGATATGATAAATAGCCAAATAAAAGCTATGAATAAACAGGGTACACCAAAATTATTGCAAGTTGAGATCTGCTATCTATTTATTGTGTACAATAAATGTATCACTTTAGGTACACCAAAATTAATTAGGATTAGTGCAGTATGTATGATCACTTTTAATTTAATTCAAAATCACTAATGAATCATATATAGGCTGTAAATCTTTCATAGGTTTTTTGAAACGGAGCAATATAATGCCTACTTTATAAAATCAATACAGTATTTAAAAAGATAATTAAGTAACAGTTTTAACTATAACTAATTTTAAACTTTTAAAGAAAAATTAAATAACATATTTTAATACCTGAAAAAATATATTTTGGTGAAAATATTTGAGTTTCTTTGGTCTTGATTTCAAATATGAATTATACGTAATTACTTATAATCATACAATTCTTAATAAATATACAATATTAAAATAAAATACTATATAAATCAAAATTTAAATTATAAAAAATAAAATAAAATGTAAACTCAAACAAAAACAAACTCTAAAATGTCCTCCAATAAAGTTAATTCTCAACGCAAATGATCAAATCTATAATTATTTATTTATCTAGTAAATTTGCCACATGTTTGAGCAAACAATTATTATTTAACCAATATAGTCCCGTAACACTATACTTGCAGTCGCAGGTGTAAATATATATTGGATTTTTTATTTGCTTATAGTTTTATCAGAGCTATTTTGCTAATCGAGGCTAATCAACGTTAAAAAGGAAAATCAACAGAATTTAATTCACTTTCCTTGATTGTGTGCTCCTCCATTCAATATTTAAGAATATATATATTGATATGGACAATGTATCTTAATTTGGATGAACTAATATATTGCAGTGTCCATATTTAGTTTTGGAGCCTGGCATATATAATTTATACAACTGAATATATCAGCCAAGACAACCATTATTTGAGTTTCTATAGTTTAACTTAAACCATGATCTTATTATCTATTTTGATATATTTTTTACACGCCAATTAATTTTCTTCTAAAATAAATAAATTAATTATATAAAACATTTTATTCATACTATTATTTTTAAATTATTTATTAAAATAAGATTTGAAAAATCATGAACTAAACATATTGAAGAATGTGAAAATTGGAATAGAATCGGGCGAGAAACTATCCACGGATCATGGATGGAACCCGTGCAGTCACGTGCGCACGTGACACGCGCATCATACTGGTCGGCAAGCCTGACTTAATCCCCAAGACAAGATACATTACTGGGCTAATTTTCAGGCCCACAATGCCACGTGGACTGAATCCACTCCTTCTGTCCTAATTACTAAAGCTCCACCCCAACTAATTATTTTGATTTATACATCATATTTGTGATGTAATGATTCTATGCTCAATAAATTTACGGTGATAAAATATATTCCATACAATAATTTCCCAGTAACAATTTATTTAATATAAATCTTGTGATTTACGAGCTCTTGCCTCCCCTCAAAAAAAAAAAGAAAACTCTTAAAAATGATTTCCACCCACATAATATTGAGTTGAATGCACGCAAAGCATAATTCATTAGGTACACGTGGCGTCCACGCTGGAAATCAACACACGTGTCAGTAACGGTTAATTAACGTAATTAAGGAAAGTGAATATATATGGTAATCATAGATACTGAATGGGAGCCAAAATCCGGTCACTTACTAGGGCAGATCGTACGGTCGGGGCGGACGAACTGAGTCGACATTTTGGCAATTAATATTTATATACAAAAATAATAATAATAAACGAAAGTCGAAAAGGCAATTAATTGAATAATTAATTATACTTACAAAAATAATATATACACATATATGCGTGTGTATATATATACCTTCCTTCTCCGTGAGAAGAGGGAAAGACTAATGTAAAAAGCAGGCCGTGCTGTGTCAAAGGCTCCGAGTGTGGAGGCGCTGAGAGGTTCTAGAGAGAGAGAGAGAGAGTGAGAGTGCAGGAGGCGACGAGTTAAGAGAAGAGAAGTTGTTGAGGAATTCCTTTCGTTTGCTGTTTTCAATTTCACGCGGAAATATGGAGTGGCCTGGTTATTTGGATGAATACGAGAAGCTACTTGTTCGAATGTCTACGCCGAGGTTTGCCGCCCCTTCCATGGCCGATTTTCTCATTCTCTGAAGCTTTTGCGTGTTTTTTATTTTTTAGTTATTACGGTTCTGTTCGGAGCAGTTTTCCCCCCTCCCCCTCCTTTTCGCTCTTGTTTTTACGTTTTTATTTTTCAGAAGTGAAAATTCCAGTACGCTGTATTTTGAAGGAGGAGACCGGATATCTTTTGGTGTTTGCCTCTTGGAGCAACAAAATTTTTCGTTTCAAGAAAATCCTCGAGATTTTATTACTCTGATTTGAATATCTGCTGGCTTGATTTATACGAAATCTCTTTCATCACTACGTTCTCTCTGATGTGTACGGTTTCTGTATCTGATCAGAGTTCTTCACCGTTTTTTTTTTTTTTATTCCATTTTTATTACAATTCGTAGCTTCTCCATTCTTCTCGGGTTTTTCATTATTAACATAGTGAGTTTTCTTGACTACTTTTCCAACTTGATGGGATTTAAATAATTAGTTCAAATCGCAAGTTTCTTTGCTTCGAAGGTACCCAGACTGTCGATTTCCGTTTTCCAGTCCGACTTTTCCACTTCCTCTAGAATCTTGATATCGAGTCTTTTCAAATTTAAACAAATAATTCCCCCTCTCTGATGGTTTCTTGGTCTGTCACGTGCAGGGTAGCGATCGATAATGCCGGTTGTTCTAACGCCACTCGAGTCATGGTAATTGATCTCCATAATTTATTGTTTCGCTTATCGGATCGTAAAGAACAAGATCGGAACATCTTAACCTAAGTATTTGGGTCAATTTTATTTACGCTGTTCCTTTTTACTCCTATGTTTCAGATCGACAGCGCCAGAAAACACGGGATTCTTCTGGAAGCTGTTCAAGTTTTGATGGATTTGAATCTTTCAATCAAGAAGGCCTACATCTGTTCCGATGGTCGGTGGTTCATGGACGGTGAGTGCCGTATCATAGCCGCTTAACATAGACGTTTGGTATCCATTTAATTTCTACTAAATTAAAATAAACTTGCATTAACTCTCACCGTTTCGTTTTCTTCTATCTTCAGTTTTTCATGTGACTGATTTGAACGGAAACAAGTTAACCGACGAGAGTGTTTTGGGCTACATAGAGCAGGTATTTATTGCTCCATTCAGCATTATCTCGGAAAAAAAACAATAAATGAATAAGCCGAAGAGGGTTTTTGCTACAATGCTGTGATTAATGCTATGACGTATCCTCTTCGATTATGTAGAAAAATTAAGCCAATCTCACTTGTTTTGATTGCAGTCACTCGAAACTGTTCACTATGGAAGATCCAAAAGTATTGAAGGGTTAACAGCTTTGGAACTGACCGGAACTGATCGAGTCGGCCTTTTGTCCGAGGTTTTTGCAGTTCTATCGGACTTACACTGCAACGTTGTTGATGCTAAGGTGTGGACTCACAACGGTCGGATAGCATCCTTGATGTATGTCAAGGATGAAGATTCAGGGACTCCAATTCAAGATTCAGTGAAGTTAGACGCCATTGTAGGGATGCTAAGGAATGTGCTGAAGGGAGCCAATGATATCCGAAGTGCAAGGACCTCTGTTTCCTTGGGCGTCACTCACACGGAAAGGAGGCTGCACCAGATGATGTTTGTGGATAGAGATTACGAGAGGAGCCCCATCTTCAAGATTTGTGATGAAGATATGCCTGCTGTTACGGTTCAGAATTACTTGGAGAAGGATTACTCAGTGGTGAATATCCACTGCAAGGATAGAAACAAGCTTTTGTTTGATGTTGTTTGCACATTAACGGACATGGGGTACGTCGTTTTCCACGCCACGGTTGATACGGCTGAAGACAGGGCAACCTTGGTACATATTCTTTATTAATTATCTGGTTGATTAATTTTGTAAGTTATGAAAAATACTTGCTTATCTAGGGTACCAATTCTTATCAGGAATTCTTCCTAAGACACATGGATGGAACGCCTATCAGTTCAGAAGCTGAAAAACAGCGTGTGATTCTATGTTTACAGGCTGCAATTGAAAGGAGAGCGTCCCAGGTACTTTCTGAAGCCTTTTTCCTTGTATGTTGGTCAAAATTTCTATTTCATGCCGCCGGCATTTTGAGACATTGTATTATATTTCATTCAGGGAGTGAAGCTTGAGCTATGTGCAGCGGACCGTAAAGGGCTTCTTGCAGAGGTAATGCGAACGTTCCGTGAAAACGGCCTCAATGTCACAATGGCAGAGATATCGACAACAATGGGCACTGCCCTGAATAAATTCTATGTAACCGATAGCAACGGCAATCCACCTGATCAAAAGACAATCGAATCAGTCAGGCAAAAGATCGGATTGAGCAATTTGAAAGTGAAGGAATTGCCGTTGGTATGCAATGAAAAGCTGAAAAAGGAAGACCACGCGATGGTGACGGGGTTGTCGTCACTGGGTAGCATGTTCTGGAGAAACCTATTCAATCTGGGACTGATCAGATCCTATTCTTGATCTGGCTTGGGTTGGGTTGGGGGAGGTCGTTTGTACAGACAAGGATTCGGTGAAAGTGGGTGAGAATATAGATAGGGTTTGGTTGTCTTAATGAAGAGGGTAGATACACACTGACTAGGGTAGATGTCAAAGGGGGGGCCAGGGTGCAGGGCCCCCCCTTTTTCTTGTGTGCATAGCATTTGTCAACGTGGTTTATTAGTATGAAAATCTGGATGGATCTAGAGCAGAAAGGGGTCTTTCTTTGGTTGGTGAGTTAGGTTTGCAGAAAATTAAGATTAGGTATTAATTTCTTCATTGTTAATTTTAGCTATATGTGGGCATGGCATATCTTCCATCTGTATATATGATTGTTTCGAAATTCAAATCCCATTTGACTTGATTTTTGTGTTCATTTTCAACGCATCGATTACGGACAAGAATGGCATGGCATGTTGGGTGTTAAGATTCCCTGCCTTGGAATTCATTTGACTTTGCCTGAAAAAGTGATATTGGATCTCGATGCATGTATATATATATATATATGTATGCTATGTAATAAGAATGTAATTCAATGTCCAAGTCCAACAGGCTGTTAAGAAGTTTTATTACATATTACAGCTGGGCATCGGTTGTGTAGTTTTTAAATATTTTTGTCTTGTGATGTGTCCGCACTATCATTATTTTATTATAAGAACAATAAAATTTAGTATATAATCGGCTAAGTCGTTGGATCTTTCACTTTCCTCCAACTAGCTTTTATATTCTTGCCTGTGTTTTATTCCCGACGTTGGTTTTTCCTTAGACTCCTCTGTGTTGTTCAGATCCATCTTGTCCTGTTCTATTGGCATCAACTACTTCAGTTAAAACCACACTGCTTTTCAAAGTTATTCTATTCACCATGAAGTTTATAATTATTAGGCATGTAGTTCATAATTGTATTATCAATCCATTATCATAGAATAATTAATTAGAGTTTATAATTGTATTATCGCTCAAGAGCAATAATAAATTGGATACCGATAATGGAGTTTGAATTATTGTTGTACACGGAAAGCTCAAATCTGTCATTATATCACGTTTAGAAAGATTAAATGCTTATGTGTATTATCAAGAAATACAAAGTGTTGTAACATTTAATGAATGCTATCAGACAACGAAAATTTTATTCATATTTTCTGAACAATATTATCTACCTATCCATATATTTAAAAACAATTCAATTATTGCTAAACCATCAAATTAGATAGCGTAAGCCCCAAAAGTGAACCATTGTTCTTTAGCTTGCAGCCACATCATCATCTGAGAAAAATAATTATATTTAAAACACTAAATTACAAGTACAAAAACAAATTCCATCCAACTGAGCTAATTTTGGAATTTATGCCGATTGTGTCTAGTTAACTTTTGGGAATCTAAATCTCCCCTACCTTTGGCAATTGTTCTATCTTATATTCTATATTTCTATGTACAGCAGATGACACTGTTATTAAATTATGCCAAATTGCCCTATACAAACTAAAAAATGTCGAATATACTTTGGAAGATGCTCAAATTACATAGAATCTATAAGCAATTGTGGCTTGTCTTTTCTCACGTAAAATGTTCTAGTCTTTTTTTATCATTACATTCGTCGTGTGTCGTGTCGCCTTCCTAATCCTAATATATCCAACTGTACCAAATATATAAAATAAAAACCTCACGACATTAATTAATTATTAATCACGTGATTCATCAATCACTCGGTAGCCAGCCCAGCCCAGCCCAGCCCGCCCACTCCTTTGTACATGGGCCTCGCATCGTCGTCTTGCCCAATCAAATGGGCCCAAATTGGTTGCAGACAACCTTAATTTGTGTCCAATTTGAATAAAAGTTGAAAAGCAAAATGGTCTTTGTAATAATTGCAATTACCCTTTCCCAATGAATTAGGCAAACGAGAATAACAAACAAACAATTAATAATGGCATGTCACGTACTCTCACATTTGCACCCACCTCTATCGTTCTTGTTTTCTTGATTCTGATCATCTTTCCCAATATCATCATCATCGCCATCATTATTATTATTATTATTATTATCAGTGTCACAAGAAACCACACTCGCCTTCTTAGCTTCATCCTCCCAACTGATCCTCCCGACGAACACCAAAAGCAGCACAAGACAAGCCACCACCCCTACCAAGAACCCCACCAACAAACCCCCCAACCCCACTCCCATCTTCACCCCCAACACCACCGCCAACGGCAGCGCCACCAAATAAAACCCCCCCACGTTGGCGTACATCCCCAGCCACGGCCGCGCCGTCCCCCTCACTATCCCGCCGCACACCGCCAGCGGAAAGTTCACCACTTCCACCACCGCCATCACCGCCATCGTCCTCTTCACCCCTCTTACAATCCCCCGATCATGACTATACAGCGGGCCCCACACCCCCCTCGCCCCCGCCATGCACCCCCCGCCGATCAGCCCTGCCACCGCCCCGACGCTCAGACAAGTGTACGCCGCCCTGCGCGCCGCCCCCGCCCGGTTCGCGCCAAGCTCGTTCGACACACGAACCTGATTCAAATTTAGACATTTTAGTACGTGAAATTCTGAAATTACGCAAAATGTAATATGCTGGAATGGAATCGAATCGAACCGATGCGCAGGTCGCCAGGGAGAGCATGATCGAGAAGAGCAAGTAGTCGAAGTTGAGCACGATGGCGAGGACTCCCACATTCCGGGCCGGGTCGGGGAGGCGGCCCGTGAGCAGGACGAGTATCTCGTAGCACCACCACTCGAGGCACGTGCTAAGGCAGCACGGCCCCGACAGCTTAATCAGCCTCACCCACTCATCGCCCCCCTGCTCCCACCACCCGCCCTCCTTCCACTTCCCTCCCTTCCGCCTCTCCACCGCCGTGACGTATATCACCAGCGCGACGACGATCACTAGATCAGTGATCCACACCGCCATCGATATTCCCTGCAGCCCTTTGGCCCTCGCGAGCCACACGTTGACAGGAACATGCAGGGCGACGGCTGCGGCGGAGGCGAACATAATTGGCAAGGTGATGTTCTGCGTGCTCAAGTAGGCTTTCAGAGGGCACAAGAATGAAGTCACGATCAAGTCCGGAATGAGGCAAATTAGGTACTTTTTCGACACGATGGCGATGTCGCGGTCCTGGCCGAAGCAGACGAGGATTTCGTCGACGTAAAGCCAGAGGAAGGTGATTGGGATGGAAGCTGCAAGAAGAGTGAAAACGGCCATGACAAGTGTCTTGTGGAGAAGCTTGAAGTTCTTGGCGCCAAATGCCTGCCCGCAAATGGGCTCCATGGCGGCGCAGAGGCCGTTGAGCACGGAGAAGCCGGTGACGTTAGCGAAGGTGAATCCGAGCGCAGCACCCGCCAGCGGCAGCTCGCCGAGGCGGCCAAGGAAGGCGGTGGTGATGGTGGTTTTGGCAAACCAGGTGAAGTTCATGGCGGCCAAGGGGAGGGCTATTCGCCATTGGGCCTTGAGCTCGGAGGAAAAAGGTCCTGTTTGGATGAAGTTCGGGGAGGGGACGATGATAGGCATGGGATGGGAATTATGTGTGTAAGGAGTTTAGTGGTTTGTTAGAATGGGAGTGGAAAACAAGAATTTTGTCAAATATGTATCTAGTGGTTTGTTGGAAGGAGAGTGCAAGCAAGAAATTTGTCAAATATGTATTGTAGTGCAAGCGGTGCATGAGGTTCTTGAATTAGGACAAGTAATTTGGGGGGAAAAATAGGAGGCAAGAAATGCATACGTAGGCAAAGCATAAATCGCGTGATGAAAGGTGGGCTTTTGCCGCCACTCCCCCCCCCCCCCCCCCCCCCCCCCAAAAAAAAAGTAGCTGCAAGTTTTTGATACTGTATTGGAACATGATTTATTTTGTGTCATAGCATACTTGCTCTCTTTTTTTCTCTCTCTATATATGTTTTTGTTTTATTTATAGAATATCATGAGTGTTCATAAAAACAGGGTGCTAGTCTGAAATGAGTTACCGAAAAATTGTATAAAGTTTATTAAAGGGTAGATACCCTTTAATGGGAAATGGACTGCTCTGAATGATTCGAATGTGCTCTGCTTTATTCAATCTTGATTGGGTGGAGGCACAATTCATTTAGTTGCCTATTTTAGCTTTGTAAGTAATAGTATAGAAAAATGAAATATTATCTCCCAGCCAATCTGAACCAGAAACGTGGAAGAAATTTCTATTATAGCAAAACGCAAAAATTGAGTTGAGCCACAAGTAACCATGGCCATGGGCAGACCAGGGGGGTCAACTGTAGAAACAAGAAAAAGAGAATACCAATACAACATATAAAACCGCCTCTGAGAACATTGTTACACTTGATAAGGTCAAAAATGAAAGTGGGACATGTCCCTGCCCTGAATATAACAAGAAGAGGTTATTACACAAATGATTTTACTACAAAAAGTGGAAACCATATCTGATCCTGACTGAGAGTGGTAGGATACAATCAATAATATTTCAGTGGTCCAGCAAATTAAATAATACTCCAATACTATAATCATGCCCATCAGATTCATTCCAGGTAGATTTCCAACTACGACTTTAAATAATAGATAAACAAATAACACGGAGATTGCATATTATATAAGTTGTGTTGAGTTATTGATAGATAGGAATTTAGGAGGATACCTGGTATTAGTTATTTTATGGGGAATAATTGTACAGTTTCCTAAGTTTGTTAGGCCAGAATATTCAGGAATAATTATTTTTTTGTTTGAAGCATATATGCCGCGTGCTTATTGATTTATTTCATAACTAAAATATAATGCCTGAATGTATTTTAATGCTTTAGTGGAGAATTAATTAGATTGGAAGGCTGTCTTTTTAGTTCTAATTGAGAAAGACTGTGTATATTTATTTATACACTTGTTCATAATGATTTAGATTTAGAACCATTTCTCTTCCATTAATTATTTCAATATTCATTTTCTTGTTGCACCTTTTGCAATCGTGTAGAGCAATAGAAGTTTTTTGTTAAATTAGAGACACGTACAACAGTTTCTATTTAAACAAGAATCTAAAGCCACAATAACTCATTGCTTTCTATTTCTTGTGGTCATTTAGCATTCCACTTGTCTTTGTTCCCCATTCAAAAAGTACATGATTTTCAGTCACTCTAATTTAAATCTTTGTATTGATAACAACTTTAAGACCCCATAATTTTACACTATTTTAGATTCAAGTTGCATAAATATTGCAAAATTTACAAACTCTTGATTATTGATACATTTTGCATGTTGATGATTCACAAGATTAAAGTTTTCCCACTATATTCCTAGAGACGTCTACCCCTCCAATTCTTTGGTGCTAATCCTTATCATATGCATAATTGTTTCTTTGTTAATTAATTGTCTAACTTATCAAAGCATGCATGTGTATGTCAAAAGGTTCCACTACCACTACCTTGAGTTTTTATAATGGTTTGATCATGTAGATAAAAGGGGCATTGGCCATAATTGAATAAATGGATGCTGAATCCATCTTACTCAGGAATTAACATATGGAGAAGTGAGTATACTATGATCAACATACTTGGGATTTTATGATATAGAAAGAATAATATCACATGTGAATTTTATCGGCAGAATTTCTAGGGGATGATAACCTTTTTCATTTCATTAGGCTTAGATTCTAATACCCAAAAGTCTAGAAATCAACAAAAGGATGAATAGTGCAGAATATGAAAGATGGCATATAAGCATAATAATAATAATAACAAAAAGGATGATAAAACTGCACAATAGATATGATTTTCATTTGTAACAAAGAATATAGAGTGCTATCTGAATGTCTAAACCCTGCCAAATATGACATAGCATATGTCAACCAAATCAAGAAATAGGAAGTGAGCGGTGAGTCAGAGTAGGAGCTTCTTTCCACCCAGAAATTAATCAAAATGGTAAATTACAAGAAAAAAATGCAACTACAGGGAAGAAGTCTACTTCAAAAGCTTAAATATTTAAATGGTAACTCACAAGTGAAACCTGAAAGACATCATATATATCCAATGGAGTGGAGAAGCATTTTAGCCAAGTATAATTGATAGATTAAAAGGAGTGCTCATCCTCTTCGAGCGCATTGAAAATCAACCTACAAATGTAAGAGCAGTTATGGTGGTGCATTCATTCAATTTTTAATGAAGTTAGAAGGAGTTCAAGAATAATTGTTACTGTAATGATTTACGACCAGATAGTATATTTCACTTACCAGACTAAGGACATGAAGAGAAGAAGTAGGATATAACCAAGCTTGAAAAGTCGTTGCTTCTTTTCCCAATTGAGCAAGTTAAAGATCTCTGTTACATCTACAAGGTGCTGCCCTTTAAGGTACCTGGCTCAAAGAATAGATCTGTTTTAAGAGAAAATGACCAAGATATCCTATGCTACTTCTCTCACTAATTGATTGAACTGAAGGAAAACATGTATAAATGGTATGAGATACTAATTTAAAACCCCTAAATCAAGTTATCATCCTGGCCATCTTCATAGACATGCACACCCACATTTTATGGCCTCCGTCTGCCATCTCATGGATGGACATTTACTACTTATAATCTCAGGCTAATAGCTATTTCCACAACAACATTTACATTTCTCACAAAAAAACCAAGAATGTAGGAATATCAACAGCATGGATAAGCAAGTCGCCCAGAGTAGAGGCACTTTAATCTCTTTTCAACCAAATGAAGTTAGGGAATGTTCTTCCTCGTGCTAGTTAATAAAGGGCTAGAATTGTCATGCTTCCTACACTTGTCAAACCACCCAATTTTCATTTATGATCCCAAAAAGCAGTAGGGAAAAAGATCTTACAATCTCACATTGTAGTACAGGTATGGAACACAGAGGAGTGACATAATCCAATGGCCGGTGGCAAGAAACAGGAAACACAGAACTCCTTGTGTTATGAACTCTGGCATAACAAATTTGTTTATTTTCTTGGTGGAGTCATAAGGATTTATATAATCAAGCTCTAAATCTGCCAAACAGACAAGCTGCAAAACATTTGAAAAAGGAAGAAGTATTAATAACCCATATTAGATTTCAGTTTAACCGGCGAACTAGCGAACTTTGGTTATAGGCATGGAAACACCACATACTGCAAAAACCCAGATAAACCTTTACTCAACCACAAAGTATATGAACTCTATCCAGGCACCAGATCAAAGATTAGAACAACAGAAATTCGAAGCGCCTTATTTGGAACCCATAAAAGTGCCAAAAGAGTAGAAGTACTCTGCAAAAAATGCAATTTTTAATGTACATCTTTCCCAGAGCAATTCCAATAGGCGTAAACCAACTTCCTCAAAACAATACGCCAAAGCTCAACAAAATCTCATCGAAACAAAATCATTCCAATACCATAAGCACAAATCCAGCAAAGAAAGAGCTTTCCCATCCAATATATTACATAAAACAACTGAACAGCATTGCAACATGCATTACCTGTATGACGATCATAACCAGAAGGGCAATCGACAGTAAGAAAAAAAGCAGCCACACCAACACTTCCCCCATACCCCCTCTTTGTAGGATTTCCAACGTTCTTCTGTTTTCAAAGAACTCGGGTACAGATATATTTAGCACCAGGTCCGCCATGGCACTCCATTTAACACGAAAAGAATCCTAATTGATCGGCTGAAACCCGAATGGTCGGGCAAGGAACCCACGAATCACACGAGATAGGAACTCCCCGTCATCTTCAATGAATCACCATAGGAAGGCACTCAATCAACTTCAAATCAAAGTAAAAGCCCAATAACAACGTCAATAGAAAAGAAAGCCCAAATACTTAAATCAAAGGCCCATTTAAATTTGGAACTAAGGCCCAAATAGGCCCATCCCTCTTACCAACTATTCCTCACACCCATTATATTATTCACAACGATGCCATGCCAGATGTCGCCATCACTCATCAGCAATCGCCACTCCCACAAGGCCACAAGCGGACAAGCTTCGATCATCTGAGTTTTTTCTTCCTTCATTTTTTATTCTTATACAATGCCGAAGAAGTACAGTTAATCCGACAAGTACCAACGAAATACACATCACTCGAAGTCCCATCCCACAGACACTCATCCATCGAGCAAACCCCACTTCCGCAATGTTGCCTTACGCCACCGTGCAAGAGGCGGAAGCCGCCATTGGTAGATCCCTGACGGCGGCGGAAAACTTGTGGTTCAAGTATTCCGCCTCCAAGTCGGATTACCTCCTCTACTGCCACAACATCGTTTTTCTCTTCCTCATTTTTTCGCTTTTCCCCTTCTACTATCTCTTTCTTGAATATTTCTTCAATAAGTCTGTCGCAACTTACAAAATTCAGCCAAAAGTGAAGCTTTCGCTTTACGACACCATCCGATGCTACAAATCCGTCATGCGCATGTTTTTTCTCGTGGTCGGACCGCTTCAGCTCATCTCCTACCCCTCCGTTAAGGTAACTCCTTTGATTTTCAATTGAATCGATTTTCTAATAAATGGGGAAGAAGACATATACATGCCTTGTTCGCTCAATGCGGTATGAACTTGTTGCATGCTTGTTGAAATATTCAATTGAGTAGTTACTTCATCGAACAAAGAATTCGGAGTTTTATTGTAATGCTTCTTCGGATGCGCTTTACTTGATAAATGGTAATATTATATGGACTTTCTGATAAGTTGTCGTTTTTATGTCCCAAGGTGTTTGTAATTTATGAAGCTTGCGTCGGGCTTAATTATCATGGGTCTTATTAACATTGTTGTTGTGTTGAATGAAGTTCATAGGAATTCGAACAAGCCTGCCACTGCCTTCATTGTGGGAAATATTGTTGCAATTAGGAGTGTATTTCATTGTGGAGGATTACACCAACTATTGGATCCATAGATTTCTGCATTGCAAGTGGGGATATGAGAAAATTCACAAGGTTCATCATGAATACACTGCTCCGATTGGGTTTGCGGCGCCGTATGCACATTGGGCTGAGATTTTGATCCTCGGGATCCCATCTTTTCTTGGCCCTGCAATGGTCCCCGGACACATGATTACCTTTTGGCTGTGGATTGCTTTGAGGCAGATTGAGGCTATTGAGACTCACAGTGGGTAATGCACTTAGCATGCTTATTTGCTCGTGCTTTGATTTGATTCAGTTTATGTGATAGTCTCAAGTTTGATTGATTTGAATGTCATTTTCTTTGCTTGCTTTTGCTAATTGACCAAATGATGGCTCATCATTGGTAGTTAGTCATCACCTTTTCACTGTTTTCTTTTAGGATTTCAATAGATACGCTGGAAAGTAGATGCATTTGTGGGACGAGGTCGATTATAGTGGACTGACATTGACTTTTGTGCATGATGAGCAGGATTAGAAGGCATCCTGCAGCCCCCTAATATTCTTTTTCCTTCTTATTCATCTCTTTCTTTTTTTTCCCATTACTTTAGGAGAATAGTTTTTCAATTGCATGATCGCTTTGGACATTTAGGTGTATATCTGAATTTATACCTTGTAATATTATTGTGAACTCATTATTCACCCAAATTATTTTCTTTGCCGACACTGTTAACGTAGTATTTATGAAACACATTATCTATAGGTGGCCTGGTGGATAGTCATATGGTACTTGTAGTTTTCGCATGGTCTACATGGGCAAAGTAGGGATATCCTTAGTCCAAAAGTTGTCTTTATCAAATGGTGATATGTTAGGCGGAAGTGTTAAATCTTTGATTGCTTCTTTGAGTTTATTTATTTTTATTTAACTATCTTATGGACCTGTTTCATTTAATATCATTTTGAGGTAAATTGTCTCGAATTAGAAATTTTACACTCCCGTAATGAATTTTGGTTTCATTGACTTATTTTTGTTGATTTAGTAGGAACCAAAATTGTAATGAAATTATCATTTGCTAGACTTCTGATTATATTGACATAAAACTATATCCAATATTATTGACTTATTAGAGAGCAGTGCACAAGGCTGGTAAGAGATTATTTCCTAATGGGAGAACTGAAGTACTATAATACATGTAATTTCAAGAATCTTAGTCTTGTACCTAAATACACTAAATTCCAAGAGCTTTTTAGAATTTGAATTTATTAAAAGATGATTCATTTCATCAAGTTAGTAGATTCTGCTTATATTTTGTGCAGAAGGTGTGCCTGTAATATGCAGCCTATACATTTCTGCAGTGTAACCGGCTTCTACATGCGTTTTAACCTACTTCCTTCGATTGGACTGTAGTAAATGACATAAACATTTCAACCATTTAGCAGTTTTTTCTCTTGCTTCTTCAATTGACATATCAATTGAGAAATATATTCATTGGAACTGAGCCAGATTCTTCAAGTGCTTTTATGTGTGATCTGGTTACTACACTGAGTTTTTGAAATATTATTGGTATGTCTATTTTTTGTACTTAATTACAGTTAAAAGTTTAGGTTGTGCTCAGAAAGTGCAAAATGGGTATTCAATGATGGTGGTAGAATCTGACATAATTGTTGTCTATATAGTTGGCTCACGTCAGATATCTAATGTGGTGGTAAAAAGCGTGTTCTGAAACCACTCATAAGCAATTTCTGCATTCATTGTAAGGGCTCGTGAAAGCCTTTCTAGCATCATGTTCTTGGCTTATGGTTTTCGAACTATAATGATTCTTTTTCTGTTGCTTTTGTTCTTGAAGAGATAACTAGTTGTAATTCCTGCAGGTACGACCTCCCTTGGACGCCAACTAAATATGTTCCTTTCTATGGTGGCCCTGACTACCATGATTACCATCATTACGTTGGTGGCCAGAGCCAGAGTAATTTTGCATCCATATTCACATATTGTGATTACATTTATGGCACAGCCAAGGTGATTAAAGTTAATGTACTGCTCTCACAGCTGGTTGAATTTCAGCTCGAAATGTTGTTTTTACACAGTTTTTTCTTGTTAACAGGGATACCGTTATCAAAAGAAACTCATCCAGCAGGTAAGTAATTCTCCTTTCATTGTCATACAGACCTATTGAATGTGTACAGAATCGACATATTTTGTTGTATCTAACTAGGCGATGATAAGCTAGATAGCTTATTTCTAGTTGATCATTTCTTGTACTGTGTAATTAGAACTAAAGTTGACATTTATCCTGCCCATCCAGCTGCGAGAAGGAGTAAAGACGAATGGTGAGGAGAAGAATAAGATCGAACAAGGCCAGAAGCTCAACTAGTTGATCTAGAGGTATTGGTAGTTAATGTCTTATGCTTGTGAGAGCAAATCTGCTTCTGTCGTTTACGGTTAAGGAACACGGGTATGCTCTAGTTTAGGATTTGTGTTGTACAATGTTTATATCCGTGCAATGGCTTGATGTTCAATTCTGGAACGAGTTCATTGATTTATATGCCATTTGTGTTTCATGCACATATATTATTTCTTGTATTTAATGTGATCATGGTGGAAGTTAATAATGTGTCTGGGCCACAACATTAAATACCAATCCCCTGAACATTCATTCGATTTTATTACATCCAACTCAGAACTGGTCAGTGCATCCAGCACATTGCACATGACCAGTTCTCCAGAACAATTGATTGTTGCATAATAATAGATGAAAGCATCAAGTTGTAGGTTTGGGAGTGCCTTTGTTGTAATAATTTTATCAAATGGGGGAGGCCCATATCCAGGCTCAGCGAATCCAACCCAAAATTCATATGCATGTAAATGGAGTGGAGGTGAGTTTGGGTTCGGGTACGGGTACGGGTCATTGTCTTGTGGAAGAGTCTGACTCTGACCAATGAGAACATACTTACGTGTCTCTTTCAAAGCCACAACTGTTAACCGTTCTTTTCCCTCCAATTCCACCACCACCGAAGAAACACGCCCCCACCCCTGCTCGCCACCGCCAATGGCTTCCTCCGTGTCACCTGTCCAGCCCGGCAGGATCCGGGTGATGAAGCAAGCCTTGAATTGTACGGCTAAGCCAAAGGGTCCTGTGGTGTATTGGATGTTTAGGGATCAGCGGGTGAGAGATAACTGGGCTTTGATCCACGCATTGCATCAGGCTAATCAGTGGGAAGTGCCTGTTGCCATAGCGTTCAATTTATTCCATCAGTTCAAGGGCGCAAAGGCTCGGCAGTTAGGGTTTATGCTCAGAGGACTTAAGAAATTGAATTCTGATCTTCGGTCTACTCTACAGATTCCCTTTTTCTTGTTCCAGGTACCAGCCCTAATTTTACAATTAGAGTTTCTGTGATAATTTGAATTTTAGAAATGAATTTTACTAACCGTAATAGCTTGGTTTATGCGATGTTCTGCTTTGACACATTGGATTCCATATCAATGCCTTAACGTTTACCCTTTTCATAGGATTTTTTCGGAATAATAATGTTGTATTTCCCTATTGACTCTGTGTTTTGTGAATTGATTTTAAAGGGGGAAGCTGTAGACACCATTCCAAAATTTTTGGAAGACTGTGGGGCTTCCCTTTTGGTAACAGACTTCTCACCCCTCCGGGAGGTTCGCCAGTGGAAAGAGGAACTCTGCAAGAAAGTGAATGAATCGGTTTCTATTCATGAAGTTGATGCACACAATGTGGTGCCCCTTTGGGTAGCATCGGACAAATTGGAATATGGTGCCAGGACAATAAGAAGCAAAATAAACAAAGCACTTCCACAATACTTGGTTGATTTTCCTGAGCTCAATTTTCCCAAACGAAAATGGCCTTCCTTTAGCAACTCTATAGATTGGGATACTCTCATTGAAAGTGTTGTAAGGTGAGGTGCTCTGTCCTGTTAATTTAACTTTCTTTGGTCTTGTGCTGCCATTTATGCTGCTTAATGGTTTATATCAAACTGTATGACCAGACAAGGAGCAGAAGTTCCAGAACTTGAATGGTGTGAATCAGGTGAACAAGCAGCGTTGGAGGTACTAATGGGGGCTAAAAATGGATTCTTGAAAGCAAGATTGAAGAATTATCCTACAGACAGAAATAATCCATTGAAGCCCAAAGCTCTCTCTGGCCTCTCTCCATATCTGCACTTTGGTCAGATATCAGCACAGAGATGTGCTTTGGAGGCACACAAAGTTCAAAAACTACATCCACAGGTCTGTTGTCTTAAACAAAATGGATGTTAATTATACAATTAATCATCTTCTCTTTTCAACATTTACTTTGTCTCAATTATTTTATGTATATCAAGTTATTGAAGTTGACAAAATGATTGTTGTGGCTGCTATGTTGAAGGCAGTTGATGTCTTCTTGGAGGAACTGATTGTCCGCAGAGAACTTGCTGATAACTTCTGCTTCTACCAGCCACAGTATGATTCATTACTAGGTGCTTGGGAGTGGGCTCGTAAGACTTTGATGGACCATGCCTCTGATAAACGTGAACATATATACTCGTGAGTGATTTCTGCCAATTCTCATCTACAAACCAGCACTTCTTTTATCAGTGGTTGCTAACTGCTGTGGAAATTCTATGTCCTTTACAGGAGAGAGCAGTTGGAGAAAGGACAAACTGCTGATCCAGTAAGTAATGAGTGTTTTTCTCCAAAGAATATGGTGTATCTATTGAAAACAATTGTTTTGATACTTGATATTGGAGATGAAAATGTTTTGTGCCTTCACCTACTTCATTTGATGTGCATACGCACCTTAAAATCTTCCGTCTAAGTTTATGTCCCATAGATCTGATTCATGTTTGTTTCTCTGATGGCCCCTTCTTTCATTTCTTTCAGCTTTGGAATGCTTCTCAACTAGAAATGGTACACCATGGAAAGATGCATGGTTTTATGAGGCAAGTGTTGGTTTTATGAATTTTCTCTATGTTATTCTTGTTGAAATTTCATGTTTCAAATAGATCTTACAATATAAGTGCAGGATGTACTGGGCAAAAAAGATTCTTGAATGGACTACTGGACCAGAGGAAGCACTTGCAATCGCAATATACCTGAATGATAAGGTACATTGTCATTCACTTAATGGTGCTCTATTAAATTTACTTGGGTTTCCTGTGATAGGCATAATAGCTGCCTGAATACAAATTCCCGTTTTGGTCTGCAGTATCAGATAGATGGAAGGGATCCAAATGGTTATGTTGGATGCATGTGGTCCATATGTGGAATTCATGATCAGGTAATTATGCTAGTCCATCTCTCATAGCACATCTAGTGTTTGTAGATATTTCTAAACAAATTATCATCAAACTCAGTGTGTGTCTCCAGTGTGTGGTTGTGCACTTGTGTGTCGAGAAAATTAACACCAATGTTAATTGAGTATTTGAGTGATCCAGGGCTGGAAAGAGCGACCTGTTTTTGGAAAAATACGGTACATGAATTATGCAGGCTGCAAGAGAAAATTCGACGTGGATGGCTACATTGCATATGTAAAGAAGATGGTAGGGGAATGCAAGAAGAGGAAAGCAGAAGTCTTGCTCAATGACAAAGCAAAATCACTGCATACTTAGCCTTATTTGCTCAGGTTTGTATGCAGTTTCTTAATATCATATGTTATAATTTGTAGCTGTAATTTTTGCCTCTATGGACTGCTGCGACAAAAGAAGCCAGAGGACAGTTAGGATCACATGTTTAGGAGAGTGAAATTATGTGTTGCAGCTTGAAAGAAAGTGAAAATTAGTTATCTGTAGCTTTTCAACTGGAAACTGCTCGTGCTTTTTAACTGAATTAAATTTAAATCTCAGTGGTTTCGTTTTCATAAATGAATAGTTGAGCAAATATCGAAGGGCACCCCTTTAAAAAGGTTACCTTAACAAAGTGAGAGTCACTTCCCCTTTTTCCTCAAATAATGCCTTTCAATTCCAATTTCAATCTTTTTCTAAAAGTAAAATGTAAAAGAAGAGAAGATGCAAATTTATCAGGAAAGGAGAAAAAGGTGAAAAAAAAAGGAAAGGACTAGTATGATCTTTTCTTTTTGAATAATGTATCTGTGGCCCAATCAAGTAAGTTTATAATGCACATCTCTCTTAAACTATCATTTTATTTTTTGTGTGTTGGGACAATTTTTCTTGTTGCCCCTTGAGGACCCACTTGATAAGCTTAGTGTACAAACTCTTATCAATTGTCAAATTATTGAGTACCTCTGGATAAAGAACTAAAAACCAACTGATTTGGACATGGAACCTCCCAAATTCAAGATCCCAAAATTAATCAGCATACAGCAGTTATCAGCAAAGACAAACACCTGCCCTCAAAAGGCTTTCCAAGACTATACATACAAAAGAGCAATGAGTTGTACTGTATTTGTTTCATTCAACAGTAGTATTTCCATTGCCCAACATGGTCCCTAGAGGCCCATTGACAGTGCCTGCACTAGATCATGACCCCATAAATGAAAAAGAACAAATAATTCTTTTACTTCACACAGAGGGGAAATAAAAGAGATACACTTGTGTCCATGAACATGCATTCACATGAAACCTCCAAAAAACTGCCCATTTCACAGAGGGCTATAATTATTAGATTCCATATGCAAGAATTTTGTCTCAATCTTCAAAAGATACACAACCCAATCCCATTACTAGAAACATACTGATAAAAGCAAGAACCCCTAACACATTGACCAAACTGATGGGTCAATTTGTAGTAGATATATAAAAACAAGAGCATAAATCCAAAGCTTTTACTTTCCCTCTTAGATTATCACCAAAACCAACAAGTTTCTTGATCCTACAAACCCACAGTCCACATCCACTATTTTTTTAAATTCACACAATCATCAAAAAAAGTAGTAAAAGACATAACATTAATTTTTCCTATGTTGGATGGAATTACCCAAGGAAAATTGTCTATGCTCATCCAATGGTGAGGGTGAACCTATCATATGATGGCCTGTTTGATAGGAAGGAGATGGGGTGAAGCCCTTCTCATACAAGTCACTAATATTGCCACCATTGTTGTTGTAATACCTGCAAAGAACCTTGCACTTGACCACATTGTCATAAACATAGAATCCAGGGGTGACCATGATCCTAACCATCGTCGGAATCAGCATTTTGGCCTTGTCTCCTCCCATATCCTCCATGTAAACCGGGTCGAAACCGACTCCTTTATCGACCCTAAAAACAGGCAAGCTCGGATGCACCGAATTGGCCAAGAGGTGCACTAGCCATACGGCCTTAGACGCCCCAAAAAAGGCTTGCAAAAGCGGCTCTGGCCACGACTTGTTCCACCCCAACATAGCCACTATCTCACTCATTTTCCTGTCGCAGAACTTGCTGAATTCCTCACTAAAATGCCTTGTCCCCTTGTTCAGCACTTCCTCCCACGTCAACCCCTGTAGCCGACTAAACATCGCGAAATTTGCCTCGCATTGATCCATCGGATTCAGCACTGCATTCGGAGCACTCTTTTGGAACCCGCTCGATTCAAAGTCTTCGTAGAATGCCCTGTTTAGCAAAGCCTCCATGTAGAAAAGCAAGCCTCTGGGATTTCTTGAAAATGAAATCTTGATATCATATGGCTGCAGTAAAGATGAAATTCGATCACACACTTTCGGCCCCATTTGCCGGAGCTGAAGTGCCAGGGCCCGGCTCAGAATCCTGACCGTTGATCTCGCCTCAGAAACTGATACCAAGAAATGATCAATCACCTTATTCTGATCCCCTACATTCACGCGGTGATAACTCAAACGGGAAGGAGATTTGTGCTGTTTCTGGTACTGAGAATTGTTGCCGTTGCTGCAGATTTCAAGCCCTGATTTCAAACTATGGCAGTAGATTTCCAATTTGTTAAGCTTCTTCTCAAGCTCGGCCATGGAATACTTGAGCTTCGAAGCTTCTAGAATAGCTTCATCCCGCTTTCTCGAGGCCAGTATCAGCTTGTTCGAGAGCTCGGCCACCACAATCTTCCAATGCTCCTCCCTCGACGCGGCGGAGCCGCCACCGCCGCCGCCGCCGCTGCCTACCGATGAGCACCTGGGGCTTCTCCTATGCGCTATAGACGAGAGGATCGACTTAAATATCCCGTTCGGACTCGCCATGGACAGCCTGTGGACTCCATTGTTTTCCAACGGGACAACTGAGATTTTTTCCCGACTGCTCGGTCTGCACTTGTTGCAAGAAACGCCGGTGGCGTCGTCGTTTTCCGGCCGCTTTCTCGACGATCCTTTGCTCCGGCTTTTATCTGGATGCAATGGCGTCGGTTGGTGCCTGTAATTGGAATAATCACTGTCTCGTTTCTCCGTGTATTCACTTGCCGGCGTTGTTGCTCTGAAACTGTTTCTTCCTTGCGAGAATTCCTCCTCCTCGTTTCCTTCTTCAATCTGAACCAGATGAAACAGGAAATCAAAATATAAACCCTAAATGCCAGGTTATCATACAGGGATCACGAAAATACTTACAGGAGTGAAGTGGGTAGGGTTGTGAGGGGAGATGGACGCTTTGGTGGAGGAGGAAGACGAAGAAGTCGCCAAAGAAGACATCATTATCCAAATCCCTTTTCCAGCTTCAAGGACGAGAGGATGAACTGGCACACGAATTCATCACATAGTTTCACAAATGCGAAAGAACACCCCAAGATCGATTCTTTTTAAGTTTCGTGACGATCTTGAATGCTGCCCTTCCCTTTCCCCGTCGATGAATTTCTTTTGAGCTTCCCGTCGCTGATATCTTCGGCAATTTGTGTTTGCGAAGAGAGCAATATAAAGTAGCATTAATTCGATCTTCATCTACCCAGAGACGATAGAGCAGAACAATCACTAAATGCAGAGAGCTCACGCGCCGTTTGAACAAGCATCAAACGTTGTCCTCTTGACAGCAATCGTTTCAAGCACCACGGACTCCAACAGCCAAGTTGATCCAAACCGTGCATTTTGTGAACCTCAGAGTATCAACGGTTCAGATCTGTCTGGAGTCGAGACTCTCGGAGATAGATAGCATTTACCCGCTAGTATTAGCTGATTTGTAATTGGTCCGTGAGATGCACTCGACTCGTGTAAAAGGAAAGTCCCCGAAGCGTTTGACCCATGTAGTAATAGTAGTAGTAGTAGTAATAATAATAATAATAATAATAATAATGTACTAGTAATAGAATAATTCGTTGCTTGATTATAGAAGGTACTTAAAAATAATTGCACTTAATTTTGTTTAATAGGATTTTAAAAGGCAGCTGTAATTATGTCGTAATTGTACTCGGTTGCAATTGCAAATAAATCATCTGCATTTTATTACCGTTATTAAATCATGATTGTCCACGAAATTAAATAAATTATTCAAAAAAATTTAAGGGTATGGACGCAGGCAAATTGGTAGCAATAAATATTTGACAGCAATAGGAGTTGGCAGCGCAGGAGGAAGGGAAGGCCATGTTACATTTCTCCAGAACATTAATTGCTACACCCATTTTCCCCTCTCTGCACGGAATATCATTTTTGGATTTTTATCATTCATTACTTTTTATCTCTCTTTCTCTATCTCTATCTCTGCATAATAATATATTTGTTTATAGATTTGATATCGTCTGTGACAATTCGTCGTAACTTTTTACTAATCAAGAAACTTTTCATAGACTGCATTCAAAGATCATAATTATTGCTGGACAAGATAGTAGTAATAGATAAATGAACGTCCATATGCTCCATAATAAAAAAAAACGTATAAAAATATGTGAATCACGAAATCAAAGCCCAAATCAAGAAAGTAGATCGAACAATTCAATAGGTAACAGTCGTAAAATGACAAAGCCAACCACACCACGATGTAGGGAACCAAAGCAGAGGCGGCGACCCAAAAAAAAAGAAATGACAACCGGAGAAGGGCGGACGATGGATAGCGAACAACGGTGGTGACGACTAGGGTTTTGGTTTTAAAAAACCATGTTCTGATACCATGTTAGAAATTTGAGGGGAAAATAATGAGATTGTATTATTGATCATCAAAATATATAAAGAATACAAAATAAATTCAAATCTAAGTAATTTAATCTATAGATACGATTAAATCTAGATATAAATATATTAAATGTAAAATTGAATATCTAAAATATCTCGACAACAACAGACAATGACGCGGGCGTTGCATTAAGGTAATGAAAATTACTTTCAGAGTAGGGATTATATGACAAGCAATGCTCAATTTAATTCATGGTAGTGAAAAAGTGATGATTTCTATTTATTGCAGTGACAGAATGTACAGCACAGCATCATCGTTTTGACATGAAAATAAATACAAGACTGAAAAGCATGGCTGGGTGATGCTGTACTAGGACTAAAACAGTACCAGTGTATTCGTGCATGGAAGTCGGTAAAACGACGTCGTAAAGTAGTGTGGTTCTGATAAGTCATGGTTGCGACATTTATGACTTATAACAACCTTATTTATTGCATATATGTCTCGTTTGTCACGAAGCCCACGACTGTCCCTCCCAGTGCCTGCGTCTCTCTCTCTCTCTCTCTCACTCAAATTGTGTTTTATATTCGCTATTTTTGGGCTGAATTTCAACTATTTTATTTTGTAAATTGATTTGTATGCACGATGATATTGATGACATATTTAATAGTCATATGTTTGTATGTAAATTAATAGATTATTTTTTAAAATGTGGACATGGTCCGTTATTACTACGCACAAATGTGTGTTTATTGTATGGAATTATATATTAATGGTGTGATTGGCATTATATCGAAGATATTAATAGGACAAAAATTCAATTTTGCTAAAGAATATTAGCTACAAAATAGGACCACACTATAAATAAACATTCGTTGCAATTAAATGCTCTTTTTATTTTCCACATTTTCACAATGTCCAGAATAAATTCTAGCTGCAAGTCGTTGTATACGACTGTGTACACATTTAAAAATTATTACAGTTCCTGTACAATGAATGATAACAGCGGCACAGTCACAGTCACAGTCACAGACACTCAATGCATTTACAATATCATATTCTTTATTTAAAAAATAAATAAATTATGGCATAAGCTTAAACTCAAGCAAAATCTTCAAGTAATCTGAAAACATTAATTTTCCCCATTGATATATACAATTTAATGTATTATATTTGTTTTCATGCAGTTGGGTGTGATTGTGAACATAATAAATGATAACAGCATGGGGTAGTGCTGTTCTTTAAATGGTGTGGACAAAATTTTAGTGAGCATCACGAGATCATGTCCTTCTCCTCCTCCTTCTTCAATCTCTTTATTATTAAATTTAACATTTGAAGAAAATTATGTGTACATATATTAATACTAGCCTTGTCGAATACTATTGAGCCACAAATTGTAGTCCAGTTATCACTTGCCCAAATCCCTCGTCGAGGCCCAAATGGAGTTGTAGACAGAGAGACTCCTATATTTTAGATTTGCTCATTTATCCAAACATTAAACTAAAATTGCGTGTTTATTTTGCTTGAGTTTGATAGAAATTTAGTATTAAAATAATATTTGATAACATATTTTATAATATATATATATATTTTTTAAAAAATACATAGTTCAAATTGTAAAAATTTAACAAAAATTGACAAAAAATATTTCTTTTAATCATATTATAGTTTCGATTTATTATATTCCTCGTTCAAATTAAAATTAATCATATTAAAATAAAAAACAATTAGTTTTAATATCAATTTTGATTTTACAGTTACAAAATTAATTCAAATGGATACGACATGAAATTTGATTTAAACCGCACACAGTTGTGTTATTTACAGCAAACACTCATTACACACCCTTTACATTATTTCTCTTAACTCCCTTTCTGACGGTTCAGGGTTCAGATTCGAACCGAACCGCCGCCGGTCTGGATCGGCGGTTTGAAAGTAATGGGCAAGTCACCCCTCAACCCTCGATCGCCTCGGTTGATTCATGTCTCACCGCCCGTTCGTGTTGGTGCTCTGTACCCGGCTTTCACCATTATTCCCCTTCGTTGTGTATTTTTCTCAGGCTTCGCCTTCGTCGATCAGGTCGTCTGTCGTCTTGACGTCCACTTTTTCTACGGCTTTGTAAGTTTATTTTTTCTACTAAATATGCTTGTTCGGAGGTTTTGTAGATTTTTGAAGAATATCTTTGATTTTTTAGGATCAATTGAATTTTATTATTAAATAGCATATATATTTCGGTCAGCGGATTTGTTTGGTTCTGATACGATTGCCAGATATTTTTTCGGTTCATAACTAGAAAATTTGCACGCAAATTTAAGGATGCAGGTTTGAAATGTGGTCTCAGTTTGGGGATTAAATCCAATGGCTAACTTCTCTCTTTCTTTATTATCGTTGCCCTCCACCGATGAATCCACAACCTATGTTATTTGCGAAGAATAATGATGTTATTGCCATTGTTATATTTGAAATATTAGGCTGACTCCGCGTGATTGCTTTTTCAGTGCAAATAGCTAGTGGAACTAAGAGTTGTTTGGAGTTTTAAGTTTAGTTCACGGATTAGTGTGAATATTTTTCTTGCAATTTAAAATTCTACATGGTAGCTGTAAATTATTTTATTGCAATTCTTGAGTTTCTTGTCTGTTCCCACCATTCCAACTTTGAGCTAGATCCTTTTTATTTTTGTTCTTTCAAATGACAATAAAAAAAAATCGTCTTTCATGAACTTATGATTGAATTAAAGTAATTCATTATTTTGAATTTATATTGCTCTAGAATGCTATTGGTGCAACTAGGCGAATAAATAGTTAAGAAAAAAGGGCGAAGAGGGGAATAGTGTGATTAAAGAGCAGAATTGTGGAGGAAGGGTAACATTTAAGGGGTCTGGGTGGTGAGTATGGAGATTCGCATTAAGGAATTATGAGAATACTTGAAAGTAACAATTATGAAGTTGCTTTGAATTCCATATAAGACAAGTGTCTTAAGTTAAAAAAATACACACAAAATTGTTAGTCTAGGAGAGTAGGAGTTCTGGAACCACTACATATTTATATCGTATATCTCCAAACCACTTTGGGGTCTACTTCCTAGAATAAGTTGTTGACACTTGACATTTATTTTAATAGCCTGTAGTTGAACTATCTCGATCGGGTAAATATTGTCATTGTCCTCTCAATTAGTGGTGTAGTATAGTTGTATAAGATGATTCCTTCTGTGATGATTAGCAGTGTATTGTACATGAATTTTGGGGCTGGTAATTGTTGAGTTTTGAACTATGATTGTATTTTTTGTACTTAATTTCCTGTTTGATTAAGTTGGTTTCAATTCATGAGATGATTTTTTGGCTTATGACGTGCAGCTTCAACTGATTTGGTTAAGCTGCTGTTTATATGGATAATAAAATATGATGGACAATAATAGTACTGAAACTGTAAGTCCAAGAGTGATGGAACTGTGTACTGGAGAAAAGACTGGAGAAGACAGTTGCGGATTCCAAATTACAAATTTTTCCCATGTATCTGACGATGTTACCCTTCATTTTCAAATTATTCGACTTCACAAACAGGTGTGTGGAAGTTTTCTTCTTGGGTTTCTTTTTTGACTAATATTCCATGTTTAGTATTGATGGTTTCTATACGAATTTTGGTTGTGCAAAATTATTTTGTTCATTCTATTCTTTTTTCTTGTTTATAATTTGTTGAGTGGTGTCATTTGTTCTCCTATGAAATTTCAAACGCACTAATATGTGGTATGTTTTTCGTGTTATTATTCGCGTTTTTATTGTTTGTCTTCTCAAAGTGCAATGCTGGGTATGTGATTTTTTTTGGGATCTAAAGGCCTCAGGTGGCTAACAAGCTCACTTGTTCCTATAATGTACATGAAAGTTTTGATCGTTTTTTATTTATGAATTAAAATGGAATATTTATGAGGGTCTTGCAAGCGTTGGTGTTGGTAAATGTTCTATTTACCATGTCACAAGTTAAATGTTCATTTTCTCAGTGTAGATTTATGCATGGGTTGGTTGCAACTCCTTAAAGCTTGGACATATATATGCAGCAGCACCTACACGAGTAGTAAGTCGAAGATATTTTTCATAGTTTAGTTTGTTCTTTATGTAAAGTTCCAAGATCATTCCATTCTCAACTCCATGTGTTGACTACTTTCTGACATGCCTTAGAAGATTAATATTTGGGGGTATCTATCAGACGTCACTTCCCATTGTTGTTATAATTACAAGAACAAATATTGTGCAAGGGCATGCTCATACCAGTTGTCATCTTGCACAGAATGATGCTGTTGGCGTAGCTTCTTTAATTGGTGGGGCTTCTGATAATGTAGGATCTGGTATCGCACGACGGGCAGGTTTGTTTTTCTTAAGTAAATTTGGTCCTACACGATTGGGTAGCCATTTACCTCTGATTAAATGGCTTGTATTTCAGTTCTGAAGACTGGCCTCAACGTTATATTTGCTTGTAATATACCACAAAAGAGCCCCATGCTTGAGGTTAGGTCTATCTCTCTCCCCCAATAAATTCGTTAGTTTCATTCATTGTAGTATTGGCATTGTTATTTTATAATGTGTTCAGGCAAATGCTGAGAAAATTCTAGTGCAAAAGCTCTTCGCTTTGGGATACGCCAAACCAAAAGTCTAATTGGCACCAGTGCCGGATGCATTTTTACATTTACATTTACATTTACAGTGAGTTGTATTGTTGCCACAATTTGTTCTGAGCCTAACAATTTTTACTTTTGTTATTAGTTTTCTGTACCCACCCTACCAAACATAACTTATACATTTTAATAGTGGTTGGATTGTTACGCCCTGTTCTGATTGAATGTCATCTTACATTCAATTTCATCATCCAATTTAGTATATTAAGGCTTTGTTTATACAATCTTGATACTATTTAATTTTTTCAAAAAAATCATATATATATATATTTTCCATAAAACATATTAAATATAAATTTTTTAATTTTTTTTTTTTTTTTTAAATTTTCAAGTCACGGAGCTTATTGTCTGTGTATATATATATATATATATGTAATATTTTATTCTATTTTTTAATCGGAATATGTAAAATGTAATATTTCATTTAATTCAATAAAAAGATGCACCGCAGTATGGGCTAAAATTGAATTATACTATTTGAGCCCATTATGGCCTAATAGCTTCAACCTAGCGGAGCATTCAATAGTCCAATTCATTTTCCAGAATCTTCTAGGGGTTCCTCTGTCTCTCGACTCGAGGGACGGTACGGGTGAATGATCGATCGTTTTCTACATCTATTTGAGCCCATTAAAGGCGCATCTACTTGAGGGCGGCATGTGATTTCTACCTCTCCTGGGGACGACGTGGTCGCTGCATCTCAAGCCTTTGTCGCCCCTTCCCCTCTGAAATTGAAATCATCGCTAGTAAGCCCGAAGATCATACGGTAAAACCTGTTATCCTCTCGATTATTGACTTAATATAGACGCATGCCAACTATTCCTTTCGTGATATTTTGGTTAAGATTTAATGCTTCTTTTGTTCGTATTAGTGATGTGTTTCGTTAATTTCTAGTTGATTATTTTTGAGAATTGTATGTATATTGTATTTTCTATAAATTTCGTCGTGATGTCGTTATGTATTCGAGTTCTTGTGGATTTCATTTGAAGAAGGCGGTTCTATAAGACTGACGATTAGACGCTTTTCTAATTTTTATATATATTAAAATAACGACAGTTTGTCCTTTGCTTGTTTATTGATATACGGTAAGCCGTATGGATTTAAATCTGCGATAATAATTGCAGTTAAAGATTTTAATCAATTAGGCGAATTCAACCTAATTCTGCAGTTGATCTCTTGAAAGATAGAAACCCTAGTAATGGTAATTGGTTAGGTTTGATCTTGGCAAAGGAGGTCGAAAAAATTTCTGTGTGTCATCACCGTCTTGTTTTTAAAAGTGAATGGCGACTCATCTCTCTTACCATCAATAGCTTTTTTTTATGGGCTTGAAACATTTGCTACAGTTGATGCCACACTTATTTAATTTTAGCTCTAAATATCATGTAGTTAACTTGTAGTAACAATTTTTTTAGTTTTTGATAAATGCTATAGATTGTCCTAAGATTTGAAGTATAGTGTTATGCATGGTAGTGGATAGTTTTTAGATGATTTGGATCACCAAAATTTTCACAAGTGAGTACCTCGGTGCATTTGAATGCTGTGCTATAAATGCCAACATCAATTCTGACGCATCTATAATCAAATTTGTAAAACACAATCCATAACATTTGCTGCATTCCTATGATTGTGAAATGTTATTTAAAGATTTATCTTCTGGTTCTTCATGAAACTGCTAGATGTTGTTATCTGTCTCGAAGTGCTAATATAGCTACGTGTTTATGAGCTACTGTCTCTTCCAAGTCTGAAAGACTGCTTGTTCCTGTAAGATCCCAACAAGTATGTTTAGCAATGTGAAATTACTTTTACATAAGACAATATGAAGCTTTGTAATAAGGGATGTTGTTTGTATATTTCTTTCCCAGAGAGCTAGGGACAACAAAATGCAAGGACGCGGAGATCCGTTCTTCGGATTTGGAGACCCTTTTGGCAGTTCTGGTGGCCCTTTTGGTAGTTTTGGTGGCTTTAGAAGACGAGAGAGGAGCCTGATTTCTAACTTTTTTGGAGGAAGGGATCCATTCGATGATCCCTTTTTTACACGCCCCTTTGGGAGCATGTTCGGTTCTAGCTTTTTCAGCTCCTCTGAAGGTCCATTTATGAATCCCCATCATTCTGGATTTCTTGAACAAGAACCTTCACAGTCTAATCGACCAAGGGGGCCAATAATTAAGGAGCTGAACTCTGATAATGAAGAAGATGAAAGTGAAGATGGGCAGGAGAAACAAGGGAATTTAAGAAAACATCGCAGATCTACCCAAGAGCCATTCATAGAGGATCCTGAAGATGAGAACACCGGTAAGTGTTTTGGCTTTTGGAATGCCTGATATAAGTCTTGGTCCTAATGTTTGTTTAGAATAAGGGTAGTGATGGACTTAATCTACCCTGTTGTAGAGAAAAAGAGCAGGCATATGTCTCAAAGAAATGACAATAACCAGATACACTTAACTAGGAGTCAACCCCAGTCACATACCTTCACTTTTCAAAGCTCTAGTGTTTCTTATGGTGGTGCAAGTGGTGCTTACTACACGTCTTCTAGGACAAGGAGATCGGGGAGTGATGGAGTAAGATGAACCATTTTGCCTCACTTTTCTTGTTTCATTCATGTTTTTGCCCACTGTTGAATATGATTCTCATTAATATATGTTGTGTAATCTAGTTGACTTTCGAAGAGTGCAAAGAAGCCAATTCAGCTACCCGCCAAGCAACTCATAGAATTTCAAGAGGACTTCATGATAAGGTATTGTTCTAACTTCTCTGCTACCACTTGCTTAACGGTGATATCAATCTTGATCTAGGCTAAAACATTGGCATCATGTTTTTAGGGGCATTCTGTCACTAGGGAATTGAAGTCGGATGGCCATGTTGACACAATGCAGACACTGCATAACCTCAATGAAGGTATTCTGATACTTTGTGCCTTGAAGTTAAACATTCTGATGTTACTGTTCTAACTAATATGGGTATCTTCTTGCTTAGATGAACTTACTGGTTTTGAGGAAGCATGGAAAGGCAGTGCTAGAAGGAATCTCCCTGGATGGAGTGAAGGGCTTTCTATTCAAGATTCTATGGGTATAGTATCTTCTGTGCTTCTCTCTCCCCCTCCCCTCTGTTGTTACCACGCTGAAACTCACTGTATGTTAAACTGTGGTGCCTCTTTTGCTTGCCTGGTAACTAGTGAGAAGTTCATATTGTACTGATTTTCGTAGTATAAAGCATGTGTTCCAATCAATGCATTTGGTGGGGCTGGTCTGCCAAATTAATTGTTTAAACCATCTCGTTAGTGAAATAAGCTTGTCTTTGTGCGTGATACTGAGCTGAAATTTGGTTGCATGTTCCAACATGTTTATATATTCATTTCTGGGAGGAATTCATTGTTTAAACGTCTTGCTTGAAAGAATTAAATCAGAAGGGAAGAAGCCATTTTAGTAATGTGTGATAGTATACTATTGTGTCATTGTTCCCAACCATTGTATTCCTATCCATCTTGCGCTGTTCTGATACGATGATGTTTTATTTTAGTAGAAGCGTACTAATTCCTTGGTGATTTCTTCCAGGACCTGGAGGTGGCGGTCAGCACAGGCCTAATAGAGGTGGGTGGGCACTCCCTCCTGCTGAAAGACCAACAAATGGTGGAAACTTCCAGTCAGATGCAGTTGGTATGGCTGGCCCTGCACCATATCGTCAAAGAATGAAAACTAATCATAATGATGGAACAAGCTCTTGGCGCCACAGATCTAAAGGTAGCAGCAGTCAAGCCGGTAAGCGTTAGGAACCTACCTAACCTTCTCAGTTGCCAATTCTCTCTTCTTGCCAATCCTCTCCTATTCATGAATGCACGACGAGGCATTGCATATCTGTTAAGAGGAATTTGTATGTTTGTGATGGTTGTGTTTGAATGCTATGGATGGAGTGTTATATAGCATAAATAAATTCTGCGTTGTTTGTACTGATTTTAGGTCATATAGCTTGGGATATTTTGCACCTTCTACCAAAAGCAACAGTGCTATTGACTTAGTTTTGTTGGGCCCAGTATACGGTCCACCTAGTACTTAAGGGCCCAGAAAAATTGTCGGCTCAATCCCAGCAAGCCCCAAGCACCCTGACAATTTAAGTCAACTGGGGGCCCGCGAAAATGTCGGTGAAGGCCCATAGGGAGAGTTATGAAGGCACAGGCCAGTATATTGTCGGAAAAATGCTGACAGGCCCAATACAATGACGTCGCAGCCCATGATATTGTCGTCTGGTTACCGACAGGTCTAATAAATTGTGGCAGTCTTGTCGGCTTATTGCCGACAGATCCAATAAAATAGCGGCACCGTCAAATAAATTGTGCGCGGTCAATATTCTGGTCGGCTTATTGTCGACAGACCCAATCAAAAGGCGGCGTGGCCCATATTTAAGACCATAGGCCCAATGAAAAGACAAATGGGCCCTTTTGCAAAAGGGCCCATTATGAAGGTCTAGGCCCACAATGAAGGTCCAGCAGATAATGTCGGTTTTTTGTAGACAGGCCTGTACTCATGTCGGCTTATTGCCGACAGACCCAATCAAAAGGCGGCGTGGCCCATATTTAAGACCATAGGCCCAATGAAAAGACAAATAGGCTCTTTTGCAAAAGGGCCCATTATGAAGGTCCAGCAGATGATGTCGGTTTCTTGTAGACAGGCATGTACTCATGTCGGCTTATTGCCGACAGACTCAATCAAAAGGCGGCGTGGCCCATATTTAAGACCATAGGCCCAATGAAAAGACAAATGGGCTCCTTTGGAAAAGGGCCCATTATGAAGGTGGTCCAGGCCCACAATGAAGGTCCAGCAGATAATGTCGGTTTTTTGTAGACAGGCCTGTACTTATGTCGGCTTATTGCCGACAGACCCAATAAAGTAAATGCGCAGCCCATATTTAAGCCAATAGGCCCAATGAAAAGGCAGATGGGTTGTTTTGCAGATATGGCCATAATGAAGGTCCAGTGCAGATGTTGTCGGTTATTTTGTAGACAAGTCCATACTCGTGTACCCAATAAAATGAATGCGCGGCCCATATTAAAGCCAATAGGCCCAATAAAAATGGGCTCTTTTGCTTTCAGGCCCGCAATGAGAGCAGACGCAGGGATTGTGCGTGGAAAAGGCCCTATTGGATATGTTTTCATTTGCAACCAATCAAGAAATCCCAATATTCTACCGACAGCAACCACAAAAAACCAGTACAATATATCTAAGAAATCCTAATGCAAAAACTCTATTCCACATCATAAACCACACTGAAAATCACTGTTACGTGTTATAATGCATGATGCAGTCCATTCATGCAATTCCACAATATATCCAAATTCAATAGATACTTATGCAAGTAAGGCAAATCTAGCAAATCCAAGATGCAAATAAATGCAAATCCAACAAATCTCATAATAAATACTAATCAAGCAACAAAAATCTACTAACAGAAAATGCAAATAATGCAAATCGAGAACCAAAACATTGCAAATGCCGCAGTTGTGATTGAATTGTTTTGTTGAAACACCGTCTAAATTGCTAATCAAGCATAATGGAATACATAAGTTTTCTCAGTAGCATAAACTCAAAATAAGGAGGAGATTGCCTTTCAATAAAAAAGATCACATAATAAAGGCAGTCCTGCATTCTGAACCTCCGCATTCTGCATCATAAAGACGACCCTTTCTCTCAGTAGCGAATCAAGCCCAATATTGGTTGCATCATAACTCATGAATCATCCCATTGGAGAATTACTATAGTGAAGATATATTTGCAAACACCATAAATCAATCACGATCATCCCATTGGAGAATTGCTATAGTGAAGATATATTTGCAAACACTACATATCAATCACATCACATATTATAGTAAAGTTCACTCAGCCAGAAAAACACTTCAAGAACAATGTAATAAGGAATTCAATATGTTAAAAATTCATTTCCATAACATCAATACGATTAAATACTAGAAACAAGATAAAATTTCGATAAATAAAAACATCAACTAATTGAATAGAAAAGAGGTATATATCAAAACCCCATTCACATAAAAACCTAAGTTTAGAGAAAAACCAACTAGTGTTCCCAGTGACAAATCATTCCTCCAATATACTTTTGATCTACAACACCTGTATTACAATTTTTCTATTTTGGTTCATGTTTACTTGCAGCATAAGACGACTATTGCAACTTGTTAGATTAATAAGAATTCGTGTTTGTTTGGAGGACTGGATTTTAAATATACTATTCATCCCAATTTTTTTCCCAAAAAATATCAAATCAAACACCTATTTTTTTTTTTTTTTTTATTATACTAAAAATTAATTTTACATTCAAAACATCACATCAACACCTAATTATATCACATCATACAACTATTCAAATTTAAAATTTTTACTATTCAAATCCCAACTCAAAATCCAAACCCCCAAACAAACACACAATTAAATGTTCACAAAATATATGATGCACAAAAATATAACCATTTATCAATGTGCAATTCATAGCAATCAGATTGATCAACCCTTCGTCCACTAATTTAGCATAAGAAAACAAAGCAAGGAAAGGAGGCCATAGATGCAGATGCAACAATTGAAATAAACAAATTGAGGCTGGAGATGCAGCTCTCATAGTACCCAAAATTCATCAAATCGACAACCATTTGCAAATTGTTGTTTCCCTAAAAAATGTTCGAACCAGATGAAACCATAGTCTCAAAATTGAAAAATTTGAAAATAACATAGAAAATATAACCACGACATTCAGTAGCAACCGATCTATCCCAGTTTTATTTCATTGGACAATTTGTAATTTCTTAATTCCCAAAACCATCATGCATAAACCCTCAAACCATTTCATTCAAAAGCAAGCTCAATCCACGAATTCCTCAAACCAACATCGCATCAACAGAAAAGTTCGAGCATACGACATAATGCTCAGCAATAAATTGCCCACAAAAAACATCGACAAATCAAATTAAAGAAATGAGGAACACCAAAAACAATTGCGGCGTAATCATATTTCAAGATTAGAATATAAGTCTGCATTCTTGGAGTGTAAAAGCATACTGACTTTTCTTTCAACCGACGACGACGACAAGAGAGCTGGCGACAAAAACGATTGTTGGCCCCAACGTTGATCCGACGGCAACGGCACCGAGGGTTGGGTTGGCGTCCACGGCGACAAATACACAAACAGAATCATCTTTCTAAAAATCATTTTTGGGGAGGAATTTTGAGAGGGGGAAAGAGAAGAAAGAAGGGTAGAAAATGGGCTCGGTTAAATGACTTTGCAAAATCCGCCTCAGGTGGAGAAGGCGTGGAAAACAGGCTTACTGCATTGCAAGCCGTCAGAATGTTTAGAGCAATTATGCTATTGACTCTTTTGCAGATAAGACCCAGCAAAAAAGTCAACGGCATTATGGGTCTACTGAAATCAGCCGACAGCGTTATCTGTCGGCAAAAGAGCTGACAGCCTTATGGGCCTGCTTAAGTCAACCGAAAACATTACCGGCCAAACTGTAAAATAGGAGTCAAAGGCTATTTAGTTGGTCCAACTTCGGCCAGTCGAGTTGAGCCTCTTTGGGATAGCCGTACGTTCGTTAAACGCACAAGTCAAACTACAAAAAGGAAAATATTGGGGAATGTAACATTTTTCATAGATGTACAGATTTAATTATGTAATAATTTATATTTACATAAAAACAAATTAGCTCAAACCACAGTTAACACTGAAATACTGATTTAATTTTATTTTTTTCATTGTTAAATTTTCAGTTCTAATTTAAATACTACTAGAATTTACTGTGGATGATAACTTGCTGATCATCAAAATAAGTTGTTAACCAAAAAAGACAATTCAGAAAGCATACCGAGAGATGGACATACAATCCATCCATAAAGGTCCATAGAAGGGAAAGTGATGAAATAATATTGCCATGTGATTGCTGGAACCCTCCAAAACACACTTTCTCCTCTGCACCAACATAGTGGGAGTAAAACATACACCAGAAAGATGAATGTTTAAAATGACCACCATAATATAACTCAGCTAAAAAGCTGAGTAAATGAAGGATCTCCACACTCGGGCTGGCTTCATAGCATGATAGCACATATAAATACTCTTAATTCAGATCTTCATAGCAACAAAGTAAGAATCGAAACCTAGATACCACAACATACGGCCTACAATATTGTCACACTTAATCAAACAGATAGATCACTTACCTGGTTGCAGCCATGCATGTACAGCAGATGGTGAACACTACTGAGCAGTGCACACAATATTATGTTCTTTTCTATCCAGGCTTCAATAGCCTTTAAATGCTGTCTTGGTTTTTAGTAAATATGGCTGTAATACATAGTTGAGAGATGACAGTGCTGATTAGATATAACAAGAAACCACAGTCAATGTTGCTAACCATGTTAATAATGATCATATGATTGCATTTAGTATTGTGTTCTAAGCTACAAATTAAGAATATTGAATCAGTATAATCTTTAGGTATAAGAAATAAGTCATTCACTGTTAACATAATAAAGATTCTGTTTCGCGATATCAGGGATTCATATAAACGTAAAATTGCAGATGAAAAGCATATAACTCTCAATCAATAGATTGGACACACAATGAACATTGAATAACATTACCCATAATCTTAGCATCATAATCTAAAAGAAAATTTTAGCTCTTACGATATTTGCCTTTTTAGAAATGAAAGAATGCTGTGCACTTTTCTAGAAAACAATTTACACATTGCAACGAGCATCTGAAACTAAGAACACATAAAACTCCCACATAGGATATGAAACAAAATAAAAATGATAAGGAACATGGGTGAGTGCTCCACAATAGTCATGCCAATCAAGTAGCTCACCGTTGCAGGTCCAGCATGAAACCAAGAACATAGTTCAGTTCTTCTAATTTCATCTTTTGTTCATCTCAGCAAATCATAAACACCTTCATAACACAAAAATTAAAAAGTAAAATGAGATCTTTTAAAATCAGTAATCACTTGAATATCAGATAGTATATGCAAATATCAATACCTACCTTGATTTGTGTAGGTGACAAAAATCTCATTGCTAATCTCTTAAAAGTTTCCTGGGCAACTAAACCATCAGAACCACCAACTAATCATCACAAAAAGAAAAGGAAAATGGGATGTCAGCGTAACTTTATTAAAAAAAAAAATTCTGATTGATTAAACATAACAAAAAATCATAAAACAAACTTTATAACAAAACCCTCAAAGTCCAAAAGGGTCAAAAGATAGAAAGAAAAATCAACAAGATAAAAGAACGAATTTGAAAAACATACCCTCAAATCAAAGCAAATAAATTTTGGTGTAGTGAGTCTTTAAAGCTTCAAAAAGACCCCACATAACTTCGGAGATTGTTGACCACACAAAACCACTCCAACCCTGAGAATGGATAAAGAGAAATTTAATATATATATACACACATGCATATCTTTCAGTAGAATCCTAGTAAGATAGCATAATATAAAGATGCAATTCCATTTGATATATAATCCTGATAAAGCTAATAATTGATTAGCAATTATGTATTCATGAAGTTGAAGATTTGAACAGCCAATGAATACCTAACTGCAAGATGCTCAGTTGTTGACTGAGCACCAGGAACCTTGACAGTTGCCTGTAAGAAGTGTGTCCAAGGTTGACTGTAAATATGAGGAAAATACCTACTCAACTGGACTTGTGTGACCAGGATCTGTAATAATCAGAAGACACTTCCTTTAGGGTTTTGGGGTAGATAAAATTACTTTGGTTCTTGCTAAATCCCATTACTTGTATCACCTCAGAAGACGTTCCAGCAACCACCAAAACCTCTACTAAATCCAAAGCGCCAGACTCACTGGACTTGCCCGACCAGGATCTGCAATAATCAGAAACCACCAACAAATACAGTCAGTGATGGTAAACAAAGTGTTACCCACTCAGGATATCAGAATAGTTTATGAATTGAAATATAGCAGAAAAAATTACAAGGTGCGAAGTTTGTACAGATATATGCTTCGATCAAATATCCATATATACTGCAGTGGTCAAACACATACATCTCCCAAATTATATTAATATTTACATCGTGCTATTTCACTGCTCGGATTGCGCAATAATGCGAAGATTCATGAACATCAACATTCTCAATTGAAAATTAACTACGCATGTCACTAATTTAGGAACACCCACATTTTTTCAATCTTCATCGAAACTCCAACACACCCGACGCACACGTAACACACAGACACTTCAGTTCAAAGATCTTACAACTTGAACCCTAAAATCCAATCAAGAGGATACGCAATTTATAGTTTTATACCGCGCGTCGTCATTCTCCCAAACCAACGCCAAATAATCAAACCGGGGTCACGGCGTTGTCGCTCCGTGGCCCCACCGGAAAATCGAATACCGAAACCAGAGCACAGTCACACACAAGGATAGGACTACGCAGACAACCGAAATATAAAAAATAGATCATGTAAACCCAGCGAGACAAACCGTCAGTAAGAATTCGTGCTCTTCCTTTTCTTCTGCCGGCATCCTCTTCCACAGCTCAGATGATTCCCCGTCAACGATTCGCCGTAATTTGTTGTTCCTCGGGCTTCTCATGTTGTCCAGAGAGAGTTTTGGGTGAGCGGTTCCAAAAAATTATAAAACATATCGTAACCCCAGTTATCAACGGAAGATTTTATACTTCTTACAAACCCGACTAGACCGGACCCGACATTCAAACCCGACCATACCGGGTCGGGTTATAAGAATAAACTGATCCAAATGATCCGGTAATGGTAACACCAGGCTGAGAGACTATCTACGAATTCGAGGGGTACCAGGCAGCGTCCACCAGCCAGGCAGAGAATGGCAGCAGCGAGAGCCGCAACGAGCACGATGATGCTCGGTCGATTATTCTTCCGCTCCACGCTTTATTCGCATCCATCTACACGTTTGTTTCGGGCAACGTCGCCCTGTACTGGCCATAGCATTCTCCGGTGGCGAATGCCTGCGAGTTTCCCCACGATACGGTGCGCCTCGTCAAAACCAAGCGGCGAGGATAAGAAATCGCCAGCACGACTGGCAGAGGTTCAGCGGATGCTCTCCGAAGCTGAGGAGCGATACAAAGCAGCTGGAGGCGGCAAGGAGCCCGTTCCTAAAATTACTCTGGGTACACTTTTCTTATTTGCTGCTGATTGTGCGTAGGCAAACAAGTTTCCTTCTTTTTGAGGTTCTTTGGAACTTGTGTATATAGTTGATAGTTGACTTGGTATTATGTTTCTTTTGTGATCACTGCTGAAAAAGGTTTGAATATCCATCCACCAGGTAGGCTGTTGAACTGAAACTTCTATTGATGGTTGCTGGGTTTGAATGCAATTGGAGGAGTTTGAATTATAGAGGCTATATTGAATGTATAAGGAGCACGCCTGCTAACTGATTCATCAGGCTATTGTGTTATGCTGTTTCCCCTTCACTTAGCTATTAAATGATGTTTGAGAGGGTTTCCCACCAAGGATGCTTCCTCTCTTAACCATATATTTGATTAGGGTGATTAGATTATAAATGTTTGGCTTGAATTTAATGCTTTTTTGATATCAATGAACTGGATGCTAGGAATATGTTTATTCATTCATTTAGAGACTGGGTATGAATGTTCTTTATTTGTTTAGTTTTTGCATGCAGATCATGTCAGTGTAAGTTATGCAAGGAGCAGTGGACCTGGGGGTCAAAATGTCAACAAAGGTATCCCATGCCTTCATTCATTACTTGCACTTTATATTTTGGGTATGGAATTTGCTAATTAGATTCCTGGTTGCAGTAAACACCAAGGTTGATATGCGATTTAATGTAAAAAATGCTCATTGGTTAAGTGAAAGGGTGAGGGAGAGGATCATGCAAATGGTGAGTGGTATTGTGTGTGTGTGTGTGTGTTTTTTCCCTACTGTCGTGCTCCATTTCTTTCTATTTTGTCTGCTTGGTGTGACATTGCATGTATTTGTCTATGCTATGTATCTCATTCTACCTGCTTGCTTTTCTAGCACTAGATGCTTTTGGCAATGAGTTATAGGTGCTGCTGTCTTTTATTTTAGTTATGCTTAGGTATATATCTGATGGTGATTTTTAGCTTGTGTTAGGAACATGTTATCCCCTGTAGTCCAGGGATATGTTCGAGGATTGGTGTTTAAGTTGGTTGTATATGCCATTTTGACGTGATCATATTTATCAACCTTCTGGTTGTCTTGCTTTCATCTGTCTCCATTGTATTGCAATATCTGGACATTGTTTATTTCACTGTTTTATTGCCTTTTCTTTGTTGTGGCAAACTAAAGTTATCAGCCAAAAAAATTAATCTCATCTTATATAGGTTATGGCCCAATTTGTGCTTCGACATAAATTGGTTATGCCATGCCAAGTTTATGTACCCTATCACAGCATGCCAATAAATATTAAATCCATCTCTGGATCACAGATATTTCAGATTTCATTTCTGTATAATCCTTAAATTCACGTGGTGACAGGAGAAAAACCGCATCAATCGAGATGGAGAATTAGTGATTTCTTCTACGAAGACTAGAACTCAAAAGTAAAAATACAAAATTCTCTATCTTGAGTTATCTTTCAGGTTGCAAATTGAGAAATTTTACGTCATATTCTTGTGTTTAGGGGAAACGTTGAAGATGCTTTGGCAAAATTACAGGTATTCACTGATCGAAAATAGACAATGCAGGCATATGTAGAAATTTACAGGTATTACCGTGTTTTCTTAGATTTTTATATGGTTGGAGAACTGGTTCAGGGGGTGTTTCTTGGCCATGTTTTAGGAACACCCAAAGCTACCATCCTGGGTTCATTGCCAATATTTCTATTTATTTCCCCTTTTTGGGGTCTTAATCACTTGTGAATGAATGAGGCAGGAAATTATAGATGCTGCTTCATACGTCCCACCCCCTCCTTCACAAGAGACTGTCAAGAAGATAACAAAGCTGTAAGTGATTGGTTTGTCAAAATACATATTTCTCCTGGATCAATAGTATGTGTACATTATCTTGAATGGGTGGTCTATGGTGTTTTGTTAATAAATTATTGAACTATTCTTATGAGCAACATTCATCACATTTAAATCACTTTGAATACTAGACAAGAGTGAAAGGTTGTAGATTCACACTGACATAATCTATTTTCACTCCAAGGGCGGCCATTGGAGAGCAGAAACGACTTGACAAGAAGAAAGCCCAGTCACAAAAGAAGGCTATGCGAAGAAGCAGAGATAGTTGGGACTAGCATCAGGGAGAGGATGAGCATTGTTGTATTAATTGATTACTGGCCTAATGACTTCAGAACAAATTCTATTTGACAACACAAAAGTGCCAAATTATTGCTTTCATGGGAAGATTACCACTTGAAACTCCCTACCATCCCAGTTCTTCCATTTACTATAGCATACATACCTTCACACATTTGTCCTTTCATTGTGGATTTAATTGGCAGCATATATTAGACATTTGCCTTCAGAGATGCAATAAATTTGTCTGGTTTGTGATATTTGCTGCAAAAACTTAAACCGAACACAGGATTGTTTAAAATGATTGAAAAATAAATAAATTGGATCATAAAGCTACATCCTGCAATGTGGCTCTTCCAAGCATCTGACAAAACTTGCCACCGCTCATATAGTTTGAGGGCACTGACAGTCATCCTTCAAACAAAAGACCATTAAAATTTTCAATGACAGTTGAAGCAATAAAGATAATGTATACTTACAAAAAAACCACAAAGGAGTGTCACCTCACGCAAAAATAACAAGGGGGAATTATATTCCTGAACAAAACTTCAGACCATAATGTACAAAGAATCACAAGTAGAGTTTGCATGAAATCCCAGCAGCACATACGAATTAATGTACAAGAGTGGTGGTGTATTCAAATGTGAAGTTCATATTAGCTTCAGAAGCTACTATAGGTAGCTCATTCTCAAAGAAGGCTCTTAGTGCCAGAGGCACCAAGCATTCGCCGCTGGAACTAGGTAAGTGAGCTTTGGTGAGGAGCTGATTTTCAAACTCACCTGAATCTGAACCTTTAGAAGCTAGAGGTGGTTCACTTGTATTTGCAGGACCACCATGGTCGGTGGGGTCATCACCTTTTGGTGCATCTTCATTGCCTCCGTGTCTATCAGTTTGGTCACTTGAACTCCCACCACTCTCATCCTTGGGAATTTTTTGAACCATGTCCTCCCGGGCTTCAACACCAACTCGTCTTAGGTGTAGCTGTTATATGATACACAAGAAAGATGAGCATTAACTTTGAGCATGATACGGTTTATCGGATGCAATGATCACCATAATCGATAGGCCGACAAAAAGCATGAAATTTAAGTGATTTGGATTTAGTTTTTAAGTATAATTACTCTACCTGAAGATGAAGATTTACTTCATCTGGTCGTGAGAGAAAAGGAAAATCACCCCCAGACTTCAGATATGCTTGTCGAGCACCAGGGTACCTTTCAGTTACTTGATCTTTGAGTTGATTGGGAATGGCACAGAAGTCGTTTGTCTATGAGCAAGGAAGTTGTGAAACAGGAACAACATCAGTGGGAAGAATAATTACCGTAATGGAATACTTGGCTCATCCAAAGCTATCTTAACACATGTATTAGCAATATTGAGAGAGTTCACTTACATCCATTATAGTGATTGAAGAATCTGAAAGCTGAAGAGGACCAACTGAGGCAACACTAACTGACAAGCTCAATCGGGAGGCCAAATCATCTCTCGAAAGTGTCTCAACCTGAGGGGCAGTCGTCATCTATAACTTGTGCATGCATATTTTCATGGATATGGAACAATGTTATGCTATAATTCACTTGAAGCAATGCCAGAAGTTGAAGCAAAGCACATAAAACAAGTCTCTTAGTCATACTACCCACTTAGTATAACATTAGAGATTACAATCCAAGATATATATTCAAAATAATCTTTTACCTGAGCAACGACAAAGTCAACTGAGTCTGCAATAAAAGGTTCATGAGGGCCATCAGGAATTCCAGTTAGGACATACCGCTTCAGTAGAAAAGACGGTGTCCAACCTACACTGTCGAGAAAACAGAGTACTGTCAACAACTTAGCATAAATAAGATAAAAGGGTCTAAAAAGGGTAATATCAACAACTTACCATGATTAAGATAAAGGGTAAATATGCACCCATAACAACATTTGGAACAACTCAATATAGTTTAAATCAAATTTCATGTTGTGAAATAATTAAGATTGAGAAAGATTGTATATAGCTAATTAACTGATGTGATACAGCATCATACATATTAACAATGTTTTATTCCATCCAACTAGGCATAAGAAACAGCAGTACAAAATAATTACATACAAGGGAGCCCATGGCATCGCTGCAGAAAAACTAGTTGTCTCCAAAAATGTGTTTGAGAGTACCAATGATTTAACTCTGCGTGGACGATGTTGAGCAAATAGTTGTGCCAAGAAACCCCCAAGAGATGTACCATACAGATGTACCTGAAAAATAATGGATAACTAATAGGTTAATTTATGATGAGCTAAAGCAATGATCAACGAATATAAATCCTATAATAAAGCCCCATAAAATGAAGCAAAATTTGGGAGTCGATGGATCATCTGTCGAGAAAAAATTCATAATAAACTAATACGGGATTGTGCATAGATAGAAACGATATCTTACATGATGTACATCAATAACATCTAAAAACTTCTCAAATGCCATAACCCACTCTTGGTGATTCCACACACGCGGAATATCAATGGAGATGACACGATATCCCTGAAATTTTGGTGAGGTGTTAATGGCATATATGTTTATTCCAAGTACAAAGCTTCATGAAACAAAAGAAATAATCAGGTAGTACTGTCAGTGAGTAATGTTCTTTCTCATAAAAAAACTATGCAGCTTTTCTTTGCATATAAAAGCATGTGTGCATTAAATTGCAAGTAATCTGTTCTTTACCCACCATTCAAAATGGACAGGAGCCTCCTTCTTTTATGCTATTTACCTAACAACAATACTCAATGATGCAACTTTATGAGACAACATTATTCTTGTAAACAATATCAATGTTTCATAAGACATGTTTTTCTTCTGGATACTTCTAAAGTGTGTGGTATGTGTTTGTGTTTAAATAGTGGTTTGATGTGATGTTTTGTAAAAGAAAATAGTGTATTATTTCAGGGAATCGTGGAGATTGCATAGTGAAGAAGCTGAAAAAATCTCAAAGAGAACAAAGACTAACTCTCCCAACCCCATTCAAGGCCCTAGAAAGATGACAAGTGTGTGAATTGCCATTAAATCAGAAGCCGACCTTAGAAGCTTTATGTTTTCCTAAAGGAACATATCCAGAGGCAAAAGATAATTTCACATGAAATGGAATAGGATCAAGCCATAACAAATTTACTGCATACCAAAATCCGGTTCATATATGCCATGACAAAATTTACTTTGTCCTAAAACCAGTTTCTCAAAATCCCATGAGTGCACGTGCTGATAAAATCATGATAACTAAGAGACATGATGATTACAAATGCTTAAATTGCTACCTTTGTAGAGAGTGACATGATCTGTTTGTAATATACATCCGCTGTTCCAGCTATTCCAGGAAGGCATATTAAAGGAGGCACAACTTTTGGACCAAAATCATAATATCGCCACTGCTTTGACCCAATCTAAAACAAAGTTTGTGCAAAAATTTATTACTTCTTAAAATTTAGATATTGTTAAAATATATACATGAAAGAACACATTTGCTTCCCAAATATTTATACAGATAAGAAATGCAGAGTGTGGAAAAAAAGTTGTTTTCTTATAATTACATAAAACTTCTGGTAATTTCACCAGTTAAACCAGCACACAATTAAACTCAACAACCAAGATAGACAGCTCAGTAACCAGAAACCAAAGGTAAAACTAGCCGACACTTTCTGGCTTTGAAAACCATCATTGAGTGAGCTATCAAGTTCTCTTCTCAAGTGTACCTATAACTTCTCAGCTAAAACTTTGTATCTCATCCAATTGCACAATCATATACAAGTATCCAAGCTTCCATCATTGGCAAATATGAAGGACTTTCTTAACCGAGGGGCAGTTCTTGTCCAAGATTACATGAACTATTAGGGTTGAACAATATTCTACAAGATTCAAAAGCAAATATTTTCCGTGTCCACATTTCAAAACTTCTGTACAGGTTAAACACCATGGATCTTAAAACTGAAAGAAATGGCCGTGTGTGAAACTGGAAAAGTTACATAGTAACTTCTTCTTTAATGTCCAAAAGCTTAAACCTGCTATTATTCAAAGGGATTTTGAAGCTTCATTCCTTCATCGTAACAGGAAATTGTTGCCAAATAACCAGACAAGCAATATCAATTTTTTTACATATCTACAAGATTCAGTTTGCAGCTTAATTCATCTCAACAAAACAATAGATATCACGTATCAATAGGAACTAGACATGTTAGTCAAAACCGAGAACCAGTGTAAAGTTCGATCTTGACTCCAATTGACCAGACTCTCGTCGGCGGCGGATTGGCAACGGCAGGTCCTCATATTATAACCAAGAAATTAAATCCAAAAATGTCAAAAAATAACTACATAGAGATGTATATTAATGAATAAGAACATAAACCACGGCATAGCCAGTTGACACACAAAGGAAAATCAAATTAGATACCGAAATTTTCGATTAAAAAGAACAGAAAGGGAAAAGGGAGCTGACCGGAATCTTGTGCAGAGGGACCTGAGACTTGAAATAGACATAATCACCGGGCGCCGAAAAGACGCCTTTCATTGCTGAATTTGAGGTGGGGCGGCTGCTATGGACGCATAGAAGAATGCAGATATTCTAGTGTATATCGGCGAATTGATTCACTTCATCCCTAATTCACGTTCAGCTGAGGCTCTCTGAGATTGGAAGCGTCGTTTCCCCAATTGTATTGACAATGCGAGCAAGGATCAATGATTGATCCATGGGATGGGATGGGATCCGACGAAGGAAATAGAAAAAATGTAAGGGCAACCCCATGTGGGTTAGGATATGCTATAACCCATGGCCTATTGGAGTGGGCCCTATTTTGTTTGTTCTTAATCCGAATTCATTAGTGAATCAATTCTCAATTTTACATTTCATTTTCAGATTGTGATTAGATTACCTATTATATTCATGTAGTATTTTTTAATGCTAAGGAGGTGGTAATTGCAAAAAATGCTGTCGACACGGCAGTGATATAAAACTACACAATGGCATACACAGCCAGCTGATCATTCTTGTGATTCATACACAGACAGACAATGGTCCATCTCAACACCAGTGCAACGATGTATCACAAAGAAACTAATTGAAGAATCCATGCTGAGAAATGGGTTTTGATTTGAATAGATCTGACTTCACCAAAAGGCACCCAGTGGTTTTAACAGAATTTGCCGCTTAGGTAGCTAGTGATCTCGCAAGAAAAGATCTTGGGGATGACGAAAGGGCTGTTGTGGTTGTGGTTGTGGGTCTGTGGGAAAACAAAACCCGTAGCAACACAAGACTGCAACAAAGCCAAGGCAGTCCACAAAATTATACTCGCTTAACAAAGATTGGTATTTGGTACTGGTACTGGTACCTGCCGTCTTATTCTGCAGAAATGCTGTATTATATTGTGAGGACAACAGAACATTTACAGCAGTTAAATATCACCAGTATAATCGAGATAAAAGCAATAAACAAATGACTTAACTAACTGTAAAAGAAGGAAGGGTTTACAATCAAGCATATATGCACCACACACACTGCTGCTGTTCACCAGTTCATAATGCATTTCCATGAAAGCTTGCAAAAGAAAATTTGAGAATTTGAATTCGGATTCGGTGCAGCAGAAGCAATTTGAAAAATGTTTTGACTGCTCAATCACAGAAGGAGTTAAGTTAAAAACTCGAGGGCATGGCATATTGACCAATGCAAAAACCTACTCAGGCAATCACATGTAACACAAAGTTCATTGACACTACAGTCCAGTGAGATGCAGATCCTCCATACTAAATAGATTACAATGCCCAACAACACAACAGAGTATCTACTTTAAAAAAAAAAAAAATGAGTTAAAATCAGTTAGATGAGCTTATTTATCCTGTTCACAAACACAAAGCATCTCTAAAAAAGCAGGGCTGCACATTCTAGCAAGATTGTACGCATTCATTCGATTTGCTCATAAATCATAGATAATAATATAAGGCATAACACTATTCACCACGCACTCCTCTTTTTCGCACCATAATAGCTAAGATACCACTCCACAAACTTCTTCAAACCTGTCTCCAAATTGGTAGTGGGCTTATAACCAAGCTCATTAGCAGCCAAACTTATGTTGGCATGAGTAAACAAGACGTCCCCATTCCTAGGCATGGGCAAAAACTTCTTCTTGGCCTTCACTTTCAACAACTTCTCCAAGATGCTCAAAAGCTTTGACACGGGCACGGGACTCGTGTTCCCCAAATTATATATCCTCAACTGAGCTGCACCCTTCTTCTTACCACCACTTCCCGTGCTCTTCTTCGCCGTATCCAGCGCCGCTGTACAGCCATTCACCACATCATCAATGTACGTAAAATCTCTGGCAACAGTGGCATGATTAGGCCCTTCAAATATCTTAATCTCCTTGCCTCTCAATATATCTTTAGTGAAGAAGTAATAAGCCATATCAGGCCTTCCCCAAGGGCCATAAACAGTGAAGAAGCGAAGCCCGGTTATGGAAAGGCCATGGATATGATTGTAAGTGTGTGCTATTTCTTCACCAGCCTTTTTAGTGGCTGCATACAAGCTAGCAGGCTGATCAGTTCTATCCTTCTCCGAGAATGGGACCTTAGAATTGAGGCCGTACACGGAGCTGGACGATGCCCAAACTATACTAGGTTGTGGATTAGCACTTTTACAGGCCTCAAGTAAACTAACAAAGCCATTAACGTTGCTGTGAATGTAAGAAGCCGGGTTCTTCATTGCGTAACGAACTCCAGCCTGGGCTGCCAAATGCATCACATGGCTGAAATGCACAATCTCAAACAACTTACCCAGCAACTCACTGTCATTTATGTCGCCTTCCACGATGTAAACGCCGTTCCGTTCAAGGAGGCCCTTTCGGGCTTTTTTCAGTCCGGTCTCGTAGTAAGCGTTGAAATTATCGAGCCCCACCACGCCGTCTCCTCTGGTTTTTAGGGCAAGGGAGACATGGCTTCCGACGAATCCGGCGGCGCCGGTTACAAGAACTGTGAAACCATTTTTGTTCAGTGGGCGAGCCGAATTGCGGGCCTTAACCTCCCAATTAGGGCCCGGATGAGGCGACCCGAAATTAGAGGTGTTCTGGAGACTGCGTCGCTTGGCTACGGAGGACACCACTGGATGTGAACAACAGAAGTAGAAAAGCAGGACGCAGAGGAAGACGCAGGACCAAAGTGTCAGCCTTGGATAGAAACGAAGGCGGTGGAAGGCATACGGCGGCGGCGATTTGCACTTTCCGGTGGAGCAAGGGACGACAGTGTCCAATTGCGAAAATATGGGCTTCAGATGCGTCATCGTAATCTTCAATCCAGAAGATGCAACCCCCTCTTTCCCACCTGTTTCCCCAACCAATTGGACTAGTAATGCATGAAACTGGATGACTTCATTTTATATTTTCTACTGGGATGAATATTCTCTGGCGATCTTGGGAAAGGATAGAGAAAGGGAGAGAGCACGAAGTAGATGGGAATGAAGATTTACAGGAAAGAGCGGCGGCGGTGATGCGCTGGCGCCTGCGGGGAGAGCATAAAATCTCTTGTATTGACTGAAGACTAAGGCGTGCTCGAGTTATCAAAATATTCAGGTTATTTCGTACATTTATTTATTAAATAGTACTAGTGTATTAAATATTATTTCTTATTAAAAATAATAAAGATAAACAATTTACATCAATATCTTTCTATTATTCAAATCATGATTATTATTATTATTATTTTTAATTCCTTACGTATCCGCGATTGCATTTAAAAAACAGAAAAAATGTAAAATGAAAGGTCCGTTGCCATAAATCATACGGACACCACGCAAGATCGCATAACAAGTGACGATGCGATGGATAGTGTGGATTTGGGCTCATGTGATGTGTAGCCTTTTGGGGAGGAATGAAGATTAATATTTTATGTTGGACTCTTTCATATTCATCTTAATAAATAAAAAACAATATTGTTGTGATTAAGGTAGGTTTATAACAACAAATAAGTCAGTCAGTGTTGGAAATCCACACAAGATTCCACCTATACAGTAGAGTGGAGGTATTCTGCATTTTATTTTTGTCCGGCAATCTGTTCGTTCACAAAAACAATAATACTCTACTATTTAATAATAAATCATAGATTTCCTAAAAAGAGGGGTTGATCTTTTTGTTTTAAAAGGAAACCCCATTAATTTGCGCCGTTCCTGAAACGATTTCCCATTATTCATAGGATTTTCTTGCATTTGCCAATAATATTAGCAGCATTAAATACTATAAATGACTTGTTAGGTTTAATTTATGGAGTAATGAAAGAGATATTGGTAATGTAATGACGTACTTTCCATTTAAAATTAGGACGATTTTTTATAAAAATTAATAATGACAATTTTGACTGTGGCCGCCAAACATATATATTTTTTTTATTTATTTATTTTATAGCAGTAGTTTGTAATTCAGATCATTTGGGGCTCAATTTTATTCGGAATTATACACTGATTGCACGCACTTACTTACTTACTTACTTAATGGGATTGGGAACATTTAGCAATACAAGTGTGGGTGGGACAACCTGGGAGTTGGTATGAGGCGCAGTGGAACTTTCTTCCTCAAGACAATCCCGACATGGACGGACATATCAATGGTGTCCTGGCCTGGAGGGAGGTTCCAATCGAAGGAGTGCAGCAGGGAAGCCAAGAAGTAGGCCATCATTCGCTCGGCCAGGGGGACGGCGGGGCAGATCCTCCTCCCCGAACCGAAGGGGATGTAGTGGAAGACGTTGCCGGTGTAGTCACACTTTTCAGCGCCTCCATCCGGCAGGAATCTCTCCGGTCTGAACTCCAAAGGGCTGTCCCAATGGGAGGGGTCCCTGTGGATGTCCCAGGCGTTGATTATGATCTTGGAGTTGGCAGGGACGGTGTACCCCCCCACCGTCGCCGCCTCGCTGGGCCGCCGCGGCACCAGGAGCGGCGCCGGTGGGTGCAACCGTAGCACCTCCTTGATCACTGCTTGTATATAGTGCAGTTTGGGCAGGTGGTGCTCCTCCACTATGCTGTCCGCCCCGACAACCTCGGACACTTCCGCCTGTGCCTTGCTCAAGAGTCGGGGGTTCCTCAGCATCTCCGCCATCGCCAGCTCCACGGTCGTCGTGGTAGTGTCGGTCCCTCCTAGTATAATGTCCTGTATCATCAGTGTGCGTCCAAGATTATTAATTAACTAAAAACCACCACCACCACCACCACCAAATCAATTAATTAACTAGCTAAGCTACCTGTATCATGGACTTAAGCTGTGGCAGGCCGATGCCTGACAGTTCAGATTTGGCCTCACCCTGCAGCTCGGAGAGGATCTGCAGAAAATCCTTGTCCTTGTCCTTGTCCTTGTCCTCTCTCCCATGGCCATGATCATCAGCCGCCTCGGACAACAACTTATGTTCGGCTAAGACATCGTCCAGAATATTGCTCATGTATTGGACCACAGCCTCCATATCTCTCCTGACCCGTTGAATGTCGAACCTGGTCATCCAGGGGAAAAAGTCGCTGAGATTGGGCTTCATCAGCAGCGCACTGACCTTCTGGATGACGTCCCTGAATTCCGCCCCAAGCTTTTCCCCCCTGTCCCCGGCGATGGTGGCGCCCCACAGGATGTTCATGGTGAGGCTGAGCTCCGTTGTAAAGGCCAGGTCCCCGACGTCGACGGGCTCCCCCTTCCTGGCGTAGACGTATCTGACGGCCTTCCGGCACTCCTCGGTCCGCAGGCGGGCCGACGCCTGCATGCCTTTGTTGCTCTGCATATCGCGCACGAATATCTTCCGGAGCACGCGCCACTCCTGGGTGTAGGGCGCGTGGGCGAAGCCGTCCCCGCCGTGGCTGAGGGCCTTTGCCGCTGCAGTGGTGTCGCGGTTGGAGAAGACGACGTCATGGTCGCGGGCGATTTGCCTGACCAGGGTGGGGGAGGAGATGACGACGCACAGCTTTTGGCCGAGCCACATCTTGTAGATGGGGCCATGGCGGTGAGCCAAGGCCGAGACCTTGCCCAGCAAATCGGGCCCCAGAAATGGGATGTACCCCAGAATTGGCAGGCCACGGGGCCCCGGAGGCAACCGGGAGGAGGAGTGACTGTTTAATTTTAGATACCACCCACACAAAATGGGAATCGTTATTGCAAGGGCAAGACCTGCCACGTAAACGAACGTATCATCCATAATATCGATACTAATAGCAATAATTGCTAATTGCTAATTGCTAATTGCTCAGCTCCGCGGTTATAATTAATGTTGGTGGCTTTGGCTTTGGCTTTGCTGAGAGTTGGAAGAAATCAGACACACCCACCCATGTATATATATGAATGAATGAATGAGAAAGATTGCCACGTCCTTTAATTTAGACTATCTCTTTAAATAATTTGATGAACAGTGAGTGGCCTGGTGAGTGAGTCATACAGAAATACTATCAGGTCGACCACGTTATCTTATAATTTAACTCGATCGCTTCTTACGGCTTTAAGTATTTACTATAGTTCACAGTGAGAGGAGAGATTAATTATGGCCAAAATCAAATCATTTATATTTTTGTTTGGATTGAATCCATAAACTAGCTTCTGAGATATTATTTATAATGTTAGTGGTATAGTATGATGAATGTGGCGTGTTTTAACACTAAAATAATAAAATTTATCTACGTCACACTTCCGATTCTTATTCATAGAAAAGAATAAAACAAAATAAAACCATGATATCTTTGATCACCATGGTAAATATTTGTGAAGTCTTGCCCGTTGCAATTAGCACAAATATATAAAACAAGCTAATATACTCGTGTATGATCGAATGCTAATTTTCTTTTTTTTAAGATTAATATACTGATATAATCAAATCAACATTCTCTAACCATACAAGGTCACTTGATACAAATTTAGATCAAAGACTTAGGAAAATCATTATTAAATTGAGTTTGAATTAGTCTCACTAAACATTACTTTCTCAGTTCCACCTTTTATGTCCAATTTATGGCAGGTATGATAATTTAAGTAAAATATAAAAAGTAAGTAATTAATAAGTTTATTAATAAAAATAATTATTGTATAATAAAACTCATTATATATTAAAATTAAGATAATTAAATAGTATATTTAAAATATAAAAATTATATATTATGAAATTTAATATATAATTAAAGTGTATAATTATATATCTTAAAAAGAAAATAACAAATAAAGTGGGATGAAGAAAAATAGAAATAGTGCACGAAAAAAATGGGACGAAAGTATATTTTATTAACTTTGTTAGCCTCAATATATATTTTAGATTTTTGTGTTCGGTTGAAGGTTTTGATTTTGAATTCTAATTTTAAGTTTAATAGTACAATTTTGAATTTGAATAATTATTTGATATGATATTTTAATTATAGAATTATTTTTTATTATAATATAAAAAAATAAAAAATAAAAATGTAATTTAATATTTTATGAAAAAATATAGAATTTTGTAAATAATAAAAATCAAATCAAATTCCCTAAAAATGTAATGAAAAGGCATTTCTTTAGCAAAAAGGGGGTTTTGAAAGTGTTCCTATGTTCCAAAAAAATAAATAAAAAAAAAAAAAAATTGGAGTAAAATACTTCATAATGAAGAGGGGTTATGAATAGTACAAAATAAAATTTTAATATTTAAAAACTTACATTATTTATATCAAGTATTGGTTTGCATTAATAGAAAAACTTGTGCTAATAATATTTGGAGAACTCACTTGTTTAGTTATAAGGTAAAATTGATTTGAAATAAAATATTAATTTAAAATTTTATTTAAATGAGATTTCAATATAATATTTTATAATAAAGAATATTATATTATTTATATTAAAAAAGTGTACAGGTGAATAACATAATTTTAAATTGAAACTAAAATATATAATATTAAACAATTATTCTTATTTAAATTATTACATCTAAGTTTATTTTTTTAAGATGATCACATTGACCACATAGTAATAGTACATTTTTTTTAGAAGAAAATAAAATTGATTTTTCATTAGTTTTAAAACATTAAACTCATATAATTAAATACCAAATCCTATGCTGTTTATTTCAAAAAAAAAAAAAAAGTCAATAAAAAACAACTACAAATATATATTTAAAAAGCAATTGACGAAGACAATTTACTCCGGGGTTAGAAAATCATTACTGCGATGATGATGATGATGATGGTGAGTGATCAAGTTAAGTTTGATCCAACATTTAATTAATTAGTAACCTGGTCAAGAAATTTATTAATTTATCCAATGGCTGCAGCCAAATTGGATTAACTAATAACTACAACCACCACTGGGAAGGGGAGTGTTTACTAACCCAACGGCTAACCAAGGTTATAATCTGTTTTAGAATTTATTTATTTTTTAATGAATGAACTAATATTTAATAACTATTGTGAGTTATGAAAAATTATAAAAATGTTATATTATATAATATTATGTGTGTATTTATTGAGTTTTTTTTTTTTTTTTTTTTTTAATTTGTAGATTTTTATATATTATACTTTTATATATATATATATATATGTGTGTGTGTGTGTGTAAATACTAATTGAACACACTCTAGTAAGGCTTTACATTTATTTGTACTACTATCTAGCCATCAATTATCACCTGATCCACCGTATTCTGATGGAAAAATGGTTGCCATTTGGTTTACTTTATTGCACAAACATGACACGCCCACACAAATTGAATAAGTGCGTACTATATACTCTATAAAAAATAAAAATGAAAAATATTGCGTCTTAAATAGGAATAGGAAATATAAAAGTGGAAAAATAATATTGTGTCTTCACACTATTTATTTGTTTTTCATTTACTAAAGATTTATTTTGTAATATAAAATATTGTTTAATATACATATATATTATTCGAAATATTATATTTATTATATACTTTTTTATCTAAAGTATTTTAATACTTTCTAAATACAATTAAACAAACTTGAAACCACCGCATATATGAAGGCACAATAAAACAAAATTCAACTACATAATTTTGGGTGTGATGGATACGGTGGATCAGGTCATAATTGATGGCTAGATAACTTCAAATTATAAACCACCTCCTCGGTTGGAGATGTTCTTCGACTTTACAAATTTTGTTGTGATAAAAACTTCAAATTATATTTATTTATTATTTTATTTTCATTTGTGCACATAACTTTAAAAAACACCTACAAAATAGTACCTCTATTTAACTATATTACAAAATACATATAACATTAACATTAAAAAAAAGGGAAAAAATCAAAACTAATGCCATTATGCATAAAATTAATCAATTTTTGGTCTCATTATAAAAAACTTATCGATTTTAGTCTAATTATAAAAAAAAAATTCATCAATTTTAGTTCAATTACAAACAAATATAATCAATTTGGATTTCAACTTTGCAAAATTAATGATAATAGCTGACGTGGATATACTAGAGTATGAGGTGGCATTTGATTTGGACGAACATGGCTGTGTTCAACAAAACATGGTCGTGTATATATAATCTGCACTGAAACTTTATTGAAAACATGGGCATGTTCATATACCACACGGCCGTGTTCAATTTATTGGTAGAGATGAAAGGATAGAGAAATAGAAACTGAATTTGTTGTCCTTATCCATCTATTGCTGTGAAGTGGAGAGGAGCTCCAGAGAAAAAATATTCTCCATATTGCCTTTCACATGTGGACTCAAAAACCCAACTTTCCTCGTCACGCTCGGATCATAAAGAATTGAAATTACGAGCTGTTTGATTTCTAGCTTCACGAGCAAAAGTCTGTTGCTGCTGCTGCTGCTGCTTTTCGAAGGATCCTTGGCGTTGGTGGGCTTGGGTGCGCTGCTATGAGGGCATTGGAGATGAAAGAGTACATCGTAATGAATGGTTCGGAAACAATGCCCGAAACCGATTAAGCGCCAAGCAAAGCTCCAGGGCCTTGCGGTGGAAGTGGTTTGAATCATCAATCAAGGTGCATTCACGGACATCATCAGCATTACTGGGAAGTGCGGGAGAAAATATAACAAAGAAAAAAAAATGAGGATAATTAATATATATGAACATGGCTGTGTTTGTCCATATCAGATGCCACCTCATAGTATGTTATGTCCACGTTAGTGATTATTATTAATTTTTTTGATTAAATTTATTTGTAATGTGACTAAAATTGATAATTTTTTTACAATAGGATCAAAATTGATTAATTCTATTATGAATGGGACTAGTTTTAATTTTTTCCCAACAATAAATTACGTATTGTTACATTAATAATTTGGAAGGAAATGAGAATGTATTTTCTTTTATGAAAAAATAACATTTAAATAAAATTTAAATAAAAAATTTAAATTCAAGTCAAAACCAAACAACCACATTGACGTTCCTTTTATGATATTCGTGGCCGATAAAAATATAAATATAATTGAACTCCTCCCATCTCCATACATGTTGGCCGAACGGTCTATGCTCAATTATGTATTATAGTATTCCTAATTTTCCAATAAAAATTATTAATTAATTAGTTTTTACAATTCTTTCCTTATCACAATTAAATTTCAATAAACAATAGATGACTATATAAAATTACAATCAACATTTTTTTTTTTGACCATCAACAAAGAACCGAGTGCTATATCTGAAATCTATTAGTAGTAATTAATAATGCTGCAAGATAACTTAAAATTATTACATGATTCCAACAAATAACACTAAACAAAATCTTCAGGACTTTCTGTATATGCAATTAATGCAATAATTCAACTGTCGGAAGTTGAATGACTGTCTCACCTTGTTTGTATGTGCAATTAATGCAATAATTCAACTGTCGGAAGCTGTCACCCTTTTTGTATATGCAATTAATGCAATAATTCAACTGTCGGAAGCTGAATGACCGTCTCACTTAAAAACGCAACCATTAATCATATATCCGCAAACAGGAGTCCCGAGACCTAGCTTGGCTCTAATACCATGTCGGAAACTGAATGACCATCTCACCTAAAAGTTCGAATTGGAAATCCAAAATGGCAGGAAAATAGAAATCATATCCTTCGTAGGCAGAAACAACCTGTAGTATTAAACCCTCAGTAAAGGCTTGTTGTATCTTAAGAGATACTTCCATCAAGAGGCTTTCAAGGCTATTCTTTTCTTGTATCCTCTCTAGATTCTGAAAATAGAAGGATCTCATCAGATCCAATGCTTTTTTAGGGTTGACCCTAGCAAGTAGCTCGGGCATAAGCAATCATTCCTTTTCTAGGGTAGGACGATTCCCCTTGATAAAGTTCAACAATTTTTTATTAATCTGAAATGCTTGGCCCTGAAGCCCATTCAATAAGGTCAACGTTTCATCACATTTCTCTCTCTTTAATTCAATGTTGAAATTCACGAGGTTTTTGGATGACATAAGACTAATGCGGCTCAATCGGCTAAATCAAGACAAGAGTGCTTTCTCGAGGGCTTAGATCCAGGTATGATCTTGCCAAAAGGTCACGCACTACTTTCACTTTCCTTGTCTGCCGGCGAATACGAGATTGTCTTCGTTGGAATCGAGGTCTGTTAGATGAGACGATCATTCAGTATCCGACACCAACAATTAAAAAGGAGGGGTGGAGCTAAGTTTATAATTTCTTTGTTTAAAAAATAAAAAAAAAAATAATAGGAAATTTATTATTATTTGCTAAAATATCTATAATAAAATTTTGAATGGATAAAATTTATAGGATGATCGATCAAATGGATCATACCAAGACATGGTTAAGTTGCGTGGGTTATTTGATACATCTCCATGGAGGAACCAGTTTGCTGTATGCTTACGTAAGCCGTAATATATCATTGGCAATATACATATCTACATCTGTTTGTGCTTTTTCTATATATGTATATATGTACTATAAATTTAAGCAGAGCTTATCTCTATATATATTGGATATGTATAATATAGATTATAAGCAAGGGAAAATCATATATATATATATATATTAAATAAACTATAATAACATTTTAGTGCATGCATGTCAGCATGTGTCACATACCGAACAGCAGTAAAAATGTTGGTTTATTTTCTTTTACTAATGCTACTAATAATTGTAAGGTTTTCATTTTTTGTTTCCTATTTTTAATATTTTTTACAATTCCTTAATTGTACCAATAATATTTTTTAATTTAAATGATATATTTTATATATATATACAAAAAGAAGCTGTCTTCATTTTATATTTTTTTATGGATAGTAGAGAGTTATGAAATTAGTAAGCGGAGAATAATAGACGTAACAAAACATAAACACGTAAAAACACTAGGCAAAGGGACAATCCAGATGAGTCAGTCAGTCAGTCAGTGAGAGTCAGCCTTGGGACCGGAACAGCCACCAGCGGTTCCCTCTTTTTTAGGACAATCCCAAACTTCTCAGACACTGGGTGTTCCTCCACAGTCTCTGCTTGCCCCAACTTGCTCCAATCGAAGCCGTGGACCAGCGACGCCACCGACAGCATCACGATCCTCTCCCCCATGTCCATCCCGGCGCACCTCCTCCTCCCCGAACCGAATGGCAAATACCTCAGGTCACTCCCGCTGTAATCCCACCTCCCCTCCCCCTCCGGCCCCAGAAACCTCTCCGGCATGAACTCCGACGGCTGCTCCCAAAAGGCGGGGTCTCTGTGGATGGCCCACACGTTGACGAAGACGCGAGCCCCCCTGGGCACCCGGAACCCTGCCACGGTGCAGGACTCGCTGGGGCAATGCGGCACCATCAGCGGGAGCACCGGGTGCAGCCGCAGCACTTCTTTGATCACCGCCTTCAAGTATATCAGTTTGTCTAGGTCCGATTCCTCCACCGCCTTGCCCACCACCGCGTCCAATTCTTGCTGTGCTTTGATCATCACCCGCGGGTTGTTCATCATCTCAGCAATCGCGAATTCCACGGTGCTGGACGTCGTGTCTGTGCCTCCCACCACCATGTCCTGACAATTCATTCATTCATTCATTGTACGTACGTAGATCATGTAAGTATAACATACAAGTCTGTATCATGACTCTGCACATACCAAAAGCAAAGCCTTAACATGGAACATAGTCAGAGGAGGTTTGGTGGAATCCCCTTCTCGCAGTTTGAGCAACACCTGTAAGAAGTCAACATTACCATTGCTGCTGCTGCTCTTCTTTCCGTCTCCTTCTGTTCTTAGTCCAATAATCTCATCGAATATCCTCTCAAGTTTCACAACCACCTTCTTCATCCGCTTCTTCATCCCCTGCAAATCCATCCACTCCAGTCGCGGGAAGAAATCCGACACATTAGGCTTTCCCATGAGGTCAGTGATCTCACCCACCACCTGCCTAAGCTCCGCTCCGATGCTGGACCTCTTGTCGCCCTGTATCGTCCCGCCCCACAGCATGCTCGTGATCACATTCAGGATGCTCAAGAACATTTCCTCCCCAACGTTCACCGCCTCCAATCCCTTCAAACTGTGCAGATATCGCACAGTTTCACCAATTTCACGCCTTCTATAACAGTAGAACTGATTGAGGGTGGCATGCCCGAGCATGTCCTGCATGCACACCTTCCTCAGCATCCTCCACTCGGCCCCATACGGCGTGAAAACTAAGTCTCGACCTCCATACTCCATGGCCTTCACCACATTCGGAACAGGGCGGTTCGCAAATGTTACGTCGTTGTCTTTTAGTATCTCCCGAGCCATTCCCGGCGAGCTTATCACTATGCATGTCTCTCCACCAAGCCTCAACGATAGAATAGGGCCGTACTTCTTAGCCAATAGCGCAAAGTGGGAGTGGAGTTGGGAGTCAAGGAAGGGGAGGTAGCCCACAATGGGAAGGCCTTGGGGGCCGGGAGGCAACGGAGATTGCTGTTGCTTCTTTGAGTAGTATCTGAAGACGAGCCATGTATACCAAATGACGACTGCAATGATCAAAGTAGCCGAGAAGAGAGCTGTTTGTTGATCAAGATCAATGGTAATTAGCACTAGTGTTGTGGGAATCATGGTGGGGAAGTGCTGGCATTGATGAGGAGCTGATTAACTAATGTAGTTCTAATATAGGTGCAGGTGCAGAAGTGAAAATGAAGACAAGAAGGGATCAGATCAGTCCAGCCAGTTAAGGGCAAGGGAATATGGGAATGGGATTGGTCAATGGTGGGCCGGGGAGGTGTCAACGGATTTAGATGCTCTCTACAAACTGCTAAGCTTCCGCTTTGTCTTGTCCGCAAGATGCTCTCTACAAACTACTAAGCTTCCGCTTTGTCTTGTCCGCAGGAATTTAATTCAATGTACCTCGGAAGTCCCAAGGTATCTCAAAGATGCTTTCTTTATGCATCGTCCTCGTCGTCGTCTTCAAGGAGCAATCAATAAAACCACCTTTGTCACTGTTACGTATTGTAATACATCTATTTAATAGTATTTTAATTTACTTCACCAATCATTATCCTCGAGTCCTCCTCCTCCCTTCCTAATCACATTTCATGATATGATAATCATTGATTTACAGTTGCACTGTATATTATATTATGTTGATTGATTTCTTAATTACCTCTTACGAATCCGATGCATGCAGTAGCAGTACTATTTGAGATAATTAATGCAGATGATTCCAGAGGACCAACAATACAATACCATTCAATTGAGAATGTGTTCTGCTTGCTGTAAATGAACTCTTTCATATTCCATCTGAGCACAGGCAAGGCAAGGCAGTGCCTGAATATACACATCCTTATTTTAGGTAACGTTTTGAAACATTAATTCGCAGCAGCTGCTCGTTCATTACAGCATTGGGAGTGGGACAACTTATTTGGCATCAAACCGAACCGATACACTATAATAATAATAATAATACAGAACTCCATTTGTGCTGTCGCTCAATAGTATGCATTATGCATACGAAGCAAAAAGCACACAATCGGATGCATTGCGGAACTATTGAATTTCAAACAAAATTCCAAAGATGTTACTCATACAAGCTGGAATTGGGCAACCTCGGAGTTGGGACTGCAACCAATGGTGTTTTCTTCTTCAAGACAATCCCAAACTTCTCAGACAAGTCCAAGCTTTGCCCTGAGGGCACACTCCAGTCAAATGAGTGCACCAGTGAAGCCAAGGAATACATGAACATCCTCTCGCCCATGGCTATTCCAGCGCAGATCCTTCGGCCCGACCCGAAAGGGAGATAGCTCAAGTCATTCCCACTGAAGTCCAATTTGGCATCGCTGAATCTCTCTGGATTGAACTCCAAAGGATTCTCCCATATCAGAGGGTCCCTGTGGATCGCCCAGACATTGACGAAAACGCGGGCACCCTTTGGTATTGTGTAGCCTGAGACGGTGCAGGCGGCGCTGGGGCAGTGAGGGATTAGCAGCGGCAGGGTTGGATGGAGGCGTAGGACTTCCTTCATCACCGAGTACAGATAGGGCAGCTTGCTGATGTGAGTTTCTTCGACGATGCTGTCTTTACCCACCACACTGTCCAGCTCTTGCTGCGCTTTCTTTAGCACTTGAGGCTTGCCCATCATCTCAGCTAGTGCGAATTCGATCGTGTTGGCGGTTGTGTCTGTTCCTCCTACAACCATGTCCTGCACAGGGCAGGGGCAGGCGCGCATTGCGATCGTCAATAACCATTGACATCAACAAAATTAATTAATTAATATGTGTGCCAACTACCATGAGCAAGGCTTTGAGATGGGTTATGGTGAGAGGCGTCGTCTGGGAATCTGCATCGTCTCTCAGCTGCAAAAGAAACTGCAAGAAATCCTTACTCTCCTTCCCAGCAGCAGCGTCGTCGTCTCCGGTCATTTTGGATCTCTTTCTCTGGTCGATCATGGCCTCGAAGATCCTGTCGAACCTACAAGCCAGTCCTTGCATCCTCTTCCGAATCCCCTGAAGATCGAACCTCTCCAGGACGGGGTAGAAGTCGGAGAAGTTAGGCATTCCCATCAGGGCGGTCATCTGCCCGACGACGTCCTTAAACTCAGAGACGACGCTGGCCTCGTCCTCTCCCTTGACGGTGTTACCCCACAGCATGTTGGTGACCACGTTGAACACAACCTGGAATATCTGCTCGCCCACGTCGATCGTCGACCCTGACTGTGACTGAGACTGGGAGAACAGGTGGTTGATGGTGCGGCGGATCTCGCGGCGCCTGAGGGCGTAGACGGAGTCGAGGGTCTTGGCGCAGAGCATCTCCCGGACGCAAACCTTCCGCAGCATCCGCCAGTCGGGGCCGTAGGGGCTCCAGGCGATGTCAACGCCGCCGTAGGAGCATTCCTTGGCGACGACGGGGACGTCCCTGTTGGCGAAGGTGGTGTCGTGGTCCTTGAGGACCTCCTTGGCTACGGCGGGGGAGGTGATGACGATGCAGGTCTTTGTACCCAGCTTCAGCCTGTAAATGGGGCCGTAGGATTTGGCCAGGCCCGCCAGGTATGTGTGGAGCTCGGGATCCAGGGAGAGGAGGTTCCCTACCAGGGGGAGGCCTCTCGGCCCCGGCGCAGCAGCCCTGCTCGGTTTCCTGACAACCAGAAGAAGGCATAGCGATAGGGATAGGATAAGAAGAGCGATGACGATGGCGGCGGCGGCGGCGGTGGGCTGATGGAATTGATCAGCAGCCGTGGTCGTGGACCATGAAAAACTCTCGACGACAAGTTTGGAAAGCATGGTTGCTTAGCTAAACGAATTGTCAAATTTATTACTGTAAATGTACCATACTATTATACTATACTATACTGTGTGTGAGTGAACGAGGGAGATAAATAAGATTTAGATCCGAGGGAGGGAAAGGGATCAACTGAACTGTCGTTTATTGTTTTGTATTCGTGTGGGTGTATGAGGTATCTTCTCAGGCCCATAATTAATTAATCAAGCTGGATCATATCAATCTCGGCCCTTAATTTAATTTAAAACTAAAACTAAAAGTTGTGATATAATTAATTACTCAATGTTAGTATTATTAATTTTTATTGAGTATAATTATATAATCAGATGTATTTATTTTACCCAAACGATCCTAAAACTTTGGATTGAATTTAATTATTACAACACTAAAAACCAACATAATAATAATAATAAAGTCACAAGTCATTTGACATATGATGCAAAGCATACGTCGATTCAGGCTGAAAATATCCTATTACTTGTGCTATGAATAGACGACCTTTACCCCCGTTTTGTCTATACACTTAAAGAATCCTCACTGCCTGGATGCCCATTCAATTATGTAATTAATAAGGTCCACACATACCCAGATATCTATCTGTTCGCTGCCACATACATACATACATACATACATTGGAAGGACCGAACCTACCTTGGAGTTTGAATGGTAACATTACCCACTCTTGGTTCACATTTTGGGAATACATACAACATGACACTCAGACTCAAATTATACATACATGCAACACATTCAACTCTCTTTATCTTCTAATTCAATATGCTGCTTAACAACCCAGCAGATCAGATCACAGATCCAGTCACTAGATGAAATTCATATAGCAGCACTAAACTCCATTGATTCATAAGCTGAAAAGAATGTCTAATTACACTGCATGAAATTACTTGGAAGTTGTTTCAAAGGACTACACATTAAAAATTAATTTTTCATACAAATTAACATCCAAGGCTAATATTAAATTACGTGAGACTTTTCACAAGAAGCCAATCAAAAGTCATATATGCGGAGCAAAGAATGAGAGAAATCAGCAGACTAACCAAAAGAAATGGCAAAAATTCGATATGCCAAAAAAATAAATAAATTATTGCAACATCTAAACAGGGTAGGCCACGCGTGTATTTTTCTCATCCAAACAGGCCATAGGCTTGTGGTGTGGAAGCTCAAATACCTCATAATAATGAAGAGGATCCTTTGATCTTTTAGTGGCCTTTGTAGCATATAGATTCTGACTTCTGTAACCTCTCAAGCCTCAACAATACTTTATTCTCAAATTGTAGACCAAATGTCATCTAACGATACATTTATACTTACTGAAAGAATGTCTTAATGCTGAAAATTTGCAAGAGATGACCACAAGAAGTATCATGAAGCAGCTCAATATCGCCTATAAAGAAAGTTTCATGAATTTCATCTATTACCTATACATAATTTACTGATTTCTCAAGACCTATGGATTGTAAGTTGTATATCTTTGATGCATTTTCATAATATATGTTATCCCAAAATCCACGGTTGTTTATCAAAACGAACGCATGTTGCATCCTTTCCATCGGATTCTGTAGAAACATCCTTTTCTTTGATCCACAAACATAGCAGCCTCTCTTAGTGCATCAACATTCTTTAGGTATTATATAAAACATCAGGTAGAACAATTTTGTTTTCTACTTACCGCGGGAAATAAACCTTTCTTGAAACAACAATCTATTCAGCTTGACAATGACTTAAAATCCACCTAAATTTAAGCCAATCTATATGTGCTCATTTCCACATGCTTAATAAATTAGAAAATACTTCATAAGAACACCTTGCAAATCACAGAAATAAACATGAAAATTGGTAACCTTGTTTATACAAACCCTCCTACATTTGGGGGCCTCAAATCTTAATTAAGAGTAATCTATTAGAAATCAAGGCAGTTATATATATATATAAAGCTCTTGAAATGTGCGCATGGCGTGTGTATTGCTCAACTCTCAAGTTAAGACACAAGTTGTCAATGAAAATATACTTTAAGCACACACCATATACAACCAAAACACTTAAATACTATGTAATACGATAGTCTCTCTCTTGATATAGTAAATCTCTTTAATGAACTCTACAAGATGTCTTCTGCTGGCCGCTATCTATCGTAAATTAGTTGTATGTTACACAAGATATTGTCCTCCCATTAGAACACTTCCAACTATGTCATGAAATCCACCCAGAAAAGTGTTTTTCACACTGTATAACTCTTAACGGGTAGACAGGTGTCAGACCCTTTGGTACCTAAATCCTCTCATAATTACACCAAAACTTCTACCACTGCTACATCTCACAGCACAACCCACACGTATATCATTTACTAACTTCCAAAAGGACTAAACAAAGATATTGAAGTTAGCATTCGGATTGTCAACTTTTCTCAATTTGTAAAATAGTTAGGCATAAAATTGCCTAAACATCTGAAGTAGAATAACCTACTTTCCTAACTGACGAGAACAGACAGACAATCAATTGACCAACACATAGCGAATAGTTTTCCATCAACATAAAATCCCAACTTTGAAGCAACTGCGCAGTCAAACCAAATGACGGTACCTTACACCGAAAAAAATACACCCTTTTTCACAGAATTTAGTAGAAATCTTGAACAAGGGATAAACTTATATGGTAATTGGAAGAAGAAAAAAAAAAAACACAAATCAATCTCAATCCATGACCATATAAACTCAAACTCAAAATTAAAACTCGATAATTCTTCCGGATGTCGCATCAGATATTTATTTCATGGTACATATTGTCCAAAGCTACAGCACGTAGATCAGAGACCACATGAATCACTAGTAATAGAATGAAAATCCAGAAAACTAATCACTTTTCGAATATCGCAAGGGCTGCCGGTTTTCGTGCGTATTTAAAAATTTTCATCTTGTGTTACAAGGATTTTCTACGGAACTAATTCGTGGCCTTGAAGAGAAAATTGGAATACCGAAATCACGAGAAGAAAGACCGATACTTCTCGACAGACGACTTGCGGCGGAGCCGGAGCGTGTTCTGAAGTTATGCGCCTTTGCGCCTCATCTTATTGTTAGGGCAACTTTCGAGTAATTTTTATACTTTCCCCCCAAAGTGATCACTTGAGTACTTTACCCCCCCCCTTAAATTATGAAAATATGAACTTCACCCAAGAACTTTTTTGTTTTTGTTGTTGTTGTTTATGCATTTAATTTTGTTATCTATTGAACACAGACCACTATAATCAAAATTTCAAGAATCCATTTTTAAAAAGTTGGTAGGGGTTGCGACTGAAATTAATGATAGGTAGTACACTACATACACAAATACAATTAAGGGCAAGGGGGAATTAAAATGTAAGAACAACTAACAGTTGATCATGCTTACTAAGAAACGACTTTTTGATGACATTCTCAAGTAATTGCTAGTTGATGGACGATGATTATTACTAAAAACAAGATACCGAGCTAGCTAGATAGCATATAATCAATCAATCAATAGGTTGAATCCAACGTAGCAGAATAATTAAGCTAAGAGATGATCAGTGCCCAGTTAATAATTAATTAATTGTCCACAGAAACTACCACTTGGTTGTTTTTCTGTGTTATTATATACATATTATTCCAAATATATATCTAATCATCCTTTAAATTTCCAATGAACGTGGATGTGCTGTGCTGTGCTGTGCTGTGATTGTTAAGTGTTTGTGAAAACTTGTCTATATTCTTTCTGCTGTATATATATTAATGCGATATGGTAGCAAACTAGCGGATGAAGATGAAGCGAAGAGAGAGAGAGAGAGAGAGAGAGATATGATGATGATGATGATGATGATGATGATCTGGTTTGGTAGAGTTTGGTAGAGCCCAAGCAACACTTTACCTACCCTCTCTCATTGCCAAACAACATGTGTAAGTAGAACCACATCCTGAAACCTCACTTTTTAATTAATTTTCTTAGAAAAAGGCCCACCCCCCATCAACGTTTAATTTGCATATATGTAGAGAGAGATCAACCTAGAATGTTCAGAAATCCGGTGGGAGTGGTGATCATCAGCAATGATCATGATGAGATCATAAACTCCATATATATATATATATATATATATAGACAGTAATCAGTATAGTGATTAGTGCATGCATACTGTATGTAAAGCAATTAATTATTAATTAATTAATGCAGACTATTATGTTATATGTAGACATGCAAGCAAATAATAGGTGTTAGTTATTCTTCTCTTGAGCTAGCTAGCTAGCTATTTCAAGAGAATATATATGGAAGGGAAGATAATTAACTTGGTCTTGATTAATTAAGTTTTTCATTAGTTCAGAGGTTAGGTTTTCCAAATTATTCAATTCCTAATCCTAGCTAATGTGGATAATTTACTTGCTGTAGACATTCTATTAATTATATGTACCCTTTGCACTTGTTTGTCATGTTTGCTTTATGAACTTCATGTAATTAAGGGACAAAAGTTATTAATAAATTAAAGAGCAGTCCTAGAGAATTTACTTTATTACTATTATTATTTATGAATGTGTGTGTATGTATGTATGTATGTGAGTCGACATTCCACTAATCAGCTCACAGACGACCCTTTTAATTTTTATTGTTGGCATGGGTTTGTGGCCCTCGTTCTCCACCAACTCTACTGACATTTGTGAATCTTGGTGTAGGGTCGTTATCACCTTCTTCCTCTGCCTTTTTCTTCATTCATTTCATTTCATCACATATATTATTACCATAAAATAAAAAATAAAAAATCTTATTTCATTTTTTGATCGGGTGAATCTCTGCTGATTTGGACCATTCTAAGTAACTATATTATTAGATGGAGTACTTGTATGAAGTGGCCTTTTTATTAATTAGAGAAAGTAAAGAGCCTAATCCTTGTGTGTAATTGATAAGGTTCTTGATTAAATATTTAATTGATAATATATATATATAATGCCCAGTCCGATAGTAGTCTGATCTAGTGGGGATATATATTGCTTACACTGAGCTAGCCATTACCTAGGTATGTGATCATTTAGTTTTGTATCTTGATCACTTTTAATTGGATCTGAATATTTTCAAAAGACAAGGTAAAGTTCATCATGAGACAATAGCCAAAAGTACCAGAAACTTGTGTGATTTTGATAAGTTGTGATAATGAAATGTGCCATGTATAATGTATTGTATTAGTGGCCCTCTTTATATATATTTCCAAGATCGGATGAGCAGCTCCATTCATCATAATAATAACAATAATTTCCCTAACCTCATCATTCAGTTTTATACTTTGAGTCGTGCCATTACTTACTTAGTGCCATAAACTACACTTTGTATATATGTTTCATTTGAAACTCTCATTATTATTATTACTACTGAATCAATGAATGTCATTAAAAGATCTTGCACATAATACGTAATTGGATATATTAACGTAGTTCTTATTTTCTTCGCATCAGACACTCCTTTTAAAAAAAATTAGAAGACCAAAAATTATTTCGCACAACTTTAGAGGCAATACAGTAATCATAGTAAATTTTTATGCCCTACAATACAAGTGGCATATTCTCGATCAATTCATATATACATATATGTATATATAAATCTTTTGGAGACAATTATAAAATGCAAAAGGTCTCTCTCTCTCTCTCTCTCTCTCTCTAATGTACATAAAGATATTCAATTAATATTACATGGCACTTATGTCATAAACCACCACCCACTATGTATTGTATTGTATTGTATTGTATTCTAAAGTAAGTATGTCCACAGCTCTCCTAATAGGCGTTTGAAATACTAAACTATAATATCCTTGCAGATTTTAAAATAATAAACGTTTCACTTTCGGGTACATGTGTAATAAAATCAACTATCAATTAGAAAGCCAAGGGTTTTTCTTTCACTAATTTGCCTGAGGCTGAGGGTATACATATATATTTATACAGACGATGACCATTTTTGGCCCTTTGATATTTGGTATATTTATATATATATATATGCAAAACACACTCCACACGATCGATCGAGCTTAATTGTATCAGCAGAGACGACTAGATCTGTGCATGATATTAATTCTCCCTAGCTAGCTAATTGACCACTTCTCATCACTTAATTAATTATATATATATATATATATCTACATGTCATTGAAACATTGGGTGTCGAATCCAAAGTCATGGACCCCGAAATCCTGACAGTCCAAAAGCCAGGGGCAGTTTTCCTCCCAGGACTTGTTGCAGAAGCTGTCCAAATCTTGATCTGAAAATGGGAATTCCCAGGTGTCGTCGTTGAAATTGAGTAAGTCGTTTGTGTCCCGGAATAAAAAGCTGATCAGCGGGTCGTTCTCGTACGACGACTCCGAATTGATTCCCAAGCAGCAAGACTCGTCGGAGGAATTCATGTTCTGATGATCATCAGTTTGGGAGGAGCTGCTGCTGCTGCTGCTGCTGCTGCTGCTACAGGTGCTGACTGCAGGTGCAGGGACGACGACGACATGATGATCCGACGACCCTGCGGGGAGCTCGTCGGCCTGCAGCAGCTGATGACGATGATCTTTGTCCTTTGGGGCTTGTGAATTCGGGTCGTCCTTTTGGAGGGTTTGGTGAGTGACGGGGTCGATTCCCATTTTCAGCAGCTTTTTCTTTATGTGGGTGTTCCAATGATTTTTAATCTCGTTGTCAGTTCGTCCGGGCAATCTCGCAGCAATTTTCGACCACCTAATTAATTAATTAATTAATTAATACAGTATAGGGGAAGTTCCAATATATATTAATTACTTGAATATATATATATATATGTATATATAGCGAGGAAAGAAAGCAATGAAATTCTCTATCCAATCAAATAGAGGGCTTTCAAATAAAAATAATAAAATGGCAAAGTACGCTTGGCCTGAAAACGAAAAAGCGTTAGCCGTTTTATAAATTATACGATTAATAATACTATTGAGGAAAGGAAAGTGGATGAATGAATTAGAAAAGGAATTGATGATGATGTAAGTATGTATATATATATATATATATATATAGAGAGAGAGAGAGAGAGAGAGTACAGTGGATGAATGAATTATAGATGATTATGGCGATCGAGGATAATTAAATAGGAGGAGAGGATAGGGTAGTAGAGGAGTGAGCGAGTACCACCTACCTATTGCCAAGACGGGCGTGGAGATCAATGACGAGCTGCTCCTCGGCGTCGTTGAGAAGGCCACGCTTGAGGTCCGGGCGGAGGTAATTAGTCCAGCGGAGGCGGCAGCTCTTCCCGCAGCGGCGGAGGCCGGCCAACTTGGGGACGGCCCGCCAGCAGCATTGGCCATTGGTGATGATGAAGTTGATCAGTTTCTTGTCCTCCTCCGCCGTCCACGGCCCTTTCTTCACCCCCAGCTTGTCGCAACACGGCTGTCGTCCCATTCTCTCTCTCCCTCTACTACTTACTATCAATCAATCAATAAATAAATAAACAAACAAACAAAAAAATGGCAAGCTCAGCTGTGTGTGTGTGTGTGTGTGTAATGGAGAAAGAGGAGATTTTTAAAGTATGGCGGAAAACTAATGGAATGAGGTAATGGAACTGGAAGGTCCCCAGCTCCCTTACCCACCTATTTATACTGCACCAGTTGGAGTAGGAGGGAGGTACCCAACCCCTCCACCCACCCAAGAAATTTAAAAACAAACAAACAAGCAAACATCCCTGCTCTGCTTAAAAGCAGTACAATGCATTGCAGTTAATTAATTATTGAATAAATGAAATCTGTCCTGCCTCTCCTCAACTCTGCTATCCCATTTCAGTGTCGATGGGATGGGATGGGATGGGACCCGCCATTTGGTTTTGCGAGAGGGACCTACGAACTGCAAGGCCTTTGGTCTGGTCTGGTCGATTCGATTCCATTCGAGTCAGAGGTGGTACTCCATTAATTAATTAGTTAGTTAATTAATTACTAAAGCACCAGGCCAGACCAGACCAGAGCTCGCACAGGCGCACAGCCAGAGACAGAGACAGAGACAAGAGAGATGTGGTGATGCAGCAGAATCATGCCTGTAATGATTTCCTTCATTAATACATATTAGTAAATAAATCCATCAATCAAAAGAAAAGATTATCTTATACTAAGAGCAAGTAAAAAGAGTGCGCTCAAATTTCTTCGCTGCAGTTTTGGCCGGGGCTCAAAAGAAAACTGAATTATGGATTCAATTAATGCTTTCTTACGCAAACATAACATCACCTATGCCGTCATCTTCACGCTGTCGGTTCTTCCCAAAGGATTAATTCTTTATTATTATTATTATTATTATTATTGTTAATCCTATTTCAACTCTGTAAATCTATACATTCTTTGACAAAATAATAAAAAAAAAAATAATAATAATAATAATAATTATTATTATTATTAATGCATTTTTATTGACTATGATCGTATATATATTTCAACAACTCTTCCATACCAATTTATACGTTCTTTGACGAAATTATATAATAAAGCTGCCTGTATATATCGCTACTGAATTGTACTTTTTACGTACGTCGTCCATATGAAAAAATATAAAGTAATAAAATTTTAATGCCATTATTCTATAATATAATTAATAATGGTCTACCTACTAATTAATTGTACGCGCGCAGCTTTATATATTAATTTAATTATCAATGTAAAACAAAATATCCTTGAATGAATATTAATTGTTTTTAAGTAATTTTGGATGGAACACTACTTTTTTAATATAATGATACTATTATTATATTACGCAGCAGTCGAATCTTCTCCAACTCTTAACCATATATATATATATATAGATCGTCATGTAATGGTGTATTGTTAATCAAGAAACAAAGTTGAATTACGTACGTGATGAGAAGAAGGCATGAATATATCCTTGGTTGACAACATTATCATCATCATTATTATTATTATTTAATTTCGAGATTGTCCCATCAAAATAATTACTGAATATTATAAGGTAACCCAAATTGTTAGAGAGCTGATTGGGCATATCCGATCTGTAATTCGCTCGCTAGCTGATATGATTTAGCTGTATATATGTTTCATAAATATATATATATATAATACGTGTCTTCCTCAAATTCGAAACCCCTTAGCTTAACATTAATTAATTATAAATATATGGTTTGTCTGGACTAGTAATTAATGGAGTATAAATAATGTTGCCAATAAGGTATGTATGTATGTGAGAGCCACCAATACCAATTATATTGTGCGGGCAGGTGGATGTCCCAATACTTGGGTTTTTGACTTTTGCTGCTGTGTACGTACTCTTTCATTTTTGTTTTCATTCTCCACCTCTACATACATATATACGTACGTACGTACGTACCTACTCACATGTAACTTATATGATTATTATTTCATATTTATTTATTTAAATAAAACCAATGCCATACTATTCCATAATGTTATTTTATCAAAAGCACGTCATCAATAGATCTCACACGTAATTCTTTTAATTTAATTTACTTTTTTTTAAAAGGGGGAAAAATGGATGGCCACACTATATATTCGTATATACGATCTATCCCCAAGAAATACATATATTAAAATAAAATAGATAAAGAAAGTCGCACCAACTTTGAGTAGACCTGAATGTTGTGTAGATATTGCATACTCGTGTCGCACGACTGGAGTTAAGACATATTAAATAGTTAATTAGATGCATGCATTTATATACTTTCCCCATAAGGAATGACATTAATTAATTATATATGTTACAAATCATGATATATACAACAACAGAAACAGATGCTAATTGCCTGCAATTTCCCAACCACAAGATGTATTTATAATCAGCCACGTTTCTTTTCCCAAATTAATCACCAAAATCTAGTTTACTATTAATTAATTATTAAGTAGCTACTTTGAAAATTAGGCAACATTATATTAGGTGGTTCGATGTTAGGTTAGATACGAATGTGAAAGTGAAATGAAATTTGAAAAAAGGTCTCTTGTCACGTATATATAGAAATAGAGATGACATGTAGCTTACTAGTAGTTAAAAGTGTTTATCACTTGATGACTCGAATGCATGTTTAATTCTATTTAATTTAAAAATGTGCATTTGAATCAATTACTCATATATATATATATATATTCAATTGTCTTCTTGGTCATTTTTGTACTTTTAATTCATTCATATTTTAGAGAAATTCTTCCCGTGTGCATGCCCGCTTAACTTACCCAAATTGGCAAGCAAAGTCCAGTGGACGTCGGGTTAATAATAATAATAATAATAATAATAATATCCGATAAAAAAATAGTGATACTAATAATAACTGAAGAAGTAAAATTGAATGAAGTCGTTGCAGAGGCATTTTGAAAGCAAGGCGAAGTTGGCATTGCTTGAAAGCAAGTGCGTAGTTAATAATAATCGCTGATTTTTTAGCATTATTCGCAGACCATTATATTGATAATGATTGTGTAGTTGAATGTGCAATAATACCACTTTAATGTCAATTATTCACACCATAATAGTGAAAACAAGTGCTACTGAAAATTTATAATGCCTAATTAAGAAGACACATATCTACCACATGCATGTTTGGTTTGGTTTGGTTAATAAATCATAGTAAAAAGGAATTCATATATATATATATTTCAAAATAATAATTCCCAATTATAAGAAATGTCCCATTCTCGATCAGATCAGCTTAATTAATTAATTAATTAATTATATTGCTTCTAAAAGCTTAATTAAGGCAGCAGTAGCACTATGCCATTATGACTTGAGCACCATCAGCCACATTGCTTAAAGGGAGAGCTAACAAAAATTAGAAATTAGATGATGTGATGATATATATATATATATGTATGTATATCTACTCAATCCATTGAATGCCCTCTCCTATCCTAGCTTATTTATATAGGTGAGATTACTTGAAAGAATAGGATTATTTATATATAGTACTACTACTGTATTATTTCATTTGAGGAGTAGTAATAAATGTAAATGTAAATGTAAATGTAGTAAAGTAGTAGTATTATTAATAATTACGTGCACAGTAGTACGGTACTGTCCTGGTGGGGTTTGGTGCACAACTTAAATACTACTGCTGTGGATGATAATTGCATCTGTGTTCACTTTCCAGAGCTAGTGTGAGTTAGATAAGCGAACAGAAGAATTTTGCCAGTGAGATTAATAATGTGGAACAGGTGAGAGATCGAATTGATTAGTTCGATTGATCACTTTATTAATTAATTGTATGTCTGGTTTCAACGTTTTTTTAACCGGTGATGACTTAATTATTATAATATTAATAGACCCTGTAATATTGTAAAGAGATATATATATATATATATATGTATATACATTGTTTAGTGTAACTATGCATGCATGTAAAACGTAAATAGCTTGCAAATGTGTTTAGTATCTGCACAATTAATTAATTGATGATGATGATGATCAAGTCAGCTGCAGTCTCATCGATCAATACCAACCTAAATTAATACTACACTTATAAATTAGTGGTGACCTAAAAAATATCTGCCACTGACAAGCATATATATATATTATATATATATGTTATGACTGAGTCAGTGAGTACACACACACACACAGAGATCATGCACGATATAGTCTTCCAATATATTAATCTTCTTCTTCTACAAACTAGTCTAATTAGTTCCCCCGGCCCATTGATATTAATTAATTAAGTGTAGTAGAAGAGTAAGCAAACCACCATGAAAACTCAACCTGGACAGGATACTGCATAGCATATATATATAGTAGCCAGCAGACACTGTAGTACTCCAACAACGAACAAATTATTTTATTTTATGTTTAGAAAGGGGTTAACTTTGACGATACTTAAAATGAACCTTTGATTTAATTAATGGATGGAAATAGTAATAATAATAATAATAATAATCATAATAATAATAGCAAAAGCAGTGGCCCAGGAAGACATGATCACATTCATGATGGATCCATTTATTTATTAAGAGTTGGGCTGGGCTGGGCTGGGCTAAAGGAATTAAGAGAATGGAACTAAACTGGACTGAAATGGGCTTCCAATGAAATCCATTTAGTGGGCATGCTATGCTGCTCCTTCAAAATACATGTTTGTAGTAAACAAATAGCAAATGCCTCATTTCACTAAAAATACACAAGTCTCTCATAATAACAATAATCATTTATAAATTCATCTTATCAACTAATAATAACAATAATTTACAAATAGCACTCTCTATCTCTAGCCACACACAAAATCCTTTTCTGTATACTGGAGATCCATCATCATCCATACCAAAACCAATTCCTTACCCAGTAGTAGTAGCAGTAGCAGTAGCAGTAGCAGAGCAGCTGTATCGCGTTCGCGTGCCTGCCCTGCCTTCTCCAATCACCGTTCCCACAGGAAGAATGGCGGCTGAATCGCTCATTAAAATGTCTCCTTCACCGCTCTGCACCTTCACCACTTCTTCTAGGAGGCCTTTGCCGCTGCTTCCCCATCAATCCACGCGACGCCGCAACTCTAATTCTTCTGCCCGACTTGTACCTCTTTCCTCTTCATTTCTTGGGAGGTCACTGCTCACCTCCGCCGCCCCAAAGCTTCCTACTTTCTACCACAGACAGCGAAACGGGAATTTCCATGTCGTTGCTATGGCTGCTGCTGGTATATCCTTTCTTTTTTTTTTTTTTTTAATTTCTCTCTTTACCAATATCATGTCTTCGTTGAACCTTTGCAATTTGATGGAAACCCTGCGTCTTGCAATTGCCTGAATAAATGATTTGATTATCCGCCTTGCCCTTTTAGGTTTTAGTTGCAACTTGTGTTTATCGAGTTCGTTATCTTCTATGTTTGTATTGGACCTTCCCTGTAGTTATCATTTCTGGATGCCACTTTACGATCCATTCTGTCCCGTACCTTGTATACAACAAACATACATTGTCTAAGATCGTCAAAACAACAGAGCAGATTTATCTAGTGATTGTTACATTCATTTTCCAATGCTTCACAATTGATGCAGAGGAAAAGAGAAAAGTTCCATTGAAGGACTACCGCAATATTGGAATTATGGCACATATAGATGCAGGGAAAACCACAACCACCGAGCGAGTCCTGTTCTACACTGGCAGAAACTACAAAATCGGTGAGGTACATGAGGGAACAGCCACAATGGATTGGATGGAGCAAGAACAAGAACGTGGGATCACTATCACTTCTGCTGCAACCACTACTTATTGGAACAAGCATCGAATTAACATTATTGATACACCTGGGCATGTAGACTTCACATTGGAAGTCGAGCGGGCTCTAAGGGTTTTAGATGGTGCCATATGCTTGTTTGATAGTGTTGCTGGTGTGGAGCCTCAGTCAGAGACTGTTTGGAGACAGGCTGACAAATATGGTGTTCCACGGATATGTTTTGTCAATAAAATGGACCGACTTGGAGCAAATTTCTTCCGGACGAGGGACATGATTGTGACAAACTTGGGTGCGAAGCCACTTGTGCTGCAAATCCCAATTGGTGCAGAGGACAGATTTAAAGGGATTATTGATCTTGTGAAAATGCAAGCAGTAGTTTGGTCTGGAGAAGAGTTGGGTGCAAAGTTTACATATGAGGACATTCCTGCTGATCTTCAAGATTTGGCTGGAGAGTACAGAGCCCAGTTGATTGAAACTGTAGTCGAGTTGGATGATGCAGCTATGGAGAGTTACCTTGAAGGAATTGAACCAGACGAGTCCACTGTTAGGAGGCTAATTAGACAAGGAACTATTTCAAACTCTTTTGTTCCAGTTTTATGTGGGTCGGCTTTCAAGAACAAAGGAGTTCAACCATTGCTCGATGCTGTTGTAGACTATTTACCTTCCCCCATTGACTTGCCAGCAATGAAAGGAACTGATCCTGAGGACCGGGAGGTGATACTTGAAAGGAGTGCTGATGACAATGAACCGTTTGCAGGATTAGCTTTCAAGATCATGAGCGATCCATTTGTCGGTTCTCTTACATTTGTGCGGGTGTATGCTGGGAAACTTGAAGCTGGATCTTATGCTCTCAATGCAAATAAAGGGAAGAAGGAGAGGATTGGCAGACTTCTGGAAATGCACGCTAACAGCAGAGAGGACATTAAAGTAGCCTTAACTGGTGATATCATAGCTCTTGCAGGTCTAAAGGATACAATTACAGGAGAAACATTGTGTGATCCGGAGAAACCTATTGTTCTTGAGCGGATGGATTTCCCTGATCCTGTCATTAAGGTTGCAATTGAACCGAAGACGAAAGCTGATGTTGATAAGATGGCTGTTGGTTTAATTAAGCTCGCTCAAGAAGATCCATCTTTCCACTTCTCACGTGATGAGGAGACCAACCAAACAGTTATTGAAGGCATGGGAGAACTACACCTTGAGATTATAGTTGATCGACTCAAAAGGGAATTTAAGGTCTGATTGTAGTTGCTTAACAGACTAACTAATAGTAATTAGTATTTGTTTTTGATGTGATATCATAGTCTATTTTCCCTGCAAAATGACTTTGGTGTGTGCTTTTTGCTCCAAGGTGGAAGCGAATGTTGGGGCACCGCAGGTCAATTATCGGGAAAGCATTTCCAAGGTGACAGAAGTGAAGTATGTGCACAAGAAACAATCGGGCGGTGCAGGTCAGTTTGCTGATATAACAGTGAGGTTTGAACCGATGGAAGCAGGTAGTGGGTATGAGTTCAAGAGTGAGATTAAAGGGGGTGCGGTGCCCAAGGAGTACATACCGGGTGTGATGAAAGGGTTAGAAGAAAGCATGAGCAATGGAGTGCTGGCAGGCTACCCTGTGGTTGATGTTCGTGCGGTGTTGGTCGATGGCTCCTACCATGACGTGGATTCGAGCGTATTGGCATTCCAGCTGGCTGCCAGGGGAGCTTTCAGACAAGGGATAAGGAAAGCTGGGCCGCAGCTGCTGGAACCGATTATGAAGGTTGAAGTAGTGACTCCTGAGGAGCATCTGGGGGATGTGATTGGCGATCTCAACTCAAGAAGAGGCCAGATCAACAACTTTGGCGACAAACCTGGGGGCTTGAAGGTAAGAATATCTGTGAGTTTGTGTGTATTTGCATTGGCATCCAGTATTAAGTTGTCATCAATTCCATTCCATTCCAGGTAGTGGATGCGCTGGTGCCTCTGGCGGAGATGTTTCAGTATGTGAGCACGCTCCGAGGAATGACAAAAGGACGAGCTTCCTACACGATGCAGCTGGCCAAATTTGATGTCGTCCCCCTGCACATTCAGAACCAGCTGGCTGCCAAAGAGGAGCCTGTGTCTGCTTGATTTCATTTGATTTGATGATGGATGGATGAGCCTCCCTCTACACAAGCACACTTTATTCCATTTGGAGAGGATTGATTGATTCTTTTTCGCCAAAGATTACACACACACAATCAGAGTGAGCGTAGTTGGATACCTCTTAAATTATTTCTATTGACGAGGAGGATTGTGGAAGGAGTTTGAGTTACTGGCCAATTAAATGTTACTTACAGTCTGAAGAAGTAGTAATACGGCTTCAATGCAGCCAGACAATCAATCATTTTTTATTTTTATACGACATGAGAACAGTGAATTGCTGTTTGCTTCATATATGGCATCATTTTGTAAATTGTAGTAAACATCACTTCACTTCTGCCTGTACCTGTAGCATGGCATCAACATAACACACAAATACAAATTGTTTGGAGGTTGGTTCGTAACAACTAACTGGTCAAGGATAGCATCTATGCAATAACTGACACTTTAGTAATAGTAATAGCCCACTATTCACTTAAAATCACTGCGGCGGCAAGCCAACGTCTACTGCCTGACAAAGAATCTAACAGATAAAAATCAATGAAACATTTCATTACACAGCTGCATCGCATCAGCATCAGCATCGTATCACCAAATCCTAGCTCCCTCCGTCTGTCTATCTATCTATCTAACTTGAACGATTCCTGCACTCACTAGTTTCTGTATTTTGTTCATCACAAGAGGGTTCTTCATGTGATCTTGTGCAGCTTTTGGATTCTCTTGAAAATCAACCAGGACCTGTTAAAACACAACAGCCGGCAGCCAGCCAGCCAGTTACTTGGAGGATGGAGAACCACCCACTACTACGTTATAATTTATATTCACAAATCACCTCAGCCATTTTTATCATACCTGCCTCATTACCGGATCTGTCAAGATATTTTGAATCTCTGGATCCTGCATTGCTTTGGCCTAAAACAAGACAAGAGAGATGCCCAAGTTGCAACCAACTGCTACAACAAACAAGCAAACAATTGCTAAAAAGCAGGCGGTATATATATATCAAACCTGTCTCTCCTTTAGTTCCTCTGGGCTCAAATCGCCGCGGTTAGCCTTGTTTATCTGCTCCATACATCTGCAGAAAGCACAAAAAGATTCAAATCTTAATTATTGAGTCCAAACTGGAAAGCAGTAACAGACAAGAAACATTAACGAAAAATAAGTCAAATATCCTCTCTACCTCTTGACACCATCTAACAATTCCTGGTTCTGAGGATCATGCTTCAAACCTTCCTGATATGTCTCCAATGCTTTCTCATACTCCTTCATAAAAAATTGAACAGCGCCCTTTCTGGTATAACCTTTTGAAAAGGTTGGATCAAGCTCAATACATTTTTCGGCATCTTTGAGTCCCTCAGGCATAGCCCCAAGTTTTGTGTAACTAGCAGCCCTGTTGCTATATACCTGCAAGATTGGCCGCTGTAAATATTCACAACAATCCACAAGTAAATCAATGATTCAGATTTGTGCCAAAGTGTCAAAATACCCTTGGATCCTTTGGATTCCTTTTTATTGCTTCAGTGTAGTGCTTAATAGCTTCAGGATACTTCTGCTCCTTAAAAAATTGATTGCCTACAAGTCACACACCATGCAAAGTTATCAACAAGATTGATGATAGTGGTACATTTGGACTTACTATGGTAAAAACAGACACCCTCAAGACCCCAGTACCTTTCTCTCGCTCCTCATCAGCTATCTGCGGGTTGAAGTACTCTTGTTGCTCTAAATCTTTCTTTGCTTTCTCAGCATCATTAAGCTTCTTGAGTGTATCAGGGTTGCGATGCTCAGTTAGGGCTTTCTGGAAGGCCTCAATTGCAGTTTCATAATCCTTTGAGCACTTGGCCATCTTCACCAAGGCAGATCCCTTTCTGGTCAAGGCCCTCGCAATCATTTTGTAGTCTGATCTCAGTTCCCTCCCTCTTTCAACAGCCTTTTCACAATCCTTAATGCAATCCTCATACTGCAATCACACATCATTGTCATGTAAAGAGCACATACTACAATTGATTTACTGCGTGAAGAACTATTGACATGCTTGCAACCGTTAACAAAAGACAAAAGTTGTAATCATTTTACTCCTTCCAAGAGACGGACTGTTTCAACTTTCTCCCCCTTGCACCCAAGCTATCAGCTGGCAAAATATTTTTTGGTGGGGAAAACAGGCAAGAATTTGAATATCATAATATATATACATACAGGAAATGGGGAAGTGAAGAAACAATTGATAGCAGTTGTATATGGTCACACACTTCCAGTGAACTACCAAGAACCACCATCACCAACCAGGCACCACAATTAATTATAAGTCAAAGAGAGGGCAAGATATATACACAGAGAAACATAGAAGACTATAGAAAGAACCTAATGAATGCTGTCGTGAATCAAGCAAAAAAGAAGATGTCGTCGCTCTCTTTCAGGGAGCAAGATAACGTACAATGAACGGCCTTCAAAACACAAGTAACCCATAAACCTAATCTACCCTGGGTCAGGGAAGATATGCAGATAATCCTTGCGGCCATCAACTTTTTACACGTCCTACAAGTTGCTATTAAACATTTTGCAACTGTCCAGTTGACCAATCTCTAAAGATAACTATTGGTCAAACCATGCACGCATGATAAGTCTCCAGCGTCTGAATTTTCACAAAGGAAAACAGGCGAATCCAGTTACACATGAGGCAACACCAAATTAGTTGTACGAATTAATGTCAGAAGCATTCAAAACAAATTAAAAGAAGCTAGTATAATTTATACTAATGCTTTGTGCGTGCATGGCTAACGAGAAAAACATCCAGAAGGAATGCAGTCCAGTCCATAACAAAATAGCAAAGCAACCAGAAAAAGAAGTAAGGCGTGCGTTGTACCTTGCTCATCTCCAAGTAGACGGCAGCACGATTCGTTAAGAAGGAAATATCCTCATCATCGAGATCAACTGCCTTGGTATAATGCTGTATCGCCATCTCAAAGTCCTTCTTTTTATAGGCTGCATTCCCAGCTTCTTTCTCTTTCTGAGCCTCAGACTTTTTAATCCTCTTCTCCTTCTCCTCTTCGTCAAGCTCCCCTACCTCGGGCTCCGGATCCTTTTCCGGTCTCTTCTCCTCCTTCGGAGCCTCCGCTGCCGGCCTCTTCTTTTCCGGACCTGACGCTGACGGCGGAATACCTTCACCATCCTCAGCTCCCGTTGTCTGGATCTTCAAATTCAACAAAACCCCCAGCGCCTGCATTACCCTTTGATCCTTCATGTGCGAGTTCACATTATTAGGGTTCTTTTGAATATCCTGCATCATTTTCACGAAATCCTGGTGCTGAAGGAACTCCCTGGTGTCAGGATCGCTCGCCAGCTTAACCCACATGTCCGTCCCAAAAGCCTCCCCAAAAGGATTTGGGGCCGGTCCGCCTCGGGACCTCGAGCTCCGAGCCAAAGCAGACTCCGCATCTGCGAGGCCGGACTTGAGGGCCTCGTTGGTGGGATCGATTTGAAGACCCTTGTTGTAGGCGGAAACAGCGTCGCCGTAACTATGGAGGCCCACGTAGGCGGCGCCTAGCCGGGAGTAGCCCTTCCCCCAATCGGGCTTAAGCTCGATGGTCTTGTGGGCGTCGGAAAGAGCTTCAGGGAACTTAGCAAGGGATGCGTAGGCGGCGGATCGATTGGAGTAGAGGACGTGATTGGTGGGAGCCAAGCTGATTGCATCGGTAAAGTGGGCAACGGCATGGTTGAAGTCTCCGGCGGAGAAGGCAGCATTGCCTTTAGCCTTGGCTTCATCCGCCATTAGCGAAAAAATCAAGCTTGACAAAAATTAAAATTAAAAAAAAAAAGATTTTGTTGGGGATGGTAATTGCTATCCTATGGGCGTTCAAGAGAGGCAGGAGAGTCGTGATTCCTGGAGCCTGGGGGGATTGATTTTGATTTCCTTGTGGAAATTTCGGCGGAGGGTGAAGTGGAGTGGAGTGGAGTGGGGAGTATGTATATGAAAAGACGTGTGGATGCGTGATGAATGAATGAATGATCATCGACGATACACAGGTTGCAGGAGTCGAGGTCAAGGGACGCAACTAGTATTATTAATACTACTGACTAGTATTATAATGACAATTTGGAGGGTGAGGGAGGGTGGTCCCATTCCACCAGATCTGTTTGTTCAAAAGCAAAGGGTAGCAGCAGCAGCATTCCTACTAATCCAATTACATTGCATGTTTACAGTGACTTGGGCTGGGTTGGGGGAGCAGCCTTCCATGTTTTACTCCTAATAATATTATAATTAATTCAAAAACATCATTTGATTTGATTTAATAATGTTGATGAGATATATAAGATGATGGCCTAAAAATATTTCAGAAGTTTGGAATGGAATAGTAGTAGAATAGAAGAATGAATGCGGCGAGGAAGGCCAAGAAACATTAAACACAAGGATTAAACTGGTGTTTGATTTTGCTTCAAAGGGAAATGAAAGGGATTATTCATTGAGCAGTACACTCCAAGCCTGATTCAATTCAATTCAACAGTAGTGGAATATACATCATGTATTTTTCATATGCTATGCATTTATATTATATATACATACAACAAACAAACAAAGAAGCACAATAGCACATCCCATCCATACATATACACACACTATAATTAATTTGGTGGATAGAGAAGAGACGAGAAGAGTAGTGTTGTGCTGGTGCTGGTGCTTGGTCAGTCACAGAGGCCGGTGGCGGGATCACAGTAACCATCCCTGTCGAGGAGTTTCTTAGGAGGAGCACTGAGCAGAGGGGATGATGGGGACCCGTATGCATTCCTCTTGCTGTTCCCACACCCCAAGCTTTTCCGGGTGCTCACTCCTGTCACTGGGTTCGTCCCGCTCGCGTACTTGCACAGAGCCTGCAGGTGCAGCATGCACGCACAGTTCATTTCATTTATAATCCAATCCAATCCAATTCAATCAACCCTTCATTCATCATCCACATCTCAATCTCAATCCCATTCCCAACCCCAACCCACCTGTTTCTGAGGAAGGTCGATCACTGCATCGCTAAAATCAGCACCTTCAATGATGGCCCCTCCAAGATCGCTCCGTGTCAGCACCGATCGCACCAGCACAGCATTCCTCAGGTTCGCTTCATTCAGGACCTTCATACCTCAACAAATTAATAACAATATCAATCATATCCATCAATCTTCCTTCCTTCCTTCGATACACAGGACACACACTTGCCAGGACTAATTCAATTATGTATACACATATATAAAGAAGAGGATCATTAACTAAATGTTATACCATACCATTCGGTCCATTAGAGTGTCACTCAAGTCAGCCCCTGCAGATACATATATAGATAGACAGATAGTTATTATATTGGCGGATTGATCGAGCTGAGTTTGATGATTTGGAGAGGTAAAAAAATCAAAATGCACGCACGCACCAGAGAAATTGGCTTTATAGGCTACAGCTTTCTCAAGATATGCACCGTTGAATGTTGAACCACTAAAATCTGACTCCCTCATGTCCGCTGATGTGAAATTTGCTCTTCTGCTCATTGTATTACATACATACATACATTCATAAACCACTCATCTCTCTATGCATCTTGTGTTTTACAGTTAGATAGATTGTGGAATTAATTACCTGAAATTTTCATTCACATGAACTGCTTTCCTGCAATGCATATATATATATATATATATGACAATGATTGGCTCGTTAGACAGCAGCAATCAACATTTCCCACAGTGAATTACTGTATGATTTGATCTGATGATAGAAACTGATAACTGACTTGAGATCTGCTGATCCAAACTGAGCTGCTGATCCGATGCCGAATTCACCTCGCATATCGGCTTCAAATTTATTGAGGTCAGCCAACGCAGGTGTGTTGCAACTGCAAAAGGCAACCAATGCTGCAGCAGCTGCCAACGCTGTTGATATCTCCCTTCTCCACTTCTTTGCTTCTGTGTTTTAAGTAATTAGTATAAGTCAGAGTAAAAAATTCTCACGTATGTCTGTCAGTCAGAGTCTAGAAATCAAGCCTGTGCCTGTGCCTGTGCCGGTTAATCCACAGGATCAGTGTTACGGACGGTTTATACCTTGATTATATATGTATCCTACCCAGTACCCAACCCATCAACCCAGCGACACAACATACATCGGTTTAATTAGTACCTACCGATCATCGAAGAATTAGCTAGTCTGCTTCAATCTTCTTAAAAGAAAATAAAAAAAAAAAAGTAGGAATCGAAAGGGGAGAAAAAGTATTACCTTTATGGTGGATGCAACAAGTAACACACAACAAGGGTTTTGCAGGGGCGTGGAAGGAATTGAGGGTTCTGTCAGGGAGAGGGAGATGGAGAGAAGAGGCCGAGGATAAGGAAGAGATGGATTTTAGAGGGAGCAGCGAGATTGAAGTCAGCGCCATTTTCAGAAAAAATAATAATAATAAGAATGAAGTAAATGAGAAGGGTTGTGGGCTGGTTGTTACATGAACACCGACCGAGCACAGGGAGGGGAAGTAGAGTGAGTCTCTGAACATTACATTACACTCCTCCATTGGATATTGGATACGACTGAGTCTGACCGACTGATTGGAGAGTCCGTTGGTTCGCAGCCACATTTTCTCGGAGATGATGGATGATGTTTGGCTGTGGGCGTGTAACCTAGAAAACGATGTCGTATGTCCAGATGAGATGGGCGTAACATAACAAATACTCTATTAGATTAGATTAAATTAGATGGGAGTATTCAATAGAATAGAATAGATAGATAGCCATGGATACCAGGAGCCAATTCTCTTCTCAGTTCTCACCCCATTTCTGACTGAGTTGGTTACTAACCAGCTGATTCTCATAATCTATGCCACAAGTATACCACAGATAAATAAATCAACCAAACCCTCCAGCTGATTCCATATCACAAAAGTTAAAGTTGAAATAAAACATCCGAACCAGTGAGTGAGTGAGTGAAATAGTTTGAAGTTTGAACACCATTTCAGCTGAGAGACAGAAGAAGTTGAAAGGCCTTGGACATTCTCTGACTTCACGGGTTCCCTAACTATAAAGAAACAAGGGCGGCGGGTGGTCGCAATGGCACCATTTATTTGCAGGAGGCAACAAAAAGGCAATGCAATGCAACGGATGTTTATACATTCGGAGGTGGCCACATCTTCCCAAATAATTCTTCCACACGCTGTGATTGGCTAGCGTAGCCATCCATTCCAGCAGCTAGAAGCTCCACTGCTGCTGGACCCATAGCTGAGGCAAACCCATCTTGCTCCCACTTGACAAGCTGAAAATAATCGAGGAGCACGGTCAAGCACTGACTAAAGGGAGAATAAGTTACACTAATATTAACGCACAACAGTTTCAGATGGATGCATAGCAAGAGATCTACTTTCCACATCTGGTGGTTGATTTGGACCATGACCAAATCAATAAATATTAGCAATATACAATTAAAGAAAGGAACCTCTTCATCCTTAAAATTGTATGCAGCAGCAGATTGTGGGGATAGCCTTCTCATCAGAGAGTACTTCTCATCAGGCGGTGTCACAGAATCCTTCAGAGACTGCAATATTTTCAATGGAGTGATGATGTAATCGATCCTGCAAAAAGCAACTCATTACATTAAGGGAGTTGATACATCTAAATTGGCAACAAGAAAAAATTAATTACGTTAATATAAAAGGGCAAGAGCAATTACCCTAAAAGATTAAATATATCTTGCTTGTTGCGGATTGCTGCAGCCATCAATCTTGATTTATACCCATATTTATGAATGTAGTTATAAGCTTTTGTAACCTGAAAGGACAAGTGCAAACCATGTAAAAGTATCAGAAAATGAAACTCATATATATTCCCACCTTATTAAAATAAACTGATGCTAACTAGAAAAGGAAAAATGAGAACCATATATTTTTCCCAAGACAGATAAAAAAAGTGCTGCTCTGTACTTGAAATGGCATGAGCATTGCACATTTGATACCATATCTTAATGCAGCATACTCATCCATATGTGAATGCATTCATTTGCACAAATTTCCATTTATTTTTTCTTATTAAATGAGTATACAACTGCCAGGCATGTGATGCTATGAAGAGAAACAAATGACACCCAAATGAGGTATTAGATACATATGTTTCAGTTCATTGGACTGACCAAAGCCAATCCAGGATCTTCCCCTCTCCTAAGAGCAGTTTCCAGTTCAGAGTCACCAGTATGGTTGCGTGCCCAATCCTAACAGAGATATAAACCCACATCATACAATCTACACAAAAAGCTTCAGAAATGCATAATAGTATCACAGATTAAATACCCTTAGACGACCAACAAAAATTTGAATAACAGAAGCACCAGCTTGAGCAGCAGCTGCAGCCTGACAAAAACTGTCAATACATTGAAAAGATGGCCTTAGATATTTCAGAAATCTCATAGTGACCAACACTGGAATATAGGGGGAAGGGTAAAAATAACAAAGGAAGTCAGAGCTTGCAACGACTACTTAGAAGTAGATCAAGGCATGCATATAACCAAAATGATATAATTTCCATGACCTCCAAGTTTTCCCACAAGTTACCTCAGTGAACAGTTGTATTAACTTCCTCCACTAATAACTGTTATATTCTCCATTCAATCAATCTCATAACCCCCAAGATTAATATGCCATGTCATACCTATAGACAAAAGTCATGTGTGTCTGTATGCCTTCAGATTCCAATATCCTTGATGCTTCAATGCCCTGGAAAGTAAGGCAATGAATGAATAAAAAGTAATTAAATTGGGGAGAATTATGAGTTTGAAGAGTGAGGCGAAGCACACTATATCTACAATGGATTTTGACACTAACTTGCCAAGTTGAAGGGATTTTAAACAATAATCTCTCCGGGGGTACGCCAATTTCATGATACAGTTTCAAAAGGTCATGCACCTGCAAATCAAAATCAATGCTAATTGATGAAAATTGCAGCATTTAAAAGGGGCATAACATATGTATTATTCCAATATAATGCAATTCAATCTGATCAGAAAAAACACTATAGAATAGAATCAACCTCTATTAGAAACTTCCAATAATTTCAAGGTCCCGGGTATTTTACACTACAAAGGAATGAGAAAAATAGAAATTGGCAAATCAATATATTATATTCATTTAAGAAAAGGTCACCTTGTGAACAATGGCATGTGTATCATATGCCAGACGAGCATCAACTTCAGTAGAAACGCGGCCAGGCACTAGCTTTGCAAGATCACCTCCAATATTCACCAAAGCCTATTTATCGAAGACAATTGATCACCAAGGATTTGCAGTTACACTGCTTTAACCAAAGAGCAATTTTATATATAAGTTGGTACTATTTGGACTACCTTGTTGAGGAAACAAGAGAGACGATCATCAGATTTTTCTAAGCCATAACACTCTGAATCAGCCAGTGCAGTGTCAACAGCACTCTACAGAAACAGGAAATATCAGTAATTTATTCTCAAATTTGTAAATTTAATCATTCTTGGTAAAACCATCCCTAGTCGAATATCGATTTTTTTTTTCATCTATGTACAAGTAAAATTTACTAAAATGTAAGCACAACATGCAGATGCATCCCAAAGAAACAGAAGCATTGTAAAATGAAGCAATCAAAAGAATATTATTGTTTTCCAGTCAAATACAGACTTGTTTCCCCTGAATAGTACACCTTGGACCAATCTATCTCCTTGAATCCAAAATGCAACAAAGAGCACTGAAAAAGGTACAATCTTTCATCAACCTAGAAGAATTTATAAAGACTTAAGCCCAGTACCCTGAATTTAGTGTCGGGAAGGCTGCAAATACCCAATATTAGAGAGGAGCTAACAGTGGCAGCGGTTGGAGGAAACCTAATGCAAATTACGAGTCAAACGATCATCAGATCAGGAAGCAAAAGACTAAGGATAATCATTAACAGTCATGGAGGAATGAGAGATCCACCTCTCGAAATCATCAAAAACGACAGTGTCCGGAACAATCTCGCTGTAACTCGAAACGGCATCCAATTCCGTGCTCAAACCTATCCTTGTTACGATAAATCATCAAATCCAAAAAATCTAACTTCCCACCAAATATTGAATCAAATCTGCAAAGGAACTATGATTAACCTAATAGAAACAAGTACCAGTGTCAAGCGACGAAGAGAAGTCAGTCGCAGCTCGGACGGAAGGAAAAAACCTCAGAGGCTTAAAAGCTAAGGTCTGCTTCGCGGATCGAACTGCGAACCCCAACTTCTCCTGTAACAATCAATCAAAATTGAAGGGAGCTTGCAGGAAAAAGCAGAATCAAGGAAGGAGGCAATCAATCACAAAGAGGGGTGAGTGCGAGTATTCTTACCTGAGGAGAGGAAGATGAAGAGGATAGTGCGAAGGATAGCGGAGTGTACAAAGTTGCTGACATAGTTTACTTTCAGCTGAATATTGTTTGACGAGTCCTCTCCCCACCCCCAGCATACAAACTTATATACACGGCCACAGCCTATCGGGATTTTGGGATAGGGGCTAAAGGTAACCCGTGCCCTTGACAGCCAAGCCGAAAAGCTACATATGTACACATACAACAATTCAATTCATTTCGTTTCGTAATGCAGTCAGTCAGCAGTAGTGGTAACATTGAAATCAATGTAAACACAACTAGTTATAACAATAATCATAAATAACACACACAACACAGGACCAGACAACTGGATCGATCCGAGTGTACTAAATAGAATTAAGCTGCAGTTGCAGTTTGCAAATGAAATGCCACGTTGATGGTAAGCAGTGTTTTAGAATTTACAAACTCTTCTTTCGCTGCTGCTACTCTACTATGGTCTGGTGCTAACTTAGTTGAATGAAGAAATATTTTTCACATATATACTCTAATAATAATAATAATAATAATAATACTCCAGTAAATACTTAACAGAGTGGAGTGTTTCCAGTAAGAAGGAACCAAGGATGAGTTCGTTATTTAATAAAGAATACAAGAGGCACATGAGCACTACTTTGTTCGATCTTGTTCCAGCTGAATGAGTGAATTAATAAAATGCAATATACAAGTGAGTCAGTCAGTCACTCAGTCAGTCTGTATTTCTCTCAACACGGAACTTTACCATCAAAATCAAAATCAAAATCAATCAAGAGGCGAGGCGAGGCGGCCAGATGCTAGCGGCGGCAGCGCCATTGCCAGCCATTTCACGTTGTCTGAGATATGACAACCAGCGAGTCGAGTCGAGTCGGTCGATGATGATCGGGGAGATGAATTACTATTACTACTACAAATATCAGTACTTATTGATGAATTTATCGCAGGCTTCGAATTCCCTGAGGAGGTCATCCTCTCTGAACCCAACCAAGAAGTGAGCGAGGGCTTCAAGAAACGAGGCGGCTTGATACACCGTGGCGGCGCTCAAGACGTCCGCCAGCACGCTCCTCCTCAGCCTGTTGGCGTCCACCACCACGCCCGCCAGCTCCTCCATCACTCTCTCCACCGCCTCCCCCACCGCTGCCTTCATCCCCTCCTTGCTCCCCCCCCACTCCAGGCCCACGTTCGTCACCAGCTTCGCCTGTGCCTCGCGTGCCCGCGCCGCCAGGGCCGGGACCATCAGCCGCAGTCCACACTCAATCTGATCCACCCTACTCGTCAAGGCTTTTCCCGGGCTCCTCCACGTCTTTCCCACGCCCCACCACCCTCCAAGGTATTCCTCCTCCTCTATTTCCGACGCAGGCTCGACTTGGACTTGGACTTGGACTTGGGCTACCTCCTCCTCCTCTTGATCTTCCTTCTGATCATCCACCATCTCATTGTTATCCTCTCCTTCTGCTTCTGCTTCTTCTACATCCTCTTCTTCTTCGTCTTCTTCTTGGTCGTCCAAGAACGATCGGAGGAGGTTTGTGAATAGGTAGGGGTGGAGGTCGCCCAGCCATAGGAAGGGCTTCTCCAGGGAATTGCGCCACTCCGGGTAGAGGCACTGAGCGACGTCGGCGGCGGCGGCGTGGTCGAGGGCCTCGTAGTAGGTTAGGAAGTGGTTGTGCATGACTTCGACGTGGGTGGAGAGGAGCGCGGGGGATGTGGAGAGGGATGAGAGGACGCGGCGGAGCTGGGGAAGGAGGGCGGTGGTGAGAGCGGCCAGCCAGTCGTTGTAGAAGTCGGCGAAAGGCTTATCGCCCGGCGCCGTCGCGGCTGCCGTTTTCTTGCGACCAAAGAGGGCGGACTTGAACATCTTTGGGAAAGATGATGATGATGATGATGGTGATGATTTTCTTGAAATTGGTTGGCAGAGGGAACGAGAGGGGGTGGGGTTGTGATTCTGTCGTTGTGTACAAACGAAACAATATATATTGGAGGGGGAGTCTTCTAGAATCTAGATGGAACTGATATCATACAGTCAGTCAGTCAGTCTGTATAGAGACGGAGACGAGAGAGGAGGGGATATGTATTTCGACGAGGAGCAGGAGCTAGATCTGCACCCTTCATTTATTTCAGCGCAAAAGAACGAACGGCGTGGATGAGCTCATCTTTGAATCAATAAAAATAAATAATTTATTTAATTATATACATATTTATTTACCATACCAAACTCAGGTCCGCCTTCGCCGGCCTTTTCCAATTTCCCCTACCCTAACGGTGCCATCCGATGATCCCTTTCTTCCCTTCTTCCACCGTCTCGCATTTGCCCTCCGCCGCATCTGAGCACGATCGCCGCCGCCTCCATGCTACTCCGGCTACCCGCAGCCCTAACTGTCCTTCTCACAATCTCCGCGGCCGCCCTTGTCGTTACATCTGCAGAATCCGACCTCGAATCGGACTGTGCCAATAGATGGATCCACATCCGGCATCTCCCCCCTAAATTCAACCGCAATCTCCTTGCCAATTGCTCCGAGTACCCCGTCTTTGGCGATTTCTGCCCCTACATCTCCAACCACGGACTCGGCCAGAAGACTCACAATTCCACGCACAGCTGGTACAGGACCGATCCTTTTATGCTCGAGCTTATTTTCCACCGCCGTATGCTCGAGTACCCTTGTCTCACCTCCGACCCGAAACAAGCAAACGCCATCTTCGTTCCTTATTACGGTGGAATCGACAGTCTGAAATACCTCTTTGGTCCGGAAGTTAATTCCAGTTTCAACCATGGATTAGATTTGTATCACTATCTGGCACACTTGGACGCGCCTTCGATTTGGAGAAAAAACTTTGGGCATGACCATTTCCTGGTGATGGCCCGGCCTGCTTGGGATTTCAACCAGCCATCGACGAATGATCCACCAATCTTCGGCACTTCGTTTCTCCAAGTTCCCGAATTTTTCAATGTGACTGTTCTGACATTAGAGGCCCGGGCGTACCCCTATCAAGAGCAGGCGATTCCGTATCCGACGTCGTTTCACCCCCCAAACCTGGGTTTCTTCGATTCGTGGGTGAACCGGGTGAGGAAGTCGAGGAGGAGCGCACTAATGCTATTCGCTGGTGGGGGTGGGATTTCTGCTAATCCCAACGTCCGAAGGAGCATCAGGCTTGAATGCGATAGCGTGAGCAACATGAGTGCCAATGGAACGGGATACGGCAAATTTTGTCACTTGGTGGATTGTTCGAATGGGATATGCGAGCACGATCCGATCAGGTATATGAAGCCAATGCTGCAGGCTAGTTTCTGCTTGCAGCCTCCGGGGGATAATCCGACGAGGCGATCCACCTTCGACGCCATTCTTGCGGGTTGCATACCGGTATTCTTTGAGGAGTTGTCTGCAAAGAAGCAGTATGGGTGGCACCTGGCGGAGGACAAGTATAATGAGTTTTCAGTGTACATCCCCAAGGAGGATGTGGTGTTCAAGGGGTTGAAGATAATGGATGTGTTGATGGGGGTACCGAGGGCGGAGGTGAGGAGGAAAAGGGAGAAGATTTTGGAGATGATGCCAAGGATCATATACAGGAAGCATGGGAGTTGGTTGGGGTTGAGGAGCAAGAAGGATGCATTTGATATTGCAGTCGAGGGGGCTCTGCGGAGGATCAAATCGAGACTTGAAGAAGAAGGAGAAGAGATTTCAGGGAACGGGGGAGTGGGATTATTATGAACTGCTGCTTGCCTGCCTGCTATTTTTGATGTTTTATCGTTATTGTTATGGATGTAATTTGTAAAATATAGCTAGCTAGCCAGCCAGCGTGCTCTATTTGTTCTTGGTTTCTTCCTATGAATTTTGGAACCAACAAACTCCTCTGTTGTTTCTGCATTGCCACTAGATAATACAAATGCCCTTGCTCCAAGGGATCGGAGAATGGATATTCAAAACGCGTCTGGTGGGATGATCCTAAATGGGTGGATGGTTGGAATGAATGGATGAATCGGGTATGTGAAATGTGGTAAAGAGAATGCATTTACTTTACAACAATGGAAAAGAAACAAATATAAAACAGGAACATTCACCATTGCATCAAGTGAGATGCCCGAAATGAACATGCTTGTGTCTTTTGAAATATACCAGTCAGTCAGTCAGTCAGTCAGTGTGTATACTTGATAGAACGCATGCCAAAACTAATCATGATAATTATATACATGAATAAAAAAATCAATGACCTATAGCTTGCCTTGTCCATTTATAACGAAGACATATGAAATTGAACTTGAACCTTTAAAAAATCTGATTTTGTTGCCGTTTCTTCTCCATTGATTTGGACAGGACAGACAACAATCGTTAATTGTTCCTATGTTTGTAAGACAATTTCATATAATAATTGAAAAGAAGAAGCTTATCATTAATTTTGAATATAGTTTGTTGCAGCAATGCGTCAACACAGCGTGCGTGCCATCGATCCATTCTTAATTAGTTACTAATATTTGATTTGTATTGTAATTTGTAAGTGTAAGCAGCCCCCTTCTCTCCTCTCCTCTTCTCCCCTCTTCCGTGGGTAAGGTCTAACATGAAGAATACCTGAAGTCAATATCAATTAGATATGTATGTGTAATTGCAATAGTTATTTTGTTTTATTTTAGGAATGGTGGTCTGTCTACAGATTATCGTATTAAACAAACGATATGCATCTCCTCCAAATTCCAATGGACTTAAGAATGACAATAGTAGTAGTTGTGGTAGTAGTAGTAGTAGTAGTTAGCAGGAGAGAGAGAGAGAGAGAGAGAGAGAGAGAGAGAGAGAGAGTTGAGGGGCGACGTGTAATATAAACCCGAGAGAGAGAGAGAGAGAGAGAGAGAGTTGAGGGGCGACGTGTAATATAAACCCAAGTGGGGCATATATCATACGGTAGAAATAGAATCACCCCCCACAGATTTGATTTTATATACTGCATATGTGACATGTGAGAGGGAGAGGGAGAGGGAGGGGGAGAGGGGGAGAGATCCTTTCATTTTTGGTTGCCCAATTGGTCCCTCGGCTTCCTCACAGTCTTTAATCTGTGTTTCGATTATTTTCTCTCTCTCCCCTCTCTCACTCTGTAATATCAAATCTTTGGCTACTTTGTCCCTGTCCCTGTCTCTTTCTCGATCTCTCGACGTTCGCCTTGTGTGTTTTTGAGGCAAACCGTTTCTTTTTTTTTTTTTTTCAATATGGCTTAGGATCTCCACTACATACGGCGTGTTTGCTGCAATCCCATTTCTCACTCTTCCAATCCAGATCGCGGTACCTTCCCTTCCTCGCGCTTCTGGTTAGTTACCGCTCTCTCGTTTTATCTCTCACCTTTTGCCTTCTCTGCAAACTCCTCTTCTTGTTTCTTCTTTCTCCTTTTCATTTTTTGTTATTGAAAAAGTTCAGTGCCCAGCTTAAAGATTACAGACAATAATTTGTTTCTCATTAACTGGACTGGACTGCATGATGAGGTGTGGAAAATTTTAGATTTTTGTTTGCGTGTTCCGCTGGAATAAATCTGTTGGTGCTCGGTTAGTTGTGTGTGTGTGTGTTTCTTTTTTTGCATCCATCTTTCAGATACGGGTACCTAGAAAGCAGAATCCGAGGAAACTAATGCGAGAAAATAGGCGTTGAATTATGCATTGCATTTTCTAATATTCCAGCCAAACACAGCCTTAACGCAACTTGCATGTCTGTTTTTTTCTGGTGTTTATTCTTTATTGCCGCATCTATATATTACTTTGACTTATTTATTTATTTGTTAGTTGCAGTTGTAGTTGTAGTGGTGGTGGACAAAGAACAAAGCTTGTTTGGCAATACAGTAAAGGCAGTGCCTCAATCCAATCTCTTTTCTTCTTGATTAGTGGTCTCTGCTTTTACTTCTTAGTGGGTTTATATCTGTTAGCGCATGCTTAACTGTACAATAGAAGATATACCAGATCAAGAATTTGGAAATTTATGAAAGAAAGATCCTGCTACCTACAAACACACCGCCGCTGCTAGATCTTGCGTGAATTAGAAGGCCTGCTAGCCTGGTGGCAATAGTGGCCCTGCCCATCCTCATTTTTTGCTGCAAGGTTGAAATTTCTGTGTACGTTGTACTGAAGAGCAGATCATCTTTGATATTACAGAATTCCTACAACACGATTGTTTGTTAGTTGTTACTAGCAGCATTGCTCTGAGTGCATCCTACGCTTTCAAATTGACTATAGGGATTGAGAGGTAGTTCCACACCAATTTCTTTTTGGTGAAAGTTTATACTTGTCTTCCTCCACCTCCAATCAAATCATCTACTGTAAAATTTGCTCTTACCCCGCAGGGAGGTGATATTTTTGTGTGATGCTAGTTGCAAACCTCCCGTACTTGGCTGTTTGTCATTTAATATTTAATTTGTTCGCTTTCTGTGTGTACATGCCATCTACGATTACTGTTGATTTACCTAGCTAACTTTGATATAAAATCTATCTATGTTTTTTCAGCTTGAGGATGCAGAATTAGAAGATCGATATGAGAACAGGATGTTGATAGGCAGTGATTGTGAACTAAGTTTGGCTCTAGGACACGATGATTCGTCGCGAAAGGCTCTATCAGAAATCATGCTCAAGCAAGAGGAGATCTTCAGAAAGCAGGTGCTTCTAAAATGTCTTGTTGTAGTCTGATGATCAATATTTGATTGGTCTTGCTGTAATTTTCGAAGCGCTTTTGGCTTTTCTTAAATTCTTACTTTACTCTCTGTACTAATTAATTCAGGTCCTTGAACTCCATCAATTGTATCAAACTCAGAAGATACTGATGAAGGAGGTGGAAATGAAAGTGGACTGTGGTGAAAATTCACATGCATTTTCCGGTCCTTTCTCAAACCACTTGAAATGTGAATACACAGTGGCAGAGAAGAAATTGGGTGAAGACTGGAGGACATCTATGTCTAACCAGCTAAGACCGCTGGATCTTCAACTTTCTGCCCGTCACTCCACTAATAAGGTTGAAGAGCTTTCCCCCCGATTCCGAAACTATGGTTGTGTAGCTTCCAGAATTTCTTCCACACTGAAGTATGAAGTCTGTGTTGATAAAGTTTCATATATGGAGGGCCTTGCGCTCTCGCTGGGAGCACATTCACATTCACTTACTAATCAAAATCGAAGCAGCAAGGATGATAGTGTTTGCCCTCAGTCCCGACCTGCTACTGGATATGCTGTTCATGCCATGGCTGCTAGTGGAAAATGTGATGCTTCTGGAAAGATTTTTGAATCCTCTCTTGTGACTAATGGAGGACAGAAACTTGAGGAAAACAATGGTGGCATTGGTTGCCAAAATGAAAATACATCAGTGAAGAGAAATCTATTTGCTTCCTGTGAGTTTGAACAGCTGGACCTCAACAAGCCCATTTCTGAAGAATCATCTGATCACTGGGGGGTGCCCCTTCTCAATTCATCAAAGGTTAGCTCCATGGATACGCTGCATGATGCTGGCAGCTTGCACGGCGAAAGCACATGTTTGAATGATCATGACTCGAACAAACCAGCAAATGATAGTTTGAATGAGCTTTCAAGGTTGGACCAGAAAGATGCAGCAAATTCAATGTTGACAATCACTTTTCCAGACAAATGTAGGTGTGAAGGCAAAGAGAAAGACGCTCCTGGAAGTGCATTGGCCACCAAAGATGTTGGCTCTATTTGTAGATCTCCTTTGGAGAGTGCAGACTATGTCAGGTTTCCAGGGAAATTCAAGCACAAAACTGTAGGATGTAAAGAAGGCAAAACCTTCCAGAAGAGATTCACCTCTGAAATAGAAATACATGATAGCAGGGATAAGGAAGACAAGCTACATCTGAGTAACTCAAGTCAGGAACTGGTTGAAGCCACAGATAGCAGCAATAAATCTCCTGTCTCATGCAAATCTTGTATCGTGGATGATGAGTCAAGCAGCAGTAAGACAGGGCGGTGTGGAACTGATATGCTGTATTCAGACCATTCTCTAGTACAGCAGAATGTTGAGCCGACTGTAGGAGTGAAAGATGGAGCTTGCGGACAAGAGAAACTGGACGTGATGATGGTTAGACAGGGGGCTCTGTCCCTAATATGTCTTTCCACCAAAAGCAAAGAGCAAGCTCCCGTGTGCACTGGCATTTTTAAGGAAGTTGAGAAGGAGGTGGTGCAAAGTTCGTCTGAATCATACGAATCGCTTGTTTTAAAGCAACAGGATTGCAGCGGAGGCGAGTATTGTGTGTCATCGACTGCATTAGAAGCAACAAGCTGGAATGAGGAGGAGAAGGAGGAGTGCGGAGTGAAGGTGAGGCGCGGGAGGAGAATGAAAGACTTCCGGAAGGAGGTTCTACCTTGCTTGTCGTCCCTGTCCAGACAGGAGATAAATGAAGATATAAAAATCTTGGAACTTGCCTGGCGATCTAGGCTTAGAGAAAGAGAAGGCAATAAGTTCAAATCAAAGAATAACAATAACAAAGGCAGAGGAGGAGGATGCTTTTCGGCTGTGCCTGTGAGAAGTAGGAAGTCGACGTTGAGGCAAGTACACAGAAGCAGAAGAAGAAGGAGATGCTACTCTTGAAGGGTTGATTTCTTTTGTTTGTTTGTTATAGATGAGGGAGGAGGAATGAATCAATCCAAGGATTGATTTTAGAAATTTTCATGGACATTTGTTTGTTGAGTATTAGTATTTATTATGGACGATTGCGAAAGAGAGGGGCTGGGTGGGTAAGAAAGCTTCCTAGTTCCTCGCTCCTCCTCCTCCTCCATATATCATCATCACCTGAAAGCCATAACATACTACTACTCCACATTGCTGAGACTGGGAGTATTAGTTAATTACTACTCCCTATTCTCATCTCAATTCTCAGGTAATCAATCAATTAATTAATCTAGCTAGCTAGCCGGAAGGATACATTCAAATCAGCTGAGCTGACTCCTCTCCTCACTGATTACGTCTTTGTTTCTAACCTTGCCTTTTTCTTTCTTTCTTTCTTTCTTTCTTTCTTTCAAGTAGTAAATACCAAGTTGCTGCATTTCATTCTGCTGTTTGTTTCTCAGAGAGAGAGAGAGAGAGAGAGAGAGAGAGAGATGTTTCTACCTGTCTCCCTCCTCCTCCTCCTCCTTTCTTCTTCTTCTTCTTGAATTCGCCTTGTTATTATTTTCACGCATATAGGCTGGCTATTATCAAGCCAACCAAGTTTGAAATCAGTCCCGCATTCAATTTTTTTAAATAGCCCCGATACCACTGACTTATTATATCATTTTGGTTTCTTTCTTTAATTTCAATTCATTTGTATGAATGATACATAGAAATCCAAGCCAAACATATATCCGAAAATAATAAGTAAATTACAAAAATCAATTAGTGTATTTATTTACCAAAGATGTCTAGGTATACATACAGACTGAGTGAGAGAAGAATGGAAATACGGAGATGCACATACTGAATAATGATTGATTAATTACAAGCTACTACAAAGCAGCTAAGCCAAGCTAGCCGGAAAGCAGCAGCATTTATCAACCCAATTCTTCTCTGCGGATGACATGAGATACTTAATTACAAAGCTGGCAGATAAAAAATTTAATTAAAAAAAAAACAAAGAAGCAAACTGCGAATGCGAATGGTTGGCCACCCGCAACGCAACACAATACAATTAACCAACCTATTACTACAATTTACAACAGAATACTTATTAATAATATACTAGTATAATTTCGGAAGGTGAGAAGAAAATTGGAGTTGATAAATGCGATAATGCCGTAATACTGTTGTAGTAGTAGTAGTAGTATATAAGATCTATGTATGCATGTTTGAATGTCTGTCCGTGTACGTGGGTTTCATTTGCTTGCTGCACTAGAATTTGTTGTAGATGATAAGGAAGCAGGGTAATAGGGCACGTGTGTCAAAGACGTACACATCTTCTTCTTCCCCGGTGGTCCCGGTTCCACTTCCACCACCGGCTATGACCCGGCAGACCAGCATGGCCCTCCTTCCACATCCGCCGCCGGCCTTGTCGTGCGCCACACCGCTCCCGGAGTAAGTGCATACACCCGCACCCTTGCCGCTCTGGAATCCCATTCCCCAACCGCCGTTCTCACAGCACACTACTCCGCCCCCGCCGGTGGCACCAAGGCAGTAAAATCTCAGCACCTCATGCCCATCGGCGATGCACCGGGCGTGGGCGTGGGAGTGGTCCCGGTCCCCGGCACTCCTGGCCCTGTCCTTGACTATCTCCCGATACTCCTCGAAGCGGGTGAGAGTCCGGGTCAAGTTCTGGACCTTGAAGACCATCTCGACCCGGCCCGAGAAGGCCTTCTCTGACCCTGACCCTGACCCCCAGCCGGAGCGGAATATTATCTCAACGACATTGCGCGAAGGGTGGCCTTCAGGGAGCTCCGCCAGGGACGGGGAGCTGCTTGCGGCGCCGGTGAAGCGTGTGATGATGGCGGGCTGGGGCTGGGGCTTGCTGCTGGCATTAGGGCGCTTGGACGGCGGAATATGGTGCTCGGGCTTGGAGCTGCGGCGCCTGCTGGCAGTTGTTGTACTGGTTTCAACAATTATATCTTTGAGATTCTGGACGCTTCGGCAGCTGGAACTATAGGAGAAAGAAGAAGAAGAAGAAGAAGAAGAGTAGTGGGAGTTGGAGGACGTGTCTAGGAAAGAATGGGAATGGTGGATTAATTTGACGTTGGGACGGCGGCGGCGGCGGCCGTGGTGATCAACGACGTCGTCTAAAGCCTTTGACTTGGAGTTGCAGTGCAAAGACGACCTTACCCACCCAATTGCCATGACACTGCTACTTGTACACCTTACCTTACCTTACCTGGAATTGAAACAAACAACTAGTCAATCAATCAATCCTTCACCTCCCTCCCTCCCTCCCTCCTTAATTGATTTTCTTCAGGTTGGCTGGCTGGCTGAGACACGATTATGAATATATGAATATGCATATGCATACGAATGGGAGTGCAATTAAGGAAATTGGTATAATGAATTAGTTACTGTGCATTTGGGGGGTGGGGGAGAGAGACATAAGGGAATGGAGAAGACATGGGCCGGGCGTGACGGAGGAAGAGGGAGAGATAATATGACAGTGCAGTTGGGAGGGAGGGAGGGAGAGGTTATATTAAAATGAAACGGGCAAGGCACACTTGTCTTCTTTTCTCTGATATAGAGAGAGGCCTTCTTCTCTCAGTGAGAGATTACTAAAATGCCCTCAGTGTCAGTGTCAGTGTGTAAATGATCCCTCCCCTCCCTCCCTCCTGAGCACCTAGGTTGTAGTAATTATCTCCATTCTATTCCATTGCATGATACTTGTTGCAGTTATGATGATCGATAACCCCCAAGCTATTTATTATATATGTTTGTGTATTAGTCAAAGTGAGTGAGTGAATGATAATATATATTACTATTACTATTACTATTAGGATACGATGGATGGATGCCAACCAAATATTCCTTCCTACACATTATAATTAATTATACATATCGCCAAGACTTTCAAGTTCACATGTATATGATTTTATTTTATTTTTTTATTTTAATTATTATATTAGAATAGTAAGATGTATGTTTGCAGGGATAATTACCATACATAAATTATTTAACTATTAATATATGTGATAATTAAATTGTAGGCCTGAGAATGTTGTTGTTGTTGTTGACGCACATTGATTAATTAATTAAGCAATTATATATAACATTCACTCTGCGTAGTGGCAGGCAGTCAACCAAGACACGAATTAATTAATTAATTAATTAATTAAAGCTCTAAGGATGATTGATGTAAATTAGTTGTACACATAATAATAATAATAATAATAATAATAATAATAATAATTCATATAACTCTGACTGACCCTGACCCCACTCAATCTGATAATTCTTATATAATTAATTAATTCATGGTGGCTCAACAATACTTGTACAAAACCATTCCATTTCAATATATATATATATATATATAGTACGTAGTAAAGTAGTACTTTATATATTATTATTAATTAATGTTTGTTTGGTTGGTACGTTCAATTAATTAATCATGCATTCTAGTTTGTTGGTAATGACTTTTCGTTGATTTGTTTCTTTAATTTGTAGTATTAATTTGTTAGATTTGAAACATAAATAAGTGAAATTACGTATAGACGAGAGGAGAGGGGAGGTGAATTGTGCTTATTGTGATTTGTGAGATGAGATATATATATATATATATATTAATTAATTAAAGAGAGAACATGCATGGAATCTAATTATCATTGTGATCAAGATCATCTATTAATTAATTAATTAATTAATGATACTATATACAAGCTAATTAATTAAGAGGAGATGGAGATGGAGATGGAGGCGAGGTTGGAATATTCCTGCGTGGAGGTAATTAATTGAAAAGTGTTCATTAAGGCATGCAAATGATGCCTGGAGAGTATGTGGTATCTTCTTCTTCTTCTTCTTCTTCTTCTTCTTCTTCTTCTTCTTCTTCTTCTTCTTCTTTCTCTGGTCTGCTTTAACGAATTGAATGCCAATTGGCAATTGCAATTGCAATGCTGCAGCAGCCTTAGCCTTAGCCTCAGCCTCAGCCTCTGCCTCCTCTCTCCATCTCCATACTTACGTAGTTCATTCTGTTTTAATAACTAACTCCAAATATTCCTTCTTTATACACATCATACCATACCATACCATCTCAGAATTAACATCAGATCAGAATAGTTGGAACGCCAATCAAAGTTGCTGCTAGCTGATTCCATCCCCAACCTATAAGCTACCTAGCCATGCAGCTGGTCATATATATACTATATTACACTAGTATTTTATGTCATCTCATCATTTCTATATCCATTTGCATTTGCATTAGTAATAATATAATCATTATTCATTGATGCATGCGCCACACAACTTAGTCTGTTTGTTTCTTTGTTTGGGATTTTGGATTTTAAGTTGGGATTTGAATACTCAAAATTTTGAAATTCAATAGTGGTATGATGTGATATAAATAAGTGTTTGAATATAAAATTGATTTTTAGTATAATATAAAAAATAAAAAATAGGTATTTGATTTGAATGTAAAATTGATTTTTAGCATAATATAAGTGTTTGCTAATGTTGCTTTATGATTCATTTGTATTTTGTTTTAGGGGATATACTATTATTATTATTATTAATTGAATCCTTTCAAACTTTTTCCCTCTCCCATGCCATGCATCTCATTCTCATCCCTGTAACCTAACATAGATAATTGTAACTATACATTTCAAATAAAAAGTTTGGAATACACAACAAATTAAATTAACTTGTGAACAGAAATTTGGACGGATTCAAAAATTATATATTCAATTTTAAAATACAAATACAAATACAAATGAAAATGATCGATGTGTGTATTGCAGATTTGCATTAATGGCGACGGTGACTAGTCGACTGTGTCATGGACTTCTTCTTATTATTATTTTTTTTCTGCAGACAAGAAAGATTCATATTTTCTCCCTCCAACCGACCATCATACTTGGCATAATAATTAAAAAAAAAAAGTGTGTATATATTCAAAGGCTAAATTAGAATAGAACAAAACAAAATGCATATTACCTGCTAATTAACAAAAGAATTGAGGTTAGACCGTATCTATAGGAAGGGAGAGAAAAGGAAGAGAATGATAAATATTGATGGATATTATTATTATTATTATTCACATATAAAATAAATTAAAATCAAATCAAATCAGCACATGAGCGAGATGAGATGAGAGGTGGATAAGCCGTAGGCTGTAGGTGCTGAATGAATAATGAATAATGAATAATGAATAATGAATAATGATGATGTTTGAGAGTGACCAAACTGCCAAACTGAAAGAAAAATGAGAAATGGAGAAAGGGTTGTATATATATATAATCTTTCTTTCCAAAAATGCATTTAATTTTCATTTGTGGTTTTCCTACCTCTCCTCCTCCTCCTCCTCCTCCTACCCTGTTTTGTTTTGTTTTGTTTTGTTGTACTACTGCACATGTGATATACAGACAGACAGACAGACAATATTGATGTTGTTTCTTTCCCAAGGTTTTAATTACGTGCCAGAACTCTGTTATGCATTTCTGAACCTAATATAATGCTAAAAATCTATCATCATTTTTATATATGGCGCCATCTCTCCCTCTCTCTTCTCTTTTTTTTGAGTAATAGTTTTTCTGTCACAAAATGACATTTCTTTTTTTTTTTTTTTTATGACCTGTTTTATAATTAAGTCAGCAATGCAATGCAATGCAAGCAATGATGGTGGAATTTGTTTTATTGGTAAGCTATACATGTAACAACAAAAATCATCACTGATTTTGGGGACGGGAATAATAAATATTCAAGCAGAGACAACATTGCATCGGAGACATCAATCATTATATATATATATAAATATATATCCAGCCACGAAGGTCTGTTTCCTTAGCTTCCTCCAGGCTCGAAGCTGCTAGCTACTTATATATATAATGGCTACTTTGGTGAAAGTGCGAACATGCATGTAATAATCATTAACATTGAATTATACTAGTAATTATATTGACAGACAACAGACAGAGGAGAGGAGAGGAGAGGAGAGAGCGAGCATGTGCTGCATGCATGCTAGCTAGTTCAGATATATATATCTATATCTATATGGTCAACACATTTGTAAATGTGACAGTGGGATTTTCAAGAATTCAAAAAACGTAACCTTTCTAGATTTAATTCAATTTAAATGGGCTTTAATACCCCAACCCCATACCCCATACCCCATACCCCATGCATGCATGCTATACTTTTAAGATACTAACTAATATATATATATATATATATAACTACTGGAGAATATTTATACGCATCTTAAGAACAAGCACAAGCACATTTGTTGCCTTGGGCTCATAATTTTCCTTAGGCGCGCAGGAGGTTTGGCTTTATTATGGGCTCCGAGTGGTGGTGATTGAGTTTTGGTTGGCTTGGGCCTTGCTGACTTGGGCCGAAATTTAGAAGACTTGGGCCGCCTAGCATCTTTCTTATCTATCGAATGGGCTGGACTTCTAAATTAGGCCATCGTGCTTCATTATTTGGGTCATTTGGATTGGGCTATGATAGGGAATGTGTTTGCCCTTTGCTTCTCTCTTTCTTTTGGGCCTCAAGAGAAGTTTTGGGCTCCCTATATGAGATGGACTACCAACGTATATAGATAGATATACATGGACAACGTATATGTACAAAAAGTAAATAGAATAAGCAATAATTATAAGATTACTACCACAAGTGCTAGGGGCTCCGAATCAGCTCGTTCTCCACCCCAACCCCTACCCCTGTGTATTGCTGCACCACCACCACCGAATATGTGGCCGCAAAATCGGAGGACGCCAGCAGATCTCCTATCGCCCCTAGCTCCGGGCACTCGCTCCAGTCCGTCAGCCCTGCCGTGAGCGGCGACTCCCTCCCCCGCCCCCTCCCTACCACGAACAAATCATGAACCACGTCTATTGACCTTATCGTCGCCACCGTCTCTTCTCCGTGATTCACCACCTGCTCAATGTAGTTAACCCACGGATCGTTCTCTGTTTGTGCCTTGAACTGGTTCAGGCACCCCTCGTCCTCGTCTCCGTATGAATGATCCCCCATGGCATCTGCATCTGCATCTGCATGCCTCGACGCCTGCTCTCCCGAGACGAATCGCAATACCGTCAGACTAATCTCTGGATGTCGGCTCATCCTCCACCCGTACGCCAGCGCCTCCCGGTCGTCCGCGCCCCCGAAGAACAGGACCGCCACGTGATGGGCCCCTGGCTGCTGCTGGTTAGGCAATCTGGCCGCCCCGGTGAGGCCTCTGTCCACAAGGATTCCTACGGAGCAGGGCGCGTTGGCCAGCACATTCTGGTTTATGGTCCGGTAGGCTGGGTTGGTGGCTTCCATTGCGCCGTCCACAGTCTGCTGCTTGTGGAAGGGGAGGATGATGAAGGCCACGTGCTTGTCCTCAGCCACGGAGCAGATGTCCTCGTGCATGGTGGAGTAGGGGGAGATGGTTGTGAGGGACTGCACCGACACAAACCCGCCCACCTGCTGCTCGAAGTTGCGGAATGCGTTGATGATGTGATCAGTTTGAGCCTGTGTCGGGTCAAGCCCGGGGGCCCCTGAGCCTGAGCCCGACTTCTGCTGCTGCTGCTGGTTGTGCGTGTTGTGGACAATGAGCATGGCGGAGGCGCGGCCGGTGAGCTCGACCAGATGGAGGACCAGGGCGTAGATGGGAGAGGCTTTGTTGGGGTGGGAGGCTTCCAGAAGGTTGATCATTGTTGGGGCGTTTCTGGGAGTGTGGACGCACGCCAGGACCCGCAGCTCCCCCTGGTCTGATCTCTGGATCGTTCTCCTCGTGTAGGGCGTGGCTTTCCTTGCCGGTTTGTATATGTTTGTCACCGCCGGTGCAATGATTGAGGTCATCGCCACCGTCGCAATCACCAGCGTTGAGAATGCCTTGTCGTCCAGAACCTGATTGATTGATTGGTTGGTTGTTCATCAACAAAAACAACATATTATTAGATTACATTATACTAGTAGTATATTTACATTCCAAATTGCCTACAACACGCAGGTACCTTCTGGTCTTTGCCGACGTTGAGGACAATCATCTCAACGAGGCCCTTGGCGTTCATGAGTACCCCGAGAGTTAGCCCTTCGTAGAACGGCATCTTGTTGTAAAGACAAACAAGAAGCGTCCCAACAATCTTCCCCATGCAGGCGAGCGCGGTGACCAGGGCCAGCACTGCCCAGGTGGACACTCCCGTGATACTGGCCAGGTTGGTCTTGAGCCCGCTTATGGCGAAGAAGAGCGGCAGCAGCAGCCCCGAGACGAAGTCCTCGAGCCTCTCGATCAAGATCACGCCCAATGGGCCGTTAGGGATGATTAAGCCGAAGACGAATGCCCCGAACACAGAGTGCGTACCGATGGCATCCGTGATGAACCCGCAGACCATCACACCCGTCAGGATCAGGCAGATGTAGAATTCGCTGATAGACTCTCCCTCGGGCGTCCTCCCGGCACTCCAGGAGATGAAGGGCCTGAGAACGAATATGCAGAACAGGACGAAGGCCACGCTGGAGAGCAGCACCCAGACAGAGGCCAGGGACATGGCCTCGTTCTCGGCCAAGGCGATGGCCAAGGCCAGCAAGACCCAAGCGCATATGTCGTTGATGAGGGCTGAGGACATGGCGATCCTGCCGATCTCCGTGTTGAGGAGTTTGAGCTCGGCCAGCACGCGCGCGAGCACGGGGAACGCGGTGACGGAGAGTGACACCCCCAGGAACAATATGAATGTGCCGAGCTTTACAAAATCAGGCCTCAGCTTCTCCTCCAGCACCAGCGCATAAAACACGCCGATGAGGAACGGTAGTACCATGCCTGCGATTGCGATGGATATGGCCTTTCTCCCGGTGCGTCGGATCACGCTGATGTCCATCTCTACCCCGACCAGAAAGAGAAAGTAGAGAAGCCCTACGTTTGCCATCGTCTCCAGAACCATCACGCTCCTCAAGGGGAACACCGTGGTTGCAAATTTGTTGCTTTGCCCCAGTACGGAGGGGCCTAAGATTATACCTCCCTGGTGACGGTGATGGTGATGAAAAATTAATCACTAGGCAACTAGCTAGATCACAATATATATATATATATATATATAACAAATATGCATGCATATTAACTGACCGACAACATGATTAAGAAGGAAGGACAAATTAAGTTCAAGTAATTAAAGTGAGTAATAACGTAACCTACAAGAATCTCCGCAATAACGCGAGGCTGTCGAAGAGGCCTGAGGACCAAAACGAGGAGGCGGGTGGTGACAACGACGAGCGTTAATTGCAGGATGAAGAGCGGCAACGAGTAATCCAAAGGATTATCTCCTTGCCAGATGCCATTGGTGGTAATCATAGTGGGAGCATAGCAGACGATCGTCTGCTCTGTGTCATTGCTTGGACTCAGCGGTTCCTTCGACATCGATCTATCCAATCTCTTCTAACCTAATCAATTATTAATTAATTAATTAATAAATATTCAACCGAGCCCGGGCTATAGAGCACCAATCCCAACGTCTACATCATATGAAATTTCGTCGTATCCACGGCCATTGTCAATGTCATATGTATTACGCGATGATTGTATGATTCATGAGAGAGAGAAGAGAAAGAGAAAGAGAACGAGAAAGGGAGAGAGCATAATCAGTAATGTTCCTTCTTTCCCCTCTCCAACAAGTCCATTAATTTTAATGGTGGGCCGTTACATGAGGAGAATGAATATACTACATAATACATATTATCATTCACTCTACCTCTTCCACATTTCCTATAATTAGAATGGAATGGAATCAATCACATCACACTGACATATCGTCATAAACCATACCAAATGCTGGATAATGAGCAAATACAAACATTCGCAAATTTTTGTTAAGCTCCTTAACACACAGCTCTACGATGGGCAGACAAACATCGCCGCCGTTCCATGCCATGATCCGGACGAGAGACGATGTATTACCATTACCCGCCTGCCTGGAGAGTGGAGAGACCTCAGTCACTTCAGACCTAGTGAGCATGTAGTAGCAATAGCATTTAGCATCGCCAAATTACAATTTTATTCTGTTTGTTTTTTTTGACCATGTTCGTCGAATCAAAGGGCGGCAGGGCAGTTTGGGTAATTTAATTATTTGAAACAGAGGAGGAGAGGGGCAATCGATTAGGGAAACTTGGGAACGTATCATAGCATTTGACGCCGCCGAGGAGAAGAGACCGCTTGTTGTTGTTGTTGTTAGAATCCAATCCAGCGAGGCATACCGAGAGATAGCAAGCAAGGGAAAATGGTGTCATTGGTGATGACGGAGGAGGCTCTTTCGCAACTTGAGAGGGTCCAAACCCGAATCCTCAAACGCATTTCGGATCTCGAGCATTCTCTCCCACCCCACTGCTTCTCCAACTCCAACTCCCTCTTTGCCGCCCATGCCCATGCCCATGCCCATGCCGATGACTCCACTGAGGGCCGTCTCTCTGCTATCCTCCGCGCCAACTCTGTCCGTGATTTCGCATTCAAGCGCGTACCCTCCGATTACTATGACTGGACTCTCGAAGCTCGAAGAGACATCCTCGCTGCCGCCTCCATTCATCATCTCTGCAAGAGCATTGTTTTGGTAGTAATCTTGTACTTATCACTTCCTTCCCTATGTTATTTACTTTATCATATGATGGGGCGGTGCATTGGATTTTGTTGAAGATGAGATTTTGAGTTGATCTCGACCTTCCATTCTTCTAGGGAATGCATTCCTGCTTAATTTGTATTTTTGTTAGATAGAGTTAGTTACTTGTCAGGTGTTGATTTTAGAGGCTTGCCATCGACTTTAGGAGCAAATGAGGAGGGCTTATGAGTTGAATGAAGCTGACCACCATGATCAGATCCATTTAATTGCTCGTAAGGAAGCAAAAATTCATTAGAAACCACTATTGTAGCATGGTGTAAGTTCAGTTTATATTTAATATGTTGTGATATTGGAAGAAATGGTTATGTTAAATTTAATAGAAAGGAGGATTAAGAAATTTCCGTGCATTCATCTGTCAAGTCAGTGACTTTCAAATTGCTGGAGACCCTTCTGAACTTTCATCTTTCTCATATCTTATTGCCTTGTCTGAACATAGTGAAATATATACCGGGCATCCTTGGAAAAGAAAAGGAGTAGTACTAGAACATTCTTTGTGTTTCATGAAGAAAACTAACTGTATCCAGCTAACAGTATACATTGGCATAACCCAAGTCTAATAATTTTCATTTTAGAATTTACTGTTTCCTTGATGCCAGTCCTTGGGCACTTAATGTAATTTCTTGCTTCCTATTTTATGACATGTAATCCTCAGTTCTAGTTTTTTTCTTAATGGAATATATTTTTGAACATAGGTCAATACTCAAGCCCCACCATCTGTAACTGATTGCAGTGATCGGAACTATTCAAAGTACTACATTGTTGTTGTTCAGGTAGCTTAATTTCTTCCATCCTTAAGGAACTGAAACAAGTATTCTTACTCCCACCATGTTTGTCTGCTGTATCAGTATACTGCTCGTTTCAATGCTGAGACTGTGAAAACTTTTCTATACGCCCTGAACAATGGCAAGATACCAAAAAAGAAATTCAACAGTAAGTTCAATAATTTTTACTTTAGTTCTAAGAGCTGTTTTTATGTAGCCTCTTTTCCTTTGCCTATATTGATGTGTATTTCAAGGAGTGGGTTGAAGTTCAAATCTAAATGTTGCTGAATTTGAACCCAGTCAAATGTGCTGAATGTTTTGAATGAGAAGATCTTGTTTCAGAGTTGTACTGGCAACATCTTGTCTATTCAGCATCATTCTCACGGATTGTGCTTCTCTCCAAACTCTAATTCTTACTATGAAATATTCTGTAAATCAGTCAAGTTGCTTAAAGTTAGTGTTGTTGAATAAATTGCTCTTTAGATAGAGGATAATTTGAGTTCCCAATGCAACATCTCAAATCCTGTCAGCATCTAGAGTTTTAGTCATATTTATATGAGCATGTTTTTTCTATGTTGAGGTGTATTCCACTGGAAGCTCTTGTCTCTGTTAACTCCCTGATGTATGTCAATATTCTGGATAAGACTATGTTGCATTGGATTTTTCGAGATGTCAATCAACTCTTGTTATCACTTATCACAATAAACCAACATGTTCCCTAATTGAATCCCATATTTCCAACATATGTTTCATCCATACAAGTTGCACACAGCATCTTCCTGTCACATGTGCTTACTAGGACATTTTATGTTTCTTATTTTCCAATGAAACTAAGTTACCTCAACCCAAATAGAATCAAACTACAGAGGTACTATCCAATCTGCATCCTAAGTAGTTATTTTTTAACCTCCATTATTCTACAGTCTTAGTGGTGTTGCCATTCAATCCAACATTTATTTAGGAGCAAAATGATATCAGGTTGATCACTCACTAAAGTCCAAATTAATCTCTTGTTTTATTCAGTATATTTGCTAAATGTTTAAAAGTTCTGCAAGATGTACAGGAGTTACAATTCTGTCATGTTGCAACACTAATTTGTATGTGAGCAACAATGCGAATTAACTTTTTAATCCACTTGGGCCCAACAATGAAGTTGACTAGTTCATGTCATGCAGTGAGACTAGCTCCAGAAGAAACATCAGCAAAACTGACTGGATATGAACACAATGCAGTAACCTGTATTGGCATGAAAACTGGTATACCGGTAATTAATTATCAGCCTTTACTAGAAAATTCAATTCTCTGACCAGTATGTGAAATAAGTCTGCTTAGTTTTCTTTACATAGTTCAATGATTTTGTAATTGCCTAACACTGACTAACATTTTTGTATTGTGAATTTGTTTTTTCTATTGTTATGTATCATGTGAATCTGTTGCCTTTAATAAATTGCAGATGTTGAAAAATCCTTTCAACAAATCAAAAGTTTGTCATGTGATTTTATGATAAATTAGTTTGTGGCTCATACAAGGAGACAGCCTTGTCTGAAGGTGCTCTATGATGTTTTGATTAAATAGGACATGAGGTTTATTGGTCAAATCTTGTGTTTGAAAATCTCTCTGTCATGCTGTGGACCTGATCTTTCTCTTTTTGATGAAAAAGTGAGACATCTGGTGTATATGTGCCTTTGTTATGCTACTGATCATTCTGGCTTCCCCATCTCACTATGCCAGCTGTTCTTTTAGCCTGCCCTGAAAAATAGATAAAACTTGTCAGTAATAGCCTTTGAAATAGGCTTCACAGTTGATGACTAGAGAATACTCCTCATTTATATTGATAATGTGTTGAGTAGTCCATCGCTGCATGTGAAAAAATTTGACACCACCACCTTTGGATTGTCTGACGCTGCCATCATCTGTACAATCTTGAATCTTGATTTAATGAAAAGTTTTGGCAAATGAAATTATAGGTGGTGTTTCCTTTCCATGTCAAATGGTCCATGGTTGTTGGTTTCTTCTTTGCATGTGACTTGTCTAGGGACTATTATGGTTGCTGATACTGTGGATTCTCAATTACCGGCTGCGCTCATAAATCATCTCGGATAAGTGAAGTTTCACTTGGCCCTTGCGTGCTTATGAAATTGAACCTAGAGATATATGGTTCCGGGATGCAATAAAAGTAGTTAGTAGCGCTCTTATAATGTTTTGAAACTGCCAGACATGGTGATGCATCAATGAGAAGGCATCTTACTGTACCATGTTAGTCTTTAACCAATACGCTCTGCTCTTTCCAGGTGATTCTGGATGAAGCAATTACAAAACTGAATCCAGACTTCTTCTGGCTGGGAGGTGGCGAGGTTGATCTTAAACTGGGGATCAGGACCTCAGAGTTTATTGACTATGTAAAGCCATTCATCGTTAATTGTAGTTAATTGTAGTAGTGGTTGATTGGTTGCAGTTGCATGTTAGTGTTGTTGAATTATAATTGCCCAAGGCAGGAGATTACTAGTTTGTACATGACTTGGCATGTGGAAGTCTTATGTTTTTTTTTGTGCCCTGCCCTGCACACCAGTCATCTTCAATGAATTTGGTAGTGTGTGCTGGCCTGGGCATTCTTGATCTGATCTGATGATGTTAAAATAAAAGGAAGGAGCACGCCGCCAACCGTTTGGATGGCCGGCTGGCTGGCTTGTGTTAGAGCCTTTTGAGAAACCTCAACACTGCAGCATCCAGTTTAGAGCCTTAAACATACAGACATATATCTAATAGAGACAACTAGCTAGATCAATTCAACTCAACGTGCGTGCCGGCTTTCCCGCCGCACCTTTGAACTTTCCATTATTTTTTCCTACTAAACGCATATTGATTATCTGTCTATTTTATCCATCCCTCTCGTATATACCTAGGGAAATGAACATATTTTAATAGCTTAATTAAAAAATGATGCCATTAGTTAATTATCAGCTTACCTGCAGCATTGCAAGCAGGCTGTGCGTGCCTGCATGTGCGTGATTTAACTAATCAATCCCCATTCCCCAACTGATACAAAATTCAAATCAAATCAAACCAAATCAAAACTTGCCTTCAATTAATTGGCTCTACCCCTTCTATTTGTGGAATAATATAAATATACGTGTCTCTGTGTGTGTGTGTTTCACTCAAATATATGTGGAGTAACTTTTTATATGCATATACAAATGTTAGGAATCTGGATGCATAAATGGAAGCATATATATATGCATGACATTACTTGTTCTCAACGAAATTCTTGGTCTGTTAGAGAGGGAGAGAGAGAGAGAGAGAACCATATATCACAGTTGACACAGCAGATCTGAAGATGGTCTAGCTAGTTGTGAGTGTGTTTACGATCTCTGCATATATGTATATATGTGTTGTTTGCTTGTTTTAGCATGCGTGCATGCATGCTGTTAATTTGCAGACTCTAATAAGTGAAGCTAAGTGATCACGCACACGCAGGCACACAGGAATTTGAATTGCTGATTCGTAATTAGTCTTTTAAGAAACAAATTGGTTGGGATGAGGCCGACTGCGGTGGCACTTGGATCAGCAGCAGCAGCAGTTAGGACACAAATAGTTTTTGTCCTTGTTGTGGTGGTGATCGGCAGCAGTAGTGCTGTCAGAGCAGCAGGTCAAGAACAGCAGCAAGTCCGTTGTTTCTTCATATTTGGAGACTCCTTAGTGGACAATGGCAACAACAACAATCTTAGAACTATGACCAAAGTTAACTACCAACCTTACGGGATCGATTTTCCTCACGCCCGCCCCACTGGCAGATTCACCAATGGTCGAAACTTGGCAGATTTTATAGGTGACCTGACCAATTAGTTCATGATATGATTACATTAATGCCGCATCAATACATTCTCTTCTCTTATATATATATATATATATAATATCATGATAATAGCAGATGCATGTGTATTTATACTGCAAATTGAACTGGCCGGCCGGGTTGATTTGTGGCTAGCCCTAGAATGCATGTGCATTAGAAGAATTAGCTTAGATGTGTGTGGTGGATAGGTGCTAGGCATAATACCCAATATGATTTGGTACTCCATTAATTAACTGATTGGAGTGCATGCAGCTGAGCATCTGGGGTTTAAGACTCCAATTCCACCTAATGCATCAGTGCAAGATCACAACCCCGACATCATCCTAACCGGTGTAAATTATGCTTCTGGATCAGCAGGAATTCGAGCTGAAACTGGAGAGCATCTGGTACATACACCCACCCCGCATTAATTGCATGCATGCAACCTTTCAATAACTATAATTGGGATTAATTGTTTGTGTTCCTTTGAACTGATCATATATGTGATCCACTTCATGCATGTATATATGTGTGTTACAGTGAATATTGATTAATTTATTGATTGTATTTGGGGGGTGTGTGTGTGTGTGTTGCTGTGATACGCACAAACTTGCTGCTGCCGATGCCGATGCTGATGCTGATGCAGGGGGATCGGATCTTCTTGGACAAGCAGCTGGAACATCACAGAGGCAGAGTATCAGAGGTGACAAAGTTGGTAGGCAACGAGAGTGCAGCGAGAGCGCACCTCAGAGAATGCCTCTACTACTTCAATGTCGGCAGCAATGACTACATAAACAACTACTTCTTGCCTCACCACTACAACACCAGTGCCTTGTATAGTCCCCCAGAATACGCTGCTGAATTGATCCACCAATTTTCTCGCCAACTTGGGGTTGCCCTGCTTCCTTGATTTTACTAATTCCAGCACAGCACTGGCTGACCAAGTGACTTGCAGTAGTTGTACTTGTAGTAGTAACTCAACTTTAACAATGCTAGCTACTGAAATGCAGGAGTTGTACCATTTAGGGTCACGAAAAGTAGCTGTTTCGGCACTTCACGCATTAGGTTGCATCCCGGAGATGATGTCAGGAGGGCTTAATTGCAACGAGTCCATGAACCAAGCTGTGGCCCTGTTTAACAGAAAGCTGAGGGTCCTTGTGAGAGAGTTGAACGGTAAATATGCGGATGCAGAATATGCAGTGATACCGGAGGATGCTTTGAACCCACCAGGTAAGTTCATCCATTCATTCATATTTATGAGCGATTTAAAGAGATAAATAGAGATAGGGGTGCATGGAATGGAATGGAGGGATGAATGATGCCATAGGTAATTAGATCAATTAATGTGGATGACACTGATTAGGGTTTCTGGCAACACCATGCTGCAAAGTTTCCAAGTCAACAGGGCTGTGCCTGCACGGAGAAGAAGGAGAAGTCTGCGGTTCCAGGTTGTTGCATGTCTTCTTCGACAATTTCCACCCCACGGAGATTGTGAACAAGCTGCTGGGAATTGTTGCTTACAATCGCATCCTCCTCTTGCTTCACCACCATTGATCTGCTCTGCTCTGCTCTCCTCAACTGGATGGATGGATGGCCGGACGATATTTATGATTGATACACACCACCGCCACTCAACATGTATCCACACCTACATTAGCATTATGATTATGATTAAGATTATTATATGAATGATGAATTCATTCATTATCCTATCCTATCATATCCTTATCCTTATCCTGCATTCATTCACCGATCCGTGTGATTCTCCTCTCAAACTTCTTGTTTATGTTACAAGGGCCAGGCCAGGCAATGCTGGTAGCTATCTATCTATAATATTTGTTAATCCCTTACACCACCAGTCTATATAGTATCAACAGAACATAATTTATTAATGCTGCCTGCATTCCATTTATGACGAAAGAGCAGCAGTCAATCGGTCGGTCAGTAGTTACAGTTTCAAATTCTGCAAGTGTGTGAATAATGAGAGATAGATAGATAGATACACACTCAACAAATAGGTAGATAGATAATATTATATTGAGAGAAGCTTCATTTGCATTTATATTCAGATAGGTACCTGCATGGTCTCCATAATTGCAAATTAAGAGAAGAGAATGCTGAGCAGTGGTTGCGGTGCCATCATCCAAATAAATAAATAAATACTGTCAAACGTTGATGTTGATGTCTAGCTTCAACTCGGATGCAGATGATGTTGTAAAATCTGAGGAGGAGTCACTGTTAATAGAAGAAGAAGAAGAAGAATTGCTGCCACTTTTACGAAGAAATCTTTGTCTTCTCAATGCTGCGCGCCATTCATTAATACATGCCATTTGTTGTGGATCCGAACTTGGAAGTTGTTGCCCGCTGAGGATCTCCAAAATGTGCTCTGTTTTACCTAGAAGAAGAAACGCAGACCGGGCGCATTCCTCTCTCTGTTCGATGCTGCTTTGATGGCATTTTACTGATATTGCATGCTGTAAGTTGGTAAGAGTGGCCCCTATTATGTCTGTGATCATAGCAGTAAGCTTATTGAGCAACAATACTCCATTGCTTCCATCTGAACAACTGTTCTCAGTTGGCAGCAAGAGAGTTTGGCATATTCGATACATGGAATTGGTCGCCACAGCCTTGAACGGCCATTTTGTCGAGGGGATGTTACTCAAACAACCGATTGCATCAGTCTTCCTCAACTCCATAAATTTGTGCTTGGCAACGTCAGAGAGTGCTGAGATGGTTTCTCTTTGGCTTCTTCCCTGCAGTGCCATCTCACGGAGATCCACATCCAGCCACTTGCAGTGGAGGTCAACTCCATTCCACACAATTTCTGCGGCTTTCCTGATGCGTGTCAAGTCCCTCTTTATGTCGAGGTTGCTTTCTACAATTCTGATGTACTTGAGGCCCTCGTGCACACCCTTGATCAGCTCAGCTACGGAGCGGAAGTCCTCACTGGTTGCAGCTGCAATGCTCGTTAGTGTCACCACAGGAAGTGCCCAACTGTTTGGAGGCTCCTCAGATTCCAGGCTGGGGACCTGCTCGCTGTCAAACGTGTGCACCCCCTCAAAGTCTCCTACTCCCCCCCGCAGGTTTAGTTTGTCCAGGAGTTGCATGAGATGCTTTGGCTGCCTCTTTCTCCCCATTCTGATCCAATGGCCGGTGGCACCCCTGTCCGACTCCATCATCAAATGCGTCAGCTCATCCTCTCCTTCAAGGCGCAACACATAGGGGCTGAGATCAAGGTTGCAGGTATCCAATTCTGTGTCACAGTTAAAAGAAGTTGTTGTTGCACTAGTGTTCTTGGACGGAACCAAGCAGAAAACTTTCTTGCCGATTTGGTGGATCGTCAGCAACTGCCTTGCAATCATGATTGATATTAGCCTGACCGCCTTGCTCAGCACCACCATTCCTTTCTGGATCAAGATGCATAGATCGACGACCATGTTCTTAGTGTTATGCACGAATCTCCGACCCTGCTGGTGCTGCCCCCCCCGACATAGCCTCAGATCCAAAGGATACTCCTTGAGCATGCAGAGCTTCTTGACCCAGTATGCCTCCACCGAAGAGAACCCAATGGGCCTCCTCCTGCTTCTCTCCGTGCACGGGCACATGAAACTAATGGCTGTGAACCACCTGGAAGCCGGGGCAATCGTACCTACCACCACTGCGATAGCCTGAGTTGCTAATATCATCACAGCGGACCACTTGTAATCCGAGTCGCCTGTACAGAATGTGAAGCACCATGGCATGAGGTAAGTGCGAAGCATTGCTTCGGCCAAAGTTGCAGCGCTGAGGAGGCAAAACGCTCCCGAGGCCGTGCAAGTTGCGAGACGCCCCATCACAAACTGGGGGTTGCAGGTATGGGCCATCATCCAGTATCTCAAGAGATCGTCTCGCAGTTTTCTTGTTGTCGAGGTGCCGGAGGAGATGCCACACTCGCTCTCCTTCTTTGCAGTTGCAATTGCAGTCGCAATCTGATACTGTTTGGCGTACTTGAGATCAAAGTAATACTTGGTCGCGGGAATTGCCAACGAGGAAGAGACTAGGATTGCATACAAAAGCAGGATGATGAACATGATGACAGCGTGCTCCACCCAGAACACATAGATGACCCCGGTGGCGAGCTGGATGCAGACGTTTACGAGGAGGGTGAGAACGAGGATCCCTAGGGCCACGACGTTCATCACAAGCTCCTTGGTTTGCATATTCCCTAGGGAAGGCATGGAGTTGGGTATGGCAGTGCAGATGAAAGCGGTGCTGCTGAGCTTGGCGAGTTGATCGTGAGGGCGGGGCATGGAGGTGTTGAGGTCGAGGGAGAGCTTGACGGCGACGCTGATGAGAGCGAGGGTGGTGGCGTTGAGAGCAAAGAATCTGCAGGGGAACATGAACTTGCGGTAACGGAAGCCGTGAAAGGCGTCAAGGGCCATGGCTGTTGCACAGGCTGCAGAGGCTGCCACCACATACAGCCCAATCCAGGGCATGGGCTCGTTGAATCTTGAATCGTCCAGTGTTCCGGCGGCGGTGCAGCCGACTCCATGCCCCTGCCCCATTTATTTATTCTGAGATACGTATTTGTTTTATGTATAGGCGAGGCGAGGAAGTATGTATGTTCTGTTCTGTATGTATATATGGCGTGAGTGATGATGATTGAGCAGTGTTTCAGCAGCAGCAACTTTCTCTATCTCGATCTCGCTTATTAATTGGTAACTGTGAACTGATGTGTTGTGGGGGTGAGTTCAAAAGAGTACTACGTGGGTTCGTCAGCCATGACGCTAGGATTGGATTGGATTGGATTGATGAATTGGAGTGTGGAGAAATGTGTTATGTGATGATCAAGACAAGACAAGGGGGTGCTGCCACTGTATGTTGTTGACACTCGGATCGGATAATGGCTTGGCTTGGCTTGGCTTGGCTGGCACTCGTTGTGAGAAGAAAATTGAAATATGGTGGGTGAACAAGCATAGACGATGATAGCACCCTGCCCTGCCCTGCCCAGCTTTACTACTTACTTGGTCAAAGTCAATCGGTCAGAGGCAGTTGGCATTCCTCGTCATGTGAATTTGCCATTGGATAGAACTACGACTGCTCCTCATGCTGCATTCCTCATCACTCAACTCTATCGGTGCAGCCAGGCGAGGCGTCTTCTAAGCAAGTCAACTTTGTCATCCTTCCATCCTATTCCTGTTCCTGTTCCTATTCCTCTTCCTCTTCCAGATCCAGTGGCTCGTTGCTCTCCTCTCCTCTGCTCTGCCTGTTCACTTCTTCTTCTTCACCTTCGTTCATTTCCCTCCCATCCTCTCTGAACAATCTCCATCTCCAGGTATCAACCTATCTACCCATCATCCTCTCCGTCCCTTCCCACTACACCTACACTTGTAGTACAAAATGTCACATTGCACTCAAATTGTCTCTCTCTCTATTTGTATTGTATTGTATAGTATAGCAGTCTTAATTTGATTGAGACTGATTGATTTTTTCATTTTTTTTATTTTTTATTCCGAGTTTGGTTCAATGACAATAACAATAATAGTAAAGAACCACCGCAACCGTTGCTGTTTAATTTTCCTTTTTAGTTTAGCCGGTGGTCAGGTCAATCCGTTGAATGGATACTTATCATGGCTGTTGGTGGAACTTGGAAGGAAAGTAGGAGCAGTAATTATTTCTCGTCTCACTAACATCTGCTCTGCTCCCCCGTTCAGCTTCAGCTTCAGCTTCAATTTCCACTTCAACTTCGACTGCATGGGGGTTTTGCAGTAAATGCAAAATGCTTTTGCAACTCCTCCCCAGCCCAGGGCGACTCAGGTGGGTGCTGGGGGCTTGGCTTGCCATGCCTGCCTCTGCCTCTTCATAATCATTCATAACTCTTCATCTCACCTTACTCACTTGTATCTGTTCAATTATTTCATTAATAAATAAATAGAGTCAGCGACCCGGCCTTACCTACGCTACAGTAGCTTCTCGCGTCTCCCCCTCTCCTCCTCCTCCTCCTCCACCACCACCACCGCTCCTGCGCTGCGCTACCACACCTCCGACGCCCCGGATCTCTCCGCCACCTTTATCCTTGCTTCCTCCCCAAAGGTATTTCTCCCCCATCTCAACCTCTCTCTCTCTCTTACTCAATTTCTTTATACATCAAAAACTTGGGATCAACCGCCGCACTCTACGAATTCTCTTCATCATCCATCTAATATCCCCATCATATTCTAGATTCTAACGTAGATGTTATCCGCCGAATTTTCATTATCTTATCATATTGTATACTACATGTTTCTTGATACACGGGACGCGGTTGTCGGACCAAGCGGATGTCTTTTTTAATGAAACTTAACTCAGATCAAGTAGCCGGTGTGGAATCACGATAAATTAGGTGTTTTGATGCTGATGTTGCTAGTAGACCGTTCCGTTTTAGATCGATTAGGGTTTGATTTCTGGCTTGCTTGCTTGCTCCCTTTCCTCGATAGGCTCAATTTCACCCTAACTGAAGATTTCCATCCCGTTGATTAGCTTGGGCTGGCCTGACATATTTTGTTCTCCAGCCGTTAAACATGTCCGGACAGAGCCAGCGCCTAAATGTTGTGCCTACCGTTACTATGCTTGGGGTGATGAAAGCTCGGCTTGTTGGGGCCACAAGAGGGCATGCGTTGCTCAAGAAGAAGAGTGATGCATTGACTGTGCAGTTTCGGCAGATTCTCAAGAAAATTGTGTCCACCAAAGAATCGATGGGGGACATCATGAAAACTTCATCCTTTTCCCTTACCGAAGCTAAATATGTTGCGGGTGAGAACATCAAGCACATTGTTCGTGAAAGTGTTCAAAGTGCTGCACTCAGGGTTCGATCGCACCAGGAGAATGTTGCAGGTGTGAAGCTCCCCAAATTTGAGTATTTCTTTGAAGGGGAAACCAAGAATGATTTGACTGGACTGGCAAGAGGTGGCCAGCAGGTTCAAGCTTGCCGTGCAGCTTATGTGAAGGCCATTGAGCTGCTTGTTGAGCTTGCGACCCTCCAAACGTCCTTCTTGACACTCGATGAAGCAATCAAGACCACAAACCGTAGGGTCAATGCCTTGGAGAATGTTGTCAAGCCGCGTCTAGAAAACACGATCAATTACATCAAAGGAGAGTTGGATGAGTTGGAGAGGGAGGATTTCTTCAGGCTGAAGAAGATACAAGGATACAAGAGACGGGAGGTTGAGAAGCAGCGGGAGGCTGCCATTGCATATGCTGAAGACAGGGCTGCTGAAGAAATGTCATTGAAGAGGGGTATTTCTGTTGGTGCTGCCCATGACATGTTGTCCCGAGCAACGCAGAAAGACGAGGACATAATCTTTTGAAAGTTGAAATGTTGGTCTGGTATTGTTCAATTTTAATACTCCTACTCCATGTGCCGTGCTGTGATGTTACTATCTGCTATTGGCTTCCCCTCCCCTACCCTACCCTCTGAATCGAATAAGAGCCGGTGGTCATTGGCTTGGCTCCCGTTACGGTGATCTGTGTTAATGATGTAATTGAATCATATATACCTCCTGTAGATTAAACTGTGTGAGTGTTGTTACTTTATTCATTTGTTAAGCCACCGAATGCAAGATAGGAAGCACTGCAGCGTTTGAGCCATGGAAGGTGGTTGTGGTTGTCTTTCGAAAATAACTGATATTGTGGTTGTCATGGCATGAATCGGTGTGAAGGAAGGAAGATGTGTATTGAGTTGATTGTATGGGGTGGGGTTGTTTATTCTTGTGAATTTGGGTGGGGGTGTGTGTGAACTTTGAAGAGGGGAGGTGGAGAGTGCTATGCAGGCAGCAATGGTGGTTTGGTTTGATTTCATTTCATTTCATTTCAGATCCAAATAAGGAAAGCGTTTTGTTGATAAGCAGCAGGCAGGGGTGGACGGACGGGCAATGCATACACAATGAATGATACAAGTACAGTACAGTACAATACAATACAATACGTGAAGCCGCCTGCCTCCTCCATTCTTTTTACTTTACTGCTACTAGTAAGATGGGCGTGGGCATGGGCATCAGCCCTTTCAAAAAGCAAAGAGCCAGCAATAGCATAGCCAAAGCATGAATGTATGTATGTATGTGTGTATAGGGGATGTGGTTGGAAAAACGCTATAAAAGTTATTTGTTTGCTGGGTGGTGTGCTGTGCTGTGCTGTGCTGGTGTGTGGTCGGTCCGGTCCGTCCACGTTCCAGTGCGATCAACAGCTGCTAGCCTGCTGCTGCAGTGAGTGAGTGCTGACACGGTGACACCCTCTCTCTCTCTCTCCCCCCCTCTCCCTCTCTCCCTCTATATATATATATATATATATATATATCCATCCATCTATCGAGTGACGAGGAATTTTGGGGGAGTGGTTGAGCAAGAGCAAAAGAACAAAGGAAGAAGGGAGGCAGGAGAATCAAATCAATAATGGGCACGAGAACGAATCTCTACAAAACCCCCTCCCGTGCCTACAACAAGCACCTTAATCTCAATTCCGTCCTTCAAAACCTCAACAGTAAGTTTTCCCCTCTTTCTTCCGCTGACCCCTTTTCCCTCTCTTTTCTCTTCTCTCTAATTTCGCTCCTATTCTGTTTAATGATTTAAGCCTACAATATTGCTACTGGAAATGCCGTTTCCGATCAACCAGCGCCACACATCCCTAAAAAACCCCGCCTTGACTCTACCTCGGCGCTTCATCTACGGAACCAGCTCACAAAGGACAACGACCGTCCTATGACACATCAGGAATACATAGATAAACGCAGGTGATTTTTTATTTTCTAAGTTTTATCGTTACATGGACATTTGATAGGCAGATTCTCTAAACTTCCTTGACCGAGGCGCTGTACTTGATCGCCTGGAATTAATTATGGTGCTCTGCTGATGAGTCTGATCCGTTAATGTTCCTTAGTTTTTGGAATATATGTGTAATTCATTACTGAGATGATCCAGAATTTTCTGAAATCGATTCATTCGGCATTTTTCTACATATTATGGGAAAAAAAAAAAAGTGGCACTTTTCTTTGCTTTTCCGTTCATCGCACCCCGGTGGCTCAGTTTCCCTTCTATTAGTTTATAAATCCATGGTTTAGATGAATTATTTCCGTTAACTTAGGTTTGCTTTTTAAATAGTCTACTACGTGAACAGGAAGGAAGCTGATTTTTCTCAACCATACCAGGAGTTAACTCCCTCTGTGCTGGTACTGTTCACTATTGAAAGATTACTTGACCCGACCTAACTGATCTTGGAGCTGTACCATTCCCCATGCATCTAAATTGCTATTAGGTTATAGAATGACCTGCCAGTTTCCTCTGTTTACAGGAAAGCTCAACTTCAAATTCCAATTTGGTGGGCTATGAAAGTTAGTTACTGTTGCTACTTCTATCTATTCTATGATTTTAAAATACAACCTCCGTCCATTGGTAAGCTTTTTATTTGATTTTTGTATGGCGATTAAGGTAAATTAATATTTTAAATGTAGTGTAATAAAGTAAATGTTTATTTTACGTTAAAGTAAAAGTTATGTGAAAAAAGAATTTGGGTTATTTTGGTATTTAGTTGATAGTTATTTTTTCTAAATAAAGAAATAAAAAGTTTTTATTTGGATAAACTAAAATAAAAAAATGGGAAGTTTACTCTTGCACATAGTGGTATAACCTTATAATAGCTTGGTATCTCTCTACTTGGGAACCTTGAAGATGTAGTTATTATTATTATTATGGTGCTGGACTGGCAAGGGGTTTAGATTTGGAGTTTGCTATTGCTAGCAACTATGCCTTTTAAGTTTCATTTAGTGTACGTGATGCTTTTAATTTCAGTTCAGTTAAAGTGGTGTTTTTACCTAGTTTGGACTTTTGAGGAATGAGACGCAATACATCATTTTGAATACTTAACACATGTGAACAGTAATATTTTCAACTTCGCTTCGGTCCTGCTTATACTTTTCTTGTTTTTGTTTGACACTATTGGCTACCTGTATTTATTTCTCTATTATGTATTATGTTCCTAGTTGATAAAAAAGCTTCTCAGTTGTTCCATTTCTTGGAACATAATTGTATCCAATGTTATGTGTTTCAAGTATCTTCTATTTATCTTCACTACAATCTGGCAAAACATGCAGGTGATGACAGTGCTTCTGCAGGATGCAAAGAGGATGATGTTTCTTTAACTGTCAATGAGGAACCATATTCTAGGAATGCAATGCAGTACTTTGGAATTCCTGGTGAGATTCTTGGATACTAGCACATAATTGCTCTCTTGTCCTGGATAACCACATATATGCACATGTTTTGTCTGATGTAATTGTTCAGACACGATGACAATATTTCTGTGCTGGTTATGCAAGTCATGGTTTGGTTTCTCGAGATATGCTATAGTATAAAATATTTTTAGCAATGATGAAAAGAAATAAGACTTGCACTGATAACCATTGTAATTTCTGTGTTCTGATTTGTGGGGGATATACAAATTGACTTTGAGATCAAACTTTCTTTACTGATAGATACTTTTGCAAAGATATGGCTATTGCTATAAACATCTTAATACATGATAACCAAAATAGTGAGTTGGAAAAAAAAAACATGTTTCTAACTCGATGACTTGGGAAAGTGCAATAAGATAACAAGACCTTCAAACTAGATGATTGTAATAAGAATTAAATTTGTTCATTAAATATAATGCAACTTGAATAAGTTTATTCTTTAAATTCATCAAATCTATTAATAAACTTAAGTTGAGTTTCAAATTCATCCATCCACAATTTATACGGTGAAAACTAAATGCCTAATTGTTAGTTATATATTAATATCTTCTTCTAATGTATCTGATCAAGTAGTTGGTTTTTTAAGGCAACATAGACGAGGTTGATCATATCAAGACACGAGCTGAGCAACGGTATCCTTCTCAAGAAGAACCTGTATGTGTTGTTTGCAGGAAATATGGCGAGTACATATGCAGTGAGGTGAGTTATTTGATGTTATATTTTGCTCCCAATTCTAGATACTTTATTTCTCTCTGTGCTTATTTTTCATTTTGCTGTTATTGTAGACTAATGACGACATATGCAGCATGGAATGCAAGTCTGAACTTCTGCAGGGCCTTAAATCTAAGCAGGTTCTCATTCTTAAGCCAATTATAATTCCATCTTCTCCATATTATTCCTTTAACTTTGATTACTTTTTTCAGGAATTCCAAGGTAGCCCATCCCTTGCTGAACCATTGTCTACACACAGCTGCTCATTGGGGGTGCCAGAATCTGGAGGGGCCACTTGGGACTATGATCGGCATTGCTGGTCCAAAAAGCAATCTGGGTTTTGTACTTATGAATGGTATATTTTACTCTTTATATGCATTTTTATGAGGAGTCTAAAGCAGAAAGTAGTTGTTTCTCTTTGAAACCATAGAGGTAGAAAAGCATGGTTATATTAATATTTATGTTCTTGTACTGAAATGTTTGTTAATATTTGTAGCTGGAAGTGTCATAAGCCTGGGCATCTTGCAGAAGACTGTTTGGTGCTGACATCTTTCTATGAATTAAGACAAGCTGGTGAAGCATGCAATGATGTATTCTTTCTTGATGTTGAATGACCTAGACATTTTTCTTTTTTGAGTTCAACAGTGTCAAGCATGATTCTTCTTTACAGGTACCACTGGTTCAAAAGAAATCCAATACAATATCAAGAGATCTTCTTGACTTGTATAACAGGTTCCTGATTTGTTGTTAAGTAAATTTTGTCTCTCCATAATTACTTTAGATAATTCCTTGGTACCCTATAGTCTTTCTTAACTTGGATTGATGCATAATTTTTTTTTCATTTCAGTTTGTTTTTCCAATTTTCTTAAGTATGGATTCTGCCAATGCAGAATTAAAGTTATCACATATCTATGGTATCGTGATGACTCTTACTACTCATACAAAGTAGTTTATGGACTCCCTTCCTTGTCGTTTTGTTTATAATGAAAGTGTTTAAAATTGTTAAAGATAGTTAATTCATGCCTTTTTAATCAAAGAGCTTGAACACTTAGAATGAAGAAGACAGTGTCTTATAACAGTCTTTTTGTGTATGTAGATGCCACCAAGTTGGAAAAACGTTCTTGTCTGCAAAGTGCAATTCATGTCGTGGATCAACCACTTTAGCCGCATGTCTATCCTGTGATAATTCCTTTTGTGACTGGTGGGTTAGTTTTACTGTTTAAATCTATCTATACCTTTTATGTAACAAGTTTATTATAGTATCATGTAACCTTTATTTTAACAATGTATTAAATCAACTAAAGATGAAATTGGGCCTTGAATTTTATATGATTGTTGACCCAAATATCGTAGACTTTAAGGCCTCAAAGAACTTATCCCTGAAATGCAGCGACTTTAAGAAATTGTGTGGGTTACAAGATAGAATACCAAGTTCTTAAGATACTTACAGAAAGCTCTGAAAAAGGATAATGGATTTATAATTAAAATAAATGAAATGCACTGGTAACGCAGTATGTCCTTTCCGTTTATTGATATTGTATAGGATGAAATATTGTAGCTGTCCTGTAAGTATACCCAGTCCTTTCCGTTATTTTGCTTCATCTTCTCTCAGTTGTTTCTTTCTATTTATGTCCTCCACCAATTCAGCCGTTGCTCCTCTAATTGCATGGATAAATGATTCCAATTTTTACTCTCTCATGTTTGCTAGCTTTGGCCATTGCTTTTGCTGTCATGTTTCTCATGTCACCCTCTTTCAATTCATTGGTAGGGTGTTATTAATTGGGTCTTCTTGCTTTGGAGCTTTGTGGGTACATTCAAGCTCCTTCCAACTGTGGCCCAGTCCATGTCATCTGTCCGCCAACATACCGTCTAGTATCTGTTAAAAGGCACATTTTGATATTAGGATCCATGACAACTCAATTGGTTTCCCATCAACCATGTCAATATCACGTAAGAAATCAAGGGCCTATTTGTATTGGGAGATATGATGCCCATAGATGAAAGAGAATTGAGCAACCATAATCCCAAGGAACTAACTTCCCCAAGTTGTTAGTTGAAAGTAGTGGAACAAGTGGTAATGAAAATCATCCTCGTCGTTGTCAATAATAACAACATTATCAACATAAAAAACAAGATAAATAATATTGTCTGCCAAGGTATGTTTATAAAAGACAACTATCAAATTCAATCTAGAGCATCCCCTCATTGTTGGTTGATAGTACTGAGCCATTTAAATGAGGCATGAGTGAACTGCTTCAAGCCATATAAAGAGCGGCTGAGTTCCATACTAGTCCAACTTACTCCGGATCATTAGAATCAAGAGGTTGCTCTATGTAAATCTCCTTCTAAAGCTTACTATGTAAGAAAGTGTTCACAATGTGTAGTTGATGCTGGTGAATTGCATATAGAATCTAGAGAAATAAGTAGGTAAACAAAGGAAATCTTGGCTACTAAAGAAGAGGTGCTGTGTATTGACCTTAAATTTAAGTATAATGCTTGGCAAATGGCAACCACGCAGGCCTTGAGATTATCAGCTTACCGTCAAGACCAATGGCAAGTAAGACCATCTCCATAAAAGAGTTACAGTCCGTAATCTAAAATGGTCTTGTGAATTGTTTTAGGAATAATATTTGGCATTGAGAAGATTTTATATTATTTTTGCTTCAGATCTTAAGCCATGAGCAATGGAATCAACTCTTATTTTAACACATTGTTTTTAACAGTGCAGGCCATTTGAGTGAGCATATCTGGGAGCATCCAACTCATCAGCAATATTACTCATTTAAGCTTAATCGTTTGGTAGTGATTCATCTGTTTACGTTTTCACTTTACTTCAGTTGACGCATCTAGCTAAGGGCTCTGCCATACCATAAGGAGGGGACAAATAATTTTGGGGGCTAATTAAGTAGTTGAGTGGAAAAATCCATATTTAATTTGGTTTAAAAGTTAAAACAAGTTAGAGTTGTGTTGGGAGCTCTTGGAAATCATATTTTGATACTGTCTTGGAGATCATGTTTTCAAACTTCTTCTTTGGTGACTTTGATAATTGAGAATGGTAATCTTTACTTTCAGCATCCAGTCTTTGGATAGGTTCACAAAATTGATTTGTTTGTGTATTTTCATCGATCTTGTTGCTTGTAAAGAGTATAGTATTAATTGTTCTACAGGTCAAATGCTGTAAATCAAGTTGCAAGGTGACTCAGATAAAGGATCTCTTAGCCTGTCAGCATTGCTTTGACAAGGCATTTGACAAGTTCTATGATATGTACACTGCAACTTGGTTGGTACTCCCCAAACGCAACTTCTTCTGCCCCTTTCTTCTCCTCTCTATTTCATTACCCGACGCTAGCTAGGTATCAGTTATTCATCCTTGTCTTGTAGTGGGGTCCGTCTGGGTGGGGAGTGAATTGATGAAGCATGGATGATTTGTCTATACTACCCATCGGCAATGATTAATGAATCCATGAAGTTGAGCTCTCTCTTCCATCTCACTAGCATAGCATCTCTTCTCAGTGTTGAGTTGTTCTTGCAGGAAACCAGCTGGACTAACAATCATTTGGAATTCAATCTGCTGCGAGGATCATTTTGAATGGTTAGTCGGTGCTACATGAAGATGTTCCTTGTATGGTTTTTCAGCATCATAATCAACAGGGCTGGACATTCATGTGTATTCCTCAGGCACCGGATGAATTGCTTCAGTGCGGACGCAGACAGTGCCTATATTCTAAGCAAAAAAAGAGGCCGTTGTGAGAAATGCAAGCAACTGAGTGACTTCATATTCTGAAGAGGGGAATCACTTTACTAATAATTACTATGATGGAGAGTTCTTTGTCATTAAAGGTAGAAAATTTAGTCTCTCACAGCTTGTGCGATGCTCACTCTCTTTTGCTCTGTCTTTGCTTTCTGTTTCAGGGTTGGTGTCTGTCTGTGAATATGAAAACATACGGTAATACATGTTTGTAACTTGTCATTACTAGCCGCAGGAGCGGAACGGAACAAAACAGATTATAATTGATTGCGTTGTTCTATATATATATATATATCTTATATTTATCCAAGGGTAATAGTTAGGGTGTGTTTCTTTAAGTTGGGTTTGGGAAGATTGAGTTTGAGTTTGGTTTGGATTTGAATTTTTTAGAAGTTTTGGGATTTTGCGTTTCTTTGGTTCAGTAGGTTTTGTTGGGGTTTAGGGAGTTTTATTGAATAGTGATTTGATAGGTGATGATTGGATTTGTTGGGGTTTAGGGAGTTTTATTGAATAGTGATTTGATAGGTGATGATTGGAGTGATGAGATTTTTAGTTTAATTGAAAATAATTTATATTAAATATAAAAGTAATGGAATATATATGAAGAGTGAATTTTTTTCTCTTTTATTATTATTATTTTCATCTGTAACTAAAAAAGAATAGAATTTCGGATCTACTTCTAAGTTTTGTCTACAATTACATGCGGAAGAACAAGCGTGTGCACGGCTATGCATGAGTCCGTGGTTGTTCGAAAACAAGACTAAATACACAGGACAGATAAATGCAGCCACATTTGCACGGCGGTGGTCGATTGTTGTTTGTTGTGTGCTTCATGTAACACTAAAAGCAGCATAATATAATTAATCAAGCACGGTCATGCTCGTTCCGTATAAGTGGTTGCTTCCTGTAGGAATTGAAGCAGACAAATAGACTTAAATGCGCGGCCGTGTACAACTATTCATATTCTTCTAGCTCTCATAGATTTGTGTATAGGATGGTCCTATCATAGATTTATAAAAATTGCACGAATTTACGAAATCGACTAACTAATTAAATCCCAAATTGAAATGTAGTTCGGTTTTCCTTACTTCTAACTAATTAACCGCCAGAAATCCTATCCCTCGTCAACGTGCATCTCCCGAACTCCTTCGCGGCAATCATCTGCTTCACTCGCCGACGAAACTGCTAAAATCCCACGATCCTTACTCTGCAATGAAGGGGGTGAAGAAAATTTGGGAGGAAAATAAAAAACACGTGTGAAAGATGAGAAATAATGGAGGAGAGAGAAGAAGCAGAGTAACGAAGGGAAGATAAAATAGTAGAGGAGAGAGACATATGTGTAGTCAACGGCTACGAAGCTATGTTGCAGACTTTGTCCTCCTAGGTCTGCTTCGCGCCAAAGTAGCATTCAACAGTAAATGAATAGGAAGTTTGGGAGGACTTGTGCCAAAGAAACACACTACTTAGTGTATCTACGAAATTTGACTTTTAAGCAAGAAAGAAACCATACACTTCACTGTATTTATGTATGTATATATGTATGGAAGTATGCAAAAATCTCCAGTGGTAGTTGCACTCATTTCACCACAACCATACCATACCACAGGCCAAGTCACGGGAATAAATGCGACTTAAAAATAAATACAAATACAAATACAAATACGGCTAAACTATAAGCTACAAAGTGGGAGGTGTTTGGCGAATGCAGAATGATAGTCGACAGAGCGCAATAACGGTGGTATGTATGGTCCAGAACCAGAAGAAGGCATTATAGCTACCAAAGAAGCTATAAAGATGCCATCAAAATCCAAATCCAAATCCAAATCCAAATCCCTCACTATTGCCTGCTCCTCAGTGAATCAGAATGTCCTGTCCTGTCCTCTTCATTGTTTCATCGAGTACCCCCCCAGGACTACGCCTAGCAGACCAATTATGATGATAATGATAAAAGTGATGGATACTCTTCCACCTTTGCTGTTCTTGCGCTTCAACAGTTCCTACACAGAACCGAACCACATCCCATATTACTCAAAATATGATGACACAGACACACACTCCATGAACACCAGACTCTGACAATTAATGAATTAACTACTTGTAGTTCTATATACTATTCTGTAGTTTCCACGATCAAACATCTTCAATGATAAGATATAAAGCAAGTGTATTATACACAGATTAGATCAGATCCTACAAAACCAAGGCCAGAAACTACCAAGGGGATTAAGAAACAAAAACTATCAACAATCAGTTTTCTGTTTATGAGCACGCATTACACAATCAAATCTCCTACCAATTCTTGACGAATGTTTGTTTTGTGCTCTATTTAAATTTCAATAGCAGCAGCTTTTTTCCTCAGGCAACTTTGTAAGAGTTATACATTTTAAGATAACGCCAATCCACTTGGAAAAGCTTATGCAGACAGAAACAACTCTCAAACATAGTGAAACTATATGCGGATGCAAGTAAATACTGTCAATCGGGAAGCATTAAAATGAACTCGGACACAAAAGTTTCAGAAACCAAGTAGATCAGCCAAGGCTTTTCTCACAAATCCTCAAATAAGCTAACACATTTTTGCGAACACAAGTAGAAGACAGACTATTTACTCACGGTTCACAATATTATGCAATCTCTTGATCTATAACACTAAATAAAGCTCACCTAACCAGCAATAGTGATAATGAAATATTGTATAGCATGCCGAGCCAAGTACAAATATATTTATAAAGTAGATAATGCATCGTGGATTGGAAGGAAGATTCACTAATTTTGCATTTGAGAGACATACAAAATATAACCAAGATATGAAAACCAATAAAAGCTGCTCGCAAGGAATTTGAAATAACTGGATTTTAGGATAGATTTCTAGTCTTTCAATTATGAAGTTTGAACTTAGAAGTCACCAATGAAAAGATAAAAGTGTTATATTCCTTCCCTTCCCTCGTTTTTTTTTTTTTTGTAAGCTTCAAATTGGCTAAGCGACTTCGGACTGGATCACTTAGACAATATTCCTTGACATATGCTAGCAGTGCTAACATCACAAGGAAAATCAATTATCATAATACACAGAAGTACCAATTGATCAAATTTGAAATTCTCATGAGGAAAAACCAATGTTGTTGGACCAAGCAGTTGTCATGGTGGTTTTTATTTTTCTTTTTAAAAAAAATAATATCCATGCACTGCTGGCTTAAAACATTGAATATGCACAACATTAGTAGTTGTGTCTGATAAAGGCGATTGAGAACATACAAATATGTGAATGCTGCAGCCACATAATATTGAATATGGGGAAATGCGTGAAGTGCTAAGTTACCTCTGGCATATTTTCATGGCTGTCAGCAAAAGTTCTAGTAGCCTGCAATCACCCCTCAAAAAGGATGTAGCCAATAGGATGTACAAACGAGGTAAAATGAGCCTCAATAGAGGGAATGAAAATGCAAAAAATTTGTACAAACCTCATTGCCATTTCCAACTGTATTTGACCTTGGGGAAAGACCCTCTTCTGATCCCTCTGCAACAGGAGATGGTGGTTGATGAGGAGCGAAAAAGACCACTTTCAATCTGCACTCCTCAACCTTGCCATTTACCTTATTAAACTACAGAAGAACAAAAAGAAAAATACAAACACCAACTTCATTAATCATAACCATCCAAGAATGCATGTAGCAACTATCTGCATAACCTATCCTGAGCTGAACGAAAACCATTCATTTATTAGTCATCATCAATCATATACAATGTCACCGTGGTGCTGAGAGCAATGGCATGATGCTATCCTCTAATTTATATTCTTTACCAATTTATTTAGTTGCAAAGATACCATGACTTACTGTCTTTTTAACTATTCCAAATTCTTTCTCACGGGCATGTAAAACTTTCAACAGAAATCATACATTACTACGGTGGATCATTGCAACTGTGTATGATCTGTTTTTTTTTTTTTTTTTTTTTTCTCACTTTTTCAGTTATCACTGAATTTAAACAACAATAAAAGGTGTTTGATCATGAATCAACAAGAAAATACCATATCTGCAGTGACATCTTTTCCAGTTGTACCGGGGCTTGCAACCACACTCTGTATCAGAAACTTATCCTTGCATTGCATGTCTGGAGGAGTTTCCTTCTGTGCTTGCATTGTGACTACGATACAATAATAATAGCATGGTCAGTTGAGTTGGGCCAGAGACGCGCGCGCGCACCCATATTATCACATGCTAATAGAAATTACTACTAAAGATCTAACCACGTTACTAAAGGTGGGTGGATGAGGAGCCATCCCCTCCCCTAAGCTGAATCGTGATATCACTCACAAATTAAAGACTGACCCTCCATTGATTGCAAACAGCATGACTGAGAAATAAGGGTAAGTAAAGGCTTTAATTACCAACAATGTCGCAGGTTGATCGCGGCAAAACAATGCCCGTGTTTGGGCGAACGCAATAATTCTTGGGATTCGTTGTTTTGACCTGAAAATGTGTAAGGCAGGCGGAAGGAAGGTAATAAAGGAGGGAAAATGAAAACGAAAATGAAGATACTCTAGAGATGAAGCACTTGTCTTACCTTGAAAGCTACGTGATTTTCCGTCTTATTGGATAGTTGCAGCGAACAAGATATCTGCTTCTTCAACTCAACTGATCAATCCAAAGCACACACGCACACATGCGTAGACGTAGAAAAGGGAAAAAAAATTAAAAATAATAATAATAATAAAATCAGGAATGCAGCAGCAACAATGAATGCAAATTAAACAAAAAGTAGGAAGCAAGTGAGATGGATGGAGAAATTAATTAGGCAAGCACAAACATGGGAATCTCAATTCCAATGGATCGACATTGAGGAGCTCTCCGGAAGCCATATGTGTGCTGTTGATGTTGATGTTGCTGTTGTTGGGATTGAGATTGAGATTGAGAAAAGACAAGCGAATTGGAAGGAAGGAAGGATGGAAGATCACAAGCAAACAAAGAGGTAGAGAATGATGGATGGATGGATGGATGGAAAATTAACCCAATGCTACTACTGCTACTGCTTGGCGCACACGTACACAATTGAGTGGGTGAGTGAGGGAGTGATCCTTATTCTCATTCGTTCGTTTTTCTTCTATAAAATTCCGAGGTGATCCGAAGATGACGCCGCCGCCTGCACAGCACTGCACACCTGCCTGCCTTCCTTCCTTCCTTCAACTCCTCTATCTCTTCTCTTTCCAATCCAACCATGCAAGAGTTAAATAAAGAACGTCGATAATACTGTATACTATATATAATTAATACTAGTATATATCATCACCCCCCTCCCCCTCCCCTGTGATAACTACAGTAAAAACAACTCTAGTGTGTAATGTGTATGCCAAATATGTATATTTATATAATATATCTAATTTCATTAATGAAATTTTATTCTTATAGTATAATTTATTTAAATCATATTATTATTTTATTATTTTTATATTTATAATAATAATCAGTTTATATTTCTTACTATTTTTTTTACTTATTTATTTTTGATAAATTTATTATAATACCTTCATTATGTTTTTTATTTTTATTATTTTAATATTAAAAATATTATTGTTTTTACTAATAAAAATTATGAGAATAAATATGTATATTTATGTATTTATTTATTTATGTATTCATAATCCTCTCCTTTCTCTTTGCCCTGTTCTGTACGACTTCGACTTCGACTTCGACTTCCTCAGAGCCCTTCCATGTCGTTGACTCTATTTTCCTATGTCTGCCAACCATCCACTCGATCTTTAGGAGGTAATGTCCTTTCAATTCTGTGTTTTCCAGAAACTTGATCTGATTCTTCTCCACTTGCTTTGCTTTGCGTTGACGACCGAGATTGAGCACTGTGTCTTTAATGTTGTATTCTATAACCCCACGATTCACCAAACAGACGCTCTGCTCTAGAGATTCCATTTTTTTGGTTTGTCCCGGATCAATTAAAATGCACAAACAGATTCAACCATGAAGTGGATTCGTTTTGAGTAGGCGTTTGATATTTTCATTTTCTTTGCAGGTATCTGCACAAACGCTGGAATTTCTATGCCATAGGCGCTTCATTGCATGGTCGGTGTACCACTGCATCATTCAGGAAATCCTGTCTCGGTAATGTTGATTGCTACCACTTTTGTATCTGCGTAGCGTAGCTGCTGTGTCTCAAAATTGTTGGATGTTGTTGTTTTCGTGTGCCCAGTGGGGATACATTGTGATTAGTGATGTCTGAAGGTGAATCACCTGTCTTCGCTCGGGGTGAAATTGAGCCGTCCCTTCGCCAAGTTGTCTGTAATGGGGTTAGCTTGAAAACAACTGAAGTTGAAGCAAAACTTGATGAGGGAAATATTCAAGAGGCCGAAGCTGCATTGCGGAATGGCTTGTCTCTCAATTTTGAGGTTGGATGTTAAACACTCAAAAGCTTTTCTTCTGTATGGAGGACCTAACCTTGATAGTTGTAATATAAAACTTATTTTTTGTCAGTTGGCGTGCTGCTGGATATTAATGAAACTTGGGACTCTCATTGCTTTCGTCCAAGACTTTTAAGCTTACATTAAACTCTCAGTTGCTGTTTCATATTTTGGTTACAGTCATTTTTAAGAGAATCCTATTTTCAAGGTTACTTTTAGCTGGAGAAAATTTTGAATATGAGATACACAGATTAGATAAAATTGATTTAAGGATGGTTTCAATATATGCATATATTTGTAAGGATATCTATATTTTGTTGCTTATGGAATTTGCAGCGATTGTACCATAATTCTCATTATTCTATTTTTTGTTGACAGTTATATCTTAGCAGAACTTTAAGTTAGTGTTACATCTAGCAGGAGCAATTTTTTGAAAGGTGATGAGATAAAGTTCCAAATTCTGCACTCTACATGTATAGAATTACTGCATTTGTAAGGGTGTTTAGACCTTGTTCCATGTGGAGTTTAAACTATTTAAAGGAGTTTCTGTCTTTTAGTTGTTCTTTCTCTCTCATTTAATCATTTCTGTTAACTGTTTAAAGATTCATTAAATTCATTAGTGCATGGCCGCTTATACATTAATTTATATGCCCGCATGGAAGAGGAATGAACTCTTTCTTTTTTTTTCAGTGTCTACTGGATTTTGGTGGCTACAACTTAACCATTTGATGATCACTGAATAAAATATAATTGTCAAATCTGACTCTTATTTACAAATAATTTTCAGGAAGCAAGAGCTCTTCTTGGGAAGTTGGAATATCAGAGAGGAAATGTGGAGAGTGCTTTATGGGTGTTTGATGGCATCGATCTTCAAGCAGCCACACAGCGGATGCAACGCTCCTTGGTTGATAGAGAGTCTTCCAAAAAGGCTCGCCCTTGCAGTGAGTCAGTATCTTCTGTCTCACAGCATGCGACAAACCTTGTGCTCGAGGCCATATATCTAAAGGCTAAGTCTCTTCAGAAGCTGGGAAGATTAACTGGTATTCTTCATTTCAAATAGCTCTGAAAAGTTTCTAAATATATTCAAATTAAATATTAATCCCATTATAGATGATTTTATAGCAAAAGGAACTATTATTACTATTATTATTCATACTTTTATCTGATTGGAATAATGGCTAAAATCATTGGGCCTTGACATTATCCAGAGGCTGCTCAGGAGTGCAAAAATGTACTTGATGCAGTAGAAAAGATATTCGTTGATGGCATACCAAATGATTTGGTAGAACATAAGCTTCAAGCAACTGTTAGCCATGCTGTTGAACTTCTTCCAGAGTTGTGGAAGCAAGCTGGATGCTATGCAGATGCGTTGTATGCATACCGCCGAGCACTACTGAGTCAATGGAACCTTGACAATTATTGTTGTGCAAGAATTCAAAAAGCATTTGTGATTTTCTTGTTGTATAGTGGGGTTGAGTTTAGTCCACCCAGTTTAGCTGTTCAAGCTGAAGATTCATATGTACCTACAAGCAGTCTAGATGAGGCTATTCTACTTCTGATGATTCTAATGAGAAAGTTTTACCTTGGGAAGATTAAATGGGATCCTTCAGTGCTAGAGCACCTCACTTTTGCACTGTCTCAATGTGGCCAAACTTCAGTTTTAGTGAAGCAACTTGAAGAGTTCATGCCTGGGGTGATAAATCGCATTGACCGATGGAAATTAATGGCATTGTCCTATTTTGGAGCTAGAGAGAATAGTATTGCATTACATCTACTGAGAAAATCCCTCCACTGGCATGAGGAGCCTAATGATATCATATCATTACTGCTGGCTGCAAAAATATGCAGTGACGATATGTTTCTTGCTGCAGAGGGAGTGATGTATGCACAAAGAGCGATTGATAATTCACATGGATCAAATGCACATTTTAAAGGTGTTGGATTCTGTATGCTGGGCCTTTGCTTAGGAAAGCAAGCTAAAACTTCCCCTTCAGACCTTGAGAGATCTTGTCTTCAGTTGGAGGCTCTGAAAGCACTGAACAGTGCATTAGCATTAGAGCCTGAAAATTTAGACGTCATATTTGAGTTAGGCTTGCAGTATGCTGAGAACCGAAATCTGCATGCTGCTTTTCAACATGCAAAAAAGTATTTAAATGCGACGGGCGGATGTGCCATTAAGGCTTGGAGATTGCTTGCTTTGGTTTTGTCTGCCCAGCAACGGTTTTTGGAGGCCGATGTGGTTATCGATGCTGCTTTAGATGAAACCTCAGATTGGAATCAAGGACTGCTCCTCGAGATGAAAGTGAAGCTTAAATTTTTTCAGTCACAATACAAAGATGCCATTGAGACTTGTCGTTACCTTCTTGCTTTGGTACAAGCTCAGAGAAAATCTAGAGGACATTTTGGAAGTGAATCTCAGGTTGATTTTTTGGACCTTATGTTTTTAAGTGGATGGTTTTTGTTTCATTTGATAAAAACGAAAATCCTTTCTGTTGTCTTATTTTGAATAAATTTCTGGCATCCATCCTCCTGTTGGTTGTCATTCCTTTTGTTGAAAGTTATTTGATTTTGGTTGTATTTTATTGAGTATGTGCTTATGTATTCACTATCATCACATGTGTTTCACAGGTGGATGATGATAACATAAATGAATATGAAGTATGGAATGGATTAGCAAAATTGTACTCTAGCCTTTGTCATTGGAATGATGCAGAAATATGTTTGGGAAAAGCTAGAGCTTTGAAAAAGTATTCTGCTGAAACTCTGCTTGTAGAAGGTAAGAGCTTGAACCTTTCTTAATTAAAGAAAAAAAAAAAATTTATTTCTTTCGAGTCGGAGAGGGAGGGTGGTGCATTAGGTTTAAAGTTGAATATTAGATGAATTACTGCCTTTATTATGTATCAGCTTTATTTCAGTATTCACTTTGGATTCTGGGGGCAAATGGAAAATACAGTGATATTCAAAAAGCATTTTCTGTAAATAATTGCAACATTCATGTGTTATGCTGAATATATACATAGGCACCACAGAAAAAAGTGCAGTACAGAATTCTATTCAAACGAATTTAATATAATGCAAGGAAAAGTATGTGACCTATAAATACTTTCTTTGGGCAAAATTGCCTGGCCCCCATGGAAGAATCCTAAGATCACAGATTGATGTGTATATATATTTATAGCTAAAGCCTGAATTTCATATTTTATTGGACTGTGAAAAATAATGGAATGACAGTAGACCACAGCTAATGTGCTATGAAGTATTTTTACAGAGGATAAATCAGGCTCACCTGTGGAAATCAAATGAATTTTCCAAACTTAGGTGAGGCCAAAATGTTTTGCTGGTTATTCAGCTCTATTGATCTAGGATGTAGTTTTAGATTTTCACAGATACGGTTTTGGGGATCTTGTTCAAATTATCCTTGTATAACATCTGTAAAAGTTAATTTGTTACAATTACAGATAATGAACAATGATGCATTCGTATCTGAAATATATTATTGGTAAAGGAGAAGATAATGTTATGAGAATGTAATCTGCAATATAGAGCCATCCAAATGTTAGTCTTCTTCTTCTTCTTCTTCTTCTTCTCCTCTCTCTCTCCCCCTATGTATATACATACATATATTGTGATGAATTTTGAATTGCTAAAACATGGGAAGATAGAAGATACAAAAAAAACTGTATGTAACAAATTTGAATGTTATTGTTCTTGCAATCATGGCCTCTGTTTTTTCATTGCAAAGTTAGCAAATGTAGATAGACTAAATTTTCCCTCTTGTATTCTTCTTAACAGGTGCTATGCATGAAAGAAAAGGACATACTAACAAAGCTTTGGCTGCTTATGCCAATGCCCTTATGCTGGACCCAGACTATGTGCCTTGCGAAATTCGTTTCAGCGCTGTGTTGGCTAAGATGGGAAGAAACATGCTGCCAGTGGCTAGAACTCTCCTGTCGGAGGCCCTGAAGATGGAGCCCACCAATCCTATGGCTTGGTACAATTTAGGACTGGTTCACAAGGTGGCTGGGCGGATAGCCGATGCAGCAGACTGTTTCCAGGCTGCTTCCATGCTTAAAGAAACTGAACCTGTAGAGGGATTCAGTACCATCCATTGAACATTTATAGCCAGCCAGTTGAAGTATCATTCTTTGATTCTTTGTTGTGTCACCATACCAATACCATTCCACCATACTGATACCATTCCACCATACTGCATTATTGGAGCAGATGCAAATCCTACTCAGCAGTAGGAGAGGAGTAAGATTGCAATAAAGTGAACGCAGAATGATGGGATTTTGTGTGTAAGAAAACAATTGAGGATGAGCTCATTGGTTAAATTTTTGGTGGGATTTTGATGATGTTATTTTCGAACCGGGCGGTTGGGAAATGCTCTTTATTGTGTTGTCACTCACTCACTCGTTCACTCACTCTGCTTGGTTCGACTCCCTGCAAAACATTTTTTTTGTGTGGTCTTGGCTAACTTCGCAGTGATGGGTAGAAACGGATTTTGGTCAGATGCACACAGAGAGACAGACCCGGACGGGACCTGACCTCCTCCTCCTCCTCGTTCCAAATAGAAATATCAGTCGGTCATTTGGATGGGAAATATGTCTGGTCAGTCTCAGTCCGTCCGTCTTGTCATTTTATTAATTAATTGATTAATTAATTCAACTAATTAACCCACACTGGCGCCCTCTCCTATTTTCATGGGCTGATCTGATGTTTGCGCTTCATCTCAACTTCGTCAGGCTCATCAAGCCCTTCTTACCAGGAGGCTTCACGTTTCCCCGTCCCCGTTGCGCCTCCGCAGCCAGACGAAGCATGAGCTCTCCTCCGACGCGGATGTTTCAACTGAAAGTCGACCCGCTCACCGGACAATCAGAATGGGTCATCATCGACGAAGAAGACACCGGGGGAGGGGGCCATACCGGTACAAGTACAACCCCCTCAAAATCACTTCTCGCAACCACGTCGTATCTCGACATGCTCAACGACACTCGCCGCAACAGAGCCTTCCGTCAGGCCATCGACAACACCGTCACTAAACCCTGCCACGTTCTTGATATAGGGTAATACAATAATATTACTAGTGCTGTGCTATTTATCGCTGCTATCTTTTTCTTTCCCCATGTTTATTGCACTAGTAGAATTTTGTTTTTGTTCACAAATCTTGATTTTGGGGATTCTTTGCCAAGTCAAGTCAAGCGATGGGTGTGTATGTTATGTATGTATGTACATGTGTGTTGACAGTGCGGGAACAGGGTTGCTATCAATGATGGCAGCTCGGGCCATGGGCCTCTGTGACTCTGAGACTGAGAGTAAGGAGAGGTCGGGCTCAGACGGGTTGGTTACAGCTTGTGAGGCATACCTACCCATGGTCAAATTAATGAGGAGGGTTCTCCGGGCGAACAAAATGGAGAGGAAAATACGCATCTTACATAAGAGGTCGGATGAGGTCGAAGTTGGCATAGACATCCCCTCGCGTGCTGATATACTTGTGAGTACACTCACACTCACTATCACTATAATGTTGCTTTATATTAGACTTGGGGGTTGGGAATGCTTGCATCCCATCGCATTACACTGAACTGCACTGCACTGCACGGACTCACCCTGTTGGGTAGTTATGAACTTATTCCTCTCAAGGGGTTTTCAATTTGCTTATTTGGCTGAGGTACATGCTGCATCGGTCTCCTCCTATCCCTATCCCTATCCCTATCCCTATCCCTTCTTGATTGGAGGCATAAGGAAGGATGAGTCTGTACAATTCTACGCTACTTCCATTTCCTAATGCAGTAATGCAATAACTTGGCCACTCCATTTCCCTCCTAGAAATCTACCCCCAAGTGCATGGGTATATAGTATACAAATACAATACTTATTTCCAACACGCACCATCAACTACATGTTTTTTTAAATTGAAGCTTCTCCCACAATATTGGTTCAACTGTAAATGAAGATGCATATTCCAAATTAGTTTTAGGTAAAAATAACTTCCATCTATTAAGAAATAAATACACTTGCTTGTCTATGGTTAAAGCATACTTCTGTTGTTAACTCATGATTGTATGGTATACTGCAGGTCAGTGAGATTCTAGACTCAGAGTTACTAGGTGAAGGGCTGATTCCAACCCTACAACATGCACATGATCATCTATTAGTTGAGAATCCACAAACAGTACCTCACCGGGCAACAGTTTTTGCTCAGGTATTGATTTAATACCATGTTGTTCAGAACTCTAATATATTACTATTAGCGTAACATTGCTGATTTAAATCATCTGTAACCCTTTTTTTTTTTTGCTTTTTGTATATTCGAAAGAATGTTTTCTTTGCCTCTTCTGAAAAATGACACTCAGCTGACTCAAAGTGTACAAAATATTGTGCTGCATAAGTAGTAACAATTGAGCCTTAAAGGATTATGATCCTTGCAGAGTTAAGATACTATATAGGATTATTATCACCAGTTACTAGGGATTTTGTGTGTTCTATGTTTATGGCTGTTGTATGACAATATTTGAAGAATTAATGCCATGATTATTTTTCAACACCTTGTTGAATCTTCACACACCTCCTGGAAAAGAAAAAAAGGAAATAAACTAAGAGATGGGTCTGATGCCGTGTAGAGCTGAACTACCAAACAAAATTGTATTTCTTTCTGAAAAATTAGGCTGAATTTACATGCATGAGAAAAAGAGGAGAAAACACGACAAGCTCTCTGATTTTGCTAATCTACTCTAATCTCTGTGTAAGTGATCAAGTCTAATTTCTATAATTAAGTTAATTATGACTATTATGCCAATCAATTAATGCATATAATTACATATGCTATTTTGTGAAATTAAACTTTATTTTCCCCATTCTTTGCAGCTTGTCGAGTGCACACATTTAAGGAGGATGCACAATTTGGTAAACAGAGAAGCGGAAGCATTAGATGGAATTCATCTTGTTCCGAGTGGGATGGATGAGTTTATAGGTATCAAACAGAAGCAGTATGCGTTTCATTGTGATGCAATTAAAGGCGAAATCAAATTGGTAATGAGTAAAAATTCCTTCTTCCTCAGCAATTTTTTTCCTGTTAATATACATTGTTACTCAATCTGTTTCTTGCATCTAGCTTTCAGAACCCTTTGAAGTTTTTGAATTTGATTTTTGGAGAAGACCAGACAGTTTTCGTGAAACTGAGCTGCACATAAAAGCCACAAATGAGGGTATAATTCATGCTATCATCTCATGGTACTTGATTTGGCGCATAGGTCATTTTATTTTGATCTATTATCAACCTTCTCCTTTTCATCATCAATGAGCATGTATTATCAGGTTAACATGTGGATTTATTTATTCTCATTCAGGTGGTTGCTTCAACTAGACAGCGAAGGCACTGTATTCTATTCAACTGCTCCAAATTGGATACACTGCAGTGATGCAAAAGGTAAGACTGTCCTTTCGAAGTAAATGAAAGGCAATCTTCAACACCATACATATGCCATTCATTTTCACCCAATGTGGAAGCCATTGTATATGTGTGATATTATACTCCCACTCATCAACCTTTGAATATAATTTTAGGAGATAATCAATTAAGCTGTTGATGACGTATTGCAATTAAGCAATTTTCTATGAACTTGTAGTGATATATGGAAGCATCATTGTGTTTATTCTAATACTTGGTCGGCCAAGGAGGAGAGATGATTTATTGCAGTTTTGATTTTGTGAGCTTTTCATCAGTATAATCAATTTGCTGGCAATCTGCTATTGTGCACCATGCTTATATTTAGGTACTCAAAATTGGTGCGACCATTGGAAACAAAGTGTTTGGTTCTGCCCAAGATCAGATGCCTTGCATGTAGTCAAAGATGAGGAGCTTCAATTGCGTGCTGCTCATACTGAAACAAGCATCTTGTATAATTTAAATGCTTCACGAGACAAGAAAGAGTTTCCACATCACTATTTCAATGCAGAGAATTGCCAGATTGTTCTGTCTCCTGGAAGAAATGCCTTATATGGCGATAGTGCTTGGAGATGCATCATGTGTGATGCCATTAAGAGTGCTGTAAGACTACCTTACCCTTAACAGTAGATGCCATTTAAAGATTAAAGCTAACCCCATGCTCACCTTGAGGAATAATATAAAAATGAGATTGTGCTTGATGTTTGATGTTGAAGGTTGTTTGCACAGAATTTTAGTGATTTCTTGCTTAACAGCTATACTACTTTTTCTGTTTTCTGCCAGTTTATTACCTTTACCGTTTATATTGAATGCTAGTATATTGGCCAAGGCTGGGATGCTTCATGGAGATACAGAACTATTGCACTTGTTCCACTTTTATGGACCCTACTGCTCAATAAGAAATAAACTGAAGAAATTTAGTTCAGCCTCAATGGTTTCCTTGACATTGTTTCCATTTATTTATTTACTTTTTCTCTTTGGGTGGAGAGGATACAACTTTTGATCTCATAATTGTTTAATCTAAATACAGCTGTACAAGTATCTCTTCAAGTTAATGGTATCTTACTTGAATACTGTGTTGCTTTGTTGCCATACATTCCTTGTCTGTTTCCTGCCTATTGTATTTTTCTGTGATCTATGTTACCAATCTAGTGGTATACTAACCTCTTGTCCTTTCTATACTTGGGCTTGACTTGAATACTCTTGTTTTCATTTTTCAGTTGCATCAGACACAATCTCCATTGTGTTTAGTTGCAGACGATAGCATTTTCTTGTCGGTTGCTATTGCTCATCTTTCCAAGAGTTTGCAGTTACTTGCATTATTTCCTGGACTTGGAAAGAAGGCTGTGCAATATCTGCAATTGGTTGCTGCAGCAAATAGCTACTCTAGGGACTGTATAGTCTTTATAAATGATAAGGATTTGCACTTGATTCTGCAAGCTTCACAACAGAAAAAGGTGAAAAAGATAATATTCAAATCTTCCACATAAGAAGTTTTGGGGTTAAGAATGATTATTCACTTGACCTAATTGTTGGTTCTGTGTATAATTTCTCTGACTTCATGTTTTCCAGTTATTTACCGATTTGCCTCCCACTGAAAGAATGCATTTGCTCTGCAGATTAATCTGTTTGTTGCAGAGCCATTCTATTATGGAAATGATAATGCTCTTCCCTGGCAAAATTTACGATTTTGGTAGGTTTGAGTTCTTTGTGAGATTTACAGTATTGAATTAGAAGTGTATCTTGCTCAGATAAGAGTAAGATTACATTAAAAATTATTTCAACTTAATTTGTTGTTCTTTCCACCCATATGTAATTTCCCTTGAATGATTTTTTCTCTGAATCCTTTCAAATCCAAAGCACTGCTACTTTTGATCTGATTTTGTACTTAATGCAAGTGATCCTGGTGTGACTAAAAGCCTGAAAATTTCTCTTGTATTTGGTTGCCTTTATGTTGCACCAGGAGTCTGAAACATTTCTGCTTCTTTAGTTGTGAGAAAAGTGTTTTTTGACTTTGGAGAAATTGGCAGGAAATTAACACTATTGAATTGGTTTTTGCAGGAAGCAAAGAACCTTACTTGATTCCTTTCTATCAAAAGATGCACTCATAATGCCTTGTGGAGGCCTGCTGAAAGCTTGTGCGATGTACCTTCCAGTAAGTTGATAGTCACAGTGCTTTATGTTTGCTATGTCTAAAGTCTAAACTACTGCAATCATATGAAGCGAAAATCTACAATGTTCTCTAGGACCTCTGGCAAAGCCGATGTTGCCTGAAAGAAATTGAAGGATTTGATCATTCATGTGTCAATGCTGAACTGGGAGGCTGTGGAGGTTTACCCGCTGGAGATAGTGGTCCTATGCTCCCCTTTTTTGTTTGGCAGTGTGGGGAAACTAAGGTAGGGCTTCTTGTAGTTACATCTGTGGGAGCCTGGATCTGTGATGTCTGACGTCTGCCGCGGTAACATTTGTTTCAGATACTCAGTGATGCGCCCACCCTCTTGGAGTTTGATTTCTCGAAACCAATGAGCCCATGTTCTGGAAAGACATTGGTATTCTTTCTCTAACCGGCCAATGTCTAGATATGTAATAAACATTCATGTGCAGCAGCTACACCTCATCAATTATTGTTTGCAGGTTCAATTTACAGAGTCTGGAATATGCCATGGATATGTCCTTTGGATTGATTGGGTCATGGATGCGGAGGGCAAACACATTTTGTCAACAGGGCCAGGTTTGTCGATTGTTTGAAGCAGTCAATTTACATCTTCAATTTCTGTCTCCACACGTTTCCTGTAATCAGCCAGCGAACCTGTGTGGTCGTGTTGTTTGTATGTAAGCACCCGATACTAATCATTATTATTACTATTAATGCTCTCTTTGCCCCTATTGGGTGTTTCAGATAAAAGGTATTGGAGGCAAGCCGTGAAGCTTCTGAATGACCCTGTGGAGATTAAGGACTGCAATTCTTCAATGGTTGAGGCCTTTTTTGATCCATCCAGTGGCGAACTCACTCTGCAACATGCATGCCCCCTTCCTTAAAAGTTGATCCAAGCATTCATCACCTGTTTTAGTGTTTTGCTGCTGATGCTGCTGGTGGATTGAAATCCGGCATATGGCGCAGAAATCATGATGAGTAGTAACTCAAAAAAAAAAAAGGCTTGTTAGGACAAAGCATTCATCAAGGGAAGTCTTCAGTGATGTGGAAGGAAAACAATGCCTGTCAACCATCATCATGTTTTAGAAGAGCTCATCTCATGAAATGGGCAGGGATCATGCATTCATTATTCAAAAATTCTCATTTAGCTTGTGGAATGCCAAAAATGATCATTAATCTGACTCAGGTGCTAGGAAGGAAGGAAGGAAGAAAGGAAGAACCAGTGCACACCACACCCCACCCAATACAGCCGAGCATCCTCACCTTAATTTCATCAGTGGCTGGCTGGCAGGCAGGCAGATACAAACAAACCTGAAACGTCTGGTTAGCAGAGCAGAGTTAGCTTTATGATACCAACCCGTATTAAAACAAGTTTATCACCTTGATGCTGCCGGATGGAATAAGTTGCAATGGAATATGTTGAAACCAACCCGTATCAAAAACAAGTTTATCTCCAAATCCACATTCCTCGTCCAAAATAGCAACATTTATCATTACATAGTAGTATATGGTCAGTCAAAATATCTAGGTATTGTTTAGATAAGAGAATTATGGGAATTTTGAAAAATTAGAAAGAATAATAAATAAATAATAATATTTGATATGATATTTGGCGACTAATATCAATATAATATTAAAAAAATAATAAATAATAAAAACAGTATCAAAAATTTAAAATTTGTTGAGCAAACAAAACTTTGATCAGCAGCTCTTTAAAACTTCTTCTACGTCTTGTCTGCTGTATCTATTAATAGCTCCTCATATAATCATCAACAGTGACCTCTCTCCCCTCTATCAGAACATAGATTGATAGCAAGTGTATATATCTGCCACTGCCAGCCATCGCGTATCAAATAGAATAGGATCTCCGTCGAATAAGGAAGGCGATATCTTCAACCATATACTCACACACTCACATGCAAGTTCCAAAAAGAAGGAAACTTGTTTGTCCACTCGACCCACAATCAATCAGTGAGTAAGGGAGGGAGCGAGCGAGCGAGTAATTTTAGGAACGGGCTCCTCCATACCTTGCCGCCTCCAGCTACTAATTACTGCTGCCGCTTTGTATCGCACGGAGAGCATCCGCTCCGCTGAACCTGGGGACTTCTTATCCATCCTCGCCGCCTGGTTTTGACGAGGCGCACCGTATCGTGGGCTAACACGCAGGCATTTGCCACCGGAGAATGCTATGGCTAGTCCTAGTTCGTACAGGGCAGGGCAAGGCAAGGCGACTTAAGCGGTGAGGATAAGAAGCCAGTCAGTCCCCAGCACGATGATATCCCGCACAATCTGCGAATAAAGCGTGGGACGGAAGAAAAATCGACCAAGCATCATCGTGCTCGTTGCGGCCCCCGCCCCGGCAATTCCCTGCCTGGCCTGGCCGGTCACCCCTCGAATTCCTCGATTGCGGCTGTTACCAAGGATCATTATTTAGGACCTTCTTTTATTTTTCTATACCCGACCCGACGAAGACCGGTCTATTCGGGTCGGATTCGTGAGTCGTACTTAATACTCCGTCTTGTCTATTGAGTCCCTTACATTTTCAAACTTTTTCGAACCGTTCACCAAAAATCTCTATAGGCAACATTGAGAAGCCGATACGGCGAATGGTTGACGGAATCATCTGCGCTGTGGGAAACGAATCCGGCAGAAGAGTAGGAAGAGGACGAATTCGTACTGACGGTTTGTCTCTGCTCTATTTTTTTCGAAATCCGTTGTTTTTGTAGTCCTGTCCTTGTGTGTGGTTGTGCTCTGGTTTCGGTATTCGATTTTCCGTTGGGGCGCGACTCCGCTTCGATGATTTGGCCGTTGGTTTTGGAGAATGGTGATGCGCGGGTATAAATTGCGTATCCTCTGATGGAATTTTAGGGTTTAAGTTGTAATATCTTTGAATTCATGTGTTTATGTGTTGTGTGTGCGTCGGATGCGATGAAGTTTCGACGAATATTGAAAAAATATGCGTCTTTCTAAATTAGTGATATGCGTAGTTCATTTTCAATTGAGATTGTTGTATTATTGATATCTGTGCTTCATGAATAGTCGCATCATTACGCATTCCGAGCAGTGAAATAGCATGATGGAAATGTTAATGTGATTTGGGATACATATGTTTTTCTCCTCTCCATAATATATGTATATTTGATATAAGCCATATATTTGTACAAGCTTCGCCCCTTGTAATCTATATAGTATTGTTGGCGTTTGTTCTATATTGTAATTTATAAACTTTTCTGATAATTCAATTTGGGTAAACACTAGGTTTGCCATCAGTGACTGTTTTCTTCATCAAAGTATATGCCTAAAGGAAGTGGCCTCTGATTATTGCGAATCCTATTAGTCACACAAGTCCTGTTGAGTCTAGCGCTTTGGATTTAGTAGAGGTTTGGGTGGTAGCTGGAACTTCTGAGGCAATGAAGTTATGGGATTTGGAAGAAACCAAAGAATTTTTTATCTACTCCACTGTAGTTTGCATTGCATCAGGTTCTTAATTGCACATTTGAGTTTTGAATGTTTGCCCTAAGTTTTTTCCAATTCAACTATAGGGCTCTGGTTACTAAATCAAAATGTGAATGTTCCATATAATTTAGCGAATATAAATTGCTGCAACATTTCATTGTCATTAATTTAGTATTAATATGTTTCTCAAGTTAGTTAATTTTCATGAGAAGCAAAGTTTCTTTCTCATCTTTTCTTGCTGCTATGTGCTGTACTTTACCAGAGATCAATGAACATCTTGGCTGTTGAATTTTTTACACCCTTTAAAATTTTATATTCAAAGCTACGCTTTGTTTGAAGATGTCTTTCCTTAGGACGCAAGAAGAGGCGTGCCTTTTTGTGCATTGGAGTTTGCTATTTGAATGTGTATCTTGGCTTTTTATCTCTTGGTTGATTGACACATTTGTTTGCTTTTAAAGCCACTTGAGCAATGTAGTTATGTCAGACTTGATTAGTGAATACATTTTCTATGTTCAAATTTTAAATTCTCTATTTCTGCCGGTGCGACATCTCTTTTAACTGGGCTGGCTGGGAAAGTTTCTGTAGATTTTGTTGATGCAACATCTACTGGGCATTCTGTGCATCATAAGCAGGTAGGTCTTTTCCTCATACTTACACTCAACCTTGGACATATTTCCTGCAGGCTACTGCCAGGGTTCCTGATACTCAGATAATAACTGAGTATCCTGTAGTTAGGTATTCCATTGGTTCAAATATTTAACTCCATGAATACACGACTGCTAACCAATCATTTGCTATATCAGGATTCTATAGCAAATGGCATCGCATCTTAATATAATGCTATCTTACTAGGTTTCTACTGAAAGATATAAATATATATATTTCAGCTTTAACCAATCTCCAGGTTGGAGCAATTTTATGTGGTCTACAATCTCCTGGAGGACATGAAGTTATTTGGGGTGGTTGTATTGAAGCTCTAAAAACTCACTGCACCAACATTTATTTGCTTTGATTTTTGGGTATGTTTTCAAATTCATTCTTTTATATTTATGATGTTTCGTTTTTATCTTTTGAGTCTTTTGGACTCAAGTGTTTCTTTATAAAGTTTGTTTTGTGATTTTTGTTACATTTTATCTGTCAGTTTGTTGTTTTTTTATCTAGTTATTCTAACATTTCCTTTTTTCTTTTTATGAAAGATTCACATGCCTATGTGTTGTGTGACTAGGTGGTTCTGATAGTTCACTTGCTCAGGAAACTTTTAAGAGATGTTGATGGGATTCTTGCCACATACACAGATCAAGGTAGGTGTTGATAGATGAATTTTTATTTTTTTTTTTATGACAATGGGAACCCGCAGCCGCTACCCGAAATTGATAGATGAATATTTTATTTAAGTAATTAGTGGTTTTAAAGATCTCATTATACTTTTTAATTTTCAGTTATGAAGGTGGGTTATGATTTCCTAGGATGGACAAATGATCAAATTAGAACTGAACAATTTTCTTGGCTGCATGCTGGAGCCTGCAATGGTTAGCTCTTTGATTGGCACCACCATTGTGCAGCACTCTCACCCTTGCTCCACATCGTTTTATATCCTGTGGGAGGTTTATATGGCCTTAGTTTCAGATGCTCACTGCATTGTGTGTTCATTATTGTGGAGGAAATGAAAATGTTTTCAATTCTATGAAGGCAAATATTATAAGAGCTGAAATTTTCTTTTAGATCATGGCTAACATCTAGCAGTGATTGTTATTCAATGCTCATTGTGTGTCCAATCTATTGATTGAGAGTTGCATGCTTTTCATCTGCATCTTATAGCTTCACATTGTTACTGATTCAATATATACTTAATTTGCAGCTTTGAACACAAAACTATATGGTAGTGGTATGAAGCTTGTGCCAATTTTTTTTCTCAATGCAATCATATATAATCAGCACGGTCGTTTAGTTTATATACGAACTCTGTATTACAGCCACACTCTCAAAAAACCGAGGCAGCATTGAAAGACAATCAAAGCTCTGGAAAGAAAAGAACATAATATTGTGATGCACTGCTCAGTTGTGTTCACCATCCGCGATGTGCATGGAGCTGCAGCCAGGTAGGTGGATTTTTCTGTTTGATCAAGTGCGGTAATATTGTGTGGAGGAGGTGGGCGACCTACAATATCCCGCCATTAGTGTATTAGATGAGTAACATTATGGCTGCCATTTTTTGAAATCAACATTTCCTTTTGTGCTGTAGGTTCAACGCACACTATGTTGGTGGAGAGAAGTGTGGTTTGGAGGTGCCTGCCCCGCAGCTACATGGTGAATATTATTCCATCACTTTCTCTTTCTGCGGCCCTTTATGGAGGGGGATGGATTATATGGCTTGTCTGTGTGCTTTCTGTCCGGTTACCAACTTATTTGCTGATCAGCAAGTTATCATCTACTGTAAATTTTAGTAATATTTAAATTAGCAGACTCACAGATTTATTAAACTCAGTTATAATGCAATAAAATTTTAAAATACTAAGGCGAAGTTAACTTTGCACTAATTTGCTATTATGTAAATATAAATTATTACTTCAATCAAATTTGTACATCTGCGTAAAACATCTCATTCCCAAAAAAGTTTCCTTCTTCTAACCCGACTTGAGAGTTATAGCAAGATCCGCTCCGCCTGAAGATGCCCACACAACTGTACGAAAGTTCGACCAACTAAGTAGCCTGTCTCCTACAGAATTGTGGGCTTCACCCGAGAGCAATCTGGGCCTATCGAGCCTAGCGCACAGCTTGCTGGGACTACCAGGCTTAGGCCGAGAGAATTTTGCGCCAAAAGGATGGACCTGTAAAACCTGGGTACAATATTTGGGCCTATTCCAACATTCTACTGAAACTGTTTGGACATAGCCGACAGCCGGCAAGAAGCCGACAGGACTGTGGACCCGGTCTGACATTTTGGTGGACATGGCAGGTAGAGTTCTGGACTGTCGGCACTAAGCCGACAACATTACGTGAGGAGTCCACGTGTCAGCACTATCCGTTTTGACTGTCGGATATATGCAGACATTTTTCTGATTTGGGCGGTCAACATCTGGGCCTTGACGGCAATAAAAAGACAATATTATGGGCCAGTGCCGAAATTTGTTTGGGCCTGCGCTGCAATTTATGGCCCAATCTACCTGAGCCGCCATTTGACTGAGACTGTCAGCAATAAACCGACATAACTATAAACCTGTCGGCGCTACGCAGACAGATTACATTTTATGCGCTGACATTTCTGTATGTCGGCAATTCCCCGACAACAGCATGGGCTTGCGTCAATCAATTTTGGACTCTATGACCTGCGCCGTCAATTTTTTGGGCCTGTAGATATTTTACTGACAAAAACATGGGCCTGCATTGCTATTTGTTTAGGCCTGCGCTGCAATTTACTAGCCCAATGTACTGCGCCGCCATTTTGACTGTGACTGTCGGCAGTAAACCGACATAATTAAAGGCCTGTCGGCGCTAAGCGAACATATTACATTTTGTACGCTGACCTTTTTGTGTCTGTCGCCAACCTCCCCGACAGCGGCTTCAGCTTGCGTCAATCATTTTTGTCTGCGCTGCCATTTTTCTGGGCCTGCCGGCATTTAACCGACAGAAATATGGGCCAGAATTTATTGGGCTGTTAATGCTGCACTTCCATTCCACTGGGCCGGCTATATGGAGATTATAATACATTCTCTGGCCCTGTCAGGCTTGCGCGTTGGGCTGTGCCGCCATTCTATTGGGCCTGTCGGATTTTTTTGAGACAGCAACAATATGGTCTATACCGACAGCATTCTGGATCTGCGGCGCGTACACTCTGCCGGGCCGTTTAGCTTGTGGGCATTAAACCTACACATTGTTGGGCCTTCGAGGGATAGGCAGACAATCGACAGCCTTACGGGCCTATCGAACGCATGTAAACAGAGGGCCCACACCACCTTTATTTTCTTCCGAGATTCAGCTGAAACAGCAATCCAGGGCTAGGCCGGCCGTTGACAACCGCCCAGATCATTTGTCCCCAGATAGTTCCGCCGGACTAAAGCAGCCTATTACAAGATATCCCAAACAAGGGTTTCTAGCGAAGCCCACTAGCTGAAGATACTACTGACCCTTGAATTGGCCTGGCCAGCAGAGTATTTACATACGTATCTTGTCAGCCTAGACCGACATTGGTGTATCGTAAACACTTCTATAATGTTCCAAATACACGAACGGACATGCGCCGCCTCACAAACCATGTCACCTACTAAAATCGGTACAAATGACTAAGCACATAAGCTGTATATATATCCTCCATCCATAGCCATTCAAACACAAACATTCAAATTGCTCAACAGATCTTCAATGCCTCAATGCCTCACCGTGCAGCTACTTAATCATAGATGCAACGTGGGCATGTATTCAACAGATGTACATGCGCAATCAATCATGAAACAGAATTTGCATAGAGGGAAATGGTATGTTGAAGGCTCCTAAAGCTTACCGGCTTGGCAGCTAGGCTGCTTCCGCTAGACCTGTGATGTGAAGAGCTTGTTCGATCATTATGATATAGTTCCATTCTTTGCAGAAATGGTGCAGGACCAGCCAATACAACCTCTGACTGGAAATTTCCAGCATTTGTTGATCTCTCAGCAGCAGCAGGTAATTGCCCAGCGGCCTCTGTTAGGTCTGTGCTGACTGCCAATTTCAGATCCTGGAAGATATTTTGAATAAAGTAAAGAGAAACCATCAAGGAACTATTGTGCTTCTAAAACAGAAAAACATCAAGTCAGAACATATCAAGATGGGTAAGAATACAATGGTTGAGAACAATAACAGATTAACTGAAAGAGCATTATATCAAACATTTCTAACATGCCTTCTTCATTCTGATTTAATCCAAGAAAGATGTTTAAATCATGATTCCCTACCAAAAATGAATATTTAAAACAAGTCGGAACAAGTTGCATCAAGATTCCAAGAAGCAACCAAATTTCAACGCTGCATCGCGTGCTTATTTTCACTAACAAGACAAAATAAAAAATTAATTTGGCAGACCAGTCCACCACATGCATTGATTGGAACATACAACCTTTATGCTGCTAATATCAGAACATATTATTTTATCTAGTACCAGAGTTTAACACCCAGTGTGTTTCACTGTGAGAAAAACACAGGGAGAGGTGGACAAACACAGAAGAAACTGTACCCATAGAATCTTGAATAGAAAGCCCTTCACTCAATCCGGGGAGATTCCTTCTAGCACTGCCTTTCTATGCTTCCTCAAAACCAGCAAGTTCATCTAAGCAAAAAGATATCAACATTAATTAGAACAGTAACATCAGAAGGTTTAACTTCAAGGAAAAATGTATCAGAATACCTTCATTGGGGTTATGCAGGGTCTGCATTGTGTCAACATGACCATCTGACTTCAGTTTCCTAGTGTGACAGAATGCCTTACATACATGATGTCAATGGTTAAGCAATCCTCTATCGTAGATTCAAGATTGCTATACTTGATAAGCAAGCAACAACAGAAGAGTTAAAAACAATACATTGTCATGAACTCCTCTTGAATTTCTATGAGTTGCTCGGCATACAGCTTAATTAGCTTCTTTGCACTCTTCAATAGTCAACTAGATTATACAACATAGTTGAGTGAGAATTAGATTCAACAGTGAGCAAAAATATAAATGAAACAAGAAAAATCAGGCAAAAAGGTTCCACATATAGATGAATTAGCTTTTTTACACTCTTCAAAATTTAACTAGATTATACAACATAGATGAAGAGAATCCGATTCAACAGTGAGTGAAAATTTAAATGAAACAAGAAAATTCAAGCAAAAGGTTCCACTTACTCCATCACTCCCTGATCTCCTTGTCCTAGAATATTGGTGCTCGGTACCATTTCCACCACCATAAGAAAAAAGAGAGCTTTGAAAAGTGAAGTATGCGACTGAGGCTGACTCCTTGTTAGGTGTGTGTGGTTATTGTCATTTCTTTGAGATATATGCCTACTCTTTTTCTCTACAACAGGGTAGATTAAGTCCATCACTACCATTAATATAAACAAACATTAGGACCAACACTGATATCAACATCCCAAAAGCCAAAAGTCAGGATCCTCATCGGATGGCTCTTGAGTAGATCTGCAATGTTTTCTTGAATTCCCTTAATTCTCCAGCCCGTTTTCGTCTTCATCTCCTCAATTATTGACCCCTTTGGTCGATTAGACAGTGATTCTTGTTCAAGAAATCTCTAAGGATGGGGATTCATAAATGAACCTTCAGCAGAGCTGAGAAGACTAGAATCGAACATGCTGGCCAAGGGGCATGTAAAATAAGGGGTCATCAAATGAATCCTTTACTCCAAGGAAATTAGACATCAAGCTCCTCCCTCCTCTTTCAAAGACACCAAAACTATCCAATGGGCCATCAGAACTGCCAAAAGCATCACCAAATCCAGAAACAAGCAATCTTTGAGACTTGGAACAGCCAATAGCATAAAAACAGGTAGCTGTATTAGCTCATAGAGACAAATAACAACACCTAACAATTTCATTAAAGACCAGAGTCACCAGAAGATAATTCTTCAGATACCACTTCACAAGCATAGGAATGCAGCAAATATAATGATTTGTATTTTACAATTTGATTATAAATGTGTCAGAATTAATACTGTAAAATTTATAGCATAGCATTCAAATGATACTCACTCATGAAAATCTGATAGTACAAATCATCTAAAAACTATCCTATTATCATGCATAACTATGTTTCAAATCTTAGGAGAGTCTTATGGCATTTATCAAAATATCAACTGTTATTACTAGTTAACTATATGATATTTATTGCTCAAAGTAAAAGCCTGCCATCTACTGTAAGTCTGTAACAAATGTTTCAATCCCACTAAAAAAATTGTCAATGGCAAGAGCGACAAATTACATAGATTTTTAAAAAATTCGGTGATGATACACAGAAACATGTCAGCTTCTTTTGCCATAATCAAGCCAATCCGATTACCATGACTAGGGTTTCTACCTTTCAAGTGATCGACTGCAAAATTAGGTTGAAATCGCCTAGTTGCTTAGAATCTTACACTGCAATTATTATCGCATATTCAAATCCATACAAATTACCGATACAACAATAAACAAGCAAAAAACAGAAGCCGTTATTTTTTTCGAATATAAAAGTTACAAAAAGCGTTTAATCCTCAATCTTATAAAACCGCCTTCTTCAGAGGAATCGCAAAACCTCACAAGAACTTGAAAACCTAACGACATCACGATCAAATTTGCGGAGATATAAATACACACAGTTTTTAAAAATCATCAACTAGCAATTAATCCAACAAAAGAAGGATTAAATCTTAACAAAATTATCATGAAAGGAGTAGTCGGCATATATCGATATTACGTCAAAAATCGAGAGGATAGCAGGTATTACCAGATTATCGTTGGGCGAGCAATAATTTAGTTTCAAAGGGGGAGGAGCATCAAAGGCAGCTATCAGGCTACCAAGGAGTAGAAATCAAATGCCGCGGTCAGGTAGAACCGTAGAAGACACATCATTGACCCGTCCCTGGAGTCGAGAGGAAGAGCAAACCCTACTGTCCTATGGGAGAACTATTGAATGCTCTGCTGGGCTGAAGCTATTAGGCGATTAATGGGCTCAGTAATATACAGCAAATCTTAGCCCACATTGTGGCGCCTCTTTTCTTTGAATTAAATAACAATTACATATACATATATAACACAAATGAGATTCCATATGAAGTATTATTATTGTTATATACTCCAACCAATTGGATGATGAAATTGAATATGAGATGACCTTTGAATCGGGAATAATGATTTAACCATTGTTCAAATACGAATATATATAATATGGTATCCAACAGTCAAATATGACTTTAAATCAAAAAAAAGAAGGGAATAATGAATTATTTAACCATTGTTGAAATGTGAGTATATATAATATGGTATCCAAGAGTCGGATATGACCTTTGAATCAGAGAAAAAAGAAAATAATGAATGATTTAACCATTGTTGAAATATGCTAGTATATATAACGGTCAGGAGTCAGGACCAACCACAATGGCCTTTGAATGAACAAGGTTTTTTTACTTTATCCACTATGATATTATGCATTTTTAAAAATATAGGGCACCAATTACAATTTTTTTTTTTACAAAATATTACATCAAATACTAATTATTTTACTGTTTTTTTCCAAAATTCCAATGATTTTCAAAAACTCGTATCTAAACAAAACCGTACTTCAATTCTTCAAGGATTTAAATTTTTCTTTAAAAAAAAGTAAATTAAATTAAATTCCATCCAACGGTGAACTCACTCTGCCAGCATGCCCTTCCTTGAAAATAGATCCTAGCATTTACCATTTGTTTCAGTTTCTGGAACTCTCATGAATTCTTAAAAAAACGGCCTGCTTGAATGAAACATCAAAGGGAGTCTTCATTTCATATGTACTGCATGATGTGAAACAAACAACGCGCGCGGGTGGAATACCACCATCATTTTTAAGAAGAGCTCAGGATATGCACGGGCATCATGCATTCTTTATTCAAAATTCTCATTTAGCTTGTGGAATACCTAGAAAGATCGTCATCTGACTCATGTGCTCGGAAGGAAGAACCAGCAGCTGAGCATCCTCCTCACCGTGCGCAGTTACAATCTCATTTGTGGGCTGTGGCAGATGGCAAACCTGAAAAATTTCTCACTGCTGTGCTGGTAAGAAGAGTAAGCTTTATTGAAACTAGCCAGTTCTAAAAGTGTCACATGCCCTCGTGCTGAGAGATGGAGTTGAAAACAAAAATGCAGGTCAATAATAATGGGTCCCGAATGACTTGCTAAAACAATCCTATCACCTTGATACTGGATGGACTAAGTTACAATGAAATGCACCAAGGGAATCAAATACTTCCCCCCAATTCACATTCCCTGACCAAAACAGCAACATTAATCAAAATATAGTGAAAAGATCTAATCAGCATCAACATTCGTCATTTAAACTTCATGTCCTCTCTGTGGTATTAGTAGCTCCTCATAATCATCAACAGTGACCTATCAGAATATAGCAACTATATCAGCCAGCCAGCTTCAGTGTGGAAGAATAACTGTCGAATAGAAAGGGCAAGGGCATACCTCATATATGTTGCTGCCATATGTATATTCCACATACAGTTGCTTGGGTTCACCCGGACAAGGATCGCAGAAGCCCATAATTCCAGATTTCTTCACACCTTGATGCAGCTGCACAAGAGGTTGAGATTTTTGTCACATTTTCTTTAGTGTCAGATGAAACTTTATGCATATTAGTAACATTTCAAAGATTGTGGAGGAAAGGGAGCCCATAAATGATCTCAGCTAGAATTAATGGTAACAAGGTAAATGCTCCATCCTGACAAACTTTTGCTTGAGCTTAATATGTTTACCTTATTTAATTCAACTATAGGCCCTTCAGCTGTTGAAGGAATATCCATGAAAAGGCAGATGTAAAGAAACTAAGGCGTTTAAAACATTGTTAACTACACGCAGCAAAATTGTAACTCCATTTTAAACAAAACCTAGGTGAATCATTTTTGCATTCATGACGAGTTAAACAGTCATAGCGCACAACTTGTAAGCAATTACTTTTCTTATGTCATCTGTATATGCATTCCATATCATGCTCACCATGTTGTAGTTCACTTCAAACAATGATTCATCCAGCTTAAGATGTGCTGGCTAGAAATCAACTCTTACCCAAATTGCTTCAGTACCTTCAACAATGTTTTCTTCCTAGTTCACCATCACACTACAATCTAAGATTTATTGTCCCCAGAGAATAGAGGCAAGATAAAATGCATCCTGTTATCATCCTCCATGTAAGATATTTAGTTATTCATTTTCCATACTAGTTCCCAAACTAGTATGCCTGTCCATCCACCAGTACATCTTTGAGATCCATAGATCATCATCCAAAATTTCCATAGAGGGTATATTGAAGTGGGAGCAAATCTCGGAGATGAAACAAACCTTGAGCTGTCCAGAATCATCAACAAGAAAATTTAGGGGTGTTGTGACATCCAAGACCTGTGAAACCCATTCATGTTCCATCTCCTCAGAGTTATGACTACTTGATACAGCTTTCAGGCTTCCATAAAGTGCCTTTGTAACAACTAGTCCACCCTTTTCTTCTTGTCTATTTCTTTTCCTGCTGGCCACATTTTGTAATAGCTGCTGAGCTTTCTCAGCTGCAGCCCTAGCTTCTTGAACCTGCCGATATAAGATGAGGGAAAGATGACATGCATGGGTGTTAGGAGGATGGGAGAGAGGATCACGAAGATACAAGTAATTCTCCTGAAGTAGGAACTGCATAATAAACAACCAAAGGGCAAATGCCAAGTCAAAGAGCACCACAATACAGTACCTGGCTTTGAGTCTTCTCCATATTCTCCAAAGCCTTTTGTTTCTCATGTTTAAGAAAATACGGCTTCAAAACAAATTTCTGAATTGAAGTTAACGGAATCAATAGTTAACACAACAAACTAAATGGAACCAAGAAGCAAATTAGGAAAAATCAATAACTCATTGGAAAGAAACAGCAAGCAGCCACTTAAATAAGATTTTCACGTATCAGAATCTTGAGTTAAAAAGAGTAGAAAAGAAAGATAGTTTATAGCATCTTCAAAGTAAGATTGATGTTCAGATATTCCAACCTACCAAGACAACAATCTATTTGATTGATGCTATCCTATTCAACAAATTACATGTTCATACTTCAAAAATACCAGGACTAAATATTTAACTAGCCAAAAGATTAGAAAAACACCAAATCATAGATAGCTCTCATTTATACCTCCTGTTTCTCTTAATGAATATCTTATATAACAAAAAGGGTCATTTTCCCAAAATTGCAGACATTAATATGTTGGTAAAGAGTACTGCCATGTCTTCGTAGTGTATATGCAGCACAAAACCATACTGGCCATAATTAATCCCTCAACATATATATATGGGAATATCAGAAAAAACCATTATCTAATTCAGAAGGTTCTAGTACGAGTTTCTAAGAAAATTCATGCTACTAATATATAATCCAGACTGAAAACAGACCTTGAGGGTAAAATAAAGAGAAACTGGAATAAGAAATGCTCCTGTAGCAAAAATGGGATTCAAATAATGTGACAGCAATATCTGCAAAAAGTGGAATGTTGTCAAAGGCCAATAGATCTGGAATAATGTGATGAAGACTAAAATAAACACTTTTTCATATACTTCAAGCACTATAAGGATAGACCTTCCCATAATTAACAAGCCTAGTTCAAACACCTATAAATCCTTGATTAGTAAGGATGTGTACGTATAACTCTGCAAAATGTAATGGTATCCCAGACTTCCACTGAATAAGGCTCTCTATCAGTTTCCCATATATCTTTTTGTTTCTTTGTATAATGCCACCTTGTATACCAGTAAGTTATGATATCAGAAGCTTTCTTGAACCATTTACTAGAAGTTGCAATAAGTATTCCACACTTGGAACTAAAAAACAGTATTCCAACTTCATCATTTAAATTTCCAAACTATTCATATGTGGGAATATTTTAAAAAGCAGGCAGAGTTCAAAGCAAACAATTATGCGCTAGCTAACACAAAAAGAATCATTACCCCAATACAATGCATATGTTATAACATCTTAGTGATATTAAAAAAAAAACAGGAAAATTTTGCAAATAAGAATCATACACAACTGCAAGTTTCACTATGATAGCACTTACAGGAACAATTAATTTTTGCCCTCCACGATGCAGTTCCAATTTCCAGATAATTCCCTATCATTAAAAGATTAAAATGAAATTGCTGAGATATAGCATAGCATACATCAGTGAATACGGAAAGATGTAAAAGATAATATTACTTCATTCCTAAAGAAATCTAATGTCTTGCCAATGAAAATGAAGACGTGCAACCATCTGGATTCCCAGTTACTAGTGCTAATAAAAGTAACTTATAATAAGTCTTCCTTTTAACCTAATTCAGTGTATCAAAGGAATATCATTTATTCCCTAGATATATTTTTTTCGGCTCTCTTTGCGCGAGATCTACGTGCCAAAAGCATGTGTTTTCAGCAAATCACTACAAGCAATTTAACATAAAAGGAAGCACTTTCCCCTTACAATTACCGAAAGCCCGAAATCCATTGCCCTTAATCTTTGGTTCCCAAACTTCATTCTAGTACGGTATCTTGGGCTTCACGCTGCATCCTCCCATTTCTAAAACAACTTCATTTGCATTCTTTGACTAATTAAAGCAATGCATGGTCTACTGGACAAGACAGCATTTAGAACTATGATACATTTTCTAGAAACGTTTAATCATGTTTCCAAGTGTAATACCCCGTAAAAATACTCGCCGGAAATTTTTCGGAACTTGCCGGACTTCGACGCCGGAGTCAGAAAATATTATTTTAGGCCTAATTTATTTTGAGCTTTTGGTGTAAGAAATTAAGGAATTGGCTGTAAATTAGGAATAAAATTGAGTTTATGGTAAAATAAATAATAAATTAGATTTAGTTTATCAGTATCTCTATCCATAATTTGTTAAGATATATCATATCTAAGTGTAGATCTGATAAGATATAACGTATTCATAGTTTGTTAAGATATAGCATATCCAGGTTAGAGTGTCTATGTATACAGAGAGGATGAGTCCAAGTCTTTTATGTTTAATAAAATAAAATAAAAAGAACAGAGGCAGCACAGCAGAACGCACGCTGCCAGCCAACCCCTTCTTTCTTAGACTTCTTTTTCTCCAAAACTCTTCGTTTTGGTCTTTTCTCTTAAGGTAAGTGGGAGATATGTTCTAATCTCTAGACCCTTCTATTGATATCTTTTTCAATATTTTTGTCAAATGGGTTTGCCCTACAAGTATTAGGTTTTGCCAATTTCTTCTAGAAAGTTGATTATAATGCTTATGTGAAGATTATTATTGGATTTTAAATTGAAAATCGTAGAATTTATGAGATGGGTTTGAAACCCTAGCTTTATCCTAACCTAATTATAGTTTTTGGAAAAAGATTTACGATTATATTTAAATATTATGATTTTTGGAATTAGACATGCTTATTGTGGTTGACATATTTTTCGAATATTGTGATTATAGCGAACTTGTTGGGTCTAATATCCTACTTTTGCATGGTTAAATGTTGACAATTGAAATATTTTGAGTTTAAACCGCTCTTTTTGAAATTTGCCTAAGAGCATGTTGAGTATTTGGTCAAATTGGTAATTGAAACTACCCTTCGAGTCCGATCGACTCGTCGATTGTTTGGATGATAAGGCATAGCCTTCCACCTCTGTGCCTTGCAAACACGTGAGGGTATACCGGTATTTTAGGATAACTAGTTAACCTTGAACTAGATCCCGAATGGGCTAGGTCGAGAGATCGAGATGGCGGGTTCCCTTTTTGGATGATTCCGAGGTGGCCGTCATTCACGATGAAAAGGTCTTTAGACCGTCATCCGTGATGGAGGGTTCGATTGCGTACAATCCCCTCTTGGTATGTTATATTGGAGACTCGCAAACTAATAATAAATTGATTACGTGTATTTTGGGTTTCAAACCCTTATGCACACATTGTAGAGTTTCCTTTGAGGGTTGACCCTATGTTTGTTATGTGAAACTATGTGACGTGTCATACGAAGTAATAAGGTTGGAAAACCGGGTCGAGCCGGCCCTGATTAAGGCCTAGTGGAGTTCTCTTTGTGATGTGCTCATCACTATTATTTGAGAATGAAAAGAAGATATAAGGGAGGCGCTAAAAAACTCGTGTGTATGAGTTATCTTTTATGTGATATGTGTCATCTTATTCAAATTATGTTCTTCAAATGATTTTGTGGCGTTATACCGTATTAATTTATCTCCGATTAATTACGCTTACTCAACTGTTGTGTTGACTCTCTTTTTACAACTTTTTGTAGGTGATCATGTTTTAGTTATACCTAAATGATGCATCCACGTCATATGATCCATCGGGGGAACTATAACTACTTTTATCTTCTAAAATATTATTGAAGTCCATTATTAATGTTTAATAACTAATGTCTTTTGAACTATTTCCAACTTATGTTTTTTACTTGAACATTATTTATTTAAATGATAAACCGGTGCGCTTTAATTCTAAATCTCTAAATAGTTATTTTGTAATAGTTATTTTAGTCTTAGCGCCACAACGTAGGGCTAGTTGGTTGATGAACGAGTCTTACGGTGTGGCGTGGCGGTGACGCTCCAATTTGAGCCGACCAGGGTGTTACACCAAGTGTTTTGATAGTTGGGCAATTCTATATATGAGATTGATCAAATGAGCATGCTGTAATCAATTTCTAGTGATGATGTATTAATGTTCACCCAGAGATAGATCCCTTTTAAGCATGCTGCTATTAAGACTAGAAAATTCTACAAAGATTATCTAGCAATTAACGCAAAAATTGATTAACAAAAATTATCTAAGGGACATGAGTTTGGGTACCTGAATTCCAATGGAGTATAACATTCTAACAGTGCTGAATTTGGATATCTTTCTTCCACCTCCAATTTCAAGGGCTAGAGCATGACTGCAAGTAAATAGAGCATAACAATAACATGATTTAGATTTCACACTAAACAGCTAGCACCTTCCATCTTTTCTGTATTGGGATATCCATTAGTTCAAAGACATCCAACTCAACACAAAGATATCAAATTAGATTTTAAAAGTACATCTAAATAAGCCAACAGCACAATATGGATAATTTAATCTCAGATTGTGCTATTCTATATATTTTTAATTCATGGTGTGCATCTTCACAAAATTGATTCTGAAATTTTTTGTTGAAAAGTGGCACTGTAATATATACTAATATTCAATTATGAGTAGAGCCTATAATGATCCCAATCTAATACCCTATCAAGTCATTTAACACAAACCATAGGTGTAGCCTTTGGTCGCCTGTGTTTTCAATACCTTTTCACACTATGCAATCAAAACTATAAAATAATAATAACGATGATGATGATGATTCCCAACCAACAGAATCATTTTTATCACCTAAATTCTATACAAAACATCACATCTAACTACTATTTTACACTCCAAAAAATCAAATCCAAAATTAAAAAAAAAAAAAAAAAAATTCAAATCCAAACCAACTCAACACCAAAAATGTTCCAAAACACAAGAAAACACACCTGAAAATTCTCAAATGTGCTTTTACTAATATCACTATTTAACACATAAAGTCTGAATAAGCCCCTTATTTCAGCTCAGACATGTTGAATTATAGCTTGTAGTTGTATTTCTCGCATAGCAGTATATACTCCACATTCTCTAGTATGCAATACCAACTAGAAGAAAAAAAGAAGAGCACACACCTTCCCACTGTGCCAGCAATGCGCCCATGTGATTTTGAGGAAAGTTTGTGTGTGTAACGAGCTGTTGCTCCAAATGAACTTGTGCCAATCTTCAATAAAGGCAAGGAATAAAAATTATAAAAGAAAAAACAATTCATTTTCCAACATCAGATGATGTTTAGAGAATTAAAGATTGGCAAAGATATTAAGACAAGCAGAAAAATGATATATTCGACTTGGAAGCACAAAGCTTAGATAGATTAGGAAAAAAAAAATTGGAAGATAAATTATGGCTATCCACAAATATTTTGACAAAGCATCTAACAAGAATGAATCAAAGCACTGAACCCTAGCATCTGACCAATTATATAGATAGCTTACATAGCAGAATACTTCATTTCTGTGTGTGTGTGTGTAGATATACACGAGAACCAAAGGAGTTGTTTAAAAAAGACACTTTCATAGTCATTTTGGTAAATGATTAGTTTATGGTCAAACCCAAACGAGAAGCCAAAAGATTTTATCAATCTGATAGAACAAAGATTTTTATTGATGAACAGTATATCCTTTAGGAGGAAAGATTACAAAGGAAAGGAAAGGATATTGAGAACAGGCTCAATTCTTACAAAGAAATGGGCATTTTGTGTTTACTTGTCTTTTTCTTTCTCTTTTCTACCTTCTCCTATGTCGGTGGCCCAAATGAAACTCAAAAGACTTCTAGCTCATAGTTCAAGCTGATGATCGTAAGCTATGTCCTCCATCATAACACTGAGCAAGTGCGCCCTTAACAAAGACTAAGCAGCTTATTATCTAGCCACTAGTGGGAAGCCCATTACTAAAAGGAAAATTGCATAATTGAAGGACATAAAATATTGTATAATTAAAAGACATATAAATACAAATTGATTTCCTAAATTCCCTTAATCTGTTAATTACCCCATTAATTCCTTTTCTTACGGCCTTGATAGAATTTCAACGGTTACCTAACACAATCACTAAAAAGCATGAGATAAACACTAAACCAATCTACAATCACGAGAATTAGAACTAACATGTCCACTAGATACATGAAAAATAAAATGCAGTAAATTATCAACCAAAAACAGCTCAAGTATAAAGAAGTGTCACCTTAATTGCTCCTGAGGCAGCCATGTTTTCTGCTTTCCTTCGCCATCCAATATCTATAGATGACTCTGGACCTAAAGAAAGTTCTATCTGTAAAAAGAATATATATATATACGTATGTACAAATATCAGCAGCATATTAGATATATTATCAGGATATAATAATTCCTACATGTTTTGATAGTTCAAGTGACATAATCATCAAACATATGCAAAACACTATGATGGCTCAGTCTATTTAACTTGATGGTATGAGTATGATTAACTACAGGTTGTTAAGATTTCAGGTATATATGTTGAAAGTAACAAATAGCCGGACAAAGTAGCTTACAGTTCCATTTGCTGTCTCTGAGAGTTGACGGGTCCATGTGTTTGATAGATTAATGGAGCCATCTTTCAAAGATAAAGCAAGGCCCATACGTGCAGTGGAATGGACAGACAATTGACTGAAAGCAAAACACAGGCACAAGTAAATCAAGACACATATCTATAACAAGGAAATATAGCTCAAAGGTGAGAGTCATCATCTACCGAGAAGTTTGCACTCCTAATAAAGACTGCAAACCAATGGATCCCATGAGTTCTAAAGAAGAAACTGGAGATATTTGATGCCTAAGGACAGCAACAGCAGCACCACCACCAGCAGTTTCATTGACAGCCAAATTTCCACCAATTGAAAGAGAATTTCTTTTTGATATTTGAGATTCAACTTCACTGGCCATAGCCATCCTGACATATAAGGTGAAGTTTAGCAAACAAACTTAGAGGAAGGACTTGTTGGGGCATCCTAGTCCACTCAACACAAACCCAAGGTTGCTCTTACGTATTATATAGACAATTCAGAGTAATCAATTTTTTCTGAGTATTCCACAAGAAATTTATCAGCTATGTAAACCAAGAATAGATAACAGGTCTTGGATCCATAAAACTATGAGACAAAAAAAGTTAAGACTGCCAAGCAAAACAGACACAGTGCACTTAATAAGAGAATCAACAATTGGACATGCCCAATTGACAGTGCAGTTCGTCCAGTTGAAACGAAGGCATGCAAGAAAATTTATCCTGCCATCATCCAGCTCATTACATAAGAAGACCAGAGTGACCACCACAAAAGATCATGTTCATTGAATTGAGAGGCTGAAAGGGCTAGGGAAAGGACTGTTGTACCCTTGCATAATGCCATCACCATCTAAAAAATCTGGCCATGATAAAGTTGCCAAGATGGAACCAGAAGGTTGAATATGTGCAGTGACATTGTCCTGTTCTCTTTGGCGCCGCAATCTCTCAAGTTCTTCTTTGATTTTCTCAACTTGATTCAATTTTGGGCCAAGCTCAAGACCAGATTTCAATCCTTCCATCCCATAAATGTCGTAAATTAACCTTTTGTTCTCATCAGTCAATATTTCATATGCTTCGCATATTCGTTGAAAATTCTCCGTAGCAATTTCTTTCATCTGAAAGGAAATTAAGCAAAATATAACATGTTAAGATAATCCACACAATTTAGCCCAGTTCTAAATCCATTTCCAACCAACAAGAGAAAAGTGGCATCTAAAATATGAAAATATAAACTTAACAATAATAGCACTGGCAAAAATCACAATTGTAAATATGCAAATGGACCAAGACAGAATGGATTTGGCAACTTATAGTGCTTGGTAGAGATGCATTTGAATTCACAATTCAAATAACCACCAAATAATAATAATAATAATATGTAAATACTTGTTTGATGAGTCCAGATATACATGAATAGTTATAACCTTAATTTTGCTATCATTTTTTTCTATAATGAAAATTCCACTAGCTTTATAGCCTCTGGTAAACAGTTTTTCCAGCTGATTGAACATGATGCAGTGCAAGAACCCATTGATTTTTTCAAGAGCAAAGTCAAATCACAACAGTGATCTCAGGATTGTGAATCATAAGTCACAGGGCACGAAGCCAATTAAGAGCACATGACAATCTGATGAGAATGTCCTACTGAGGATCACAATCCTCTTAACTTTAATGTTTATGATTTCACCTTTGTTCATCAAAAGTAAGCATTTTGCTCATGTTCCATTTTCTTGCCAACTTTTTCTTCACACGGAAAATATTTGTTATTCCTACCACCTAATTTACTATGCTTCACTCTGGAATTTTCTGTAAAGGAAAATTAGATTTTAAGGATACAGTGATAGATTGAGAAACATTGCTAGTACAAACAACTAGATACCATTGCACTCTGGACTTCTGTCTCATAATCAATATAATTTCTTCCTCGCTCAATAGAGTATATAGTTCCTCTGAGACACTTGCTTTCTGCATTTAATTTCATTATTCACAATTGAAAATCTGTGTTTGCAGTCAGAGAAGGTTTTATTGAGAGTAGGGATATCTTCACCTTTTCATCTCTTTAGCACTAAGGACCTTTAGCTGCTTCTTTATATTTTCCATATTTTAATAAAGAATCTTGGAATGATTACCGGTAACTATGTGTTTGTTTGGGGGATTAGATTGGATTTACACTATTCATCCAATTTTTCCCCCAAAAAACATCAAATCAAACGCCTATTTTTCATTTTTTATATTATACTAAAAATCAATTTTACATTCAAAACATCACATCAACACCTATTTATATCACATCATACAACTATTCAAATTCAAAATTTTTACTATTCAAATCCCAACTCAAAATCCAAACCCCCAAACAAACGCACCCTAAGTGTCTCTTCCCAAACTTCCTTAATCAAAGGCAAGAAACTTTAATGTTTGCTCAGGGAGGATGCAGTATATGAAAGGATTAAGTCCTGAGTTAAGTCCTGAGTTGTGGTAATCTTCATAATTGAAGAGTAATGATTTGCAAGGAATGACTTGACAATTTCTATAGTTGACTAGCTCAGAAAGGTGCATTCTCCAATTATTTCTCATTGCTCAAAACCTTATCTAATATTTAACATTGAAATGCAAGGAATGATATATTTTATTGCACCATGTGCAAAAGGTACCAACTGCAGAATTATCTCCCAATTGTAAGTCTCTTGATGAACTTCCAAATTCCTCAATATTCTAACCTTTCCAACAGTTGTTCCAAGATAAAATATTTTCTCAGGGTTGCTCGCTGCATTGAATCACCTATCTAACACCATAAATCACCTACAACCAGGTCCCAAATCCCAAGTTTCTTAGATATTGCATTAGTTCAGCTGTCACCCATGATATCCAAAAAATGAATGTGCAACCAAAATCCTTGTCCTGAGGCTTGAGTACACAGCACTTATATTGGAAGGATTTGTTTATAACAATCACCTTTTAAACAAAGTCGTATTCTTTTATTTCTTAAAAAATCAGTGTTGATTACAAACTTCCAACCTTTCCATGTTGCTAAGAATTGAGGTGATTTTCCAGCTTTCACTCTCATCTCCAAAACAAACGTGATTCAATAAATCTTCTTTTCAGATGACTTGCAACAGGGCCATGTTTTGTGGTGTCATTCAGAGCACTGATAGCCCATGTAGGAACAAATCTCTTGTTTTATTTGTTTTATGTTTTTTTTTTAAACCTTACAGTTTTCTTTCTTCTCACAAATAGGATAGGCATTTAATGAACGTAACTACAAATTCTAAAGGCAAAACAAGAGGCTAGATAAAAGTAATACCCTTTTGCGTAACAAGCAGAAAAAAATATGGGTACCGAGTGTAAAATCCTAAAGACTCGGGAACTGAAGAGAATAGATAACGAAATGTAAAACGTTCTCCCAGGGCGCGCATTACAAAATAGTGTAAAATTTCCAACTGAGGTTCAAAGTTATATAAAGCATCCGAGAACATAGTCAGATGAATTCAACCCCGAACAATCCACAAGCAGCATCCAACACAAAAGAGGAAAAGGACCACCATAACCATACAACACAATATTTGGGTTAAAGACTCAAGGAGCAAAACGAATTCCAAAACGAATTAAGAGGGTTCGTACTCGTGGAGCCTGATATTTGTCAGGATGGTAAACTTGAGCCCACTGGCGATAAGCCCTTCTGATTTCTTCATCAGATGCTTCTGGCGATATGTGAAGCAAAGCATAGAGTTCTCTGTGAGCGGGACCACTATTCTGGTCATTCGTCATTTTAGTTGCGCGAAAAGCAGACCAGAAATAGGCAATGAATCGGAGGAAAGGGATTTAGGGTTTTAGGAAGAATTTGGCGTCGGCTCGTCTCGGGTGTGAATAGATAGATAGACGTACCCGGAGGAGAGCGGCAGCCAAGCACTTCCTGGGCGGACAGGCGTATGGAAATTTTTACAGAAATTCTGTTGACAAGCATACATAACTTCTCGTTTTTAACTTTATTTACAATCATTTCCTCTATCGTATAATTTTGCATCTCCCCGATCAAAATAGCTCTAAAAGAGTAATTACTATCTTTTAGTTCACATGAAAAAAAAAAAAGAAATACAATATAAGGTCAACAAATAGTATTTTTGTTATTAGCAACACAATTCTTTCCGAACCAGGAAAGAAAAAAAAAAAAAAAAAAAAATCTATCAGAAACATAAGCTAATATACTGTTTCTTGCTTATACATATAAATCAAATTTCAGTGTTTTAGTATCTACAATACATCCATCCATTAAGCAATATAAATAGCTGGAATAAATAATAATAAGAATAATGATGATGATGGTGGTGGATGATCTGATTGTCTGTGTTTCCAGTTGCTCAAGCAAAGGCTTCACCGCTTCTGTTCAGACTTGTTCAGTCTAGCCCCTAGCCAGCTAGCTAGTTTGTTGGACTACATTACACGAGAGATGAGCAACATGGATTTGAGCTGAAGAAAGATGCATTCATTCATTCCGATCTCATTTGATCCCCCAGGCCCCAAGCCATACTAATTTGTATTGGAATAGCGGTTGTCCAAGTCCAAGACATGCTATCATCTTCTTATCTTCACAAGCTTACCGACCAGACCAGCTTCGTGCCATTCTTGCGCACCCTTTATTTGATGGGGCTGGGGCAGCTACGCTCTCCTGCCTGCTGATCAATGCATTCATTCACTCCTGCTGCCAAAGCTGACGCCATAGCTGGGGATGTTGGTTGATTGTAATGGGGGGCTTACGACGATGGACACGGCACGCTGACTGATGGCTGCTAACTTGTAAGAAACAGACATTCATCAACTCTTTTATTAGAATCATTATGCAGGAGAAAGACCCCATGGAGGTAGAAGGTAGCAGCAGCAAGTAATCCTGTCTGAATAAAGGAAATAAGAGGCCTCCCCTCCTCCCTCTTCTCCCCCCACCCTTCTTTTTCTTCCTTTCTTCCTTCACATGTTCCCACACTGTGACCAGTCTGCTGGGGCTGGAGAGCTGAAAGAGCATTGGAAAGAGGAATTCATTAGCTCCTGAGGTCAGTCAAATAGGGCTGCCTAATCTAATCCGGTGCACAGACCAAATGCAATGCAACGCAACCAACAAAGCATATCATGAAAAAGCCCAAATGCCGTCAGGTCCCAGCATTTCCACAAAATTTCAACAGCAAGGGAATGAATCTCTGCAGCTCCCTAAGCTAAGACTCCTCCTGTAAGTAGGTCAAACTTTATCTCTGCCTTACATACATAAGAGCGAATTCAGAGTTAAACGGCCACTTAATGCAGGAACCCATATCCTATCCTTTCAAATTTCCCTAGGCTCTAGTGGTATAATTCAAGTGGCTTTCTGTATACATATATAGAGTATAGTATAGTTTTGGCCAACAAACGTAACAAATTAAAAGCCATCACCAACTAAACCAGGAGTATCTATGCGCACGGCTATCCTTATCATCGTCATCACATCAGACCATTTTGGTTTCACTCTCTACCTTAAGCAACCCCATCCAACATCAAGGTTAGCTCCCGCACGTCACCTCTTATTATTATTATTATTATTATTATTATTGTTATTGTTGTCGTCGTCGTCGTGGTGTCATTATTATCGTTTAATTAATTGTTTTAATCGTGATAACATCCACTTAGATCCTATTATATAAAGCATCCTTGTATTGTATATGACGACCGAACGTGGAAATGGTAAGACAACAAGAAGAACAAAGAAACAAATGTTATAAGTATATGATTATATTGTTGTTGCCTTGGCTTCCGGCCGATCTGATTTGAGCTAATTAATTAATCATAAGATTGAAATTTTGGGTCTCCGGCCTACTCAAATTGAACTTGCTAGGCTTGGTCTTACGGATATTGAATTGAATACGCACAAAAGACAACAATAATAATGATCGGAATGAATTGATCGGATCAGGGCAGGGCAGGGCAGGGTGATAAAATGACCTCACGCAATAGAAAGGGTGGAACTGGAAATTTGAGGTTTGAAACCTGAAAATTGCCATTGGAATTCAATAAAGAAAGCTGAAAATATTCTTTGCAAGTAAAATATAAATTTCTGAAAGAAGATGCATGAATTGTATGAAATAAAATGAACAATAAATAAGCACATATAAAAATAAGAAAAAGGATAAAAAATAGATTAGATCTTGTTCTCTCCATCCTTGTATGGGTGTCCATCAATCCAGCCACTTTCAATTCTCCTCACCAAATATCTTGTAACTTTTACTGTTTGTTTGGTTTGAGAAATTTGGAGGGGAGGGAAGAAGAAAATTTATAACTATGTCTTTTGGTTCAATTTTTTTTTAAAGGGAGAAGAAGTAAATATGGAGGAGAAGGAAATATAAAATAAACTCATTCTATTTTTTCTCAAAATTGGGGAAATTTGAAGAAAAAAAAATTATTTTATTTTTAAAATTTATAAAATACTATTATATTATTAATATTATATATTAATATTATACATAAATTATGTTATAGGTAATTTATAGTTAAAACTATATTATATGATATTTTTAAATTACATAATGCAATTAATTATAAAATAAAATTTCATACAAAAATTAAATTAATTTAATTTTAACTTAATCATTTAATTAAACCCTAAGGGCTAGTTAATAAAATAAATTTATATATATTATATTTATTTAACACTATAAACTATATTTATCTTAAATAAATAAAATTTTTGTTAGAATTATTATTATGTTATTAAATGATTCAATTTTCTTACATATCAATTTATTTTTATTTACATTATATAAATATATATATATGCCTGTTATAAAACAAATTACGTCACATTATCTATTATTCTTATCTATGTTTATTTAATAAATTAATACAGAGATAAAATTATAAAATTATTCTATTTTTCTCTCTCTCTCTCTGTTTAATCAAATACAAAATTCTTATTTTTTTTATCTTTGCATCTATTCTCTTCGATACGAACCAAGCACACAGTATTACAATTTTAATATTCTCCCACCTCCTTTCGCCTATCAGCTAATTCTCCTTATTTTTTATTTTTTTTCCTTAATTCTCCCTTTATTTCCTTATAGTTCCATGATGATGAGCCTTGCCTCGAGTTTTCTCTCGCTTGGTGTTTTCAAACATTGAGTCCTTTACATAATTAGTGATCTTGTAAGCTTTCTTTTTTATGCTATTTGTGCGAAAAGATCCATATTTCTTGTCATTTACCTCTCTTATTGGGCTTAAACGTGGATTTCTATGAGTTTGGCAGCTCCTCTCTTGGTTTTTTAAAATGACATTGGCATTGGGCCATGCAATAGCCCTTCTTGCTTTTGGGTAGAGTCAGCAAATGTTGGTTCTATTATCGGAAAATTTATTCTTGAACCTTGGAATTTGAGGTTTTTTTTTTTATCTTTCATTAGACTATTTGTTAATTAGACAAACAGAATTATATATTAGTTGATTGATATAATTCGTTTTTCTTCTATTCGTCAACTTATATTAGTAGAAGAGGAAAGCACCTTGAAATTTACATTCTATGTATGCCCAATACTCTGTCTGTATCATAAGTCATTTTGCTTCGATTCTAGTGTATTTGGGTTGACTTCCACTTTAATTTCTTTTGGGACGAGACTTTCCGATGGGCTTCAAAAACGGTTCACCACCTTTGACCTTTGAGTTGATTGTAGCAAGTATGGATACATGGGATAATTACGAAGATAACTAACTAAACCCTGTAACAGTTATTTTAATATTATCTCTCAAACGTCACTCATCTAATGTGGCCATGGCTATATATGCAATCACTAGATTAATAATAACAATGTTGAGATTTGTGACTAGACTCGTAAGTTCGAACTTGATGGATCGGTGGTTTACCAACCCATCAAACACCTCTCAAACTTGTATACAATCAATACAATGCACCATCATTCATATAATAATAATAATAATAATAATAATCAGCAGCATGAGAAGGCGTTGCACACGAAAGAATCTGAATCTTCTTCCTTATTTTTTATCACTTGATGGTGAGATTTTCTTTATTTGTTCATCAGTCCTATCTATCTACCTGACCCTCAGCTGGTTAGCAACCTAATCAATATATAAATATAATCTAACTGTGCGTTTTATTTTATTTTTTCCTTATAAACCCAATAACAAATGCATATTATCAACATTCCGCACGGTGATAGAAATTTTATCAGTTATCTAATTAGCAGTACTCGTATAACTAATATTACTATTAATATTGTTGCTTATTTTCTTAAATATAATCCCAACAATAAAACTACTGCTCATATTTAAGCTAAGCAAGGTTATTGAGACAGCTTCCCGATTCCCGAGGGAGAAGGGCTCTGACACTAACTACCCCTACCCCTACCCCTGTCAGTATGTTTCCGTTTTACAGTTACACTCGTCCTAACTCCCTCTCTGTCCGAATCGTCTTCTTCCTCCTCGTCCTGGTCCTGATGATTCTTCCCGCCACCGGTAGTTCTGATTCCACCAAACTCACGGTCGCCGTCGTCGATGTTCTTCGCCCCAACCACACCTGGACCGGTCTCATCGACGCCAGAAAGGGCACCCACGTCCACGGCATGGCCGACCTCAAGCGATACTTGCGCCGCTTTGGTTACCTCTCCGACCAGCCGCCACCGGAAAATAGCAACTTTACGGATTCTTTTGACGACGAATTCGAAAGGGCTTTGATTTCGTATCAGAAGAAGTTGGGATTGCCGGAGACAGGGGCACTCGACCATGCTACTATGAGGGCCATCGCTTCGCCGAGATGCGGGGTGCAAGATTTTGATTTTCATTTTGATCTTGCCCACGGGGGCGGGGGGAAGCTTAAGGCGACGACGCGCCGGTATGCTTACTTCTACGGGCATCCGAGGTGGGTCCGCCCTCCCCCAGTGGTGCTGACCTACGCCTTCTCGCCGGATAACATGATCGATTACGTAAGCCCGTTGGACCTAAGGGCGGCGTTCAGCCGGGCGTTTGCGCGGTGGTCGGACGTGATTCCGGTCAACTTCACGGAGGCGGAGGAGTACTCGGCGGCGGATATAAAGATAGGGTGGTACAGAGGGGACCACGGTGACGGGGAGGTGTTTGACGGGGTGCTGGGGGTGCTGGCGCACGCCTTCTCGCCGGAGAACGGGAGGTTGCACATGGACGCGGCGGAGAGGTGGGCGGTGGACTGGAAGGCTGAGAAGTCGAAGGTGGCGGTGGACTTGGAGTCGGTGGCGACGCACGAGATAGGGCACCTGTTGGGGCTGGCGCACTCGTCGGTCAAGGACGCCATTATGTACCCGAGCCTGAGTCCGAGGACCAGGAAGGTGGAGCTGCAGGTGGATGACGTGGAGGGCATCCAGGCGTTGTACGGCTCCAACCCGAACTACAGGTACGACGCCCGGGTCGAGTCTGATATATCGTCCTCGTCCGGGCGCCGCCGGGTGGGACTGGGACTGGGACTGGGACTGATCCTGGCGGCAGTGGCGGGCGGCGCTTTCTTCTCCTAGCTTGCTTGCTTGCTCCAATCGGGATCGGAATCGGATTCTTCGCCTACTGCCTAGCTAGCTCCTTTCATAATTTCATTTCTGTGGTGTGTTTTTTTCTCTCTCGGTCGGGGACCTCGGCTCCCCCACCTCCGGCCTACCTGCCTGGCGGGCTCCTACAGTACCCAACCACGCGGACAGTTGGTGCTGCTGTGAATTCTATTCTTGTTGTATAGTATTTCTTGATTGTTGGAGTTCGACGGGCGGGTGGCCGGGCGGACCCTAGTCTTAAAAGTCATACCCGTGCTCACTGTTGATTAATCGCATGTATACATACATACATACTCTTTAGACGAGGAATTGATGGACATTCATTTCGATCGGTCGACGGCTGATACTCAAGTTTCTCTTGAGTTTATCTTGACATTGAGATGGCATTTGCACACAAGTGAAGGAATATAAAAAACCGCGATCAAGAAGGTAGTGTGCGTGCTGAGAGTCAAACAATCTTCCTTGCATCCATGTATTATTTTCTCCAACGACAACAAGAATAACGGTAATACAGTATTATCAATTACATGACCATTGTCATGTACCGGTTCTTTGTTTTTTGCTATATTAATAATTATTGAACACATGATAAATTTTACAATTTGACGTTTCTTGTCCTGTTTGTATACTCATCTGAGCAGACCAGCAAGTTCTATGTGCGAGCGAGAACTCTCCATAGTTCCAGACTCAGTGGCATCTACTTCTGTATGTATGTATGTGTCTGTCGACGATTTGCAGGGCGTGGTGGGGTTCAAGTGCAGGATCCAAGTGTACAAATAGAAGTGGACCATAAAAGTAACGCAATTCTGGTATTCAAAAGCTTCTCCGGCATGGGTGCTAACATGATCACAGGTAGGGCGTCTCAAACTAGAGTATATTGAAGATGGATAAGATCAGAATTTGAGAACCTGACCTGCATAGATACGAGCTGATGAAGCATAGCAGTATCAGCTCCTTCAGAACGAGTCGCACCAGGCCCAATCTCCTTGGATATCTTTCTTCATCCAGCTGTGGAATTTCCATATCAAGTACGTGTGTAACAATTGTGTGCAGCGGTGTGGTGATCCACATTACTATGGTACCATTTTTTTTGCCGACTTCTCCATTCAATTATATGGGACAGTGAAATTTGCATTTGATGTTCGAATGTCTTTCAGAAATCATAACTTTAGCATAATACCTGGGTTTTTTTTTTCTCAAGTGACAGTTCATTCAGTAATTAAGCAGACTGAGATATTATGAGTTTACCCACTAGGTGTTTTGACCAACCACTGCACTACAGCAAACTTTGTGCCATCAACCTCTTGACTAGACAATATTGAGTTCCCACAGGATAGGAGTACACAATTAGTCAATTCCAGCATCCCAATGCTTCTCCCATGAGGATTTTATCGCCCCTGTTGACACAAAACCTGAACTCAGGTGAGCCATCTTTGGCAGCAGGAGATTTAGAATTTGGGGCTTGGAAGATTAACACCACAGTTGACCCCATGTTGAAAGCAGCAATCTGCAGAAATTTAAGGCAAAAAAGGTATCAGTAATGTCATTTAAATCACATTTCCCCACCTTTTATGCTACACACATCACTTAGCCTTAAAGATGGAACAAATAAGATCCAAACTCTTACTCTCAGTTCTAAACACCATATAATTCCAATTTCAAGTTTTAATAGGAACAAAGAACAAATGCTTGAATGTTATATTCAACGATGACAATATAACTCCATATTCAAGGTCCTAGAGATTGATTCCATAAAAGCATTTCCTATTTCAGACAAATGACCAAAAATCTTCCACAACCTCATCTCCCTTCTTATGCTGCACTCCTATGCCTTCAGGCTCATAAACTCGTTCCTCCGGAGGCTGTGAATGTAGCAACTTCTTCTGGGGACCATTTGTCCTCAAACTAGGTTCTATAAAAAGCTGTGAATGATGTCAAGACAACACACTGTGAGGGCCATTGTATATTGTGAAACGATACAATTGATTAGGTGATGTATGATATGGTGCTTGTGACTTGAATAACTTCTTTACACAGTATCTGATATGTAAACCTCTTTGTTTTTGTTTTTTTTTTTTTTAATGTTTCACAAGCAATATGTCAATATTGTATCAAATGACAAGAGTTATAACTTCTTACTGCTGAGAGATTCATAGGGCATCCTTATGACACAAGAGATCAGTCTAAGACGTTATCACATTTGAAAGACATAGTGTTGTATGAAATCGAAAGAGGTGCAAAGGGTGTAACAAGAACACTAGAGCAGTGACTAGAATTCACAGTTATGCTGACCACAGATCACAGAAATCAATCCCTTAAAGTCTATCAAGCAATAAAGTAATGCCACAACTGTCAACCCCTATTCCTCACTACAATAATATGATTTATTTTTTATTTTTTAAAAACCTTGTTACCCATATCATAGGCTCTGGCTAGCCAGAGATGTCCTGGTCCATTCTGCATTTATAGATTAAGGTTGCTCTGCAAATTTGTTATACATACATATACATAAAGGCACAGACATATGGTGATATACAAAACATAAATACATGTTGTGACTTTTGATGTTGATATGCATTAAGTTACAAAAGTATGCATGCATAATTTCATAGACTCTTGCCCATGAGCATAGGACTTTGAGACTAAAACATGAGTAATCTCCATAGTCTGTGATAGGAAAGCAGCAAACATAGAAGGTAGCCTACCTCAATGGAACCAATATTTGTTGCACCAATTGCTGCCATTGCAAGATAGCCCTCTTGCCATTGACCTTCAAGGACCACCTGATAATCTTTGTCAATTGGGGGCAATAATAGTGATTCAACATAAAAGCAACCATTGCATCTGGGTAACAGGGAACTATGTAAAGTGGAAACAATGATTGAAAAGGATCTAGAGAACTGAAGCAATGCATGTTGTGTGCCATTTTCTTGAATTTAGTTAAGCTATATAATTTTCATTCTTTTGAAAGGGATCATATTTGTATCCATTAATGATAAGAATGATGGATAATGTAAATCAAATAATTTCTTGGAGGGGGGATAGCAGTTGTCTTTCACATATAATACTTGAGCCATGGACAAAGTACAACATAAACTAGTTAATCAGAATTGCATTTACATAGTGCTATGATGGGAAGAACACTAAGAACGTGTTCCTAAGCTTTGATGGCATTTCTGAGAGCGCAACCATGAGAATATTATAAAACGTTTTGCTGCACTATATGATATGTATATAATTTATTGGCTGTCAATAAGGATTACCCTTTCATTCTCAACATACAGATTTCTAATAGTTCTTGTTGCTCGTTCATTCACAGGAAAAAGGTGGCCTACAAAAAAAGGAATAAAATTTTATTATCTCAATATGATCTAAGGAAGGTGCGTGCATGACAAATTAGAGGATATCAAACAATTAAGTAGTCGGACAATTAAATAAAAAATCAATTTCTAAGATTTGCAGGAATTCATAATAATCAACTACCACATCATAATTGCAGTACTAAACAACTAGCAAAAAGGATTTAAAAAAAAAGAAAAAAGAGAGGGTATATGGACTAGTTTTCATCAATATGAACTTATTGACCTTAAATTATAATTGGTACTTGGTGCACCCCTAATTACATGTTCAGTGTTGCAAAATGCAGAAGAATAAGCAGTGAAATACATTGAAAGAAAACCATAGATCTCCAACTGAAGCTTTCTGAAAGTATGCAGGAGATAAGAACATGAATGTGTCATTAGATAAAGGTGTCAAGGATCCTATGTATATAATGTTCCACATTCAGAAGCGTTTCCAGTATTAGGAGTTAAATTCGATAGAGATACACATGTAAACATGAAACAAAGAATCATTAGAATGAATTACACTTACCTGCAAAATGCCGACGAACAAGAATATTCCAATCAACAGGAGAGTGTATACGATGGTAATCTCCAGGCCTCAGGTAGATTACACAATAAAATAGGCCTTTCTGAGGGCTGAAATACATTTAACCATTCACTGTAAGTCCAATTACAGAATTCTCTGATTTGATAATTTTATTTTGCTTTATATCTACTGATTTCAGAAACAATGATTGATTAGGAGAACACAACAAACTCTTCATGTCTTCACAGAGATTACTCAGCAATGTCACTATTTGTAAAAACCATCACGATATCAATCATGGTGAAAGCTTTAAGTAGTTTGATATGTCTCTAATCATAACGATGCTCAACACTGCAACTATAACAATCCAATACATACTATAGCATAAGATATGAGTAAATAAATGAAAATGTTCTAATTATTAACTCAAACACAAATAGAATTAAATATTTTATAGGTAACTACCATTTTGACCAGAATCTTGCTTCAAATAATCTTTACCAGGACAATGCAGTTTCTCTAACTTTAGGAGAAGCCAAGGAGACTTTCCACCATGACTTTTGGGTCATATTTTGGACTGAGTTCTCTTCTCCACCACTTTCTGCATTAGAATCTCCTGCAGCTAGCGTTGGAAGATATGAATTTGCTCCAAGGAATGAAGCAGCAGAATAAGAACATCCTTTCACTTGCTCTATCATAGCCCCTGGACCTCCCAATTCACCATACCTCAGTACAATGCCATCAACAGGACTGACCTATAATCATAATAAGATTGCTGTGTGAAATGATCAACCTGTTTCAAGATTGAAACTGGATCATTAGTGGATCAGATATACAAGAACAGTGTTACCATTACCAGGCAGTTATGGTCAGAATTAATAGGCCTTGAGCCTTCTTTTAACCTTCGAACAAAAAATTCTCGTAGAGATCCATATTCTTCTAAAGGTAACTGGGCTTCCTCTAAGTCTGGGTCACATATATAAAAACAGTGTCGAAATTTTCCATTAGGAACATCTTTCCCTAATTCTCTAGCATTGAAGTCAAAGAGTTTCAAAAGAACATAAAACCATTATGAAAGCATACTGGAGTGGAATGCTTGAGCCCATGCTTTATATACATGCGGCCGCAGCCAAATGGGAAGCTCCTGGACAGAATTGTTTGGTGCATTAATATATACAATCAAATTATCAAATATTAGTTCCCCCAGTTCTATTGATACACTCACCACATTGGTTATGGAGCCCCAAAATCTTGACATAGCACGCAAAGGAAGCAATCTCAAGAATCTAGCCTACCATCAAAGAAATGTTCACTTACAAAAGTCACCATCTGAGAATAATTACATGCACAACTGAAAAGCTCATAAAAAGTAAACTTCACCTTTACATCTGTGTGGAACTCTATTTCAACACCTTTCGCTTTTGCCTCTCCAATCTATTTTCTCAAACAGTTGAGAAAACATATTTCAAAACAATACATATTGCCAAGATGCATATACATAGACAGTAGGATTATACTGAAAGATCTTGACAGAAGTACAAATTCCAATTTCAAGGATGAACTAAAGATTTAAGCATGTAAAATAATATTCAAAGGAAGAGGGAGTTTAAGGAAATTATAATTTTCCTGAGAATATCAGATTGTGAAAGTAACAATAATAACAAAAGTCATAATCAAACTAGAAGTAATAACTTCCTGGACGCATCAGAATGGAAGTAGTTGAAACTATTAGAAGAGAAGACTAAATTCATATAAACAGGGGACCTTAGAGAAATCAAATAAAAGTTCTCTCATTCATTCAATATAACTGTGAACCAAGCAGTTGCAGCCAGGAATATATACCTAATACCTGTGTGTATATATATAGAAAAGCAATAAGAGGGTTGTTGTCAATGTAACTAGAATGACACTGCACAGGAGAAAACCAACGCATATCAGATCCTAAGACAGCCCATGGAGTCAAGCTCCTCTTCATATCTTCTTTCAAGGAGAAGAAATAGACGCAGTGCACAGGGAAAATAGGTGGTGCATGTCAGAATCTAAGATAGCCCGTACAGTAAAGTTCCTCTCTGTTTATCATATTCAAAAAGCTTAATAATCACTAATACTCCACTCGGTACCTAAATTCCCAACAACGAGGGCTGCATATGTAATCCTTTCAAATATAAAGATTTACGCGGTTAAACACCTTTTTATCATCATAGAGACGACGAGCATGGAGAGCGCCAAGCATAAGTATGGTTGCGATGGTTGCACCAGGCACCACGGAAAAATTACCTGCACAGAAGTGAAACACGAGCTCATGTACAGTAACTTTACTTTTAGCCACTAACTCTGAACCATCCCGCGTGTATCATGAGCAATCATTACGCACAAGGGTTGCATAGGCATAACGAATTTAGACAATAGTTTAGATGACACAGACAAGGAAGAAACTCTTAACAAGCGAACTTGCAAAATCCAGCTGCCAGTTTTATCACCCTTTTTTTCCCTCAGAGTTCTGATTCCACAGATTGTTTGAGCCACACGAAATATGGGCTAAAAATAGCAAGAGTTTTACCCTGCGAAGTGCTGCCACTGCTACCTGCACAGCAGCGAAGAGCCGGTGGTGGTTGAGCACGGTTTACTTTGTGAAGGAACGTAGTTAAGTGAAGATGGCGATGATGGAGGCGACAGCTGCGGCTGGAAAGTTGAAGACTGGGACAGGCCCTCCTCCACTTCTCCATCTTTGGCGCAACTGTCCGTCAGTCTGCCAGGTCTGGGTGAAAATCTACTGCGTAGGGCTGGGCGACTGCACGAGGCACCACTGCTGTGTGTCCCGAGTATCCTTCCGATGTAATCTCGCGCTACTGATAGAAAAGACTGATTGACTGAATGACCGACTAATATCAAAACTAGTACGAAGCTTCGTGGAGCACATAATCCGTCGTTGCTACCGGAAGCTGAAAAAGAAACAAATTTCGAGGAGTCGGGAGTGCAATAAAAGAGTGAACACTCAAGAGGGAGGATTAAAGATGGATGAATGAAGCCCAATGGTCCCATAAAGAGAAATGAACAAAAGCCCAATCGTCAAAGATGAAATGATTGAATTTGAACCCATACCCAAATCAAAGTGGCCAGAGCCTACTTATCTAAGAAAAAAAATGAACACCTGATATTAGACCCTTGTATAGATAGAACAAAATTATTATTAATATTTAAAATAAAAAAATAATTATTAATATAATATTTATCGAGAAGATACTGTATAAATAATCTATTTGATTACTAACTTATTTTTATTTGGCACCAAAATGTGTTCACCAAAAAAACCAAATCATAATATCATATATATATATATATTTAACAAGATTAGTTTGTAAAAAAGGAAAGTTGAATTAAATGTCAGATAACTCTACTTTAATTCAGTCTCTATTTGAACTAAATTAGACCGTAGTCTCTAGGTATGTTATAGTTCTCCAATAGTATTTTTCCCTAAATTAATGTTGTGTATGCATCAGGTATTCGAAATAGGTTGATCAATACTTCAAATGTTGTAATAAATACTTACATTATTTCCCGTTCAACCCCCATTACAATCTTATATACTTCTAGTTAAATATCGCGTACTTTTTCGAGAATTTAAAAAAAAATAAAAATAGTTACCCACGATTTAATAGAGGTTGATGCAAGAAACCTCTCATAACTCCCTTCACTTCGATTCTAAACCAAACCTCTTTCATCTTTAGGCAAACCAACGTTCTCTAACCCCTAGCGAGCAAGTATCGACCGATCGGTGCAAAAATAGTGAAGAAAATAACTGACCTACTCCCATCACATGACAAACTCGAAGAAGTAAGTGTCTGGTCGGACTTTTTTGGTTTTTTATTTTGTTTACATTAGTATTTTATACCGTAGTTTGTTTGATTATTTAGGGTGTAAGTCTTGTTCCCGTGTTTGTATGTCTCGGTTCGATGTTGAGGAGCCCTAGGTGATTGGTGTAGTTGTATTTTTTAATTGAGTTTGAAATCATTTGTATATTTGCCCACGTAAATCGGGTTGAATGTGTTATTTCCGCACCGATTTGGGTGATTTTATTTGCTTAATCTGTGATTTTTGTTAATTTTGTAAATGTATATATTTTTAGTTATCTGAAGTTGCATATTTCAGTTTTCTTGTTTGATTGTTCAGTAATTAGTTATGTTTGTGAGTTGGCAAATGTGGTATCGTTAGGTACCCTAAGTTGTATATTTTAGGTCTAGTATGCTAAGAGTATACTTTTAGGGGACTATTGTGTATTCAAATATATTGTTATGTAGTCCTGATAGATTCTGATAAATTTTAAATAAATTTGAGATTTAGGTAATATAGATTGACGATATTTATTTACAGACCGTAGGTCGAGTTGTGCTTGAGTGCAATTAACTGTGTGATGCGTTCGGACAAGGGAACACAAAAAAAATTAGTGCATTTACAAAATAAATATAATTAATTGACTGTGGATAAACCGAATTACGTAACAAAATATTGTGTTATTTTTGCAAACGTGTTTTTTATACTTGTATAGTTGTACCTGATTGCATTACACCTATGGCCCATGGAACGCCCGAATACGTAAGATGCCGGCATTAATGTGACACTCTCGACTGCAGTTCTTTAGTCCGTATGTTCGCCGAAAGTTATGCCCACGCGAATCCGGCAATCCATCCCATTGGTGGTATTGACAGCGAATTTGATAATGTGAAAAATTACCACAATAAAATTGCGGCCAGAATACTGAATGGTCCGTCCTCTGAACCATAGATTCTTATGAGCAACACATGGTAAGTTAACATCTGTAATGAATTTGAGATTGATTTGGGTTATGTTATTTGTGTTTGGTTTGGATAATATGTTATTTTCGGATTGAATTGTTTGTTGAATTGGTTCTATTGGTTTCTAATTGATGGGATTGTATTAAGATTGATTAAGAGATTGAATCGTGGGTTGAATTTGGTGAAACTTAATCTTTGGAGTAATGCTATCAATTGTGCTATGAATGGTTGTATGATTAATTCTTCACATGGTAAGAATTGCAATAATGTACATGATGTACCTCCACAAGAGATCGATGCACCCGTCTAACTAAATCAAAATACCTTCAAAATACATATATGCTTATATACATGTTACCCATTAGTTAGGAAGTCATTGTACGAAGACAACAACGAGCCAAAAAAGTTATGCATACTTTTCTTAAATTGAAATTAAATAATTCATTATAAGACCTTGCAATAGTTGAAGTAATGCCTGGAATGAACAAAAGTGCATTTACGGATACTTGAGTACATTAGTGGTTCACCTAAGAAAAAAAAATATATACATGTACTGCAAAGATTTATGCCATCTCAATCGTTGTTATTTCTCTCAACCACCAAGGAAGTGAAGAAGTGCTAATAGAAGAAGTATTTTCACCAAGTTCCTTAATTGCCTCATCCGTCAAGGGATTGAGTAAAGTCGACCACATTCAATGATACCTGCTACTACATAACTAATACCTAAGCAGCCAACAATAATACCTTGATTGTCAATGCTCGTACCCAGAACATATTGTTCCATACTGCATTAAATATCAAAATACCCGGGGTATTTTTTATGTACCTATAATACGATCTCATATGCTCTAGTAATGAGTATCTATGCCCTGATAACTTGTTCTTGGAAACGGATCATTCTGCATTCAAAACATTCAATTGTTGTCGGTAATCGTAGATGAATTCATCATTATAATGTTGATCGTATAATGTTCTAGTGAATCCTAAAACTATATAAAAGATAAACAACACATATTTATTATTGATTGGTAAACAATATAGAAAATACTTAGTTGGGATGACGTTGAAAATATAAGAATAATACAAGTTTTAGGATGCAATTTATTATGCAACAATATACCCATAGTTCCATTATAGTCCAAACAAGTCTCATTCTTATATAATTGTGTCATTGAACGTAAGTTTAATCTCACAAAAATATTATTGACACAATCAATAATTTTAATAAAATAGTCTTGGAAAGCAATAAATACTCACATGTTAATGGTAACCAGGGATGAATTAAACAAGATAGAAATTTTTACCAATTTCTAAAGGGGATGCAAATAGTACATGTTTACAAGAATCCAATGAGGAAACACTATCATACATTATGAATTGTATTTTTATTTTAACATATTACATAGTAATCCATACTGTAGCACACACAACAATATTCGGTCCACCGAGGTTAACATAGGAAGTGCTTTTACTGAGTTCGTGAATCATTTCATCTGCATGAGATTGACTGAAATCAACTAAATTCGAGGATAACTGGTACTACACAAATAATACCTAAACAACCATTATTTATACCTTGTTGGTCGGTGTTTGTACCCAACTCACATAATTACATACTTGCACAGAATATATACATACCCTGAAACAGATCTTATGTACCTATAATAATAGTCTTATATGTTTCAATAACAAATATATATGCCCTGGTAACATGTGGTTGGGGAATTGGTCGTTTTCAGTTTGAAATATTCATTTTATGTTGGACCAGAGATGAATTCATCATGGTAGTGTTCCCACAACACTCCTAATTGTATAAAATGGTAAACAATAAATATTTACTATGGATGGCTAAACAAGTCAGAAATGTAACCTAAATTTGTTTTCACAAACAAAGTCATAAAGAAGGTTGTTAAAATATTTTTTTATTAATAAGCTACATTGTCGCTGCTACGAGATTATTAAACAGTTAATGCAACCTAAATTCGTTTTCACAAACTAACACAAGACAAAGGTAGTACTTGCTTGAAAGACGAGTTGTAATCCACTACTAGAATTTCTATTGTATTTTCCATGTAATAGGACAAATATTTTTCTTTTAAAACCTTTTGACACATAATATAGTAATCAAAACCTTAGGAACTCATTTAGAGAATTCTCTGCCACCGTAGGAATTTAACTAAATTCAAAGATACCTGCTACTTAACATATAATACATTTCAAATGTATATAATATACTCATAAACTCAATGTTAATACCCGAGTACTTTATTCACGTAACAACATACATTATCTTTATGTACTATTTTGTTTTTTCACATACCCATACACACATTTCAAATACTCTGAATACACATTCAATAAACCGTGCTTTCGGTTCATGTACCTTTGTTACCATTCAATGAACTTTTGTCCTGTACCTCTGTTACCATTTAATAAACCTTTGTCATCAACAACTAATTAATAATAGATCATAGTCGAATACCCGTACTTCCGGTTCATGTACCACGGTGCAATAAATTTACAAACAAGTTTCAATACAAAGAACCTACATTGCCATCAAATAGTTGATATACATCATTTCAAAACAAAAAATTATAATTTTAAAAGATCTATAATACCCGTTGCAACTATGTCGGTTATGTGTGAAACTCAAATTACAGGTGTATTTCAAATTGCAAGTATGTATGTCAAAGGCACAATCGCAAACATAATAGGTTGCATAAATATGCCAAGCACAGTTCTTGTCGATGCACACCACAATAATTTTCGTTGCATCACTCACAGACAAAAAAAAGTTAGGTGCTAGTTCCTGCATAACAAATAAAAAATTACCACAATAAAATATTTGAATGATATTACCACAACATAACAAAGAAAAAATTACAACAACATAATATTTTACAACCGAATTGTCTAGCTCTAACACGACAAAGAAAAAAATATATATAAATAAAGAAAATGCTAAGTTGGGTTAAATATAGATATTCATTCTGCTAGTACATTTATCATGTGAATTCTAAAAATGAATTTTAACATAAAAAAAATTGCTAAATTTATCGTGTGAATTCTAGGAATGAATTTTTGACATAAAAAAAAAAATTGGTAAAAACAATCCAATTTTAAATCAAATAAGCTAGATTGGCCTACAATATATACAAATTAAAATAAAAGTACAATGTTTTAATTAATCGCAATTGTGCCAGATTACGATTTGAAATATGAAAAGATATGTATAGTGGGGGGGAGGGGGGGGTTGCCGCTTGGCAGGGCAAAGCCAAGAAATCAGAAAAGCACGAAACACAAGAGAAGAAGTGGGCCGTGGCTCTTCTTTTGATGAAGAATCCAAACAAAGTTGTCTTTTTATTTTTTTCTTTTATCGGAACCAAACAAAGTTCTCTTCTTTCTATGCGTAGCTTGTTTCTCCCATCCTCACCCTCACCATGCATCTCTACATTTCCCTTCTTAATTAATCTTTTTCTACAATCTATGCATGATTAATTGTTTGCTATTTTGTCAGATTCGGCAATATTCTTGCTACATTGATTTCATTTATTTGTGTGGGCACTACAAACGCGAGATAGAGAGGGGTTAACGTTTAACTTAGATTAAATGCATCATCATAGACAACATCAGCACCATTATCAGCATCCATTTCAAACAGACCTAGATAGATAGATAAATAGATAGTTAATGATGGCAAGCAGGAGCAAGAGCGATCTATGTCTATGATATCACGGACGGGGGCATTGCCAAAACGCCAACTTCATCAATTACGACGACTAGCTAGCTTAGCTAGTGACAGAAAATGACTTTGAGCTCGCGCGGGGAAGAGCACTCGTGCATGAGCGAGGGGCTGTCGTGGGCGTACGTGAAGGTGGCGGGGCACGCCTGCTTGAAGTAGTCCGAGTAGCTGGACGGCTTGCAGGTCTGGGGGCTGTTGTAGTGGTTCCGGCAGCAGAGCTGGTCCGTCCCCAAGGCCGCGCACCCGCTCTTGCACCCCACCACTCCCCCGTGCGGCGGGCCCCGCACCTGCAGCGCCTGCGGGCACGTCGCCAGCAGATCCTTCCGGCACCCCACCACGGGGCACACCCCCTTCCCCTCGTGGGGAGTCACCGTCATCGGGAGGTTGAAACCGTCCACCAGGCTGACGCCATACGACGAGAAGTCGGCGTGGCCGTGGTGGAGGGAGAACTGGGCCAGAGTGGCGGGTGCGGCGCCGCCCAGCCCGTTGCACTCGAGGCGTCCGCCGCAGTCGCCGGTGGCGCAGGAGAAGCGGCCCCCGGCGGCGTGGGAGCAGGCGGTGCGGGCCCAGATGCGGCCAGACCAGTGGGCAGAGGGGGCCGGGAAGGAGCGGTGGGAGAGGTTGGCGAGGCGGAAGCCGCCGCGCTCGAGGACGGGGTGGCCGGCGTTGGGCTGGATGGCTGGCCATATGGGGAAACGACAGTTGTTGACGACGGTGAGGGTGAGGCCCGGCGGGGAGGGGCGCACAGAAGTGGGGAAGGCGGAAAGGGTGGTGAGGAGGAGAAGGAAGGCGACGGTGGGAGAGGGAGGTGACGGAGTCGCCATGGGGGGCTGCGCTTGTGACTGTGGCTTTGACTGTGTATTGGGCGAATGAAGACGACAAGAGTTGTGGACGGTTGTGTCGTGTGTCTATGTTACTACTACTATATAGCAGCAGCCAGCAGCAGGGTGAGAGTAGCCAGCGTGGCTAGCGTCCTTTGAGTCTGCTGGGTTGGGTGCGTGATGGAAGAAGGGAAGGCTTTCCGTGATCTGTCTTCTTGTTGGCATCCTCATAATTAATATCATCATCTTCGCCATGGACGCATAATTATACTGTTTATCCTTCCACGCCAGCTAGCTAGTGATATTCGTGCAATTTCCACGTGCTCCTGCAACCATTAGCAATTTTCACAGATAGATCTGAGCGACTGCCGTCCGTCGTCCGCGTGGGCTTCGATCCCATCATTTTTTAAAACCGTACCCTTTACCCATTCTTACATTCACCGTCAAGTTTGTTCATACCCAGACCAGAACAACACCCTGCATGTTGCTATTACAGTTAAACTCCCATCCTATTCTATTCTCTGCATATTCGTGGGGATAGGTAAATAAAATTACTAGCCTGTTTATAATTAAATCACTACGGTGTTACTATACTACAGCTATCAATAACTTGAAGAGAAACTATTAAAAATGCACATGACCGCTTTTAAATTATAGTAGCACATAACCTACCAGCTATGAAGATGTCAGTCACTTCTTATATTGGTCTGAAATAATATAAGGAAATAGAGCCTCATGTTTACAGATGCACGCCACAGCACAAATAGTGTAAAGCACAGGAAATAATACAAGTCCATAAGCACACAATTTTTCATGTATATCGGACCACAAGCCCACTCGTTCCGGTGTAGTAGTATACATCTGATCCGAGTTAGGCTCAGGCTCACTTTATTGATTGATAGCGTGGTGCGTTTACATAGGGCTGCACACCCGCACCCGCTCGCAGCCGCAGGTCTACAATCTTGCATTATGCAACTGTTGCTTGAGCAAGGGCCGCACATATTCATGGTAACCATCGGGTACATCTGATTCATTTAAAGGATCCTTCCATGCTGCCTCATAAAGCTTTGGGTAGACATTTCCATCATAACGCCCCAGGATGGAGCCCAGGTAGTGGTCTGTGTAACTGAAAGCATCCACAAGGGCAACTGCATTAGGGCGTACCTGAACCAAAACCTAGAGTTAGCAAGCAGTAACTCATCCCAGATACAACCATTCTTTTAAAGGTTAAATTAGAAACACAAACCTTGGTAAGCAGCGATCGGAGCTGATCGTTAGCAAGTGAAGCCTGCTTCGGTGTGAGGTAGCTGGTAGCAAGGAATTCTCCTTGGTGCTTGTGCACAAGCGACAGAGAATAAATACCACAAAGTGTTTCCAGTTGTTGCTTCACCCCTTTGCCTGGAATGTCTTGTTGCAGTTTCTCAATAAACCTAAACAAGGACGTAACAGGGGTGGTTCATTTCATCAGACTATTACGAACAGTATGTAGAAATTACAAAGATAATCTTTACAAGACCATACACTTTAACATAGATGCAGAGGACCAAAAAATAAAGAGTAAATTACAACACGAAGGAAAATACCATGGACATATTTATTATTCAGACAAGGCACTCGTAACAAAGCTAAGAGTATCAATACCAATTTGTCAAATAGGTGTAGGAATGCTCTTACTGGATAAAATCTCAGATTGAGGATCAACCAAATGATAAATTAATCCAAATTTCTACCAAACAAGTTAGCACCATTTGCTGGTAACTTCAAAAGGCGCATTCCAAATCAAGTCAAGAAGTGTATTAAATAACTGTGAATAATATCTGGGAGTTGGTAAGATAGCCTAGTCATATTATGCACCAAATGCAAGAGGTTAGTTTCCATTAGTACTGAGCCAGGGCCTACTTCTTTCTAGGTGTAAATATTTGCTGTGGCTTTACAATAGCTAGCAATGACAATAAAAAATATTAATAACAAAAGCATGCAGTAAAAGCTTACTTGGAGACTACAATTAGTTGACAGTGTGCAACTGCAGCCTCAACCAAATCAGCTGATAGTTCTGCAAAACCTTAAGGAAACAAGAAGGAAAACCTAAATAAAAAAAAATTCAAATAAGAACGTATACGTGTTACGGGGGTTTGAAACCCCCACCCTCTCCCCCTCTCTTTTAGGGTAGATCTGCTCACATGGTTTGCTAAATAACTTTATGCACCCAAATAGGATGCTTGCATTTTATTGCACCCAAATAGGATGCTTGCATTTTATATCACGACTTCGGTATGTTAATCAGGGCTTAAGTTTTATCATTGAGATTTCTGTTTTCCAAGGTTTCTGATTTACAGGTTGATTGATTTTCTCTTCTTTGGGTTCCTTTTCCTCTATTGTAAACTCCCTTCTTAATGATAACAAATTATTCTCCATAAAAAACAAAAGGCATCATGCTATACCTTCTTCAGGATTCTCAAACTTGCTCAGATTTTGAGCACAGGAAACAGATATTCTGATAGTCCTTGCCTCAAATGCTTCCAATACTTTAGTATGCTTTAACCAATCCTCAGCTGCATGCGAAACAACATAAATAATGTCACCATACTAATTCTTTCCCAAGTTTTAAGCATGGGCAGAATGCATCTGAAAATAATATGTTAAGCTGATTGCATAGGTATTTATATGAAACACACATGCGCGCGCGAGCACACACACACACACACAAAAAGGTATACATCTTTCAACACTACAGCGGCATTTCATAAGATGTTCATTTCTTCCCATATAAGAAATAGTCCCAACAGGCTGTTTTCCAGAGCTGAGCTGGGAGAGAGTCTTCATGAGAAACCTAGCTACCTACAGGTAAATTTGCAACCCATTAGCTAAAACACATAAGACATGTAGAGAGAACACAGTCAACGTCTAGAATAAACTCTTCATACAAACAGTTTATAATAAAGTGCAAAACCAGAATAAAACAAACCAACACTGTGATCCAGGACATTTTTAAAATCTTTTGATTTCAAGTAAATTATTGCAAACAGAATGTTGAAAATAGTAGAACGAAGCCAATCCACAGACTACTATGGGCACAAGATTCACTATTCTGCCTGAGCTGCTAAGGATGATAATTTGAGCTGCAAGTAAAGATTTGAAATATATAAATTAACTACTGGACAAAAAAACCAAAGTTAGACGAACACTAAAGTCCAAAAAATTCAATTACAACTGAAAAGCAAAGTGTGTTTTTAGTCATTGTTTGGGATGGGGTGTGAATTTTGGAGGTTTTTTGGGTTTGAATTTTTTTAATTGAGAATTGTGAGATGTTATTTTGGCAGAAGATGGTATGAGGGGCGGTTTCGGGTCTGGTAGAAGGAGTAAATTGTGTAATTCGTTTCTACCACTGCCCCAAAGTTTTCCAAGTAAAAATAAAAATAAAAAATACAAATTGGGGCATATCAGTCTACATTTGGGGTGTGTTTGTTTAGGAGATTGGATTTTACATACACTGTTCATATCATTTTTTCCACCAAAAACATCAAATCAAACACTTATTTTTCATTTTTTTATATTATACTAAAAATCAATTTTACATTCAAAACATCACATCAACACCTATTTATATCACATCATACAACTATTTAAATTCAAAATTTTTACTATTCAAATCCCAACTCAAAATCCAAACCCCCAAACAAGCACACCCTTGGTAAATTTTAACACCGTCTGTGACTCAGTGTAATTTAGAGAAGGGGGAAGGGCGAGTCTGCAATCTTTTTTGAACCACAAGTAGGTTATATAAAATTTTAGGACCAAAGAGGATTTTAGCAAATTACGGAGATCACTGGGGAATTTTTATGCTATTTTGCCTTAAATTTTACTATTCTCCAATTCCCAACCCAAATTCAAACCTTAAAAGGAACACATCCTAAGAGTTTTCAACATCACAAATTCAAAAAGTGACCCCAACTGATTTTCCCAGCTCCATTCCTTAGAAATTTGATTCAGACAACAATTGACAAGGCCCCATCTTTCCCACTTCCATTTATACTTAGTTGATAAAGTATATATTTATGTATTTTTGTAGGAAAATTATAAATGATAATTAATATTTTGGATAAAATTTCTACTAATTTTGGTATAATCGTAATTATTGGAAAGATGGAGTGATGTGCGCCCTTGCCAAATTTGTGGTCAATGATTGAGTGAATTTTGAGTTTAAAGATAAAAAGGAGCAATCAAGGAGCAATTAAATTGCTAATTGAATGTTTGATTGTCTATAAAAAAAGGGTCAAGTCATTGGATAAGATGTCACAATTTACACTCACATTCATAACTTGAAAAATTGGCACAAGACGGTTTGAGAGTAACCGCCACCGGGCGATCATCGTTATCTTTATTTCATCGCTTTTATTTATTTCTAAGCATGAGTAGCTAATTTTCTTTATTCTAGTCCAAGGTTGAATTTAGATTTCGGATTTGGTTTTGTGAGATTATGTTTTGATTTAAATTGAATCTTGTTTATTAAATTAATATTTGTGCAATTTATGTGATTCATGCCTATCGTTGTTGTATTTACTCTTTTATCGTGGCTGAATTTTAGATTGGTTTAGCAATTGTGTGTCAATTGAACATTTGCATCCGTAATTGTGCACTTGTTTGATAAAATGATAAATAGGTTGACAAGCTTAGCCTAAAAATTGCATGATCAAATAATTTAATCTTTTCGTAATTGATTGAATATTTGAATTAGGTTTTTCTCATGCCATTTTCAATGGGAGAAATTAATTTATGATAATACCTAGTTATTTCTTTGATTAGGGATGTAGTCAATCGGTCATACCATTTCCGCCAAGAAAAATTGGGCGTCATGATCGTATCTAATGTCTATAACTAATTTATTAATTAAATACCAAGATTATTTAAAATCGATGATCAAATCTTTAATCTAGTTTCTTATTTTCTCCTTGGATTAGAAGTTTAATCTCTTTGAAATCTAATTTTTATTTTCTCGTCGCTTATTTTAATTACCTCGGTTGGATTTGCTAATCTACCCCTCAATATTTGAAATTGTGACAAAAGAGGAATTAAACTCACAGTCCGTGTGGTTCGACCTCGACACCACTTGCTACACGGAAATTGTGATGTTGGAGTATTTTTATTGGAAGCACCGAGGCTACCATTAGTAATTTTCCAGATCTATGTTGATTCCTTGACCTTTCATTCTAGAACTTGGAAATTCTTGCTCTTTGTCAAAAGCTTTCATTGCCATACTCCAACTAGCAAGCTGAGAGTCCCCAATTTCCAAGACAAATGTTTATCTTTTTGGTTGAATTTCAAAAAATCAACACCCTTTGTGACTTAATCCATACTAAGCAAAATTTTTGCCTTTCCTGTAGATCACATCCTTCAACAATAGCCTCATCAGCGATGATCTTCAATTCCACTTCATACTCATCAATGGCTGTGGGTTTCCTTATTCAACATTTCAACTGATGGTTACCTCAGACAGCCAAATTTCTATACCCAAACAACCCTTCACCAAACCAACAAATATGGTAAAATCTAAACACAACCACGACAGCCATAGAAAAAAAAATAATCTGAACTATTACATAGGTCATTCAACAATGATATTTTTCTGCATTGTGAACTCTCCTAAACATTCTCCCATATTGATTTTTTCTAGAGTATTTCATTGGTGGGTTGATACTAACAATCCCGATTAATTCACAGCTACCATTTGAAGAATTCTTGGGCATGCTTTCTAAATTTTTATTTCAGTTTCAAGTTTAAACTTTTATAATTGCTTCTTTCTGCTGTTATTTTGTGTCATATATCAACAATGCAAAATGCATCCCCCAAAACATGGCTATGATGAATGACATATATTAAATGAATATTCTTTATCCTACATGACTCTGCAGCAATGGATGCCAGTAACAGAAAAGAACTTTGGCTCTATTAGGCTCAGATAAGAAATTTGGCTATAGTTATTATCAAAATTAAAAATAAGATAAAGAGAAGTAAAACTAGCAATTCATCATTATGATCTTCTATATATATATCCTATCAAATGTAACCAACGTTTCCAACCTGGATCTTATTATAACCAGCAATGACAGTAAAGTTTAGTAATGGTCTTAATAAGGAAATCAACATTGCAATTAGAGTTGAGAAGGAAAAGAAGTAAAGAAAAGGAACTAGAATCTTAAAAGCATAATAAGAAATGCTCAAATCCAAATCAAACATACCTGTAGAAGCAGGACAGTGTTGTCTCCTTCATACGTACAAGCAGGAACATAAACTGCAAATAATTCTGGTAGCCCACTGCTACAGAGGTAGCCATGGCCTCCACATAACTTTCGACACTCTTCGATTCCATCCTGCGACACAAAACAGGATGGATTTAGAGACTGAATAAAAAGAAACCCATTAATGTTCAGTTACCAACAACCTTTATCATAGATTTTGACTAGAACAGTAACTACCCTCCCTCCCCCAACAAAGAGAAAGGGTAATGATACACCAATGGACCTCTTTCTAGTTATGAAAGCCTTGCTTGTAAGTGTCAGCCGGATGTCCATGTCCACCAAGGTTTGAGTGCAAAGAAGTAAAAAATATTTACAAGTATCATCATTGCACTTCAACCACATAGTGGGTGCAAACCAAAACACAGAAAAGTAGAATGACAAATCATTATTTATAACATACAGCAGTAGCAGTGGTAGTTAGAGACTTCAATCCTGCAGTACAAGCATGAGCCTCAGGCAATGTCGAAAAGTCATTGGCTTGCAATCTTTGTGTTACATCTGTGTACAGCCATTTTAGCCATTCACCAGCAAATCTGAAGGCATAAGCAGAAGCCAGCAAAGGGAAGAGCCTGCTTTGTTGTGTTTTGTAATCAATGACCTACAAATCATTAATGCATTAAAGACATAATTTATTCTTCTACCATTAAACTAGTTGTGTGGTGCTATGGCTTGAAAGAAAGATTCATTTGCACCAAAAATTCTCATAAAGTAACAATGAGTTACAAAAATTAATTACTTAATCATAGGGACTGCATCAGCCACCCACATGGAACTCATAATGGTTTACTGAGAACTGCCTTGAGAATATAAAATTAAAACTAGCTGTCTCAAACATGACTGGGAATGCTATCTCAGAGCAAAAGAAATATTGAAATATTGTCAGCCAATAAGAAGAAAGGAAGGGAAAGGAAATAATTTCAATAAAATAATAATGGAAAAGAAAATAGACAGAATGCAGTTTACTGAATAAACAGACGTACTCCACACGCATGAACAACAATAAGATATTAGTGGCAAAATTTGTCAGTGAATGTTGCCTTTGAAGTTTTTTTGAGAAGATAAATTTGGAAAGCTGAAGATTTCTTCATACACCAAATATTAAAAATGCATCCGGTTACACAAACACACACACACTTGTAGAAATATAGCAATAATTAGTGAAAATTGTTGCAAAAGTCTCTGTAAAATTCATGAAGTCTACTTTCTAGCCAACCTCTACTTCATGCAAATTAGTTACCAGAGGACACAGATGCTTTTCCAATGTTAAGTGTTTAAAGGATGTAAAGCACCAACCGAAAGGGTTTAGTTACTGAAGTACGTGTTAGACAGTGGCACAAGGCATGTACCAGGGCTTGGAGAAAAACTTACCAAACAGTTTTGAATACAAACTTAGAAGTTTGAAACAATTAAGATATGCCTAGGGAAAGAGAAAAAATTAAAAATTAAAAATAAAAATAAAAATAAAAATAGATGTTCATTATGATAATTGTTACATGCTTTTATATGGAATTGATAATAAAAGAAGTCAAAATACCAAAGAAAAACTACTACAGAGAAAACAAAAAGGTCATTACATTATTAGGTCAAACAAACAATGATATTAACCAAAGAAATCACAAATAGAAAAAATATGAAAATGTGTAGTAAGCTGGTTTGCATACAGGCAGCTCTCTAGTAATCTAAATGCTATCTTCTCTAATTAGAAATTCTTACTTGAGTTTCAGGACCACCATCCTGTGATCCAAATTGTCTGCGCACAGCACTATATCTAGTAGCAATACAGACAGCTCTAGATAAAGCACAAGAAGCATCAGAAACAATTTGTTGTCGAACATAAACCATGGTCCCATAAACTAACTGCCATGGTACATCTGATCTCTTATACTTTCCTTCCCTTGTCACCTGTGAAACCCTGAGACGTTCAAATAACATGTTTCAATCAGATGTTATACTGTCCATAGCAGTGAGAGGCTGAGAGCTTATTAAAGATTAACCAAATATTATCTGATATTCATATTGATCACACCACGAGAAAGTCTGAATCATCTCCTCGTGTATGTTTGCTTTGACATAAACATGCTAAATTTAGTATATTTCAGCTTTGCATTACAATATTCCACATTCATTGCTATTACATCTTCAGATTACAAATAAGGATCAATTTCCAAAGTGGAGATTCTTCTTGAAACAGAAAGAGCAAAATACTAAATAAAACTTCCTCTTTACTAAAGTAAGAATATCATGGGGTCAATTTCAAATAAATGCAGAGATATAGAAAAATGCATATATAGATTAGAATATACCTCATCAACATCTGATTTCTTGGAATACGAACATGATCAAATCTCAACACTCCATTGTCCATAGTGTTGTATGCTCCATTGCCAAATTTCATTCCTATATCCCCAAGTGTAATTCTTGGAAGAGGTTTATGATCCTCCAAAGACCGAAGTTGAACAATAAATCCTAAAAGGCAATACATTATACATTATATATAGCGGGAAGGTTAGACAAATCAACTTTTATGAATGAATTAAAAGGCTTGGACATACCATGAACGCCATGATCTTTACCATCTGTAATCAAACGAGCATAAACAACTGCATGTGTAGACACTTTGCCCAGCCCTCCAGGCCACCACTATTTTGAATAGAAATGGAAGGAGTTGAGTTTTTTAACATTGGAACGTGACTTAAATGACATATGAAGTAGTAGCTGGATTCCAACACAAGAAAGAATAATATGAAAAGGTGGTAGTCAGAAAATAATATCTCCGCATTTTTAATCCAATATAGCCATTCACTTGGTACTTACTTTGCAGGAAGTCAATGTGGGACTGTGAATGACAAATTCATCAGTAGTAGGATCGAACGTTGCAGTGGTTTCAAGACCTTGCACATTGGAGCCATGGCCAAGTTCAGTTTGTGCATAGCACCCAATTATTTGCATCTTATAGGCCAATGGTAACCATTCTTGCTGCTGTTCATCGGTGCCCTGGCCTTTTATGGCTGGTACAAACATTCCCTAAGTAGGAAATAGTGCAATTATTTTATATCCAAACCCGATAATTGAGGTGAAAGTTAATCTAACAGAAGAAATGAGCAATCAGAAGCAGAACCTACCCAGTGAAGGTCTGTATAAGCTGGCTCGTCCATATAAAACCTTAACTCAGATGCCTCTTCTTCTGCAACCATGAAAATAAAAATAAATGACATAATTAGATACCTCTGGACGAAAATAAAACAGCTGCAATAACTTGAAAAGCCAAAAGATGGACTCGCCAGATAGATGAAGTTCAATAATTCTTTTCCATGCATAAGCTGCCTTCCTAAGTGTGTTTCTGAACAATTCCTTTCTTGGTAGCATAGTTCTATCATCCTTTTGGAATTCCTGATTTCAATCATGAAATGAACTAAATTGTCTCGTTAGCTGGTCAGATGAAAGCAGCCAACACAGTCCGTTTGCTAAAGAGCACCCGATAAAAGCAATGTTCCTTTTTGACGTTATCCAAATAAAATTCAATTTCAATTATGTCAAGTTCCATTCACAATTTCAAATATTCCCTCCGTCCCAAACACAGTGCAACATATATTCCTTTTTTATGTTAGCTGGTCAGATGAAAGCAGCCAACACAGTCCGTTTGCTAAAGAGCACCCGATAAAAGCAATGTTCCTTTTTAATGTTATCCAAATAAAATTCAATTTCTATTATGTCAAGTTCCATTCACAATTTCAAATACTCCCTCCGTCCCAAACACCGTGCAACATATGAGTTCGACACGGGAATTTAGATAGGTAGTATTAAGTAGGATAATTTGAAGATTAGGTGATGTGATTGGAGAGAAAAATGTATATTTATTTTTTTTATTTGAGTGATGTGATGAGATAAAAGTAAAGTGTATATTTATATATATAAAAATATAATTAATTATTACTAAATTTGAAAATGTTGCAGTGAGTTTGGGACAAACAAAAAATGAAATGTTGCAAAGTGTTTGAGACGGAGGGAGTACAAATTTATTCAATTCAAGTCAATATATATTATTAAAAGCAGTGTCAATTGTCAGTCTTGCATATAAAAGGAATGTTGAAAGTGGAAGTATCCAAATAATAAAGCATTTAAGAGAAATCTGTGTATTCCTCAAATGTATATCTTCAGCAACTGTATCATATAGTTGGGAGTGCTGAAAGGTAAGTAGCTTAACAATTATAGTTCAAGAATGCACAAGTTCGAAAGCTTTATGATGAGAAATGCTAAAACAATCAAATCCGTGCTGTGGAGTGTGACAAATTACCAATTACAGATTACAAATTATTCATTAACAGCTTATTGCTTCTGTCTTGCGTTTATTTGATATTACTTGGATTATGGTGTGCAGCTCCCTTCATACACGTTTTACTTGTAATGGGAATGAGAAGAGACCCGCATAAGAATTAAGTGAAACTCACACAGATTCTGACCAGCTAGAATAACTGGACTAATTCGCACCCAAAAGCTTCTAAAATCCAAAGGTAAAATTATAAGAAGGATCAATTGCAGCAGAAAGATCACGAACGTGCCTGCTGCTTCCGGTTTCCTGGCTGAATATATTCAAATTAGGACTGCATATGATGTGCCATCAGCCAGAATGTTAATAGAAACTTCCAGGTACTTTAACAATACCAAAAAGTCACCCACCAATAACGCTGTTACGGAACGTCTGAACCCCACAGGAGGAGGAAACTAAAATAATATACTCCATATCATTGAAACAAAGATAAACTGAGAATTTACAGAATCGTTGGCGACGAGCTTGGCCATACGATCGGAGACCTCGAAAGCGTGACGCGAGCCAGCCCAGACAATCTTCATGGCCTCAACATCGAACGCCGCCTTCTTCCTCTCATCTGTTAGATAATCTACCGCTTCCATCCTCCCTTCAGATCAACAACAAAGAGAACCGCTTTCAAAAGATTGCAGATTGTTATTACTATTTGAAACTGGGTGTTGTATTATTTCATTGTTAGGTAAAGCATTGATGTTGTATAAGTGGTTTACAATAATTGATCAATCTTTTACAAAATATAGGCCTAGATAGATCAAGATAGATGTTTTTGGTTTTTGAAATTTTGAAAAAAAAAATATATATATATATTAAATTATATTTGATGTAATATTTTTTAAAGCATAATGTGTGTTTGTATCGGATAAAAAAAAATTATAGGTGCACAGTATTTTTTAATTAAGAATTTAATAGTTGATATAACAAATTATTTAATGAATAATTAACAAATTATTTAGACTGAAAAAATATTTTGTATATAATTTCAAGGATATAATATATCTTTATTCTTTTTTATTTATATTTGTTTCTATTTTAGTTTTTATATTACCATATATTTTTATTTGTGTCAATTTAATTCTTTTACTTTTAAAATGATAATTTTGATATCGTTTTAATATAATTCAAATTTTGTTTATAATATAATTTATTTAAAAAATTAATAGATATGATTATCATATACATTTATCATCCAAATATATTATTTTTAAACAATTATTTTGTATTTTATATATTTATATATAATATAATTGCAGGGTAATAATATATTTATAATTAAAATAAAAATTATTGATATTTTTGTATTATTATTTTTAAAAAAAAATAAAAAAGTGATACTTTTATACATTTATTATTACATTTAATATCATGCTTTTATGTAAAAAAGTTTTTTCGTTTTCATACTTTAATAATTTAATTAAGAAAAATAACTTGCGTTTATGTTATTTAGATGAATAATTTTTAAATTTGGTATTTAAAATTATTTTAAAATAAACTTGTCTGCAATCGGAGATATTTTAAAAAATAATACTATAAATTGATTTAAATAATATATATAAATAAAACTTTCCAATGAAAATACTACTTATCACAAAATATAGGCTCAAACTTTCCTAGGCAACACAAATTTTAATGTGATGTGTATTTTTTTCTTTTTATCTTTTATATAATAAACAAAAATAGCATCATTTTTAATTAAAAATAAAAATAATCACATTTTAAAATAGCAAACAAAAGTGATCTATACTTTTAAGTCTCTGAGGAGTAATAATTATATTTATTAATTTCTAAAAGAAATAATAATCAAAGACTAAAATTCAACTATTTAAATAAATAAAAGATCAAAATTATTATTTTAAAATGGATTAAAATTGACAAATTGGTAAATAAAATAGACCAAAATTGTTATTTTGAAAATGAAAAGACTAAAATTGACATATTAGTAAATAAAAAGGACAAAAAAAATATTTTACCCTAATTTTAATATGCATTTTAATTAGAAGACAATGAAATATTATATATTTTATTTTAGAATTAATAGAGGGATGTGTCTCATATTTTTTAAAATTAAAATAAAATATCAAATAAATCTGTAAAGAATAGCTGAAAGGTGAAGCTGTAACACTGAGGGTCATGAGTTTCTAAAAATTCTATGAATATACTTTACACTAAAAATTATCATCATCTTGTTCATTTCATCGCTCATAAATGCACTAATACTTACACTCAATTCTCGCTAACTTGCATTCCCTTATCCATGTATAATTTTGCTCATCTCCCACCTTCACATGACCCGTGCCAACAAACCTTCGCTTAGCCTCATTTCATGCATGTTGTTTGTCCACTTAGATCATTCACAACGTCAACGTCTATTAAACTTCATCTTTTTCAACTAAAATTTATATTTTGTTCGTTTATTCCAACTTTTATTTTTTTTTTTTAATTCGTTCGTTCAATCTCACTATAAGTATTTCTCTAATTTTATTTTGAAACTTAAAATTTTTGAGTTCAATCTAAAAACTCATAAATATAAAAATATACAAATTTATTTTTGATAAATGTTAAGCAACTGCAACTTCGATTTCATTTCATTATCTACCGCTAACTATATGCGACAAAATATGTCTTTTTATTCAATTATATTTTCCGTTTAACCTCACTTATCATGCAACATAGCTTGTTATACATGCATATTGCAATAGGAGCATGTGAGTCAAACTCGATACAAGTTTCTATCAGCATTCTAAACACGGTTGTGTAGCATTTTAAACAAGCCGTGTTCGGCAGAAGTGTAAACGAAACTCGATATAAGTTTTTGCTAACATTCTAATACAATTGTGAAATATTTCAAACAAGCCATGCTCGAGAAAAAAAACCCACCATATTTACACTAAACACCCTATATAACAAATTCTGTTGTATCGAACATGATCAATCATTACACAAACATGTATGTATTTGTATGGATGTGAAAATGCCCTTGCAATTGACAACAATATAACCTCAATAGGATGGGGTGGTCATTGTTGATAGAACATTAAGTAAATACTACAACTAGAGCCGGTTGACCTACTAGACATGTCAAGGAAATTCGCTTTGAAATTCATTAGTTTATCAATCTAAGATGTCGTCCTATCTTTCCATCATTGTTTCTTCTTCGATAGGATGATCAAGAGAACCATGGCAAGCGATTGTTCCACAAGGACGGGGCTTGGCAATCCTTCATAGTTTGGTGTAGGGCTGGAATTACATCTTGAATAAAAGCACCACGCCCTATGACGCGCACCATAATATTTTCTCGTCATTACAACAAGAAAATTTGTTGAATAATTCAAAAACAAGTGATAATGGTGGGTATTGATTCTCACAAATTCACACATACATTTATGGCTACTTTTTAACAAGAGATTTGGTTTTGAAATGAAATTTAAAGATGTGTTGTACTATAGTTCAAAAGTATTCATCAAGTAATAGATTTTTTTTTTTTTTTATATGTTAACCGGTGAATGTCGGATTGAACTCAAAACATTCAATATTAAGAAGAAAACCTAAGTAAAAGTGCATGCAAGTTTATGAAGTAAAAAAATTGGAATTAATTCATATCAAAGGTAAATTTATACTAACGAAATACATGCAAAAAACAGAGTAGCGGTGAATTGATTAGGGTGGATGGCAATTGAAGTGTGCAATGAGTTCTTGGGGTGATGAATAAGAAAATTCCGACGAGTCAATGTTTGTGGTTAGGTGAAGATTAATGGTTAATACTGACAATAAGTTAGTAAGATGCAAAAAATAAAAAAAATAGATGCTCTCCGGGAAATGGAAGTATTTGTATTATATATATATACTACGTGTGGAATAGTGTTGCGTGAAAGTTATTATATAAGACTTTTGCTTACTAATGTACTTTGCGATCACGAAGATTCGTTCTAGCCTAAAGAATATCGTGGAAAAATAAACTACATTCCAATTATTATGCTAATGTTTTTTTTTTTTAAAAAAAAAATTATCTTTTACGATTGGTAAGTCGTTCCCCTTGACGCTCACGTATGATGAATTGAGAGATTAATTCATTACCTACCTTTACTAAATAGTCTAAGTCAAATTACATTTAAGGAGTCGCATCCGTGATGGATCCTGAATCTACCTAGTAGTGTGAAGTTCTTTCAGGACCTTCTAAATAGATTAGGTTGAATAACTTATATTCTCATTCCAGTCAATATTCATGCAAGCAATAGAGCAATTACCTTATATGTGTCATCTATATAGGTTGGAGATGGGAAATAATAATATTCTATTCACTACAAAAACACTAAAGTTCGTGATTATACTATAAAAGAAGTAAAGTTATTTAAATGTAGAAAATAAATGGAATAAGTGATGAGCACACAACTTATGTCACAATTGCTGCAAGCCACTAATGCTAGATGACTTAGAGCTCTTACAATTTGAGCTTTTCTAAAGCGGGGTTGTATTTTACATACAGTGGAATTATTACAAATTAGACAAATTGACTCTTTTTTTTATAGGCACTGACAAAGATTCTACAAGGTTGGCAGTTACTGAATGCTAGTTGGCACAATGATTCTCAGCCGTTCGATCTAGCAAATGCAAACATGGACAGTCGATCTTCCTCCTACTCGGATCAAGGTGATTAATCTTTAGGAAAAAAAAACAAGTCAGAGTTTTTATATTCTATAGATGTCCAATCACTTTTATCTAGTTGATTTTCAAACGTGACTTCAAAGATCTCGATCTGACAGCGCTACTTTCAAATCGCAGCTTCGGCATAATTTCGCAAGATCATTTCTTAATGATTTCTCATGAACTTGATTGAAAATACTCAAAAATAACAAGAAAAAATCAAATTATACAAAATTAAGTAAAAAACATGTTTATCTAAGTAATTTGGCATAATAAATCACAGATTTAGGAAAAAATCACCACATATGTTATAAAAATTATTAGAGTAATATATCAAAAAAGCTAGTATTATCATACATATAAGCAAAAAATTAGAGGGAATTTTTAAATTGTCATAAATTTGAAATTCAAGATTAAATTTCCTTCAACGGTTGTAACCCTGTTGTAATTACAATTAGTCACTACCTAAGATTGACACTGTCAGTCCTATCAAATGATATTTTGTCCAATTAGATTAGTATGCAATATTCTCCATTTTTGTTTTTTTTTTCTCCAATTTTTTAATTTATTATTTTCATCTCCGATATTCATAAAAGGAAATTCCAACGATAACAATAATATTGGAGGATAATATGATCATGCATAAAACAATAAGTTAAGGTATGAGCACATACCTTGAATCAGTGCAAAGCTTCTCAAATTGATGTGTGTCCAATGCCTTAGTGAGCCTATCATCTTTCTATTTATTTGTTCCAATATATTTGTGAATACAAATTCTAGGTTCAACTAAATATCTAATAAAATTATATCTGATATCGATGTTCTTCGTTCTTCCTTGTTGAATAAGATTTGTTGATATATTGATAGCACTAGTGTTGTCACAACGTAATACAAATGAGTTACGATGAATATCATGATCAAACCCATATAAGTTAAGCACAACAACTTCCTAATGTTGGAAAATACACATCCAAAATTCTCTCGAACTTCCAATGAAGAAGCCAACTCATCTTAGTAATTTTGCAATGGGATTATGAACAAAACAAACAAAAATACAACTATTATTGCACAGTAAACTTGTGATAAAAACAAGCTTGTCAATATAATGAATGCAAATGCAGACAAAGCAATAAATGACATATGAATTTTGTTAACTCAATTCAGTTATCAAACTTTACCTATAGGGGATACCAATACATAAGTTCATTCGCTACCATCATTCATCAAGTTACAAAGACTAAACACACCAACAATTATCCAACACACTAGCATTTCCTATTGCTTACCTTGCAAATTCATATATGCGTAATTGGTTGTCATACTGCAACAATAATATTAACAGATTTTCTATCTAGCTGAAAGTAAGAGTGTTTTCAATTTGGTTAATATTTTCAGTTGGCTTTTTGTTATCTTATTTTTTCAATTGTCTTCTGATCACATTGTTTGATACTTTCTTCCACTACAATTCTTCACTCAAGCTTGTCTCTGTCTAACACAACAGACTAAATTGGTTTTATCGTCAAAGTTTTGATGCTACCACGGTCATAAAAACTCTTTGCACTGAGGGGGGAAAATAAGGTTTTTGATGTATTGAATAAAGTGAGCGAATCTTGTCATATTATGAATGGTCAAATATTGATTTAATGAAAGATTTAGTTGTCATTTCTAATTTTCTTATAAAAAAACATATTATAATTATTATACGGGTAAGTTTTCAAATCAAACTAAAAAAATTTTAGTTATGAAATAAATTCAAAAAAATACTTAAAAATCAGCCTGCACAAGTGAAAAACGGAAAGACCTCACTTAGTGAGAAAAATAGTAACATACAATTAAATAAACTAAGTAGTAAAATAAACAGAGTGGTGATTGTTGACCGGTTAGTGTAGTAAGGGTGGAAGTGAACATAGTGGAAAGACTACGAGGGGTATGCATACACCAAGGAATGAAATGAGCGGTGGATGTCAACGAGAATATACTGGTGAACGGTAGTATATTTGATGGTAGGAAGAATTAAGAATGTTTGTGAGTAATTTGCGTGTTCCTAAATTACTAGAAAATTTCTGGATAAAATGAGCGAACAATGATGGTGAAATAATGGAATATATATAATATGAAAATGTAATAAATAAAATGTGTGAACATTACTTGTTCATTAATCAAAATTTTGACTCTATTGATACTTGAATTTAGGGTAGTTACAACGAGGTTTCAGGGACACTCAATTAAGAATATTATTTCAAAAAAAAACCACTATCATTGGACATTCCTGTGACCCGATAAACAAACGTCTATATTCAATGAATTATTAGTTACACTATTTCACTAGTGACTATACCCCTCTTATACTTATATTTAATCAGGATTCTAAATTCATATCACAATTAAGCCGTTCGACGAGGCTTTTGCATATTGTTACAACCTACCTATTATTTGTTATTGTGACACAATTATAGGTTTAAACGATTAATTCTTCTCTCGTTCTTCCATAGTGTTATCAAAGATCAAAACTTAAAACATTCAAATATAAACATGTATTTTTAGATAAAGATAAACACGAAGAAATAAATGATATTTCATTATCACTAAAAAATTGTAAATTAAATCTATCTGGAAGACAAAACTGAAATGAGATTAGGGATGGAGGAAGCTCCATAAATCCCCTTACTTTCCACTGCACTAAAGAGAACTCCTTACAATTTCAAGCTCTTGAAAATCGAAAAAATAGAATAATAATAATTTTTTATACACTTGAGAATTAAGTGTTATTAATACAATAAACTTTGACTCTATTTATTAAGAAATCAAAGATGACGGTTGAGCAGTTGAGAGACTAGTTGCAATTGCTAGCTAGACAGTTACACATTTGAATTTTCATGTCCGTTGAAACTCCCATAACTTCTAGCTCACTCGCTTGCTATGTTTGGAAAGCATAGATACATATTTTTCTCATTTCAACAGAAGGAGGGCATCTACGTCGTTCGAGCAAAGTTGTCCTTATTCATACGCCGAAATTAGAATGGTTGTACTACTTAAGGACCTGCTTGCTAAATAGATGGGATTTCGGTTCAAGGTCTCGTTGCACCACTGATGAAAGTTTCTTGGCCTTTGGGTTTTGGCTCGAGGGGATACTTATTGCTTACATAAAATGTGTTTGTTTTGTTGTTTTGTTCAAAAATCAGTCTAATTGGCCTAAATTTCGCTCAAGTTGGATTAAAAAATTAGTAAACCTAAACTAAAAATAGTTGGATCATATCAAATGTAACAAGACAATAAAGAATGTTATAATATTGTAATAATTTTTACATAAACATCCAAATAATACACCATTGTTGCAAGTAAAAAATGCTTAAATTTATAATTACCAATACAGTATTGACCACTTCATTTGTCTATTTTGTCTTTTAAAATATAATACAGGATAAATTAGGACAAAAATCTTACCCCGATTGTCATTGTGTACTACATTACAAGATTTATATAATACTCACAATTTGACGACATTATCAAATATTATATCGCATTTTGGTGAGTTTTTAAAAAATAATTTAAATTTAATATTAAAATTATTTAATGAGTTTTGTAATAATTTTTTTTTTTCTTTTCATTAAACTTAGTTTATCCGTATTTTTTTATTTAGCTATCTGTATCTGTATCTTATATAGATAGAGTCTATCCGAGTATGGATATACTTCGGCCTTTGTTAGGTCCGGTCCGTTAGAGTGTTTATATATAGGAGATGACCTCTCAGAGAATTAATATACATTTACTTTACCGGGTGCATGTTGTGGTGTTCTCACTGAGTTTCTCGTGAGCGTCGAAAAATTGCTAGACCGACGGGAAGGGGTTTGAAGAGGAACCACCCGATCCGTTACTAGCGAGTTTCTCGTGAGCGTTGAAGAATTACTAGGCTTACGGGAAGAGGTTCGAACAGGAACCACCTGACTCGTTACTAGTGAGTTTCTCGTGACCGTCGAGGAATTACTAGTTTCTCATGAGCGTCGAGGAATTACTAGGCTTACGGGAAGAAATTCGAAGAGGAAAATGCTCGCACATTTCAAATCATAAAACTTAAAAGAAATTTGATTGCTGCAGACACATATTCAATCCTCATTTTTTACTAATTAAAATATGCTCTCTTAATCTTCTTTAAAAGACATTTTTTAGAATTTTGTAATAAATTAATAAATAATAATATTTTATTAATGTATAAAATATTTTTTATATTTTCATCCTATAATTTTATTTATAAATTAATTGTGTAATTTAAATAAAAATTTAAAATATTTTAGCATAATAAAAATGAAAATAAAAAAGATAAATTAGAAAAAACTTTCATCTAATTTCACCAACTCACCAACCAAACCTACTGGCCAGGCAAGCATGCTGTGATGTGAGCTATTTGTTAGTTCCACCTTCCCTATCAAATTATTGCACGTTACAGTAATTACTCAGTTTCCGCTCCCCCTCCTTTCAATCCTGTTGCCTTTCGAAATCTTACATCAAGACACGAATCAATTCATGTTTCAGTGTGCTGCCGGGCCGTGGTCTTCCATCCCGCTGCGCAACCACGCACGATTTCCAATCTCTACCTTTCTTCTTTTCCTTTTTTTTTTTTTCGTAGGGAGGGAGAGGCGAGACGAGACGAGGACTGTAAAAAACAGCTTACGGCCCACCGCGTAGAGGATTGGAAACAGCCTGCGTCGGCATTCTACTTTAACTCTTCTCTCTTACATCTATTGATTTTGTGATCAAAAGAAGGTTGACAAAGAATGAGGATTCTTGCTCAACTTCTTCGCGGATACTTGTGGGTCGCCCATATCAGGTTACCTGTCTTCACTGGCGCCGCCGCCATTGCACATACTCCAACTTATTCGTCTTCGGAAGCCGTGTCTCCAGGTACTATATATTTACAAACGTATATTTTTGCAACAATCCTGTTAAAAAATGATACGAAGAAGAAGAATACTGTTGTTTAAATTTTTATTATAGACGTGATTGCTTACCCTTGCTGCGGAAGATGACAACATCGAATTCAAATCGTGTATTCAGCTGCTTTTTTAGCGGAAATTCAAGGACGAAGCGGACAAGCAAAACTAAGTTCGAAGGCAAAATTGTTGATAGCTCTAATTGCCGCTTCAATTGCGTTTGGAGCACTCGCTCTCTTTCTACTCTATATGTTTTACGACAGGTACACGAAGAAATCCCAAAAGAAAAATGTTAATAGGTCGGTATTTCACTGTCTCTTAGTTATGGATTATGACTCAAGTTTCAATTTTATGGTCTGGGCTAAGCTGTGGTGACAATTCTGTTGGCAAGTGCAGTTCTTGGGAAATAGCCGGGACTAGAAATGTCAGTATAATGGAGTACAAGACTTTAGAATCTGCCACAAACAATTTTGCAGAGAGTAGCATGTTGGGTGCGGGAGGGTTTGGTTGTGTGTACGAAGGCAAGTTGGAAGAGAACCTGTATGTGGCTGTCAAGAGACTCAGTGTGGGAAATGCAGGGACTATAAGAGAATTTCAGGTGTCATTGTCTTTGTCTAGAGTCTTAACCACTCATGCTTCTAAGCCTCAGCCTCTCCATAGATATTTGGGTTTGATGGTATTGTCTAGTTTACTAATTGACTTTTGATCTTGATATTGTGAATGCAGACTGAGGTTGAGATATTGTCTAAAATCCAGCATCCAAATATAATTCGTTTATTGGGGTATAGCGCTCACAGTGAATCAAGGCTTCTTGTTTACGAATTGATGCAGCAAGGATCTTTGGAAGCTCAATTACATGGTATCCAAGTGCTTTTATTAAAGAATTCTTCTAGGTTTATATGAGAATCTATTACTATGTCATATCTCTCCTCTGTGCTGTAATGGCTCTCCAGACCATACCAAGGGATTGGCATTAACATGGTATTCACGGCTGAAGATTGCTCTTGACACGGCAAGGTGCGCTTGCATGACAGCAGATAAAACCGTATGGGTGTTAAGATCTTAATAGTTGATGTCCTGCTTTAATGACTGCAATTGTTGACAGAGGATTAGAGTATTTGCATAACCACTGCCATCCACCAGTGATTCATAGAGATCTGAAATCATCTAATATTCTTCTAGATAGCAACTTCACTGCCAAGGTAGAAACAGTCTGCTTTCTCAAGAATATCATTGATCTGTCACTCCTTTACTATTGCTCCATATGCCTCTCTCTCTCTCTCTCTCTCTGTGTCTCAGCTGTCAGATTTTGGCCTTGCCGTGGTTGATGGCTCCCAGAGCAAAAATAATATCAAGCTTTCAGGAACCTTGGGTTATGTTGCTCCTGAATACCTGCTGGATGGTTGAGAACTAACCTTCTTGCTCTTTTACGAGTTTTCTTTTTTTGGGTGCATGGTTATGTTTAGTGCACTATAATTATGCATTTATTTGAGTTTAGATCAAGTTAGTTTGTCAAATACATTGATTTGTGAAAAAGTTCACAACAATATCCATGAGTAATTAGCATAACAGGAGCAAAACTTTCTCTTGTTGCTTTTGCGGTTCAAATATGATTGTAAGCGAGGTGGTGATAAATATGGATCTAAAGAAGTATTTCAATTGGTCCACTGATTTGAGTAGTTTTATCATTATCCTTGATCCTCGGCTTCTTGATGTGTTTGTAGGTTTTTATTCAGAATTGTTCATTATTTTCTCTGGATTTTATTCAGAATTGTTCATTTTTTTCTCTGGATAGGTAAATTAACTGATAAAAGTGATGTTTATGCCTTTGGGATTGTACTACTGGAGCTTTTACTGGGAAGAAAGCCTCTGGAGAAACTGGCACCACCTCAGTGTCAGTCCATCGTGACATGGGTAGGCTTGCTTGCTAATTTAGTAATAGTAACCTTCGATTATTGAGTCCCAATAACCTTTTAAAACTGGAAACTCAATGTCATAATCGATCAATCTTGCATAGGCCATGCCTCAGCTCACAGATAGGAAAAAACTTCCCAACATCGTGGATCCTGTCATCAGAAACTGCATGGATTTAAACCATTTATTCCAGGTTAGTGACCTTGAAAGGATTTCACCTAAATCTCCCAAAGATTAGAATATCAATTGTGAAACCAATGATACACAAACCTATGGTCTCATGCAAACAAGGAAATGCAATGGAGAAGAATGATTTGATTCATATTTTGGACTCTGCTTGTTTATGTAGACGTTTAATATAGAGGTTGGCATGCTGCTGGTTGCAAACTATTACTCCCTCCATCCCACATACCGTGTCTGCTACACTGTAGACACGGTATTTTAGGAGGGGTGTAATCATTTTTAAAAAAAGGAAAGTGACATGGTATGTAGGACGGACAGAAATGGCAACGTGGACATGGTATGTAGGACGGAGGGAGTATTTGTTAACTAGAGAAATAAGGTATTGATATTAATCTTTTGTTTGAAATTGGTGTCTTTTAGTCAACCATTGTCAGTTAGGATCTTGTTTGATTTTTCAAGAGATTTTCATTAAGTTGCTATGTCTGGTGGGAATATGCATGTGGTGCATGCATGTATACGCTTGTATCATGTGTGTGTTATTAGGGTGTGTTTGTGCGTGAAGGCAAGACTAGCTGGTGATACCATACACAGCCTTCTGTTTTATTCCTCTCTCAATTATCCTTCCAAGAAGAATAAATGGGATTTAAGATTCAGATTAAACTTCAACCTAGCTACATAACTATGGACGACCACTCAGAAACATGTGCCTAGCTACATAACTATGGACGACCACTCAGAAACATGTGGAGAGTGTAGAATCTTATTTGCTATATGGTACCACTTTGCATGCAGGTTGCTGCAGTGGCACTGCTATGCATACAACCAGAACCTAGCTATCGGCCGATGATAACAGATGTTTTGCATTCCCTAGTTCCTCTTGTTCCCTTTGAGAGCGGTGGGACTCTCAAAACCAAAGAAGCAGGTAGGAGTGAGATTTGAAGGAAGGGGGCAATACCTTTATGTTTCGCAAATTTATAGTGGTTGCTGTTCGGCTATGTACAATAGTAACACATCCATTGTTCGCATACACCTCAATTAATATTGTTGGTTGAAACTCATATGCACCTGATTTGTCATATTCCATGAAGTGCCTGCTGATTGTATAATCAAGCGTCTGACTTCAACATGTTTGATTGTATCTTTTTTTTTTTTTTTTTTTCAAATTTATCTTCATGCAATATAGTTTCGATCGGTCTAGGGTCTAAGGTTTTCTCGCAACAGCATCCCCGGTTGTTTGTTGACATCAACTACTGTTCCATTTTGGTATATATATATATATATAATGTCATACTAATAAATAGGCTGTCCTAGCATCTTTACATGTTGCTTGAATTGAGAGCCCCATCTCATCAAAGCCACAAATTAGATATCTTGGGGGCTGGGGCTGGGGCTGCTAAGCCTGCTATGATACACCCAACTCACTAGATAGTTTGTTGCATAGCTGCATAAAGTAGAGGCCAATCAATCAGAGTAGTGTACCTTTGTTGAGCAAAAAGAAATTGAGAAGGGGGGAGGCTGGTCAGAAACAGAACATAACCACCTGTCTGTATGCCATATGATCGCCATATGCTTTCCGCAACTCGACTACATATATCGACTGGCTTATCTCAAAAACCTGCAAGAGCAATATGATAAAATAAAAAGTACGCTTAAGGTAAGGATAAAACCCGTGCATCTTCCCAATCAATCACTTACTTCTGCAACAACGGACAGGCATCCAGGGGATCTCTGACCTTTGTGCTGTTGCATCACTTTCAACTGCACATGTGAGCACATGCAAAACAAACTATTAGGCCCTAACAACAGTATTCAAATGAATTCGTAAAAAGGGGGGTTTGAACTTGATGTCAGTTCTTAAATTATCTACTAAGAGAATAATTCCAGAGGGCACTATGTGAGCTGAGCTGCTTTCATTTTGCTCTGCCCATCTATTCAAGAGATTGGCTATACCAAACAGACCTTCCCATTCTTATTCAAAACACTGTAGCCCATCTCTGTAACTGTATTTTTTATCCTCTCTAACAATTTCTTCGGAGAATGATTTGATGTGAATCTGATTTTCCTCTCGGAAACATCCTGCCAATAAATTGAAGTGTGTATTATGTGTTTAACTGTAATATTTCAACAAGAGCATATTATAACCGGCTATAAAAGTAGGATTGAAACTGAAGGATCATGAATGTTATTCTTACTTCTTTTTCAAAGAAACCAGAAAGATCCAGACATGATGACATTCCAATCAACTGAAAGGCATTGATTAGAGTTGGGGATTCTTGCTCTTTTTCTGCATCTGTGGGCTAAAGAACACATCAGAATCCAATTAATTCCAAATTAAAAGTAAATAGGCTGCTAAGAATATTCATGAGCTTAGTTTATACCATCTCCTGTGAAGAGGGTTCTTCATCATCTGTACAACCATCTTCTTCTTCTTCTTCTTCTTCATCTTCTTCATTGCCATCTTCTTCTTGGTTTTCTTCTTCTTCCAAGGGATCTAAAGGAGTGTATCCTTTTTTAAACCACTCATTCTCTTTTATCTCATTCATGGTTATTCGTGTGTGAGGATTGGGATCGAGAATCCTCCTTATCAGGTTTTTAGCTCCTGGAGAAAGCCATTTTGGCATCTGAACGTCTCCCTTGAATATCTGATTTTGATGTTTCAAGGTCATAGAATGGAGGTTTGAAATATTCATAGCAGAAATGTCATGCCTCAACAGATGAAGCTACCTTCTGATAGAGCACTGCCAGATTACGGTCATCAAAGGGAAGGAATCCAGTGAGAATAACATACAAGATTACACCACATGACCATGTATCTGAGGCTGCACCATCATATCCTTTGTTTGAAAGAATTTCTGGGGCAACATAATTTGGACTTCCACATGTTGTATGCAGCAACCCATCATCCTGTATTTGAAAGAGAAAAGTAAAAGAAAGAGTACAAAGATGAATTAATGATCTAAATTTATGATATTTATTCTTCATACCCTAAAATGTTGAGGTAATGCACTTAGGCCGAAATCTGTTATCTTAATGTTTCCACTTGCATCAATCAACACATTCTCAAGCTGCATATCATGAATAATATATTAGGATTTACATTTGATGTTTGACAAGAGACACAAAGATGATCAGATGGATTCATTGGATTCATATGCTCAGAAGCAACTATATATATATATACACACACACACACACACACACATATATATATATATATGAAGTGATTACTTTGAGATCCCTGTGGAAAACACCTTTGCTGTGACAGTAACTAACACCATCAATTAATTGCTGAAAGAGCCCCCTGGCTTCCGCTTCTACGAATTTTCCTTTGGAGGCCTGTTGATCATGTAGACATGAAAACCTTGAATTCTCCTTTTCCCAGTTATGCACAAAGATTGTCCAATTAATCATGAATTCTCCACAGGTTACTTACAATTCTCTCAAATAGTTCACCACCATTGACATACTCGAGGACCATATATATCTTTGTTTTGCTTGCCAGGACCTGGTCAATTGATTTGGAGTATATCATAGGCATCAGAATTTAAAGACATGGCAAGTAGCACAGATAAAAGAGAATTTTAATGGTTAAATATTGTGTGACCTATGAATGCATGTGTTTGTTTTTTAATTTCAAATAAAAAACAACACTATTCAACCCCCAGTTCTCAATAAAAATCCACTATTTCCTCACACAATATCACATCAAAATACTATTTAAACAAAAACTCAATAACATCCCATTTCAAATCAATTTCAAACTAGCAACCAAACAAACTTATGCTCTTATATTGGAAATTTACTTGAGTTTATGTTTTCTAACTTTCAACCAAATAATTTCAATTACCAAATATATATATACATATATAAAGTAAAAACTTGGGTAAATTTTAGGATTTTTGGTTGACAATTCACATCATTTGCCTTTCAAAGGTCAGGAAGAAGAAAGACAACATAGAAGTAAGATCAGCTAACAACCAATTTCACCGTTTTCATGCATTTCACCTTACATGATTGTAAGAAACTAAATCCCATACGTAAATTATTTTAATAGTGAATTCATTATCCTTTGGTCATGCACAATCATAAACATCTCGAATACAATAGCTATTCAAAAAGTTATTACTTTTGTCTAATGATATGCATAGATTGCTTATATCCTGAAACCCTAAGCCCTAACTTGTACCACAAAATAAAAAACTATTTACCCAAATATTTTTTTACCAGCACGATTCTTAATGTATATCATATATATTTTTCATTCTCTCACAAAAAGTCAGCATTCAATACAAAATATTACTCCCTCCGTCCACATAAAATATACTCATATGAGATGGACATATGTTCTAATAAATATGATATTATATTGGTTAATTGTATTTTGGAAAGTATATGTCGTGAGTTAATGAGGTGAGAGAGAATTATAAATGAATTGAGTATGTAGATGTTGGTGGAAAATTATTTCCTATAAATAGAAAAAGCATATTTTTGTGGATAAACAAAAATACAAGCATCTATTTGGTAGACAAAGGGAGTATTTTTTAATATTATTAACACAATTCCCAATATTTCACATTAAAAAAAAAAAAACCATATTTTTACACTACCAAATACTTTTTAAGTAACATATGCAGCCAAACCCAACTTTTTACCTAGAATCAGCTTCAGAATATAAACTAAACTATATATTATTTGGCACACTCAGACAAAACATTCTGAAAATGAATAATGTACCTTCAATATTCCATTTACATGTAAATAAAAGGTCTAGGAAATGCTCTTAGTGTTCGATAAATGATTTTTCATGGTTGTATTAGGTAGCGGAAATCGGAAGCTAAAATCATTCGTGGTTTTGGAGAAGTGGTTGAAGTCTGACTACTAGGGAGAAAGGAGGAGGCTCATGATAGAAGGCTTGCTCTTACACTAAGACATTCTAACCCCAGGTTTTCCAAAACTTCGGGCATTTCTAAGAAGATGATTTCAATTACAAGTAACATTTTTTATTGCTCCCCGGTAATCTTGATAGTTAAAAAAACTTTATCATGCCTTAAGCATTATAATCTGTGTCAGAGACTCAGAGGTAAGAATATTTTGATACATCTACATCGTGAACCCATGCCTCACTTTAGCATTAATGTGCAAAGGTAAAAATATACATATATATAATCTTATCTTGATGTTGATCAAACAAAAAGGAAAATAGTAAGGCAATTAATAGTTTGAACAAGAACTAAACGGAAGTAAAAAAATGAAGAAAAAAAAAAAAACAAAAGAGGCCCAAAAATTCTTTGATAAGAAGATGTAGTGATTAGGCAACAGGGAAATCTGAAAAGTTTTAATGCAATAGAAAGTAAGAGATGTTGGTAGCAATATTCTGGGTGTTTCACATACCTCGTAAAGTCTGACAACGTTTGGGTGTTTAAGGAGTTTTAGTGTGGCAATCTCCCTTTTTATCTGCGGCGCTTGCGGCAGTTAGTAAGAATGAGTTTAAGATACAGCGAAGAAACTTAAAATAAAGAGTGAAACACAGCGGTATAACAAATAAATTTAAGATAAACTTTACTGGAAGGATGACAGGACCGCGTAAAAGCTACAAATAGCAATTTTACTCGAAGAACAATAACCCTGAATTAACCAGTAACAAGGTAATCTGCAGATCCGTAAAACATTCCACAGTAACATCGCAAGAGAAAAAATCATGACGAATCAACAAACCTGTTCGGTGATCTTGAGATCAAGGATTCTATACTTCTCCAATATTTTAATCGCAAACGGTTGACCCGATTCCGAGTTCTTGGCGTACTTAACTTTCCCGAAGTTGCCTTCTCCCAGAGTCCTTCCCAAGGCGTACTTCCCCAATCGCATTCCCTTCAGCACAGTCTCCTCTCGCGATCCTTCACCCTCTTCCTTCCTCGCGTGTAACAGTACCATAACAGAAAACCTTCTTCCCCCTATTCAATTTTGGGAATATATTCTGAATTCTGATGGACCTCTGGGTATTAGCGTAATATAAGTATATACGCGTGTGGCACGTAGAAGTCGGTACTCTGAAATGGAAGTTTCCAACGTTTTTTTTCTCCCCTACAATTTATGTACGCGGGTGTTCAAAGTTGACTAAAAATGCAAATCTACTTGTGTTTAAGTCTGTCATGGAATTAAATTCCCTCGAGCTGACTAGTGTGACTTGCTGGAATTTATCCAAAATGCTCTTAAAAGAACATTACATAAAATATAAAAGTTTACAAATAGCTGTTGATGCCGATTTGAAACACAAATGGATAAATAATAGACAAATAAACAAACTTATTAGACAAATAAATAAATCTATTTTTTTATTTTAGTCATAGTTGTATCAATTTTGTATTATCTACTTAATATTATAAATATCATTACAACTTAGAATTAATTACATTATATATATAACACATTACTAATAAAATTATTTTAATCATTTCTATTTCTATTTATATTTCTATTTTATTTTTATTTTTATTATATTCTAATGTAATACTAATATTTTTAAAACTTAAAAAAAAATAAAAAAAATCAATACATATTATTATTGTTATTTATATTTTTTGAAAAATTTAAGGATAAAATATTAAGTAACTTATATATATATCATTCAAAAAATGAGCGGCATATGAATTTGTACAATATAATACCAAACCCCACACGAGCAATTCTAGTTACAAAAGTGCGGCCACAACAAGACCAAAGCCAACACATCTAATCAAACATGTGTCAAACGCTAATCTATAATCATACATTAAGGGCGTGTTTGTTCGAAAATTTTGCCAAAAATCCACTATTCATCCAAAATTTTTCCTCAAAAAATATCACATCAAACACCTAATTTTCATTTTATATATTATACTAAAAATTAATTTTACATTTAAAACATCACATCAACACCTATTTATATCACATCATACAACTATTCCAATTCAAATTTTTTATTATTGAGATCCCAACTCAAAATCCAAACCTCCAACCAACACAAACTATATAAGCAGTATATGAATTTGTACAATGGAAAAAAAAACCCACATGAGCAATCTTAGAACTAAAAGTATGGTCAAATCAAACACAGAAGTATGTGTCCAACACTAAGAGCACAAGCAACGGCTCTCGCCTCTATATCCGTCCTCGGTCGGACGTGTCAAACGAAAGACAGCGTGTCAAAGGATATTTTCCAACTTAGTGAAAAACGTATTCAGAGTGACTCAAATTAACAATCCTTGCAATTTATTTAATTCTCACAACCCCAAATTTCTCACACCTCCCACATCTCCCGCAAAAGCCCTAGCACGGCGGCGAGTGTGGAAAGCCTCAGATTGACGTCGAATTCTGGTTAGCGGTGACCACAACAGTATCAGATCGGCGTCAAAATCTGGTAGTCGTTTGTTGTTTCTCTTCTGCTTTCTTCTCCATTTCTTCTCCCATACTCTTTATTAGCTTTTTCCCAAATTACACAGAACAACGATTCAATTAAGATTGAGAATTTCTCCTTCAATTTCGTATGTTTTTAGTTTTATTAGTATGCATTTCATCTAAGATTGAGAATTTATCCTTCGATTTTCTATGATTTTAGCTTTATTTGTGGGGATGGATTTCACTTCGTGTATTGGGTATTCTCCTTGTACTCGAAAGTTGTTCTCTACTTTGTTTCAAAAAAATTATGGCTCGTCACAATATATTCATGCGTTTTTACAGTGTAGCTTGACGTTGCAAAATATAATGAAGATATAGTTTTTGCGAGTTGAAGAAATTATTATTGAAATCATTCACCTTGATGATGCTCTAAATTCCTTTCGTCTATCGCAGGAGCATAAGAATACACGGACGAAATGAGACCTAGATGTGCGTGTGGAAGAGAAGCTACCTTAAATAGATCGATGAGTGCAAAGAACCCCGGCAGATGGTATTACCGGTGCCACCCGTGTGATAATTGGCTAGGTTGGGAAGATAATGACACTGAAATCCCAGTAGCGAGTTCGATAAAAATAGGGACACATCCTTTTATTCCGGAGAGTCTAGTGCCATATCAAGGCGTGGCGGTCGGAGCAATGATTGTTTCTATCCACGCGGAGCGGAGAAAACTCAGGCAGCATCGCACACCAGGCTTGAAAACCTGATGATCGCCAACATTGTAATTTCTATAATAATCCTTATTCGTGTGTTTTTATTTTGAGTGTCGTGTCGACATCAACGTTGTTAGTATTGTGATAATTAAATCATCCAAGGTATGTTATGGTTATTTGCTTTGTAGGAAGGATATTTTCTCTTAGTAAGTGATGACGATGTAGGATCGAAACTTATTATGAACCTATTGTAATTGATTGATTAATGTTGCTAGCACTGTCGTTATTGTTCTCATTGTTGCGATGTTAACTGTTGCTTTGTGGAGACTCACATGTTCGAAGGGAAAAAGTTCGTGAGATGGGAAGATGCTCTAATAGGAAGGAGTGCAATTTCTGCTTTTAAATCTATGCCCTGAGGTTAGTAAGTTATTTGTTAGCAATGTTGTTTTTGTTGACGGCGGTGCAGCTACGTCGTGTGATGCTTAACTATGCCATTTTCTCTTAAAAGGTGATAGAGTTATCAGCAGTGTTCTTCCTACTATACTTAAACTCATGGCGTAGTTACCTTATTTCATAGAAATTATTTTACTATTGTCATTGACTTAAGAGTGATACATTTGTAGCACATACCTAAAGCGCAGGAATAAATGGTGTGTTGCTCAAAGCCGATGTAATTGTGATCAACTTAAAAGTGCCAATCAACCGTTCAATTTCTATTGAGGGGCATGCAGTAAGTTTGGTTGTTCAGTCAATGTTTCATGAGAAAACCCTTAAGTATGTACTCTTTGATTCAGCAGTTATTACTGGGTCATTTTAATTTAACTTTGGACATCATTACCGTATTGCGGGGGTTTCCTAAGTGCTCGGCGATTTCGTTGTATGTGTGTTGTTGTTGTAGTCTTGGTTTGTTGGCGTTCACATTCATCATACAGGAACCTTGTGTATTTGTGTGCCTTGGTTTTTACTTGAAAATTAGCTTGAGTGCTATTCGGTTTATAATGAAGGGTAGGGCTGCGAAGGAATTCGGCAACTTTATTCGATTCAATTTTTTATTTGAAATACTAATATTTGTCCTAAAAATTCTTTGATCGAACTCGAATAAATATTTTCAATTCCATGATATAAATAAATTTATAGTATACATAAGTTACATTTAATAATAACTAAAACTCAATCTATCAATAAAAATGCTTTTAAATTTTAATACAATTAAAATTTAACACAAATAAATATATATTACAATAATAAAAATAATTACAGTACATCTTTTTTATTCATGTCAAGATAACGAAATGCTTTTCCTTATTAAGTTAAAATATGATGAACATTAAATGTGTGCATGTTTTTATCAAATTAATCTAATAATACAATCATAAATTTTAGGATAATTTTTTGATCCAAAAATCATAACAGTAGGATAAATTTTTTGATCCAAATATTTTTTACGTGCCCGAACTTCATTTCGAATTAGAATAAGAAAATTACTCATAGACTTGAAATTACTAACATATGTGGCTTAAGAAAAGCCACAATTCTACATGGAGAACACATAAAGAACAAAGGCAACCGGAAACTATATACTGTCTTCAGATGAGAATGACAGTAGTACCCACTCATCGCCTTTCCATACCGAAGCAGGAATACCGGTATAGGGAATTTTAGATGATTGTTTCACCTCCTGACAACCACCACTGGTAGTTGATAAGATCTTCCTGCAGTTGCGCATTCACTCATGTATTCCGGATTTGTCCTATTCTTATTCGATATAGCAGGCGGACTTCATCTACAGACTGGGAATTGTTTTGGACACTTTGCTCCTCGTTGTGTAGAATTATACATGTTGTCATAACTAGATGAAGATCTTTCGGTTGTTCGAGCCTTGTCGGAACACACAGAACTCGCCATTTTTGTTGAAGAACACCGAACGCCCGTTCGATGTCCTTCTAACAGGCCTCCTGCATTGTTGTAAATGCTCGCTCCTTGGCCGTAACCAGATTTCTAACCACTTGCATGAAGATATGATGTTTCGGATAAATTTCGTCAGTAAGATAATAGGGAATATCTTACACGGTACCGTTCACCTCGTACTCAACCGGTGGTGCAGTCCCATTCATGTATTTATCGAACAACAGCGAATAGTCCAAAACAGTGATATCATTGTTGGAGCCGGGCATACCGAAAAATGCATGCCATATCCAGAGATCTTGAGACGCTGCAGCTTCCAAGATTAAAGTAGGGTAGCCATACCATCCATTATACTGCCCGCGCCATGCAATCGGGCATGCATCCCAACACCAATGCATACAATCAAGCGAGCCTATCATCCTCGGAAACCCACGCACTTTATTTTCGGCCAACAGACAGGATATGTCGTCAGGCGTCGGATCCCGTAGATATTGAGACTTGTACACATTCACAATCGTTTCACAGAATTCTATGGTGGCCCTTTTGACTGACGTGCCTCCCATCTTTATGACTTCGTCCACACTATCAAAGCAACAACCATACCCGAGTACCCGTACAGCTGCCATCACTTTTTGTAGGGGCGAGTGACCCATGCGGTTCGTGCAATCCGGCCTCTGCGTAAAATAGTGATTCTTGTTGCACACATTATGTAAAATTCTAATGAACAGCTCATGGCACATGCGAAAGTGACGGCGGAAAAATAGTGCAGGAAAACGAAGCGTCTCGGATAAATAGTCTACCCACAACTCTTTGTGCCTCCTTTCGCGATCTCGGTAAATGCAACCTGCATCGCTTCCAGTTGTTCTCGTTCAAGCAGCCGCAACTGCATTCGTCTCCGCCGTCTCGCCTCTGCAGTTTCACACTCCATGGTCCATGACGAAGATCCTTCGTCATTGTATCCAGATTCGTCACCTTCGTTATCCATACCACGGCATCACGCCAACCTAAAAGAAAATACGAGGGGAGTCGAACGCAACCTCCGTAATTGCATCTTCGTAGGGATTTTTATATGTGCAAACCACACCATGTTTATATATATGTACATGCCGTGTATGTGCTAACAACGAAACTTTGCATAAATTGGTTAGTTGATGGGCAATCACTATATTTGTATTGTCCCATCTGAACAGCACACTTCGTGATTTGGTACGGTACATTTGTATTGTCCCATCTGAACATTACACTATATGATTTGGTACGTTAACATTCACTGTAGCCACGTATATGAACACTATCCTACACTACGGGACAGAACCACAATCCAAAACATGGCAGTAAATCACTTTGTACAGACAAAAGTCACACCATACAAATTTTTTGGAGTACACGAAAGCTGTTCTAATATTTCTGCAATAGATTATCATGGAATACACATCTATGAGTGACAAGATTTTCTCTTTTCAAGCCACGAAATGATCTTTCTTCTATATGGGTTGCTCTGCAGAGATTGTGCTTCTGATTAAAGGAGATTAATCGAAGCGTCATGGACATGACCCTGGCACTGCCGCATTGTGAATTTTGGATGAGTAAGACCTGAAAATGTCAGGCAAAGTAATCATTATCCATGAACCAACATCATTGTCTATTTGCGGGAGTGCAAAAATCTTTAAATTAACTATTAACACTAAGCTAAAAAAAAAAAAAACAGTAACTACACATAGTAATAAAAAAATACATAAAATAGAATTGAAAATGCTGGAAAAGTAGATGTTTTGCCCCCTTTTTGTATCTGAACTTCCACCAATACATGAAAAAAATAAGTGAAAGACCACCGAGGGGCATTGCTTAGTACGAAATAAAAGTAATCTAAGCAAACTTGTTTCAAACCCAATAAACCATATATTAATAATGATGTAGTTGCGCAATAGTTTGTAGATACCTTAGTAGTAGACATTACGCATGAGGTGCACTAGCACGAGAAAAAGATCATTCAATAAATCCCTTCAAGTAAAAACAAATATCAATCTTAGATAACTTTATAGATGGAAAAATTATGAACAAAAGCTACTCTCCTCAAGCGTGTTGTTCCGGCTGCGTTTTTTACCTGCACTTGGCGAGACGCTTACTCTCCCACGTCTTGGGATCGGTCATTTTGTTTCTTGATGGCGGCAATGGCCGCCTTTACACCTGCACATAAGCATTGACTTATAACGGGAGTAGTAACTGCATGATCGGTACGAACCATTATGCGCATCAGTGTAGTAATCCAGTTGTTCCCTCTTGATTGCGTACTCCTTTCGTGAGACCTCCGTTACGAGATTTGCAGGGTCCAATTGGTCAAACTTACGTAGCGCAACAATCATTTCCTCACTGACTTTTGCCATCTCCCTTGTCAGTAGAACAATCTTTCTGGCCATCCGTGTCAAATGCTGCGATATTTTTAAGAGAAAATTATTGAATATTCTTGTTTGAGAACATATTATTAACCTCGTATTGGCTCAATAAATAATGGATGACAAAAATAATATACATGTTCGCTTGATCTTTCGTCAATCATCTTTTTCCGCTTTGATTCGATCTCCTCCATATTAGACCATCTGTCCGCTTGTGATGAATCAAGAGCCATGAGGCTGACACTGATGCTCCGTGTTACTGAGGTTTGTGACTCTTCATATTGCATGATCCTTCGCTGACGTTGGTTATTAACTTTGTTGGCATTGTTTGTCTTTTTAACCCCGAGTGGCCGATCCATATCTACCGCTGCAGGCCCACTTAACTCCGTCCGGCCAGGCCTTTTATTGGAACCCTCAGCGTCCACATGCATTTCTTGTTGAGAGGGGTCTATTGGGGTTATGGGTGACTGATCGTGCGCCTCCCTCCGAATGGTGCGTCGCTCACACCCTCTTTCATTCTCGCTTGAATGTGGCACCTCACCGGGACACCTCGTCTTACCCGTTACAAACTCCATCCACTTTGGTTGATCCTTTAGAATACGCCATGCATAATGCTTAAAACTGATCTGATTCTTTTCAACAAAAATTTGTTCGCAGTAGTGTTCCTGAAAAGTAAATGGTATGAACATTATGGAAGCACCATGTAATGAATGTGTAAATGCACAAGGTTAGATTTAAATGAACTTACAAAATCAGCCGAACTTCACCCACTCCGGTATTGTCCCTCAGCATGAATTCGTATTGCAGTCCAGTTACTGCATTGTGATTTGATCTTCGTCATCTTATTCTCGCATGCTCCTGGGGTTCTTTTATTTTCATCCCTCGGTACTCCTTGAATCTCTTCCATCAACCGTGCAAAATCATCACGTACACAATCCCAAAGCTTCTCTGTCTTTTGGCCTACACCTACCCGGGCATCGGTTGATACGTTGCACCACGCCGTAGCCAGATGCACATCCTCATCAGCATTACAATTTTTATTTGAACGCTGAGTGTTTCCCTTACCCCTGCCTGCGGGGATGCTTTTTCCAGAAGTCTCAGTTGAGAAAAGCCGACGGTTTGTAGTCAACGGAGTGGTGTGGGCCTGCGATGATTGGGTATCATGTTGAGCATGCTGCAACGAGCTACCTTGCGGCCCACCAGTCCACATGTTTTGGTAGAATCGTGGGTCATTGTGTTGCATAGAGTACTGCACCAGATGATGAGGCTGGCTGAAGCTCATATGAAATTGATTCGGTAAGGATGACTGTTGTGCGGCCATATTTGGGGTACTTTGAGTGCGATGTGAAGGATCCTGGGGCTCAGAGTGAACTATGTTGCAGCGCTCAGGCATCTCCACAAGGCGTTGAACTCTATCATCATCAACCCTATATTTGTATCCCTGATCTGCCATTCTGTTCACACGTTGCATTAAAATACAATAATTTAGCTATAAATAGCATATTGTACACATTTTTTTTTAAAAAAAGTTAGTAAGTACCAAAGGAACTTTCTAGACTCCAATTCACTCAAGCCATTACATATTCGTTGGAAACATTGTCACCGCATCTTACGCACACATGTTTCTAGACGAATGACTAATAACAACACTAATTATAATGTTGTAGTAAGAACGTATTGTTGTAGGTAAAAGTGTTTCCCCCTAAGAATTGAGAACACTTTCAACAAAGTTGTGAATGGTACCACATTAAGAGGGTTTAGGGTTCAGGGTTTAGGGTTTAGGGTTTAGGGTTTGGGTTTGGGGTTTGGGGTTGGGGTTTGGGGTTTGGGGTTTAGGGTTTAGGGTTTAGGGTTTAGGGTTTTTTTTTTTTGGGTTTGGGGTTTGGGGTTTGGGTTTAGGGTTTAGGGTTTGGGGTTTAGGGTTTAGGGTTCAGGGTATAGGGTTTTTTTTTTTTTTTTTTGGCTGGGCTCAAAGAGCTGCCTACGTACCCAAACGGGATCAAGCCATACGTAGTTCTGCAAAGTTCGGTACAAGTGCTGGGAAAGTAAATAGAAAGTGTAAATAAATAAAAGCTAACGGAAGCGAAAGCACGGGAGGCCCGCCGCGTCAGCATGGATGAGGCCACGAGTCCTCGCAGGGATGTCCGCCGGCTCCAGGATCCGCGTGTGAGGAAGGGCAACAGAGGTGTTCACCAAGTTGTCCGCCACTTTATTGCCCTCGCGGTAAATATGAGAGATCTTCCACTCGATGCTGCGAAGCTGTAGGCGCAGGTGGTGGAGACAAGGCTGGAGAGTCCAGTGTCCCGTCGAGGAGGAGATGATAGAGATACTGCTGGCAGAGTCCGTTTCGATCCAGAGAGGGAGGAGGCCGCGCGCTACCGCCAGGTCCACGCCGGATCGAATCGCCTGCAATTCAGCCAAAGTGTTTGTAGTATCCAAGAGGGGAACTTGGAATGCCACAAGTGGAGCGCCGGTGGCATCCCGAATGACGCCCGCGGCTCCAGCAGCGCCTGGATTCCCGAGCGATGCCCCATCAGTATTGAGTTTGAACCAGCCTGGAGACGGAGCTTCCCAACGTACCATGACCGGGGGCCGAAGAACCGGAGGTGGGAGGCGAAGGCTGAGACTAGAGGCTAGGTGCACCTCCCCAGGCCAGTGCTGACGCTGAAGGATGCCAGCACGGCCTAAGACCTGTAAATGAGAGTGAATACGCCAAATAATCCGGTCAGATGAAATCTGGATACCTCGGTGTTTGGCATCATTCCGTGCCGTCCAAAGAAACCAGAAGGCCAGAAGTGGGACATAAGTACGGATACTCCGCGCATGAGGGGAGGACAAACGCCAAGCAGAAACCATGAGGTGGGGCGCATGTGTCCGCGGAAGTTGGATGCGAAATAGGTCGGCGAGATGGCGCCACACGGGCTGGGCAACCGCCGACGAGAAGAATAAGTGCTCAATCGTCTCAGACTCCCGACAGCACTGGCAGCAAGAGACAATAGGGAGACCCATCTTCCGTAAGGCCTCATCGACGGGTATCCGACGGCGAAATAGACGCCATAGGAATACCGACATCGTATGCGTAAGGAGTGGCGACCAAAGGCTGCAGGAAAGCCAGCTCCGAGCCCCCACTGTCCGGCTCATCTCCCAGGCTGAAGTAGTAGTAAAAATACCTGTATCCGAAGCCTTCCATATCGGCTGGTCAGCATTCAGAAGATCGAAGGGAATCGCAGAGACCTGGTGAACAAGGGGTGTCGGGAGATAGGCCCGGAGACGCAATAAATCCCACAAACCGTGTAGCCACATCTCGCGAACCCGGATCGGCGGGGGACGGTCCTGGCGGTACGTGTAGAGGGGGCGGTCCCCACACCAAGTATCATACCAGAAGAAACAGTCCCCACGCCCCAAATTCCAAATGATCTGCGTTTGTGCCTCATTGCGGATCTGGCAAAGACTCTTCCAAACCGGACTGTCGTAGGTCCGGCAGGGGGCGAAGCCCGGGAAGGAGCTACGGAAATATTTATGCTGAAGCCCGCGAGCCCAAAGAGAAGAACCGTCTCTGAGACGCCACCACAATTTAAGCGAGAAGGCTCGA